CCCTCAAAATAAAAAGTATATGATACAAAAAAAGTTTGGCATCTGATACAATCCAAAAACACCATTGGAAAACCCAACCACCACAATATCAAAATCCTGATGGTAATCACAAGACATCAATTTTGCAGGCGACTACATAAAGAAATCCTTCTTCAACAGCTCCTATTTCTCTAGTAGTGGAGCTTCTGACTCCCCTTCAAATGAAAAAATAATACACAACTTTCTTCCTTTTCTTATTAACATTCCTATCCATAAATATCCTAGAACTTTCTCCTCTAGAGATCTAGATGAAGGGAGATATGAGATATGCCTTTCATAATTAAGTAAATCATTATTAGTTCTAATTTCAAGATAAATATTTTTCCATCTCTATACAGAGGACAACAGTCTTAAAGCTTATTGCAAAGTTAGTTGTTAGGATAATGAAAGAGAGCAATGAGCTGATGTGGTTGTTAGAACTATAGGGCTTCATGAAACACTGAGAAGGGGTAATCGCAGACTTCTCAGCTCTCTCTCACAAAAAATATCAAGATTTTTATATCAGTTTGTAATCAATTGGTTTTTTATCCAAAAACATTGTATCATAAATAAACATTCGTCCTTCAATGATTTCTCAATTTTGTTGAATCTCTAATGTTCAAAGTCTTTGTTCTAAAACTTATCATTTTTTGGAATATGTTGTAATGATATTCAAACCATCAAATCTTTGAATCTCTCAATTCCCATCCTTTTTCATTTGATTTTGAACTACAGTTTTCTAACTTGATGGAGAATGGTTGTATCTCTATATTGGATCTAAATCATCAAGTTTACTATGACTTCTATCCATGTAAGTAGTTGACATGTTGTTGTTGATATGTTGTGTTCGAATCTTGAATATTTCATTCATTTTGTTTCTTTTTTGATGATTTAATCCATGTGAGATGTGAAGGAAGCTGTCTATCATTATCTTGAAACATTAAACAGTACAAAATATGGGTAGAAAATAAATAATCAAATATAACATAATTCACATTTTTTTATATCCATTTAATCATATACTATCATTTTATAAACATGTCATTTTATCTCTAATACTTCACACACCCTAGTATATCGGCTTGACATCACATCACATAGGGTGCATAGTGTCACTTGGTTCAGAGTATGCATATTCAAGAGTGACCCCACCCAAGCACACTTAACTACACAGTTTCTTTGTTTACTTCGTGACGACTCACCCACTTATGAGGGTCAGGTCGAAAACTATATTAAAAGATAAGAGTATAAAAAATAGAAGCTTGATTTTCAAATGTAAGATAATCACATAAAAGATGTATTGTTATTATTTAGGATGCTTTTACAACCTATCATTTAAAAATTTTGAAATATTAACCAATAAAAAAATTGGACAAATTTTTAGGTCATATTTGATGAAGCATTGTTGTGATGTCAACAAACCAAATAACTCTACTAAATAGATCAAATTATATCTTTTTGATAAGACTTGCATCTTATGATAGTAAAAGTAAACATATTTCTACTCAAATATAACACCATTGAATGATTGAATGAAGTTATATCTAAAATGCATCTTAATAGTAATGTCTAATGGTTGCCTTTACTATATTAGAATTATTATATCATATAATATTATGGAATGTGCTAATATTTACAAAATACACCACTAAGAGGAAACAGTGATCAATACATCCAAATCAGCAAAGACTACATAAAACAAAACATGTTATGAAAATTTATCAAGTTTATTAAGTGCTCATAGTATTAGATCATTACTCTAGGATGTTTTAAAAATTAAGACGATTGATTAAGTTGAGACTATTTATTTATTCAAAAATAATTTTCTGAATATCACAATATTTATCTTAGAAAATTATTTTCTTTGTGTTGAACTATAAAAAATGACATTACACACAGAAATCTTGTTTCAAGATGCATACCTAAGAATGAAACATATGTTAAACAGATTGATATAAGTTTGATTATTAAAACTCTGTTCTAAATTATCTATTTAGTGAATAAATAATAAGTTCTGCATTTATATGTGGCTGATTCTGCATTTTGTCCATCTAACTCTTACCAAATCAAAAATTTGAATTGTCATTAAATAGATACAAACATTGTGGTTAATACTATGGAGTAGCAGTTTCACAAGATGATATCAGAAATAAATTGAAGGACATATCATATCAGATTTTCACCTATTTGAATTTACAAATTTTCGAAGAAAATTAGACATTGAAGATCTCAAAGACACAAGAGATTTTCTCCATATGATTCATCTATAAATATTGAATTTTTGAATGGAAGAAAAACATATATACTTGTCTATCTGCTCACCATGATAGAGAGCTTCTCCTAATATAGATTTTATGTCCAAGATAATTTGTGAGAAGAGGAGAGAAAAGAATGCAAAAGCTTTACTCAAGCATTTACTGAAAAGGCTTCTTTAGTGTTCATCAAGCACCTTGTCATTTAAAGCACACTCCATCGACTGCAACTGGTGTCATTATTCTAGACGAACGTCAAGATTATCTTTTACCTCTAGAGAAGATCCATGATAATATCAATAATATGTCTTGTGGGCTAAACCTGATATAAAAGTTACATTGTCATGAGTGAGAGGTTTCTGAATGATAAGACTTTTATCTTAGTGTAAAGGGGCTGTTGAAAGAATAATACCAAACTCCTCATAGGAGGTTTTGGTATGACTCGTTTTGTTTGATTCACTGGGATTTTTTCCACATAAGCATTGAAGACATTTGTACTTTTATTTTACCATACTTTGACCTTTTACCGATTTCTAATTAATGTAAATTCTTTTGAATCTAATTTTTAAAATTTTTGGATTTGAAATTATACCCCATATTTGTGTGAATGAAAGACTTCCCCAGTTTAGTTGGTTTTCAGGATTAATTGATTGGATATCCGGCAATCAGGATTTTTCAAAGGAATGGCTTCATAATAAAAAAGGGCTATAACCGTTTGCTACTGCTATGAAGTCTGCTCGCCTTTTGACGGCTTGGGTTCGCTATGCTCTCATGTTGTGGTCGGGCTTAAAAGAAAACGAGTCTTCTTTCCAAACCAGAATGTCCGCAGACGTTAAAACTTTGCCAGAAGCAAGAAGAGACGTGAAAGGGCCGGGCCATTTTTTGAGATGAAATGCCCCTTCTTCAATTCTCCTTTTGGCTTTCGGGCCCCGGGTTGAAGAGGTAGATACAGCAAAGCAAAGGAGGGTCTCCTCTTTCTCTGTTTTCTCTTCTCGAAGTGTGCAAATTGCAAGTAGAGAGGAGCAGGAGCTTATAGTTAATTGGTTCAAACGTTCATGCGAAGGCAAGTAGTATGTTTTGCTCAACTACTGTCTGCTCCACTCTTTGGTTATATATACTTGACCCCTTGGGGGTTTGTCTTCTCACCCCTTCGGAGACCTTAGCCATCCACTGCCCCTGAAAAGCCAGTCCTGGTTCCCTCGGGGCCATAGCCATCCACTGCCCCTCCAGTATATAACCTGCGAATCATAGTCTTTATTCTTATGAGAATGAGAATTAAAAACAAGAAGTTCCTCTACGTTGTGACTGTCAAAAGTTTTATTTCTTTGGCAAGGAATTAAGTATATTATGTAATGACGAATCACATTAATATAAGATATCATACAATTTGGTAGTTGATAAATTCAGGAAATATTTCATTTGAAAAAATCCACAAAGTAAAAAATGTTGTGGATATGTTAACCAATTTGGTCACAATGGTGAAGTTTAAATATTTTGAATTTGATTCTGGTTTAAAGTTTTTGAGAAATGTAGCATCATCAAAATGGAGTTCAAGATAAAGCATCTTGAAAGATACTGAAAGATTTAAGTATTTGCCAAATAGAGATTACCGAGATGGCTTAATATCTTAACAATTTTGGGCCAAGAACTAACCCAACAACATAGGAGTGTGGCTTCCTCTATTGAGGATGACCTCTAACTCATATAAAGGGGCAAATGTGTATCTCTCTTCAAGAAGAGAGAGGATTGAAAAAATGTTGCGAACTCTGATTTACAAGAATAGAAACTGCTGCGATTTTAGAGTTCTTTCTCCTCTCGAACATCTCCTCTTTGTCCAACAACTTCTCTCTCATTCTCTCTCCTAATTAACGTATTATTTACTTGATTTTCGGTGGTGGCATCCTAATATAAAAACACAATCACTTGAAGAGCGTCTTGATGGGAATTGTCTGGGTAAAGATAGCGACCAATGAGAGTACGTGGTGACTATTCTTATATGATAAAGTACAAGTTGCAAACTATAATAAGGACAAGGATTTAGTAGATAGAAGATTTATTTTCAACCATAAGACAGCTAAAAACGATGTATCTTGTTGTCTGGAAGATATTTATAATCTGTCATTTTAATGATATTAAATACCATATTGACTAGATTCTTTAGGCAAGTTCTCCGTATTACGACTGCATTTATCCATATCGTCAAATTGATTTCAATTATATACTGTTTGAAACATATATTATTTTTTTCTTACAATATATTTGCTAATTTTACAACACCTGGAGACAACATTAGTTTTCCTCTCCACATAGAAAAAGACCCTAGCAACTCTATCCCTATGTCCAAGGAACAATACCGGTTTATTGTTTTCACCGTAATGATACTGAGCCGGCCCAATAATAAAACCGGCCGAATCCACACGATTACATACGACTTGTGCCAGGCCCCATAACCGATAGAGCCTGCTGAGGTCATTCGGTCACGTGGGGAGTCGGTGCTCTCCGAAATGGGCGACTGTATCTGGGCCGGCGTCATTCCAGCTACTGGAGAGCCCAATAAGTGAGGTCCACTTTTATTCCTCACTTTGCTCGGCATGGAATCCGCATGCCTCATTTATCTGGGAGGTCTATTTATCCCTCCCATTGTAGGGGAGCTCCCAGCACCCACACAACTTCCACCACTAAGCTGCTGGGCGACCGACATTCGCCTCTCCTCCTCGGATTCTTCGAGCCATGGCACCCGTGGTTTCTGCCTCTCTTGCTCCCACCACCCGTTTCCCATCTCCATCGCCAGATCCGATCGGCCGGCGCCGGCGACTCCCTTCCCCCCGTCTCACCTCGGCGCCGACGCTCCCCCATGCTGCCCCCGACCCACGGGCCCACGTGTCGATGCCACCGGCGCCCAATATCGGCCGTAAAGGTGAGACGAAGCTCGCCGTGTGGACCAGCATACAACAGGAGAGTTGGGAGGGCGATCTGGTGGTCGAAGGCCACATTCCTCCACGGCTGGTAAGCGTCCAAAGAGCTTATCCGTCGGTGATTTTCCGCTGTGCCGGTCACTCTATCTCCGTCCCTCTCTGTATAGATCGTTGTAGAATTTAGCACTTTTTTTTTTCTGGACGGGGATTCACTTGACGCGGTTTTGCAGAAAGAAACGTACCTGAGGAACGGACGGGGACTGTGGAACATCGAGGACCACGACTTCGTCCACATGTTCGACGGGTACGCCACCCTCGTCGGCGTCCACTTCGATGACGGAAGGGTGAAGGCGGGGCATCGCCAGATACAGTCGGAGGCGTACAAGGCGGCCCTGAAGAACAAGCGACTGTGCTACCGCGAGTTCTCCGAGAACCCAAGGACCGAGAACCTGCTCGCATACATCGGCGAGCTCGCTGGCCTATTTTCCGGGTCGTCGCTGACAGATAACGCCAACATCAGCGTGATCGAGCTGGGCGACCGACGGGTGATTTGCATGGCGGAGACCATCAAAGGCACCATCCACGTCAACCTCGACACTCTGGAGACCTTGGGGGCCTACCTCAGTGCAGCCACCCGATCGTCACCGACTCGGAGTACCTGACGCTGCTGCCGGACCTGGTGCGACCGGGCTACCAGGTCGTCCGCATGGAGCCGGGAAGCAACGTGAGGAGGCTGATCGGCCGGGTGGATTGCCGGGGAGGGCCGACGGCTCGATGGGCCCACTGGTTCCCCGTCACCGAGAACTACGTCGTCGTGCCGGGGATGCCGCTGAGGTACAGCGTCAAGAACATCCTCCGCTCCGAGCCAACGCCCCTATTCAAGTTCGAGTGGCACCCCGACTCCGGCGCCTTTATTCACTTCATGTGCAAAACCAGTGGTAGCATCGTGAGTCATCGTAGACATGACCCTACTCTTTCTCTCTCTGCACCCCGTAAACGGGAAGAGGGCGGCACTTCGTTACTCATCAAATTTCACTGCTGGCGCCATTGTTGCCAGGTGGCGAGCGTGGAGGTCCCCCAGTACTTGACGTTCCACTTCATCAATGCCTACGAGGAGCAGGACGGGGACGGCCGGGTGGTGGCGATCGTCGCTGACTGTTGCGAACACAACGCCGACCCCGCCATCCTTGAAAAGCTCACACTGCAGAATCTCCGATCCTTTTCCGGTGTGGACTCCCTACCAGATGCAAGGTGAACAAGAGGAGAGTACCCTCCCTTCCCTCCAGCAGCTCTCTCTCTAACCCTCGGCGTGGCATCGATTGGCATTCGTAGGGTCGAGCGCTTTAGGATACCTCTAGACGGGACTCCCCGGGGGTTGCTGGAGGCGGCGCTGGACCCAGAGCACCATGGCCGGGGCATGGACATGCGCTCAATCAACCCCAAATACATGGGGAAGAAGTACAGATACGCATACGCGTGCGGGGCCAAGCGCCCCTGTAACTTCCCCAACGCCCTCACCAAGGTGAACGAAGAAGAATTCACTTCGGATGGCTTCCAAATCTTCATGCCTGACAGTCATCTCCTTGCTCCTGCAGATCGATCTTGTGGAGAAGACGACGAGGACCTGGCACCAGGAAGGCGCCGTGCCGTCGGAGCCCCTGCTCGTGGAGCGACCAGGCGCCGTCCGGGAGGACGATGGTGGGTATCGCCGCCGGTTTCGTTCATCTGCCGGAGATTTTAGTCTGAGTATCCACCACGGCTACTCTGTATCGCAGGCGTGGTAATTTCCCTGGTTAGCGGCAAGGACGGCGAGGGGTACGTGCTGCTGCTGGATGGCTCTACGTTTGAGGAGATCGCAAGAGGAGGGCTTCCGTACGGTCTTCCATACGGGCTACACGAATGCTGGGTTCCTAGAACATGAGCGAGATCGGCTGGCGTCATGATATGTACAGGCGGCGGCGGAAGGATATATCTACGGTGATGCCCCGCCTTAGTATTGAAGGATCACCAGCTGACTTTTAGTAGTGTGGAGAAAAATGGTAATATTATCCCCTAAAGAGTATCACGTTCCTGTCAAAGAAGTTTTCTTCTTCTCTCCCTGTTCATCGACCGGTTGTCCCCCCGTTCCCTCTCTCTTCCCCCTCAAGTCCCTTGTGGCATCTCTCAATTCCAAGAGTAGAATATCATCTTGGAACAATATCTAGTGCGCGGAGTAATCCAAGCATTAGCATTGTATTTAATGAATACTCATCGTAATAATTGGAAAGTCAATCGTGGGGGCACGAGTTCTAGGAGGTGATCAATTCTCAAGGACCTGCAAGTACATATAAAATTAAGGCGGATTTATTTGTAACCAAGTAGATTATGAGAAGCTAAAGCAAATGATCACATTTTGTAAAGCATTTTAAGATGGCATATGTATAAGAACCTTCAAGAAAATGGCAGATTTCTCCCACTCATTAATAATATCCTATGATTTTTTTAATATTTTTTAAATTTTCACTGTGATTATCCCTCTTAGGATATGGGTAATTATTTTTTTTCATCATTTGTGTTCACGGATCCTTTTAATTTAACTAACAACATTTATTTATTTTCGTGTGTTAATATGTTCCATATTTAATGTAAAACATTAATCAAGGATGTTTTCATTGGAAGAACTTTAGTCCCAACAATGTAATAATGTTTTCATTGCATTTTTATTTTTTTTCTAGTGTGCAAACGATAAATGTACTGTTGAACACCACATTGTTGAAGAAGACATAAATGGTTATTATTCACTACATCAATTATACGAATGAGCAAGAATGCAACAACCAACATAGTGTTGAAAATGAAGAAAATTATCTAAGATATAAATTTATGCTCAACTAAAGTCAGTTGAAAATACTATAGTCATCAACAAATGAATGTAGTATGAAAATCCACTTTGAGAGATAATATAAGTAGGTCCCCATAGATCAAATTTGATTAACTACAAAGGTATTTCTGATATAAATATGATTAAATAAATGATAATTGAGTGGGTTGATAGGTGATAAGCAAGTCAAACTTATTGATGATAATAGAGAAACAATGGGTGACCTAATCAAGTGTGGCATACTAAAGAAGATGCATGCTCACTATTGAATGTGAGAATTAATGACTTAGAAAGAAGAAAATAGTAGAAGTCATCTTTAGAAGAACTTGTCTCAAGACTTGATTCCTCCTAGGAAAGTAAGATGAGTGAAATTCAACAGAAACTATGTGATCAGAATAAACTTATAAATGGAAAGTTAATTCTTAGTGATCAGAGAAATAAAGAAAATGTCATTTAAGTGGAGAGAATATAATGCAAAATTTAGGGTTGCAGATCCAAGGGAGGAAATGAATAAAGTTTCATTGTTTCTACCATATAGTTTGTCAAAACCTATATAACTTTTAGGATCATAGAGGTCCATACAGTCAGAAGTAGTGTGGTGAGTAGCAACACTATCTAGATATCATGATGTTGATAATATTGTCACATTTGGTGTGGGTATAATATCGTAAGTGTTTGCATAGGCAACCAAATCAGCTGTAGAGGTGGGGTTGTGACCATCAAACGATATGTCACAGGGTAGGTTGTGTTTGGTTTGTCATAAAAATTCTAGAAATACTTTTTTTGGCATACTACGTAGGATTAAAATTTCCAAATTAAAGACAAATTTGACAACATGATGTGTATTGTAGACTCCAAGGATGGCTATGACCTCTAGCCCCAACATGATATCTGCTCGCATTATAACTTGCAGTGACAACATTGGTCTAAGAATACTCAAGAGGCTCAAAGAAAAAGTATTATTGTGCCATGATCATCCTCAATCACAATGAGATGGCTGGGGATATCTTCTAGAGTGAGCAACTCTTTGCGAGTTATAATACTAAAGATGAATATCTCATAGCTTGGTCTTAACTCAGTGAAAATCATCATATTAAGATCCCAGTCATTCACTAGCTGACCAATCATAGCAAAATATTTTAATGAATTGGTTGCACTCATAAAAAGATAACATCCTACCGTGTGAGGCATGTACTTTGGAGTGTGTTATGAATTTGAGACTTTGAGCCAATGCAAAAGTTCTAGAAGTAAAATATCTCAAACATCATTAATGTATGATAAACAACTACTAATCAGAGGAAAGTCTCTATTCTGTATCATATGAGCCGTGTAAGATTTATTTAGTAAGTTATTTCCCTAATCATGAAGTTCGGATTTGGCTGCTAGACTTCCCATCAATAAAAACTTTTTAAGGACAACTAAGTGGAGCTATCGAGCATGGGCATATAATCATAGCTAGTTAGAAAAGGAATAAATTAAGTTCTCAATATGAGATAGTTGTCACATAGCATTGTCAGAAGAAATAAAGACATCACGTTGGGAGATGAAACAATATTTCGATGTGTTGTCGAGTAGGATGGCTCTAATGCCGAAGGGAGAGCGAGGGGGAGAGAGAGAAGAGGAAGAGGAGAGAAGAAATCTTTGATGGAAAATGATAGTTTACAGAAGTCGTAGGAGGCCCTCGAGGTAGGTGAGAGAAACAGAAAGGAGAGACGTATGACTTTAACAAGGTCGTCCATTTCCGTGAAAAATGGTCCAAAAGGAGCCATTGGACCGTCCTCACGCATGCCGAAACCCTTATCTGTCGAAAACAATCCATGATGTGACCGTTTCTCACAGAGGGTGCTAGATAACTTTTATAAGGCGCAATGGAATGACCACTGCCCCGTGGTTTGGAATGTATTTTACTATCTAGGTCAATAGCAACGTAATAAAAACTCAGCATATTACTAGTTAAGCAAGTAACGGTGGTGTTTCGAAGGCTGGAATTGGCACAACTAGGATATGTTCACCTCAAACACCAATAAGAGAGATAGCGAGCGAGAGTGAGAGAGGGAGAGATAGATTTGGAGTAATATAAGTATGATATTATTTCTTATCAAAACTCAAATCGGCTCATATAAAGATCAGACGGTTCTTTTTTTATCTCATACTTCATATTTACATCAAAATCTAGTACTTTTTAGTGGGGAATGATTCCACAATTTGAGGTTTGAGGATTTGAAATCCCGATGGGGAAATACATCATCCCACCTGATAGTAAGTATTACCGTAAGCTGGCGGCAAGAAAAATCGGAAATGGGTTATCAGGTCAACAGATATCCTTTCCGTTCCTTCGAAAAAGAGTCAATAAATGCTATGTATCCAATCAAATCATATCTACTTTCAGACATCATCTGGATTCTCTCAAATCAAAATTTTATTTTTTAAAATTCTAACCATTAAAGAATTCGCTTAAAAATTGTAGTTTCCGATTTTATTGACAACTTCACCTTGTAATTGCGTACCAGGTGCGTATCTCTTCTTGATTTAGTTGGCCGACGTTCCCTATTCCAAAAGTGAGTGTCGGGGAGCAGCTGAAGTGCTGATATCAATGGGTACCATCCAACTCCCTTAGGAATAGTAGGGTTAAATGTAGAGCTCGGTCAGGCTGACTATTCTTCTTGGACCTGGACCTGGACCTCAAAGGATAAATTTAAGAAGAAAAATTTGGTCAACCCTAATATTTATCCGGATTGAGTAGGGATGCCCAGAAGCTAGGAGATCTTTTTCTCTCATGCAGTTCTCTCTCTCTCTCTCTCTCTCTCTCTCTCTCTGCAAAGGCGCCCACGGGTTATTGTGCCCACGTCTTCCATGAGATGCCATCTTGGAATTAACATCTACGCACATTTAATGAGGTGCTGGCGCAGTGCAGCCGAAACCAACATCTCATGAACAGGTACACTTCGACGAACTACATAGCCTAGCCTATCTAGCGGAAGCAGGATCCCCCGCTGCCTAACCTACCATGCTTTCCATCACGTTGAATAGAGAACAAGAGCCCGAGGATGATGTCTTGTATCTCGTCTCTGTGCAAGCGTCACCCTTGGCGACAAGCACCAGCCTGTTCCTGTGTCTCTCGTCAAAAGCATTTAGTCCACCTCACCTTCGTCCTTCGATTGTAGGCACGGTTGCCATCAAGAGAGTGGAATCTTCATGATTGGGAGATACTTTTGAATGAGGTAGAGAAGGGGTTTAGAAGAGAGACTGGAACACGCCATTAAGAACTCTGCGCATTGAATGTTCTCTCTTCTAACGTATTATATATGGTGTTAGAGTCAAGGTTCAGCGTGCCGTCTCGTCTCATGCAAAGTCCGACAGCAGAAAGTTTAACTTCCATGATTCCTTATATTTTTTTACTGCAAGTGAACCCCGACAAACTGTAGTTAAACAGGCCCGATACAGCACCGGAGTCCCTTCGCCACCCGAAAAGATGATGCGATCCTTGCTCTACACCCCGCTATACCTCCCCCCCCCAGCTTCGGCATGGCCTCCACACAGCACACGCCGGCACAAGAGCACGCACTGCCGAGGATGGATCGAGCCGTGCCGTGCCGAGGGGGCCATGCCGAGGGGCCAACCTTATGAACTTTGGCACGAGAGCGGTGGCACTCCCAAACGGGCCGGCGAGGTTGCCAAATTTCAGAAACGAGCTGTAATAGTTTCATAGCCAGAATATGCTCTCTTCACGAAGGAAAAAATTAACCTCGGTCGTCTAAAACGTCACAACCAGGCAGCGATCAAAGTCCTGTCGAAACCTGTTATGCCATTCTACTCTCAGCTCCTCAACTTCTTGCTACGAAGAAACGGTAACCCACTAAATAACAGGCTATTCTTGAACAAAAAGTGGAGATTTCTAGTGGAAGGCGTGATGCAATTTATACATATACTGTCACAAAATTCTAGTTCCTGACGGACAAAAACGATGGCAATCCATCTTTTATATGGAATAAAGTGAAGGCCCATGGTAGGACAGTCAATTTGCGAGCATGGAAAACATGCCTTGAGTTACCTAGAGAAATGAATCGAGGGAAGGCCATGGCAAGCTATTTCCCTTTGCCACAGTGTACCTTAGTGAGTGTGGACTGTGTTCAATCCGCCATGGTACTGTAATGGTGCATTCTGGGCTCGTGGGTGCTCATACCCTGTGTTTCTTGGCCCCTTGATGACCACGATAGAAAAGGAAGGGAACGTATGAGTTCCTAACATGAAAATGGCCAAATCTATAATACTTCGGCAGGGTCAATGAAGAATGAAGGGAACTCGCTTCTCTTCCATAGGCGGTAAGAAAAAAGAACACCGCCAAAAATATATATATGATTTCAATAGTGCACATTAAACATCTTTCTAGCATGTTTCCAGCAGGGAAAAAATTTCAAACGATGAGCTCTTCTCATAACTCAACATATTATTTCTTCACGTCACAGATAAAGAAAAGAAGATGTCAATTTTGGCAATCAAGATTTAAAGTTAGTTATCAAACGTCAAAAAAAAAAAAAAAAAAAACTTAAAAAGGCACATTCAGGGTGATTTATTAAAGCCTTGCTTCGACAAATATATTTAGTTTGAGACTAACTACAAGAGAAACTATTGTTGCTGCTATTGTTTTGGCCAAAGGAGGAAGAGCAATTATTCGCGCATTTCAAAGTGAATTGGAGATGAATGACGTAAGGAGGCACCTTACACAGGTAAACGGGACAGCCGATTATTGGCATTTACAAATGATTAATGAATTTGAACTATTCTCTGCGGCCAGGGTCTCCTTAACTTTAAGATGATGCTCAGACACATGGCTTGCATGGCCAACGTTAAAAACATCAGGATGTCTTGCTGTCATACTTGCATACCCGGGCAACAGACTTTGTAGGAATGTTCATCTCCACGTGGAATGATTTTGATAATAACGAAATGCTTACTTACCATTCTAAATGTTGATGTCATTGCAAAGAAGTCCCCATAATTTGATTACGATGATTATCAAAGAAACGCAAATTTATTGGTGATATCGGTACTACATTAGGTCTTAAGTTAACATCCATTACATCCTTTTCAACACAACTTTTTCACTAAATTTGGATTTGGAGTTACAACAAGAACGTTATGCGAGTTTCACTAGGGCTATGCGAGTTACAACGAATTAGCTAGGTCAACCCAATCCTGTGGTAGCAACTGAGCTCCCTGAAAGGTGTCAGGTGCCAATGAGCTGAGTCGATGTTTCTCTCTTCCAAGCCAAAAGCCAGCTATTTGTTTGACTACTTGGAACCCAAAGGTCCTCTCATTACAAGCGCATGATGGTGTTATAATCAAGGCTCATACGAGGTTTAACAAAAGTTTTGATAGGGAAATTAAAAGAGGAAAAATTTAGACTCTACATCTGCAAATTCCGAAATATGAAGTGTCCCAAAACTCCGAACCAGGCCAAAGTTTGTTCTATTATTTCAGTTAATATTTCCTATTATAACATTCCAACAAACTCCGCCAAGGGTATTTAGATAAAACCGACCGGAGTTTGCCTTTGACAAACCATAAGCACGCTAGCGATGAGCAAAGTTTAGCAGTGTTATAGGTGAACTAGTTCCTATATATATGGACAAGTGGTTTCCAAAAAGTCTTAGATGAGCAGAATAGGAGGGGTCTAACCACTTAAAGATCTAATTTTGTGTGTGATCACTTCTGTTACATTTTCAACTCTCACAGACTCTCCAAAAGAAGATCATAAACCCATTCGCCTTCCCACCCTTCGTGGACTAATTTCATAGGCCCAGGAGATCAACATACCTTCAACATAGGAACTCTAACAGAGCAGAAAAGAAGTCTCATGTTATTGCTACATTATTTTTACCCTCCCGTCATGGGCAAGGTAAATTCACTTTATAGACAATTTTTGTATATTGATATATCCAGTCCTCATAAAAATCCATTGAATTCAGTAAATGTAATCGTGCGTTTTCTTTCATTTATTAGACGTTTGCCAAAGAACAAGGGAAAAAAACGAAAAAAATCTTGTTCAACAGTGAAACAAAATCCGAAAGTGAGTGGAGTACCTGAGAGCTGCGCCCAAATGTGGGACATGGATTTTAAATACTCGTGGAGCAAAGATATCGGAGCAAGTACTCATTTGACGAGCACATGTCTGACAGATCCTGATGTAATTTTGTAATTGATTTATGCAAGTATCTTAGTGCTGTAAATAAACTATGAGAATTTTTCTGGATGAAATCACCATGAACCTTACAGAGCTCCTGAAAGAAGATAAAAAACGACAGCTTGAGTATGGATCCTCACTTAAAAATAAATATCAAAAGTGTGTGCTTGAGAAGTTGTGTATTAAATCAACAGACCTGGCACCACTGAAGAATAAGCTCTAAATGGGGGCAGCTCTCTAGAAGATCTGCAAAAGCCTTCACTAATCTCTGAAGATATTTGTGAGGAATTGATGAGGCAACAGCAGGAATGTCTGATGGGCTCACAGAAATAATACATTTCTTAATTAATGAATCTTCGTTAAGACGTAGACTGAGTAATAATGCTATCTGATGTTGGTTCTGAGCAAGTGCTTCATCAACTGCCTGAATAAAAAAAAATTGCATTGATATCAACGCTTGCATCAACGCAATTTATTTTCCATTATAGCATTCTAGTAAACAAACACCAGAAAATCAAAAATGTTATAAAATGCTATCGTGTACTTTTTCACATCAGACCAACAATTCTCCAAAAAAGGCAGGTCATAGCATTGCTAGCAACGAAGGATACGATTTGGCAAAAAAATTAGCGCACCAAGAAAATGACTCTTTGATCAAAATGGAACCACCTCCCAATATACCGAGATTCCACTTAATTTTCATCATCCATCTAAGCATCCCAGAGGCCAGTTTTTCTTTCAAAAGTAGATTGAAAAAATACGTAACTTCTTTGATACTACTGTCCTCAGAAAAAAGGATTGAGTTCGTTCCGATTCTTGTTTCAAAACGAATTTCTAAACTGTGATCAGGAATAAATGTCAACCACACGATTTACCCTTCCACAGTGAAGCATTTAACAGCATTTATTCAAAACCTAACACCAAGTTATGATACGAAATGAAAGCCACACTCCCCCCTTTTCAAATGTCCTCGTCAATTTACAGCAACTTTTATTAATCTTAAACATGTGTTCGACTTATTGTCACTCATTAAAATGAACAAGACACCACATAATTTTAGTCAGAACAGAATATTCAACAGATACAAACTACAAAATTTCTTCAGCCTATCGAATCCATCAGATGTAAGAAAATGATCAAAATTTCCTCATTCGAAAAAGTCACATATATAATAATCTAGCTTTAGAAGTAGGCATGCGGCAACCATAAAATCATGAAAAAAGAATACCTCAGGTGTTACGTCTATATCCAGATCTGTAGGATCAAAAATAAATGACTCATCTACAGAATAAATCAAAACGCCCTCTGTCGTTGCTGCTGCCCAGCATCTGCCTGTTGGTGCAATTTTCAAAGATTTTGTTCGAATAACAGGTCTCCCACGATTAGCCAATGATCCTGGTAAATCATAGCCCAATTTTTTCCTTGTTTGTTTCTCAACACCTTCATCTATGTCACTATCATCATCATCAATCAAATCCAATGGTCCCCCATCTGTCATCTTCTTCGAGTTCAGAAAGTCAAGAACACCATCCAAGGAAAGATTGTGAGTTACTTGGAACCTACGAAGCAGTACCTGGTCCAATGCAAAACAGTTCAATGCTTGGGTAAGAAATACTAAGACCGAGTTCTCGAAATAATTAGACCTAATAGGTTACAGCAAAAAATGCAGGAAGAAACCCATCTGGCCTCTCAAAACATTGTTCTATGCATAACGCCAAATCTATCTACAACTTAAACGTCCATCAAGAGTCATATTCCTAAGTATTTACTACAGCCAAAGTTCCACAACCATGCACTAATAAACCTAAAATAAAGGATAAACCATTCAGAAAAGAGAGTGGAGAAAAGATGAGTTTACCTGCTCTGATATATCGTACATGCAAATGTACTTGCTGTTCCCTCCAGCCAAAATGTAACTTCCATCAGCAGAGTAGCATAGTGTGGTAAAGAACTTTCCTGAACTTGAGTTAGCTGCCGATCTCTTATCAGTCATGAGACGTCCACCAGCAATATCCCTGCGACCTTCTATTGTGCTCATCAATAGGCCATCTACCGGATCCCAGAAATGAATTTGTCCATCCAATGTACTGCATCCAATCTGTTTTCCATCTGGACGATACACAACGGTAAGGACATCATGATTGTGAGTAAACGTCTCCACAGCACCCTTTCCATAAATGTCCCAAAGTCGCACAGTTTTGTCCCATGAGGATGAAGTCAAAATGTTCTACAAGAAAAAAAAAGGCTTAATCATGAGAAACAGTTAGACAACAAAACGGAAAGCTCCAAAGTAAGATATTCAGAAATTCATGAAACAGAATATCACGGAAATCAAAGATCTTGCTGAACTTTGATAATTACTGATGCAATATCGTGAAGCTAATGACTTAAAAATTTCAAGTAGAAAAAATGTTGTTTATCACTACCTTGAACAGATACAGAACAAAGAAATCTAGTACTTTCAGGCCTATCACACCAGAAACGGTACGTTTAAAATTTCTAATACAATAAAAGGATCGTAGATTTTGTTCCTTAAGGCTACGATCTCGTTTCTCCTTCGGCTTCTACTACATCAAGTAGTACCAGAGCAAGGTTTTGAGTCTCAAACTCACCTATATGAAGACGCTTTGCACACATGAAGTAGGTAATTATGCTGGCAGAATCAATTTTTGAGGTAGTAGTTATTTTGAAAGCCAATTTTCTTGAGTTTGAAATTACTCTCAATAAAAATTTCAAGGCCATGCAGTAGATCATATAACTACTTCTAAATAAGATGACTCCTTTAGAACTCAAGTGCAATTCATATATAGCTGACAACCTCAGAGAAAATTGTCAAAGGTTTCCAAAATCTTTCTTACTTAGTCATAAGAACATAGATCTGAAGAGGCACCGGAGGACTTCTGAATGAAGACTGACCTACCCAATTCTTTAGGCCATTTTCGTGTTGAGAAGTTTCCAGGTCAGTAAACATTCCTTAATCATCCATGTACAACAGAGAAATTCCAAAGGTACTCCAGATATTTTGAAAGTCAAATTAGATTACTTATAGCTTTATCTAGGATAAAAATCACGAATGATGATACTTCTTCGAAAGTAAAGCATCTTGGATCAGAAATATGATGATGACGTTATATAGCATGGAATTCTGCGACCATCAAACATATGACACAAATATCAAAGAAGAACAAAACTAATCACAATACGACAGGCCGCAACACAATAACATTGTCACATTATTTAATATTGTGAGATTAACACTTTCTATATGACGATTTTAAAATGTGGAATCCGCTGCTGTACATCCGCTCAAACAAGAAAGAGAATATAAAGGTGAAACAAAATTTAGTAAGTACCCGCCAGTACGACATTATAATATAGAAAATATTTCAAAAACTTGAAAGTGTCCAAAAGTAAACAGGAAAGTGTTGGAAAAAGAAAAGACCACATTTAATAATGCGGCACAGAATGTGATTGAGTGATCACTAGCATATGGGCTTCATGTTTTTACAGTGTGCAAAAAACAAAAGTCATCTTACATTTGTAGAGTGTGCAACAAAGCAATCAAGCAAAAGTCATCTTACATTTGTAGGTGAGAACATTAACCCATGGACAGGTCCCTCATGACCGCTGAGAACATCCAGCAAACGGCCAGTCTTCATTGACCATAGAAAAATCTAGTATGTCCAAAATAAAAATATCATAAGAAGATTTGTCTTGAGTACTAAAATGACAAAACCCAGCAATAAATAAAGCACGTACCTCAAATGAATCCAAGGTCCCCGCGCAGACCACTTCACCACTCTGGTCAGATGCCAACGAAACAAACTGTCTAGACGATGGGGTAGTAAATGTTCTGAAGTTGCGATAACGAATCAAGTCCCAAGCACGAATAGTCCCATCTAGAGAAGCACTCAGAAGACTATCTTTACCAGCAACAAAATGGAGTGCGGTTACAGCATTAGTGTGCTCTGAAAACGTTATAAAGCAAGAACCAGAAGAAGGTATCCACACCTGCACAGATCAATTTCGAATTAAGTTTGGTAATCAGAAAAAATGGCATTGCACCTGAAACATTTTACAGTAAAGACAATCCACAAAGGAGTACGCTAAACTGATGCATCGTAAAATCTTCCCAAAAGCACAAAACAAAGAATTTACGCAAGGCCGTGAAATGATAAAAATAAAAATATAAAGGGACCAAAGTTCTAAAAGTAGATCATTGAAAATAGGAACAAGTAATCAGAAGAAAAAGAAAATAGTGCCAACCCAGTCGATGCTTATGTCAAGTTTTATTGATTTCTCAACATCAGAAGTGAAATTAGTAACCAGAAACGGAAGATAAGCCTGTTCAATTTCCATTCCACTTTCTTTATAGCACCGCTTGAAAAGTTGACAAGATGAACAACTCCACAAGATTGGTTCATGAATGATATTCAAGAGTAACATCGAATTCGCTATGGTAAAAAAAATAATAATAATGCCAATTTACCATAATTTTATTTATTCCCCTTCCCCTTAATTGTCTCATGCACAACTTTTACAACTAATAAATTCCCAACTGAAAGGAAAAATGGGAAAACGATAGGTCCCCATGGTTTAGTTTATAAATACAGAACTAACTTCACATTGTAATTTAATACAGGCACAGACATCAAGATGAAAATATGTAGAGACCACTTTCTACTAGATGTAAAAAGGCCATGCCAGACTTCATATATTATGCATCACATGTGATGTCTCTGGCATCTTCAATGAACAGAGGACACAGAGCCTAAACAACTCCATTAAAATCCTCCAACATTATTCCAAAAATAATTTAAAATCACGTGTCAGGGATATAACTTTCTGAAACGATGTCAAGTTCTACAATAGCCAGATAATTACGCTCCAAAGAACTAAATAGCTACAAAGTTTCCCTTGTGTGGACGAAGAACTACCTGTAAAATTACTTCATTGTGGCCCAATCTTTATGCAAACAAGGAAGACAACAGATTTTCCTATGTGAAATTAATTGCAGTACAGTTGAAAACCCTTCCCCCCCATTATAGTCCACAATTAGAAAAGGATTTGTCAATGTTTACCATCCTAAAAACACCAGAACGTTTACCTTTTTGCTCTTTGACAAATATGCGATCCATCCCACTTTCAAAACAAAACTTTATTTCTTTTCGTGAATATTTTATCGTCACTATTTTCAGAATAACTTAGGCGGATTTATCTTGGTCACTTCGTTTTGCTATTTTCTTCCTTTTATTTTCTGAACATTAACAAATTGTATCGTACATTGCCACCGTCTCTTTACTGAAGTCATGTGGCCAACACAATATTAAGCGATGATTCCTTGATATATAATCAATGTTTATATTGAAATATGTTTCTGCAGGAAGATCTGACTAGAGTAAAGATTAACAATTAAAGTATCAACACCTAGTGCATCAAGTGACAAAGGTCTGATGGAAAATTTAATGGTACCGACGAACAAACTATCAAATTAAAAGTAAAGAGCACCTACAGAAACATGAAACACGATCGACAGAAATGTAAAGAATCTCCCTCCATCCTTTCATGAATATGAAATAACGTCATAAATCTCTCTGAAATCTTCAATTAATCTACGCAAGTAATTCGTAACGGTAAACACTTACATCAGCATGACAGAAACCACAGATTTCCTAAAGAAGGTTGACTGCGTAAAGCTGAGACTCCCATAGTTATCAATTCCTCACGAAAAATTGTTCCTCGTGAAGGAAACTAGAAACAATATTTTTCCTCCTCTCTCCTGCTCATAGGCAGCATAGAAGTAATAGGTGCACGACATTTTCCCTCTATAAACACAAAGTAAGGGCTTCTTTTACAGAAGTAATACCTGCTTCCCCTCAACATCATGTACATTACACACGTCCCTATCTCAAGTGTCGAATTTTTTTCACAATCCCATGAAAACTGAATAACGCAAAAAATGTACTTTCATATGGCAAAGATAACTTTTTCATACAGAAACAACTCAAGGACTGCAGTCAAGACACAACTGAACAACATTGCTCTCATCTATCTATATAGAAGGAATATAGAATAGTAAAACGTGCAAATGGATGCGTTATCAAAATATTTAAGCATTAATGACAGCGTACAAAAGACGGGGCATGATGAGGCATGTTTTGCACCTTCACTTTGTTGTCATCTGCACCTGTAGCCAGTTTCTGGGAGTCAGGAGAGAATGCTATGCAATTTACATCAAAGTAATGCCCTTGTTGTTTCAAAATATATGTCTCAGACCTCCATTCCCACACAAGTAACTGCCCAAGCTTTGCACAACCAAATGTCAGCCAATTTCCAAGTTTATTGAATAAAGCAGTTGTTATCTTTTCCTTTGAAATAGAAAGTACATGGATACAAACAAAGTCTGGCATCTGATACAACCCGAAAACACCATTGGAGAACCCAACCACCACCATGTCCAAATCCCGATGGTAATCACAAGCCGTCAGTTTCGCAGGTGACTGCATAAAGAAATCTTTCTTCAACAACTCCCATTTCCCCAGAAGTGAAGCTTCTGACTCCCCTTCAAGCGAAAAAGTAACGCAGTCAATCTTCTTCCTTTTATGATCAACATTCCTATCCATATATGCCTGAGAACCTTCCTGCTCTGGAGTCCCAGGTGAAGGAGGATCCGAAATGTGCCTTTCAGAGTTAAGTAAATCATTATTCGCCTCTAATTTCCACGTAAATATTGCTCCGTCTCTAGAAATAGAGTATAGCCTGGAGACCGCGTTAGTTTTCCTCTCCACGCAGAAAAATACCCCAACCACTCTATCTCTATGTCCAAGGAATAACACGGGCTTGTTGCTTCCCTTTGATCTCTTTAACGAGAACAGCCTCACCGTCAGGTCCTTCGACCCGGCGAGAAGGTGAGACGAGTCCGGACTCCAATCTAATGCGGTCACGGCATCGTCACAGTCAGGGAAAGTGCGCTCCAACTGGAAAGGGAAAAACTCCTTCCGGAAACCGGGGGAACGCCATATCTGGAGGAGCTTGCCTACGCCGATGGCGATGTGGGCACCGTCTGGGCTAAATTTAAGGGCGGACACAGTTTTCTTGAAGGAGATACGATGTAGGACGACGCGGCGTCGGAGGTTGACGAAGAGAGCGCGCGAGGCGTCGTCGATTGTGAGAAGGAAATTACCGTCAGGGGAGACTGCGATCCTGGCAATGTTCGATGATGACTCAAAAGGAAACGTCAGGGTCTCCGACTTGAGAAGGTCTGTGGCCGAGACGCGGTTGCCGACGGGAGAGAGGAGGGAGTTTTCGGAGATGACGACATTCCCACCTCTGTACGGTGCACCCAGCAGGTTCTGGAAACGGAAGTTCATGCCGAGCGGCTGCACCCCCACCTTCCTACTCTTCTTCCTCCCAGATCTCCGGCGATGACGCTCTAGGGCAAGCAGCAAATCCTACCTGGCAAAGCCGAAACCTTAAACCCTAGTTATACACGGCGGGAACGGCAAACCCTTGCCGGTGAACGTTAGCGTATCGCTTCAAGAGGTAACCGGCGATCTTCTCTGGTTATTGGGCCAGTCGAGAACCCCAGGGCCTTGTTCTCTGGCGAGAGGAGGCGACCGGCCCGCATTATTTATTGGGTCCGCCCAATAACAAAATCAGCCAATCCCCACAAATACATACGACTCCTGGTGGAGCCCATATCCGACAGAGCCCATCCACTTGGTGCGGCCACGTGCGAGTCCACTATGGCAAATCCACTTTTCCCGAATTGGGCCACTGTATATGGGCCCAGTGTCATTCATGCCACCGGAGAGCCCAACAAGACAGGCCCACTTTTCATCCCCACTATGGGCGGCGGGGAATCCGCCGGCCTCAGATACCTTCCCGTTTGACCAACGGGACCGCCATCGGCACGAGTGAACTACACGTGGGAGACCTCTCTAGGAGGTCTATATATGCCTCCCATGGCGGGGGAGCTCGCAGTCACCACGCAGCTTGCACCACTAAACTGCTGACCGACTAGCCGGCGCCCCTCGGATTCTTCGAATCATGGCGCTGTCGCAAGTGTTTTCTGCCTCCCTTGCTCCCACCACCCGTTTCCCATTTCCAGCGGCGGATCCACTCGGCCTCGACGGGTGGCGCCGACGACTCCCTTCCCGCCGTCACACGTCGACGCCGACGCCCCCCCATGTCACCGCCGACCCGCAGGTCCTCGTATCGACGCCGCCGGCGCCCGATAGCGGCCTTAACGGCGAAGGGAAGCTCGCAGCCTGGACCAGCATACGGCAAGAGAGTTGGGAGGGCGATCTAATGGTCGAAGGCCAGATTCCTCCATGGCTGGTAAGCATCCCAAGAACCCATAGCTTCACTCACCAGTCGGTGTTTTTCCGCTGCGCCAGTCTCTCCGCCTCCCTTCCTCCGTATATCTATGTAGAGTTTGGGGTATTTATGGACGATATTGTAGAAGGGAACGTACCTGAGGAACGGGCCTGGCCTGTGGAACATCGAGGACCACGAGTTCCGGCACCTGTTCGACGGGTACGCCACCCTCGTCGGCGTCCACTTCGAGGGCGGAAGGCTGAAGGCGGGGCATCGCCAGATACAGTCGGAGGCGTACAAGGCGGCCGTGAAGAATAAGCGACTGTGCTACCGCGAGTTCTCCGAGACCCCGAGGGCCGAGAACCTGCTAGCATACGTCGGCGAGCTCGCTGGCCTGTTTTCCGGGTCGTCGCTGACGGACAACGCCAACACCGGCGTGGTCAAGCTGGGCGATGGACGGGTGATATGCCTGACGGAGACCATCAAGGGCACCATCCAGGTCGACCCCGAAACTCTGGAGACGATCGGGATGTTCGAGTACGAGGACGACCTTGGGTGGCTGATTCAGTCCGCCCACCCGATCGTGACCGACTCGGAGTATCTGACGCTGCTGCCGGACCTAGTGCGACCGGGCTACCAGGTCGTCCGCATGGAACCAGGAAGCAACGTGAGGAGGCTGATCGGCCGGGTGGATTGCCGGGGAGGACCGGCGCCTGGATGGGTCCACTCGTTCCCCGCCACCGAGAACTACGTCGTCGTGCCGGAGATGCCGCTGAGGTACTGCGCCCAGAACCTCCTCCGCGCCGAGCCCTCCCCCCTCTACAAGTTCGAGTGGCATCCCGAATCCGGCGCTTTCCTTCACGTCATGTGCAAAGCCAGTGGTAACATCGTGAGTCATCATAGACATGAACCCGCTCTCTCTCTCTCTCTCTCTCTCTCTCTCTCTCTCTCTCTCTCTCGCTAAACGGGAAGAGGCCACTGGTTTGATCATAAAATTTCACTGTGGCCCCTATTGATACCAGGTGACGAGCGTGGAGGTCCCGCTGTACGTGACCTTCCACTTCATCAACGCCTACGAGGAGCAGGACGGGGACGGCCGGGCGGTGGCGATCGTCGCTGACTGTTGCGAACACAACGCTGACACCGCCATCCTCGAGAATCTCAAACTGCAGAAACTCCGATCCTTCTCCCGTGTGGACTCCCTACCAGACGCAAGGTGAGCAAGAGGAGAGTACCCTCCCTTCCCTCCTGCAGCTCGCTCTCTCTCTCTCTCTCTTGCTATCTATCTATCTATCTATCTAACCTCCGCATGGCATCGATTGGCATTCAAAGGGTCGGGCGCTTCAGGATACCTTTAGACGGGACTCCCCGGGGAGTGCTGGAGACGGCACTGGACCCAGAGCACCATGGCCGGGGCATGGACATGTGCTCAATCAACCCCAAATACATGGGGAAGAAGTACAGATACGCATACGCGTGCGGGGCCAAGCGCCCCTGTAACTTCCCAAACACCCTCACCAAGGTGAGAGAGGAAGACTTCACTCTTTATAACGTCCAAATCTTATTAGCTGACCGTTATCTCCTTGTTCCTGCAGATTGATCTCGTGGAGAAGACGACGAGGACATGGCACGAGGAAGGCGCAGTGCCGTCTGAGCCCTTGTTCGTGGAGCGACCGGGCGCTGTCCGGGAGGACGACGGTGAGTCTCACAGCCGGCTTCGTCCATCTGCCGGAAATTTCAATCTGACCCATCCAGGCTACTCGTAACTCGCAGGCGCGGTAATATCCGTCATCAGCGGCATGGACGGCGGGGGGTATGTGTTACTGCTGGATGGCTCCACGTTTAAGGAGATCGCCAGAGGAAGGCTGCCATACGGTCTTCCATATGGCCTACACGGATGCTGGGTTCCCAGAATATGAGTGAGATCGGTTGACGTCACGACATGCACAGGTGGCTGAAAGATGTATACACGGTAATGCGGCGCCGGCGGTCCGATAAGTGGGGCGGCGGCTTGTCCCCGATACCCGGACAGAAAAGGAATGATGACCCAAAATGGGACCCAACTAGTAGTTTTTTATTGTAAGATATATATAGCTAATTTTCTCTGAAGTCCATAGTTGGCAAAAGTGTCGGTAGCCTGTAACATGCTTTTAGTTATCTACAAAGTAAGTGACCAAGGAATTAACCTGTTGAGCTCTTGTCACCTTTTTCAAAGCCGCGAACTCTCGGCTGTTTCGCTCCTGAGTTTGTTAATGTTAAAGGAGCTCTAGTTGACTTTTAATAGTATGGAGAAAAACACGTTATTTCCTGATATTTTTCTTTCTCTCCCTGTTCACCACTAATCAGCTATCTTCTCCACCACAATCTTCTGTGACAACCGTTAATTATAAGAGTATGATATTGTCTTGAAAATAATTTAGTTTAGAGACATCATATTCATGTATTTTCTAATTTTTTGATTTGCTATTTCCTTGGTCTTTTTCATCTTCAACAGTGTTTTTAGTCATTGTTGAATTGTTACTGAGATTAAAATAGTAGATAGGACATAGTCAAGTTCATTAGAGTTACATTCCAATTTTCCTTGATCAGTTGTATATGTTTTTCATTGATAAGCCATCATCAATCCACCTTCAAAGGTATAAGGTCTTATTCAAGTCAATCTTATGTTTGGTTATCATCAATAAGTCTATGATTAGACAACATAAGAATGGATTCAACGTTCATCTATATCTTTATAATTCTAAATAACTCTTTATTGGTCCTATTCCTATTGTCAATTAGGCCATGTGATGTAGATGGCTTCAACTTTAAATTTGAAACTTAGATGTTGATGAACAATTGTTTTCATAAAGACATGAAACGATCAACAAATCTTTGACTATATTTTTAGTATTTAATGAGTTTTATATTAATAATGTGCTCAACATATAAATATAACATAATTTTCCAAATGTCTAACTGCTCTATTCATTCTTTTTAAAATCGTCCAATGGTGGTCCATATAGATTTAAGATGACTATAAACTCATTAGAGTCAAATGAGGCACAAGGTTGTTGAAGATTGAAGTGGCTTTCCTATGGGTCGACTCTCATAGAAACTCTAAGGGAGAGAGCATGACATTCTTCATTTAGCTCTCTTTCTATGAGTGAAAGTCATTGTATTTATAACACGAGGTTAGGACAAACAACTAAGGAAAAAATATGCAACAACTCCAAGTTCAACTTAGTTTTAGAGAAAGCATCATGAGTATACTTTATACTAATTCACTGTAGATATATGAATATGTTAAGCTATTAGGCCAAATGTAGTGCCAAATGAATAAAAAGAATGGGCCAGCACATTAGATTATTGGGCTAAGTGCACTATAGGATATAGAGAGTAGTCCAACTACTTAGGATAACTTTGTAATTGTCATGGGCCATCCAATGTGTAAGAAAAAAAGAAAATTTAGGGAGGAGCTATTTTGAAACTTCATGAGGTTGGGGCACCTCAAAAGACCTTGTTCTCAATTAGGGTTTCATGTTTGAGGATCCTAACTCCTCATCTCTACCTCATTCCTACTTCTTGAGTCATGTTCTTACCCACTATTGGGTTGGTAATAGTTGGTGTTAGAGCCACAAATCTCACCCAAATCTTATGTCTTAGATTTATGAAACAATGGCACTGAAACTCAACAAAAATTATTCAAGAGTGATGGGAGAATGTGTCAATGAACTACAAGGGCACATTGATCAATTGGAACAAAACTTTTCAGGTATGTTCAACCAAATTATATGATAGATATTAGTTAAAAATTAAGATGATGACACTAAGAAAAAAGAATAATAGTGATGCTAGTAAGATAATCAACGAGTTGACGAGGACCCACAAAGCAAGTAAAAAGAGCCCCTACATACCACCATAAACCTAGTACAAGCAAACTCTTTGACTTGAGTACAAGAGATTGTTAGTAGAGAGACTCCACTTTATTACAAGAAGAATCTTAAAAATAGTTTATTTTAGACACAATCATACTTCATTATAAATATAGCATCAAAGTACAAGAAGATGTCAACATTAGTGATGAGTCTCAAGGGGATGCATTAATAAGGATTGACATGACCTTAAGACATAGTTATTGTAACAACTTGGGTTCAATAGCTCAAACAACTTTTATTGTAAGCTCCTTATGAAGACATTACTAAGTATAAGCACGAATTTTAAGTCTTATCTAAATTCATACCTAAAATTTCTGAAGACATTATGGAGAATACATTTGTCAAAAGACTAACTAATGATATGATTTTAAATTTGACCTTATTCAAACAATAAGTCTATGTGAAGTTATGAAAATGATGCAATGAGTGGAAGAATGATTGGAAATCCTATGAACAACATAAGACCTTAGGATCAACAAGACCTACAAAGCATAATCCTTGAGCCCACTCAAAAGGTTTAACAATAAGGGTGGTGAGAACTTACCCACCCTACCTCATCCATCAACAAGAGTATTTGTAGAAGAAAGTCTAAAAGATTATTTTTACTAAAACAAGTGACTAGAGCTAATTAATAAAAGAGCAATTCTTGCCTCTCTTAGCATAAGAATGATAAAAGTAAATTTATACTAAGAGAAAATTAAAGTTACAAATGCAAAGGAAAAAAAGTATTTATGTTTATTACAAAGAGAAGTATGTAGTAGGACATTATCATAAATAAGAACTACAAATCTTGTTGGTCTATAGTGATAACCATTCAAAAATGAGAAAGATGAAGGGCGCAAGGATGCTAAAGAAGCTCAAAAGGAGTTGATTGGTGAACCAAGCTTCAAAATAGATATCGCATTGAATTAAATAATTAGTCTAAAGATTATACAATAAAGATGAGGGAAAGAGTTGAAAACAAGGTTGTCACAGTTTTCATTGATTGTGGACTGACACATAATTTTGTGGTAAGAGAATTAATAGATCAATTACAACTACCTTTATCATCAACTAAGTATTTCTTAAAAGTCATAACAAATAGTACAATGACAAAAGAGAAAGACATTTGTAGGGACTTATATATGGAGATATAAGGGTTGGGATAGTACATGACTTCTTCACATCACAATTGAACAACATAATTTTAATTAGTGGGATGTGATGATTGCGATCTATTAAGTGTATAAAGGTGCATTTGAGATCCTAATATTTTTAAGACATGTGGGGTAATTCAAATCATTATTCAAGAGTTGAAAATTGAGAAAATCTTCATACCCAACCATTGCACATTACAATATTAGCAATAGCAGTATCATAGGGATAAGGCACTATCTCCCATCAACATATTTAAAAAGTGGAGCACTAGATGAGTTCTTGATATAATTTTTCTTAATATAACAACCATTCTAAAAAGAATTAGAGGTATTTAAGGGCTTAACATTTTTATCACCCTAATGTGATACCTTATCACATAGTGTGACCATATTGTACCTCTAAGTAGCTAGTGCATGAAATGAGTAGTATGGGTATCATTAGGCTGACAATGAACCCTTTTGTCAATTTAGTCATCTTTGTTAAAAAAAATGATAATTAATGATTTTGTGTGGATTATAAGCCATTAAATTAAGCAACAGTTTTAGACTAACTCTTATACCCACCACCAAGGATCTCTAGGATGAGTTACATAAAAAAATCATCTTTAAAAAATTAAATTTATGACCAAGATATTATTAGATAAGGTTGGCTAAACAAGGCATGTATAAAATGACATTTTACACCCACAAAGAATTAAAATTATTTCTAGAAAAGTTTGCTCTATTATTTTTTGGTGTTATATTCATCTATAACTATTGAGATGTTTTATCTTCTTTTGGAACTTGGAATTGCTGGAACATCAACTAGGATGGGATGGGATTTCTTTCTTGTTTTAAGGATGATAGCAAGACACATTTGATACATGAGACATGTACAATAATAGTTAGGGGATACTTCTTACAACTAATAAACTGAAGAGATGATAAAAGACATGTTAAGATGATAGAGTACCTCATATACTATAATGTTATACTAGATGATAGATGGCATGTTATGATAACCTTCCCTTGCAATCTAATGTCAATTGAAGAAAAAATTGGGTTTAATAAACTACTATCATAAATTTTTAGCCAACTTCATAACAATTGCTCAACCCTTAATGTGATTCTTGAAGAAAATTAATTTCAAGTGAGATAAAATAATAGAGTTATTCTTTAAGTGCCTCCAAGGGGCATTGCCTTCAGCTCTAGCCTTGGCTTAACTTGACTTTTCTTTACCATTTTAAATAGATGTAGATGTCTCTTGTTAGAGAATTAGAGCAATCCTAATGTAAAATGCGTGGCATGTCAGTTATTTTAATCAACATCTATAAAAAAACAAATTGAAGTCAACACAAGTGAAAACTAACAACAATTATGATGACGATTATTTGATGGAAGCACTACTTAACATGTTAGTAGCCTATTATCTAAACTAACCAAATTAGATTAAATTTTTTGTTGGAACAACATATGATTAACTTAAATTATTACAAGTGGTTTTCCAAAATCATCTCCTTTAATATTGAAATTCTATGTAAGATAGGGTCTAAAAAGAAACATGAAATGTCTTGTTGAGGATAGGACACACTTCAAAAGTCCACATGATGTTAATAATATATTCTTCCACATCGAACCTTTTGGTAATAAAAAGTGAGATTACATTGGACCCTGATTTGATGTGTTAAAAGGCTATATCCATCGTTTAATTTATTTTAATATTTTATTATAATTTTATTTACACAAAATCCTATGGGCATTCCTAAATCAATGATTTTTTTTTCTTATTTTCCTCTTCTCTTTTGACATGCTGCCCTTTTTAGAGTCAAGTCATGATTATGGACATCTCACCTCTTCATACTCTTTGTGTGGTCACCTCAAGTAGTAGAGGCTTTATCAATGCTTTCCCTTGTTGTTGCCTCCATAAGTTATGAAACCATCTCAACATTTTAACTAGTTGCAAGCTTATCTAGACAACACCTACCTTATTACTACTTTGACACATTGTTGATTCCATGGCCTTTTGACTCCTCATCTTGACTCATTTTTGACTTGTTCTCAACTTGTCCTTGTCCCATCCTTGAATTATCTTCTATGACCTTCCCTCATTCACCTTCAATATGAATAGTTAAGGGTCTTAACATATAGAAAATACACATTATTACATTATTCAATTTGTTGATGACAAATATTTTATAAAAATCATGTAGTCCTCTCATCACACTCGTTCCTACTAACAACACTCTTCAAGGAGTATTATGATAGTGTCATTAGTGGATGTGTGGGCTCCCTTTCTAATTATAAGATAATTTTACAACACTTATTTCTAGAAAGAGATGAAAAGATGAATCAAGTCTTATATCACCCCAATATCCAACTTGCTAACATTACATGGGATAAATCATCTTTTCAACTAGTTTACTTCTACCCATTCTGATTTCAAGATAAGTTTAAGAAGATCTATTGATCAATATCATCAATGAATTACTCACATCTAATAGAAAAAACAACATCATAGTGGTTATGAACCACTTATGAAAATAAAATCAGTTCATTATAACCAAATTCCTCTTCTCTATTTTGATAATTGTTATAACATTCATCAAGAAAATTATTTGGTTGTATGACACACTCTGGTCAATTATCTTAAACTATGACCCCTTCTTCCTAAGTCTCTTTTAAATATAATTACTGAATTTACAAGACACAAAGCTCAAGTACAACACATCCTTCTACCTTGAAATTGATGGATAAATAAAGATTGTCATAAAATGGCTATAAATGTATTTTTGATGTTATTTTTCTACAAGTCAAATGTGTAGAGCAAGTAGATCATAAGAGTAAAATTTATCTTAGAACAATTAATTCCTATGGTGAGTATCTCTCACTAGTCATTAGCCTCGAACATTAGTCTACCAAATTAATGACAATAAAATAACACAAATGTGACACAAATTTGGACTTGTTCAAGCACTATGTAATAAATATATAAGCAGACAAACATAGATGCATTGTGGAATTCTCTATCAATAATTAGGTCTATCTTTGGTTTCCACCTTATCAAATGTAGTCCTTGATGAGAAGACTCAATGAGAAACTCTCATTGCAATACTTTGGTCCTTATTAGATCATAAAGTAGATTTGATTAAGCAACCTATCTACACTACATTGTAAGTCACTATGCACCTCTAGTGTGAAGATAACTACACAACCTTAAGCCAATGTAAAACCTGGGCATTTGACACCCTCCCTTCCCAATGTGATTCTTATCTTACAGCCAAAGCTCCAACTTGAAAGTACTCATATTTGTCACTCTCTCCTAAGTTATGTACTAACTGTTTAGTATCAAAGTACTCACATGGGTTGACTTTTAAAGAACCTCCAAAAGGAAGAGAATGATATCATTCATTCGACTCTCTTTTTTCTACTAGTAAAAGCCACTCCATATTTATAATGCAGAGTTAAGACAACTACTTAAGAGATACAACATAATTAAAATTAATTTAAATTTACTATAGAAAAAATGACTTAGTGGAATTTTCATCAATTTATTACATATAAAAAATTATAAATATATTGTAAATTATGATTGTAATTATTCACACATCTAAACAAAAGGGTTTTAGTATTATTTAAGTGTGAAGAACCTTACAAGTGATTATAAATGTCACTCACCAACTAAAACAACAAGTAATACATAAACATGAGAGCAAGGGATCACCCAACAAATGTAAACAAGGAGGGAGGAGATGAGATAATAACATACTTTAACATAAGTGATGACTCACTTTGAACAACAAGAATAACTAAGTTGTGCCTAAGGACTCATCATTATTATGGGAAAGTCAACTAGGGGGAGACAAGTTTTATGAGCTAATCAACTCCTAGAGACTTGCAAGTGATATAAAATGGATGGGGACTTATTTGTAACCAAGTACATTATCAGAAGCTCAAGCAAATAATCATATTTATTAAAAATGTAAAATATAATTTTAAGATCACAAAATATGTCTTTAAGAAAATGTCAAATTACTCTCACTCATCAATAATGTCATATCTATTTTTTATTTGTAATTTTTTTAATTTTATGGTGAGTATCCTTCATATGACTTGGGTAATTAATTTTAATAATTTGATGTTCTTCAAGGCTTCAAATTTAAATGACAACATTTCAAACATTCCACAAATTGTGTTGGATTATTATTTTCCATATGTAATTTAAAAATCACAGCTATGTCTGTATGGAACAACTTGCAATCGATGCCAATATATATGATAATTAAACTTATTTATATTTATACTGGATTAATAAATGAAATAAAGACCCTTTTTTCTTCATGGGTGACGAGTCTTGGATGTGGTCTGGTAGCCGGCTCGCTCCAAAAAAGTAAATCGGTCTGGAGGTTGGATTGGTTCGGCGCTGGGCGCTTTCGTCCCCGGAGCCTGACCTGCTGCTAGGTGGTGGCGGAGATCGCCCCCAGATGCGGCGACGGACCACAGGAAAGGAACAACCGCGTAAGGGAGTTATGCTCTGATGGCTTCACCTGCGGTGAGGGCTCTTGGAACCCTGTTCCGCCACAGAGCTCCCCAGGGGTTCCCCTCCTCCTGCCCCGGCGCATTCTCTTCTCTGCGAAGTGAGTTTCGTTTCGTCATCTCTCTCGTTCCTCGCAATATTTCCGGTAGTAATCTGATGTCTCACTTTACCCATGGTTTATCTCTCTCTCCCTATCTCTCGCTAGGGTCTGGTCTCCTCGGGCAAAGCTTATCTTCTCCTGTTCCGCGTGGGATCTCCTCTTCGGCCGATAGAGTCAGATGGATATGGTCTTCCACACCTGTCTGTATGGGCAGGCGCTCCAGCAAGATTGCCACACGAAAGGTGAACCAATTTCCCTAGTCTCCATTCTAGTGCTTGCAAAAATCTTCTCCCGTTCCCGTTCATCAGATTGTCGACGACTTACATGGAGATGCGATCCTTTCTGTCCTCAATCTGTGTGTGTTTTCTCCCCGTCTCTATTTTCATTCGGAAGATGTCGAGGAAGACTGTGTGTGCCCTCCCTCTCCCCGCTACAACAATCAATGCCTGGTTAAGCCTTACGAGAACCAGAAGATGCTCCTCATAAGAAACCGCCAGTTCATAATACCTGCACGTTTCATCTAATGTAGAATTGCATGCTTTCCAATATTTATCATCTAACTCTGTTAAATTGCTCTCAATTAATCAAAAATCTGTTCGCCTTTTGTAAATCGACAATTTCTGTGAAAGAATTCCGTAGAATAACTTGTCCTATATGGCTCCAGCGGTCTCTGAAGTTTACCTTGCTCTTAGGGCGCACAAGATGCAAAGAAGGCAAAGCGCTATGGAAAAATCGGCAAAGAAATTGTCTCTGCGTAAGTCCATCCACTTCACATCTCCTGTCAGAATTCACTGAATTCAGGCCAAAGATTTAGTTACCCTAGAGAAACTGGCGAATATCATCTCCACCTTTCGCACCAAAGAATTCGGTTCAGTTCATAAGATAGTGGGAGCCCCAATTTGCTTCATCATAAATCTCATCACACAATCCAAAGCACCAAGATATCTTCTTTTTACATGGGTAATTTCTGCGGCATGTTGCTTTCTATTTTCTATGATCTTACAACGGTGGGCACAGTTGATACTTGGGAGTGGTCTGGATTACAGAAGTTATCTCTGTTTTTAGAATCAGACTTGTGCATCCTTCTGGGCAATGATAACCTTTCTAGTTTGGGGTCTTATTTCCTGCCCAGTGTGAAGAAGGGCGGTCCAAATCCGGTATCAAACACTGTCCTAGTCTCTGTACTGGAAAGAGCCAAAGAGCTCGATGTACCGAAGGAAATCGTGGAGCGTAACATCAAGAGAGCTTCGGAGAAGGGCCAAGAAGCGTACATTGAGAAGCTCTATGAGGTGGGCAATGTTCCTAGTACTCTCAGGAGTAGCGACCTCCCCCCTGCATTATTCGGTCAACCTGAAGTCTTCTCCTTCTTGGTGTTGTAAGTCAGGTGTACGGCTTTGGTGGCGTAGGCATGGTGGTTGAAGTGTTAACTGACAAGATAAACAGATCGGTGGCAGCAGTCAGAGAGGTCGTGAAAGACTGCGGTGGGAAGATGGCCGATCCAGGGTCCATCTTGTTCAAGTTTCGGCGTGCGAGGGTTGTGAACATCAAAGTCTCCGATGCCGATAAGGACGATCTTCTTGCTATTGCATTGGATGCAGGTGCTGAGGACGTTATTGAGCCCCCAGTTTATGAGGATGACTCTGATGAGGATAGTTTGGAAAGGTAATCATATTCCAAAAAAAAAAGACCATGGTTGATAGCGTCTTCTCTGATTGAATCATTAGCACATTGCAGGATACTCTTGTTTACTGGGTGATGATCTAAGCAGTGATGTGTAGCTTCTGCTTCCAAATGTTCAGCTTCGATAATTTGTTTCAAAGCTTGCCAGCAGATTTCCCTTTTTGATCATCTCCTATGCCTAGCATTGACTTTGATTCGCATCACGATTATATTGAAAATGAAAGATGCTCCACACGACTCCTGACTGTGAACGCTTTTTATCTTTTTCATTTTATTTTCAATGAGCTGATGGTATGTAGAAAGTTGTAAACCCCAGAGTGATCTTATTTCATGCGAAAATTTTCAGATATTATAAGGTTATTGGCTCATCTGAGAGCTACCCTGACATATTGTCAAAGCTGCGAGAAGAAGGAATAGCATTTGAACCAGACAATGGTTCTGAGCTGGTTCCCCTGATGATGATTGAGGTCTGCCATCTACTTCGTGCTTGTTCACTTCTAGGATACTTACCTCTTCTCAAATGACCGCCACTTGGTTCTTAGGGCCCATGAATACCGGAATTTTTTCCTAAATGTTTGTTCAGAAAAACACCAAATAGCTTGTTTGGTTAGAAATGCCTATGCGTTTGTTCTTATTCTGAGCTTCCAAAAGCGCCTGGGTCAATTTCGTTGCAGATTTGACGAATTTTTTTCTGGGTCGTTTGTTTTGACAGGTGGATGATGAAGCCATGGACTTAAACAAGGAGCTGATGTCCAAGCTACTTGATCTCGATGATGTTGATGCCGTTTACTCGGACCAGAAGTGAGATAGAGGTGATATTCGTATGATCTTGGCGTGTGGGGGATTTCCCCTCTGCTCATAAGATCAGTGGAAATATTCTGAATCCTAAATTGAGTTACTGTAGCCGAGGAATCCCATGCATATCAATTTTGATGGTGCTTTTTTTTCAAGTGTTACAATCAATTGGTGGATGCAGACATTCTTTTGCATAATGCCGGGGCAAGAACGGATTAAAAAAATTAAAATTGAGAGCCAGAAAAAGGAGATATTGACCTTCTCTTCCGTGATTGATGAAACGGTAGTTCGACCATTTGCTTTTCGGGGACAATGTGCTGTATGGAGTAATGAGAGATCGCATGGTTGCTGATTTTCGATGATTTTCATAGTTATGGATGACGCATGCTGTGTCTGTGATCCCAAGACTCCTCTGCTCCAGTTGCGAGACCCTGTGCCGGACATCTGATCAGAGAGGGACAGAGAGATTGAGGTTCTTCAATATTCTTGATGACGAGCTGGGAACTGAGATCACCAAGCCCAGATCTGTGACTTCGCTGCGCAATTGCGTCGAGTGCCGGATTCATGATCCTACTGCACCCGGAAGAGGGTTGCAACTTGTTCGTTGTACACGACGAGGACTCGAAACCCTGTTATATCTTAGTTCCCCTTCCTACTCTTCTGAGAAATCACTCTGAGGAGCCTGAGGTCGGATGTGGCGTCGTAAGATCCTTCTTCGCCAGCATCGTCCAGTCTCCATAATTCCGACTTCTCAGTGTCGAGAAGGGGATGGGTGCACCGGACGTTCAGATGCAGCGTCCGGAGGTGGGGGACTTGATACGGTCTCGAGGACGACTGAGGAAGTTCACCAGAGGTGACCTAATCAAGGAAATCGATCCTACGAGCTCCCTCCGTATTCTGCACCATTCTGAAATTGGGGAGACTAATTCCGATTCTTTCCCAACATCAAGAAAACTCCGCCTGAAGAACCAGCCAGATAGGCCTGAGAGGATCTTCTTTCTTAAACTCTAACTCCGACTCTCCCCACTTCCAGATTCGCCGGAGCGCCGATGCTCCCCCTTCGCCGGAAGAGAATTGCTCCAGGAAGCAGCGGAGCTGGAGACGTACTCAGCTCTCCGACGTCTACTCCCGCTCTTGAGAGGAGAATCTCCATCTCCATCTCCACCTCCACCTCCACCTCCACCTCCGTCGTCTTCTCCCGGCCGGCAGAGTAGAGTGGCGCGGGTGGGCCCCACAGAACCAAATGATCCTTGCTGGATTCCCAGTAAATGGGCCGCCATTGAGGGCCTATTAGGCCTATTGTTAAGCCCAGAATCGAGCCTCTGGATGAAACATGTCTGGATACTTTTTAATTGGTCTGGAAATGTCCTCTTGGACCGTCTCGTGGACTGTACGCCAAATTTTATAAATTGGTAGGTATAGAGGGGATTATGTTATCTGTGAAGAACTAATTTGTAAGTTGGTGCTACAAGAGGAGTTTCTTCTCAGAGAGAGACCCTGGAGCAGCGATCACCCTATCGGTTTCTTCTCTCCGCAGTAGGCGTCGCCCGCTTCGGCAACGGGCAGAAATCCATGCCTCCGTCCTTCTGAAGCTCGGATGGACTGCCTCAACCTGAGCTCCTCCTTCGCTACCGCTCCGTGGAGGCCAACTTCAACCAGAGTCCGTCTGTGCAGGCGGCGATATCTCTCCACATCGTTGGTCGCTTCTGGGTCGAGCGAACAATGGGGAGGAGAGGAGGGCGAGGGCGAGAGGAGAAGGAGAGATGAAAGCCTCATGCGCCTCCTCCAGGTGTCTGCGACTGTCACCGTCGTCTCAACCTCGTTGCCCCAGCCCCCCGCTCAAGCCAAGGTATCCGAGAGGAAGAGGGCCGGGAAGAGGGCCGAGAAAAAGGCTGAGGCCGCTCTATCTCCCGCAGAGCTTAAAGCATGGTCTCGCGCCCTCCCAATTGTCAGTGACAGAATCCCCTACACCGAGGTGCTGAATCTGAAGGAGGAAGGTAAGCTGAAGCACATCGTCAAGCTACCCGGCACCAGCTTAAGGCAGAGACCAGATGTTGTCCTCGTGGTGCTGGAGGATTCTAGGGTTCTCCGGACTGCGCTGCCAACTTCTGAAAGGGATGAAAAGTTCTGGGATGATTGGGACCGGCTGCAGCTGAGTTCCGTGTGCATTAATGCGTATACCCCTCCAATTAAAAAACCAGAGGTCCCCTCCCCATATTTGGGATTTCTCTCGAGGCTCACGCTGTTATTTGCACGCTTCCGAAAGACTAAGCCACAGTCAAAGCGTGTTCTCGAGATCGAAAAGGCCCGGAGGGAGCTTGCAGCAAGGAGGAAGGCCGAGTTGGCGAAGGTGAGGGATGAGAGGGAAGCGATGGAGAAGTCTCTTAGGACTCAGAAGAAAATTGAGGATAGAAAGAGGAGACTCGAGGAGAGGAAGGCCAAATTTGAACAGTCGCTCGTACGCGCTAGGAAGGATTACGAGTACATGGGGTTGGTGTGGGCCAATATGGCCAGAGACAGGAATATTGCCACTGTTTTTGCACTTGGGTTCTTCCCATTATTCTATTATTTTGTTGTCTATGGGTATAGGAAGCAGCAGAAGGACTTTGAGGACCGGAGGAAGATTGAGCAGGCGGAGGCCGAGGAGAGAAAAAAGATGAGGGAACTGGAAAGGGAAATGGCCGGTTTAGAAAGTGCTGGGGATGACGAGGTTGAGGATGAGGGTGATCAGCAGAATCCATATCTTAAGATGGCATCAAAGTTCATGCAATCAGGAGCTCGAGTTCGACGTGCACATGGTAAACGGTTGCCACAGTATATGGAAAGGGGCATTGACGTTAAGTTCACGGATGTTGCGGGCCTTGGGAAGATACGTCTTGAGCTTGAGGAGATAGTTAAATTCTTCACATTGGGAGAGATGTATCGTAGGCGTGGGGTCAAAATACCAGGTTTGTATCTTTATTAGCTACATTGTCAAAAAAGTGAAATTTTGATTCTTATGCTAACGATTTACAATTTATTTATTTTTAACTGTTATGTATTTGTAGCAAAGGCTTTTGCCTAATTGATTATAAGTATTATAGCTCTCAACTTTTATGGAATGACAGTAAAGTGATAATTTTTTCCTGCGTTGCTTATTGCCTTGTACACAGTTAAGTTATCTTCATGATCGGGCAATTATTTTTATCAGTACCAGGGAAGTGAAGACTCGAGATCTACTGGCAAGTGCCATATTGGAGCTTATGTTGATAACATGGAAAATTATGAGTTGAAATTCTGAAGATATAAGCTATTATGGAGTATGACATTCAGTAAGGTGGAAAATTGGGAGCCATGAAGTGGAATGGGCCCAAATCTCTGATTTAATTAGACTTTTGAAGGATGAAATATATCACCAATTAAGTGGTGGATGCATTTTCATATATTCCCCTGTATATGAAAGTACAACTTGTTTTCCACACACCGTTGTTCGTCATGAAAGTACAGTTTTTTTGAACCTTTGGTGTGGACTCTCGATTCTCAGATGAGGAAAACTTTTTTTAATCATTTATTATCATACTCCCCAGTTCTTCTTCAATTTTCAAATCTGAGGACCAGTCTTTTTGACATTTATACCTAGGATTCCTTCTCTTACCATTTTTCCATTTTCAGGTGGTATACTTCTTTGTGGACCCCCAGGAGTAGGCAAGACGCTACTAGCAAAAGCTGTTGCAGGAGAGGCTGGTGTAAATTTCTTCTCAATATCTGCTTCACAGTTTGTGGAAATATATGTTGGTGTTGGTGCTTCTCGTGTTCGTGCTCTTTACCAAGAAGCAAAAGAGAATGTAAGTTCTCAGGATTCTCCACTCTAATTTACTGACGTGTGAGGCTTCTTGCTTAAGTTATGTTGCATGCATTTTTATCAAAATTTTACCATGAGTTTCTTCACTAATATTTAGTCTCATGGTTATCAAGGTAGTAACTGATAGTGCTATAATCAGTCTACAAGGTTTCAGAATGGTCATGGTGGTCTGATCCAATTGATAGTTCTTCCCACATATTCTAATCGCTCATCATTCCCCATTTTCGTTTTCATCTTAATGCTGTTCCTGCTCTGTTTGGGGTCAGGCTAGAACTTTTTGTCGGAAAGTAGGCGGCTAATTCAGGAATTGGAAGGTCAGATACTGAGATATGACGAGGATTCAGTAATTCTGGGCTGGCTGTTCTCAGTTTGATTTCGATATTCCAATTGGCAGGTCATAACCTGGGAACAACAGTCTCCAGGCAGTAAATGGGCGTTTTCTATGGATTTCAGGATTCTTAGTTGACATTTGTTGGTTGGTGCTGACAGTGAAGTTTATCAAAGTAAAAATCGTATAGGCATGGGAAATAATTATAGATTTTTTTTTTGTGCGTTTCGTGCTTCTCTTGCTTCATTGGTTTGATGAATAAACTTTTTGGACAGGCTCCTTCTGTTGTTTTCATTGATGAATTGGATGCTGTTGGAAGGGAACGTGGTCTGATTAAAGGCTCTGGAGGACAAGAACGTGATGCTACGCTTAATCAGGTGAGGGATATTTAAATTTAACACGTATGTAGCTGCTTTGTCAATTTTTATTGTGGATTTATTTAGTATTGACATCCTCATTCCTTTTGATGTGTTGAAGCTCCTTGTTTGCTTAGACGGATTCGAAGGAAGAGGGAATGTGATCACCATTGCTGCTACGAACAGACCAGATATTCTTGATCCAGCACTTGTTAGACCTGGTCGGTTTGATAGAAAGATCTTTATTCCAAAACCAGGTCTCATAGGTCGCAAAGAGATTCTTGAGGTCGTATTTATTATTTTCCTTATTAGCTATCACAATTTTTATGGACAATTTTTTAATACGTCTTTTTCAAAATGCCTTTTGGGAATATCTTTCTTTCTCTTTTTTAGTTATTTTTCCCTTGCTTATCTTTCCAAATTTTGCAAATTGGTTGGCTACATTGTTGGGCTATTGATAACCTTGCCATAATAATTTTTTGGACAATGCAAGTACCTCTAAATAATTATTGAAAGTTACTATTACTGGGAATCTGCGTGTTTCTTTTTCTTTAAATCTTTACTTGGAGAGTTGAATAGTTTCTGGATTTGTTTAAACAAGAAATCTGACATGTAGCGAGAGTAAAGTTTACAATTTAGCTTTTTATAGCATTCTTCTTCTGTTATATTCAATTATTTCTAATAGTTACTTCATTCTTGTGACTAGTTCTCAGGTTTTTTTCTTGACAGGTCCATGCTCGGAAGAAACCAATGGCCAGTGATGTTGACTATGTGGCTGTGGCTAGCATGACAGAAGGAATGGTTGGTGCTGAATTAGCCAACATTGTTGAGGTTGCTGCAATTAATATGATCAGAGAATCAAGAACTGAGGTAGGATTTATTTCCTTCTTCATTCTTAATTTTGAATATTTCTTTGATATTTTTTAGGCCCTGCAGAGCTCGAATGTAAAGAAAATTCCATAGATGTCCAAAGCCACATGCAAACCCTTTTTTTTCACATTTTTGTGCTCTATTTCTGAATTTAGTTCTTTTAGTTGCATAAAATCATCATGTTGTGTGTATGTCGCTGCAGTTTCTTGAGAAAGCAATTAAGTGTGACATGACGCGTGCTTTGTCTTTAGTTATCTAATGACTAAAATGAGTCATAATTGCGTGGTCGCTGATTAATACCTTACTCCAGTCTCTCTATAAGTTTACATTGTAATTGTTTTAGAATTTTTGGTTTTTTTCCTCTAACTTTCCAAAATTTCCCTGTCTAGTGCAGATGTACTCCTGCTTAAATAAGCAGAGCATTGATCCTTCAGGATCTGTTTCTATTAGGGAAATATTATATGATGAGCTTGTAAAGCTGATACCAGCTGAAGAAATACCGATGAAATCTCCCTCTTTAGGTGTGACCCAGGTGTACTTTTGGAAAATAAGGCCTTTTCTTTTTTGAAAGTTCATGTTGATGGCACCAATATTAAGAGAAATAAGAAATAAAATAATTCGTTAGGTTCACAGAATAAACATTCTAGTCTATGTCGGAAAGGAGGAAGTGGCAGACATGTCACGTATGGTGTAAGAACCTCCCATCTTTATCTGGCAGCCTTGATGATTTGGAAGGTCCTAGGTTAGTGGGGCTATACTCTGATGAAAGTCGTTAGCTTCTCATTCTGCTTGTTCTTATAAAATGCGCTGAAAAGTTTTTTTTTAGAAGGAAAGATATTTGACGAATTCAGATAGAATGATTTATGTGGTCTACATTTTGTTTGATAATGAAACTTTCTTCTGCCTATTCAGATAACGACAGATGATTTATTGCAAGCTGCACAAATAGAAGAGAGAGGAATGCTGGACAAAAAGGAAAGAAGTCTTGATATGTGGAAACATTTAGCACTAAATGAAGCAGCCATGGCAGTTGTAGCTGCAAATTTTCCTGATTTGAACAACATTGAGTTTGTAAGTTCATTAATCTTATCTATACTAATAGATGCATATTAGTGCATAAATACAGTCGATTTTTCCTTTGTCCGATAGATCTAGGTCCATTTGGACCTAAAAATGTCCACAGGATATTGGCTAGTTTCTTAATCGTAGAAGATCACGTATAATGACAGAATTTGCAAAGCATGGCTTACATGATGCATGTCTTAGACTTGACAGTGAGGTTCAAGTTTCTAGCATGCTTTAGCTTTGATTAGTATGCGTATGGATTTACAAATATACAATATTTACCACCAACTTTAAACTCCATGCATACAATCCGAGACTGGTAAAACAATAGATTTTAACTTTCATTCTGTTTAAATCAACTATTCACTGAGAGAGGATATAAGAAGAGGCCTATTTTAATACGCTGAGGTCTCTATTATAAGGAAATGATTTTCTTGACTGACTTTTCATACAAATATATGTTCTTGTTGGCTGCCCTTCAACTCAATCAAGGTAGCTTTCCACCTCTTCTTTACTTTATATTTGCATCGCTGTCTCCCATATTAGAGTTGTAGTTTTCTTTTTTCTTGCATTTATTGTTCAGTTAGGCGCTGCTTCAGTCTGTGCTAAAGTTGACCGCCTTTGATCAATGTGGCTACCACCATGGAAATTTAATTTCTCTACCTATTTTCCTCAATTGGAAAGAACTAACCTCTACGCGGTTTTGCCTTGGAGCATTAAAACTTTAAGAAAAGTTGCTGCTTACGCTGGCTTTTTTTCAACAGGTCACAATAGCACCTCGTGCTGGCAGAGAATTGGGTTATGTACGAGTCAAGATGGATCATATGAAATTTTCGGAAGGCATGCTAAGGTGTAGTATTCCTGACCCACTTTCATTTTAATGTCTTAGTTCAAAAATGTCGAATGCTCAAGCATTCATGTTTTTGGAAATGACTTCTAAAGGAATGACATAGTGAAAAGTTATGAGGTTTCTTTCTTTTCTTCACAAGCATTAATAGACTGAATTGTTTTCATTTTGATCGTAACTCTTCAGCCGACAATCTTTACTGGATCATATTACTGTTCAGATTGCACCTCGTGCAGCCGAAGAAATGTGGTATGGACAAGAGCAGGTTAGACGACTTAATATTCAAATGGCATCTTCTTGGTTGGTTGTCTTTAGAGTTTCTGTGGATTCTCTCTGAGTTATTTTAATTTTTTGTCTGCCAATTGTCAAATCAGAAGAACAAATACAATCTAAAGTAGATGGAACCCAACCCAACTTAAATTAATTCAGTTTTAAATGAACCGATTTTTTAGCGTCCCCTTGAATGCAGAAGCATCTGAATTCAAATGACTTTTAATGCAGAGAAACGTATCCAGATACAACCGAATATATTAATCTTCATTTTTTTATTTTTGAAAGTGGAAAATACCACTCGATCGTTAATATGAGCAGCGAAAAAGGCCACCAAGGATGAAAGACACGAGGTTCTAAGAAAGAAACCCGTCAACCCCAAAATATTAGGGCCACCTCCTTCCTCTTGAAACAAAAATATCTTCCATTCATTCAACTTGTCAACAGCCCACAAACAAATACCTTATGGGCTGAGGTGCTTTCCTCTTCAAACGAAAGCTAGTTTCTCTCCATCCAAACAGCACAAAGGGTGGCGTAACAGAGTACGCCAGAAAGTAGGGGAAAATCAGAATCAGGCATTCTGAATCTTATTATCTTGTCTGTCAGGCTGAGTGGTTAGGATCTTGCAATGGGTTGTCTGTGCCATCAATGTCCAAGAAGAATGAAAGACAGTGAAAGATACTTTCATCATATTTTGTTAGTTTTTTCCTGAAACCATTTGCTCAATCATTGGTTCTATTGATGGAAAGAAAATTTCCGCTCATCGGTAAATGATGAAGGAGCGTCTAGGAAGTTGACAAACAACTTACTTCGAAGAGCATTGAAATAGTCTCCGTTCAGTGCTGAAAATCTGACTGCTTTTGGTGGTCATTCTTTGAAGAGCTGACTTTGAAAGATTCACTAATCTCCACAACAGATGTGCTGTGGGGTATGTTGATAGAACCAGAATCCTGCAGAGAGAAGGAATGCAATGCCGGTGTATTTAACTTTTTTCTATTTCGGAATAAACATGCGTGACTTTTGATGCTACGGTTGAATCAGTGTTGCTTGCAGAAATCTCTAAAGTTTGACCGCCAATTTGTCTGCTGCTTTTACATTTATTTCTTCCTACGTATGAAATTCGTCATTAGAATATTTTTTCTATTCTGATTTTGTTTGACTGATTGCATCAAGAATCGATAAACACAGAATTTGTTAATGGTTGACGTTTTACAGCTGAGCACAATATGGGCAGAGACAGCAGATAATGCGAGGTCAGCGGCACGGAGCTTTGTTCTCGGTGGCCTTTCTGAGAAACATTATGGTTTGTCAGACCACTGGGTTGCAGATCGGATTAATGTACAGTAAAGAAACTTACTTTTTTTGTATAGTCAAAGCTGTCATCCACTCTATCAACTCCTGTAATGGTAATGTTTTTCTTGACAGGATATTGATACAGAGGCATTACATGTCCTTAACAGCTGTTACCAGCGGTCAAAGGAGGTAGATTAGCCTATATAAAATCTATTTGCCATTAAAACTGTCAATTGACTTCTGGAAACTCATCAACTGTTCATGTGGCAGATCTTGGAGCGCAATCGGAAGCTCATGGATGCCGTGGTCGATCAGCTCGTCCAGAAGAAGAGCCTCACTAAACGGGAATTTTTCAATCTGGTTGGCGACTATGGAAACCTGGAACCTCTGCCACCCAGTATCGTGGACATCAGAAATGCCAAATACGCACAGTTTCAGGAACTGATGATGACTAAGAAGGAACCAACTCAAGGAGGCAGCTTATGATGGGCCAAGAAAGCTCTGCTTTCCCACATTCTCGCTTGATTACTTGGTTGATCACACATACGACCAGTTCTTCACTGCAAAAAAAAAGGCCCAGTAATCTTGAATGCGATATCCTTGCCAGATAAGAAAGAGCCAGTTCCAACACCTTCGCTGCAGGATGAACCCTATGAATCACATTCAAGAGATAATTTTGTATCAGATCCCCCATTCTTCTTTCAAGTCGAAAGGAGGGGGGGGGGTGGCGGCTCAGATGAGATAAAAGCAAAGGTTTGTTCTTCAATTGGATTATATATATATATATATATAAAACTTGATCTGAAGGTAATCATTTTTCCCAGGTAATGGGTTTCTCATGCGGAGACAACAGGCATTTCCTGTGAGGTTTCAGACTCTACATCGTCCTCTGACGGCCGAATATTGTTTAAAAAAAGGGAAAAAGAATTATCCTTGGAGACGGGCTTCTCTATGATCAATCTCTGTAATGTTTCCTGGACTTGATTATTGCAGAGGTTGTGACATTGCTATAAAGGTGCTGAGCTCTTTGATCATAACCAGCGAACTTGCTTAGATAGAGAGAGAGAGAGAGAGAGAGAGAGAGAGAGGGAGAATGTGGAATATATAATGGGGTTGGTCTCTGGAATGAGATCTTTCAATGCCTCCGGTGGTAGGCGATGGCAACATTTTTGTTGAATCATTCAAATGGTCGGACCAGAAGCTACAATAATCCTCCCTCACGTAAAACTGTCATCCAGCTCTTCGCCTTGAACAATCTCTTCTCTAGTCAGCGATAACCATGGGCGGCTCCTGTCTTCGCTCAAATCCCAAACATCAAGTCCATGATCTTCGAAACCACGGATTTGGCGGGGGACGCAATGGCCCCTCCAGCCGAGCGGGGGCCGTTCTCACCGCCGGCGGCAGCGGCAGCCGATGGCGGTGGATGAGCTGCTCCCTTCCTGGTTGGAGCCTGCGACGGCAACGAGACCATGAAGCCGATCTGGCTGCCGCCGTTTGGTTTCTCATTGAGGAACCCCCGCTGTGACGGGTCCACAGCCTTCACCCCGACTATGAGAACGCTGTTTATCTGGGTCCCGTTCTTCAGGAGGGCCTTCTGAGCGTCGTAACGATTCTGAGAACAGAGAGCAAAAGGAAATCAATCTCCAGCTCATTCATACGGCATTCTTAGCTCTCACAAAGAACTACTCACATGATAATCGATTTCTAGGTGATAATACCTGATAAAGAATATGCATCCAATTAGCATCTCCGGGGCCGGGGACGTGCCTCAGTATAGCTCCACATTTCTCAAACTCACGCAGTACCATGTTGGTATCGCAGGGAGAAAATCTGCCAAACGAGCAATTGGGTGGGCTTTAATGCATCGGAAATACAAAAAAAGAGTTTTTAAAATTAATTCTGAAATAAGCTGGTGAAAGGGAGAAAATAAGTGGAAGAAGAACGAATGTCAAATGTCTTGGACTCAGAGATACCAAGAGAGTGGCTTGAAGTCTGATTATTGCGACAATTAGAACAGAAAGATTTTAAAATTTTATGCTATGGTTCAAATTTGAAGTCGTCTGAGTCCATAGAATAGTGTAGAACAAACTGCATAATGACCTACCTATAGTTGCATTGGTTCCGAAACACACATTCAAGTAATTATTATTAGAACAGTAATTTCAGATCCTTATCCAAGGAACCGGTTTGCAGATGTAAACCTTCTCCTATCATAGATTGTAGTCTATGACCACTGGAATCATATCCCAGCACAAAATAAATTCTATGAGCGTAAACTAGAAAAAGTGGAAAAAAATTAAGTACCCAGATCATTAGCCATTACAAAGTTGAGTGCTGAGCAGAGGCAAAGAACTTGGATTAAATGCATGATGGGCAAAGAGAATTAAGGAAAAAACAAAAAAAAACCGACATGAGATTGACATCAGTTTCTAGTTTCTAGAGTACACGAACTGTTCACAAGGAAGATGGATGGGTTCATGCTTAACATATTGCCTAATATAAGAAGCCAAATAATCAGATAAACACATTCCGCGTATTTAGAATCCTAGATTCAGAAGCTAATTTTTACAAACTTCTGAGAGGATTGTTGAACTCTAATCCATTTATGAGCCCATCATTTGCATAGCTTGATTCTGTTCCCGGAAGTTTCTTTTTGCCAGAGTCACATTCCCCAGCTATTGTGAAATTAACTCACACAACTTAGGGAGGGCTCAGGAAGAAAAAAAAAAAAAAAAGACCTTGTTGCATATAAAATATTGCTTTCATATTTAAGAAATAAAGAGAAGGCTAGTTTTACGGCACCATACTTTGCCAATATTTTCTTGATGTCGAAATTAGTCTGAAGGATTGGAATTGAGGATATCATTGACTCACACTCAGAAGGTTCTCTCAATAAAAACGAACTGCGAGATACTTCGTTGTGAAGACCAATAATATGGAAAAAAAAGTGGGAGAACAGTAATAAAAGAAACCGCACCCAACCTAAAAGGAGAAAAGTACATAGAGAGCTCATCTGTAAAGCTTGGTTTCCGAAATAAACTCAGTTACTCTGCAAGTGAATGGTTCCAACGCTTCCACTGGAATGCAATGACTTGGGAGAAGCAAGTCTACACTTTCTTTTACTATGATGCTCAAGAACTTTGGGAGAGGGAGCGGTACCACAACGTTCCAGCACTCTTTCGAGCCCCTAATTTTATTTTTTTTCGTAACATAAGAATGGGCGCTTAGCTGAAAATGACTCATTGTCTTACTCTGTCAAGACGCTTTTATAATATGATCTTGAGATGCTTATCTGCTACTCGCATACATCTACTGGACTTCTCTCCCTCGGAATTACAGTCGAACCAGGACTCCACAACCCATGAATAGTAAAGGATGCTGATGACGCTTAACGTCTGAATCTAAAAAGAAAAAACCAAGAGCGATGGCTTCTGTTTAACGCAAAATAGCCAGAGTCTGGAATACTTACCCATATACGGTGACCCACTCCTCCTCATCGACACCACCAAGAGGAAGAGTATTTCTTTGCAACTCCGGCCTTGCTACCTCCCGTGGAGGTGGAAGCGTGATCAAAGCACCAGAGAGAATCACTCCGTCGACTGGAGAGCCCTTCCCTTTACTTTCTTGATCTCCACCACCACTCTTTACGGGTGACCACCAGGATGAGCTCGCAGGGTTTTGGGGCAGCCGCAGTTGCTGCTGCTTTTCTACCTGCGACTGAGGCGCCTCGGCAAAAGAAGGACTTGAAGGACTTGCCTCAGCTCTACTCCTCAAAAGAAAGGGAGACCCCAGAGGAGTCGGGGTCTTCGCGTCGGACTTGATCTCTGGCGACACGGGCCAGTCCCCGAGCCCACTGTCTGGAGAGAAGTCACTACGGTCGTCCAACGTGAAGGCGGGCGGCGGTGGAAGCTCCGACTCCCCGAAATTCTCCCTCCACAAGGCTGACACGGCCGCTGCTTGTCCAGGAGAAGCGAACTTCCCCCGGTGAGATGAGATGGGCGAAGCCAAATCGCGGTAGAACAGCGTCCGTCTCCCGGATTTGGCGCTCCTTTCCACCGTCCCGCTCATTTTCAAAATTTCTTCGACGAGAAGGAACGAAGAAAACCTCCGGAAGAAAGACGGACAGAATCACTCTCGAACGAGTAGAAAAGAGAACTGGACAACAACGGATTACGAGGGTCTGATCAATAACCCTGGTCGAGGGTCAACGAGAGGAGAAACCCTAGAGAAGAGAAAACTTCAGGACGAAAGGAGAGCGGGAGACAACAGCCTAGTCACCCCTCCACAGGAAGACCAAAAATAGTGAACGACGACAGCGATTAATGCTAGCTATAAAACCCTCATAGTCACTGCTCTAGTTCTGAGTTATCTTCTCTTACATATATGCCCCTACACTTGTCTCTCTGTCCATCCGAAGACCTCTTGTCTTCCTTCTCAGGAGATGCGAGCATGGAAGCGCGCCTGAGAAGCGCAGCGCAATCCGGCTGTTGGGTCATCGCACTGCCGATCTTTTGATTCTCCGCCAGGAGCTCCAAGACCAGAGAATGCCGGAGAGAAGACATGTGGGGAGTCAGGGTAGCCTCCAGAGCCTTGTTTCTTCCTGGAAACGGTGCAGGATCAAAGTTCCATTGGAAGCCGTGCATCTGTTCCAGCGCTTCGAAGCAGATCTTCAGGGATGAACTGGTTACGCTCATCGGTGATCCATCTATCCATGTTCATGCCGGCGGACTGGGAGATTCACTTGCTGCCCGCGACATGTTTGGCAGAATGGCTGATCAGCACGGGGCTCCCTGCGTCTCTACCTTGTACTTCCATGCGAAGAGGGGTGAGGATGCCCAAGCATTTATGCACCTTTCCCGGCTGAGGAGATGGGGCCTGAAGCCCAACGAGGTGATCCTCTCCGCTTTAGTGGGTATCTGCGGTCGGCCAAATAGAATTGACCACGGCATGGGCTTGCACTGCTTCATACTTAAGCAGGGATTTCAGGATCATCACTTCATCGCGAGCAGCCTGGTTGTCATGTATTCCAAGTGCGCCAGGGTTGACTCCGCTCGGCGGTTCTTTGAGGAGAGAGCAGTTTACGATTGTATCTCATGGAACTCCATGATTTCTGCCTACCTGCGCAATGGCATGAGCAAGGAAGCAATCGATCTCTTCTCAGACGCCGTAGGAAGAGTTTCTGATCGCCTGGCCTTGGTAAACAACTTTACATTATCCAGTGTTCTTAAGGCCTGTGCTCTTTCGGGATCCATCCGACCCGGCAGATCCGTACATGGCCTCGTGGTTAAGCTTGATTTCGAGTGGGATGTTGTCCTGGCAGGATCCTTGATGACTATGTATTCAAAGCATGGCTGTTTGGGAAGAGCTCGCCTGATATTCGAGAAGCTGGGGGAGCGAGATTTAGTAGCTTGGAATGCCATGATATCAGGGTATGTACAGTTTTCACATGATGAGGAGGCCATGAAACTGTTTCAGAGGATGCAGTTGGAAGGATTTCTCCCCAACGAGATCACACTCACCAGTGTCTTGAAAGCTTCTGCCGGGTTAGAAGACATTGACCTGGGCAAATGTTTGCACGCCTACGTGACCAAGCGTGGACATATATCTGACTCGTTCGCGGGAACCGCATTGGTTGACATGTATTCAAAGTGTTCAGAGATTAAAGATGCAGAGCACGCTTTCATGGTGGTGCGGGGGAGGAGTCTAGTGTCTTTCAATGCCCTTATATCTGGCTATTGCTTGATGGGGGATCACGAGAGAGCCATGCTGGCATACATTAACTTGCTAAAGCAAGCCATGAGACCAGACCCATTGACTCTCACCGGTCTTCTCTGCTCGTGCTCCTCCAAGGCTCTGGGAGAAGGATCTCAGGCTCATTGCCATGCGATAAAGCTTGGTTTCGACTCAGACATATCCCTGGGGAATTCTCTGGTCGGTTTTTATGCCAAGTGTGGCCTCACAGACTGTGCGGTCGAGGCCTTTGGGTCTGTAATCGAACCTAATTCTGTCGCCTGGGCCGGGATCATCTCCTGTCTTGTGAAGAATGATGAAGGAGAGAAGGCATTGCAGTATTTTAAAACCATGCACATGTTTTGGGAAAGGGCTGATGAATTCTCTACATCAGCTGTTATCAAGGTCTTGGCTGATTGGGCGGCTGCTGAACAGGGCAAGCATCTTCATACCTTGGTGATAAAAATGGGGCTGGAATCTGCTGTCTTTGTGGCCACTGGCCTCGTCGATATGTACTGCAAGTGCGGGATGGTGGAAGATTCATTCAAAGTGTTCGTCAGCATGTCTCTGAGGAACGATGTCGCATGGAATGTTATGATAACCGGCTTGGGCCACAATGGGCGCTGCACTAAGTCACTGGAACTGTTCCATGAGATGGTGGATATTGGTGTCACGCCCAATGCTGTGACCTTCATCGGAGTTCTAGCGGCTTGCAACCACGCTGGTTTGGTCGACGAAGGGAGATCCTACTTCGATTTGATGGGTTCCCGGTTTGGGATTTCTCCCTCGATCGAACACTACACCTGCATGGTCAGTCTTCTCGCCCGAACTGGGCGCTTCCACGAGGCAGAGCTTCTCATGAACGCTTGCTCTTCCCTGCCGGATCCCGTGATGTGGAGGTCATTTCTTGCTTCTTGCCGGGTTCGCCGTAGTGAAGAGCGACCTTCGAGGGCTTCGAAGGAGCGCTTACTCTCTGCGCCTGATGTTTGTTCCAGCAGCTACGTGCTTTTGTCTAATTTATTTGCCGAGGAAGGATTATGGCCTGAGGTGGCCGAGATCAGGAGCTCAATGAGAGAGCTGGGGATGAGCAAAGAGCCGGGTTGTAGTTGGATTGCAGTTAGAAATGAGACCCATGTTTTCACTGCCGAGCAGAAGTCAGGGTTCCCCGATCATATGAGGGCGACGCTGTTCTTGGTTCATTCGGAAATGAGGGCTGGAGGATAGCAATGACAGATATTGCGGTGCCGGTGAATGGCTCAGAAGGTGATTCAGGCTCCGGCGACCCACTGAGCTTTGGAGGCGTCGCCGTCATACTTTCCCGACCACAAGGTTGTGGAAAGCGTCACGCGCAGACACGGGATCTCTCTCATGAAAGGGCTTCCATGGCTTGTGGCTCTCCTCCCACCCCCGTTGTCCGTAGCCTGTGAGACCCAGTTGCTCGTTCGAGCCTTCTTGGTTTGTTTGAAGTGAAGAGGAGAAGGCATCTGGGGGTGGGGTCGATGGAGAAGAAGGGGATCGGTTGCGCCATTGAAGCAGAACCGAAGACTCTCATGGGAGGGGAGCTCGTCAGCGCCAGGGTATGGCTCGTGGCTTCCTTCGTCTCCTCCTCCCTCTCCTTTCAAAACCGTCGCGTAGCTGCGATAGTCATCGCCCTCATGGTGTGAGTGGGGGATTTTTTCAGGAGGCAGCGAAGGTCATCATAGAAAGCAAGGGAGCAGAGGAGGCTTCCGCCATATTTACTGCTGTAAGTTCACAGTGCTCCCTATGCCATCGCTGCTTCATCGTTACCTTTCTGCCTTCGACCGCTTTCCTGATTTTTCTGTGATAATTATGCGAACCAGAGCGACTTCAGAAGACCATCTGCTGACTTTGTTTTGCAGGGTCTCAGATCTGTTGTTTCAATTGAAACCGTGGAAAAGAAGATTCAAAGAAGAAACCGACTTCACGATCTTACTGGGATTTGCTGGTCACCCACACCTGCCGTAAGCAGCAGATCGCGGCCTCTTCCCGGGAATCCTCTTCTGTTTCAGGAGTATCCCCCTGATCACACGCAGATTACCGGGCCTTCTTCAGCTCCATTCTGAGAAGTCAAAAGCCAGGGGTCAACTCTGCCTAGTAGCTTCCTTCATCAACCAACCCACCCCTGCCTTCACCTATTTCTTGTGCTTTTATTCTCGGTGGGCAGGTCAAAGCAAGTGGGGCCCGAGCTTTCGCAACTGCTCCTGTTCTTCCGTGGGCAGAGGTTGACCTTCCTCGTGATCCTCTCTCTCCCTTTCCAACTAGCTCTCGCCCACGCCTTGAAGGAGATCCTTGAAAATCCGAAGATCAATGCGATGATCCTGAATCTCGTGGAAGATTAAAAAATGATGATGAGCTTGTGCCCGTGATGCAATAATGTCGAGAAAATTGGTATCATATTGTACAAGGTGCAATAAAAAATATATTTTAATGTGAGATGGTCTCTCCGTTCGAAGTGGTGCAACTCCGCTTCTCTTCGGGGGTCGATGGCCAGCATGGCGGCGAGCAGGAAGGAACTGCTCGAGCATTAATGGAGTGATGAGGTGAGGCATCGACTTCGTACGGATAAGATGGGGAACGGTGTTTGACAATTCAGGCGAGGAGAGGGAGGCAAACGGAGTTCTCAGAGATCTGTGGGGTCCTACGGCCGCAGGAAACTTCGGGGGACAACTCTCGTCGTCTCACCATCTCGGATGCTCAGGTTGGCAGCTTTGGACCGCCCGCCGAAGAACCAATCTCTCTCTCTTCTCCCCACCCTCCACCCCCTCGCTGTTCCTCTTGAGAGTTGCGATGGAGCAGCAGGGACGGCCCAGCGAGACCTTCGTTGTGGAGGACTTGCTAGACTTCTCCCTTGAGGACTGTGGCTGCGAGGAGGCGCCAGTGAGCTCGGCGGAGGACTCCGCCATCATCTCCCTCGGTGGGAGCTTCAACTCCCCCCATGGCGGCGAAACTTACTTCTCTGAGGAACTCGCCTGCAGTCGCTTCGCGGATGCCGGCCTCTCCGGAGAAGACTTATGCCCGCCGGTTTGTTTCTCCTCCTGGATTTCAGACACCACGGATTTCATCAGAGATTTCTCCTTTTCCCGGAGAGGTTGATCTCAAAGATTATACGTTTTTGGCGGGCTTCTGAATTGGATTCCTTGTTCGATCGACAGTGCGACGAGCTCGCAGAGTTGGAGTGGCTGTCAAATTTCGTTGAGGAATCCTTCCACACCGATGACCTGCAGAGGCTCCAGCTGACATCCCCATTCAACCCGTCATCCTCGTCCTCGGGGCAATCAGGTGTCGCCGCAGTCTTCTACAACTTCCGCGTGCCGGGAAAAGCGAGGACCAAGCGCCGCCGCCTTCCGCCGCTGTCCAGCTGGTCCTCCTACCGCCCGGTCATTTCCCCGAATGCTTCTTCCTCATCGCCGCCCTATGAGACCAGCTCGCCGGCCAGCTCTAGTTCCACGGCGAGAAAGGCGCCGACGGCGAAGAGGAAGATGGAGCAGTACGTGCCGGAGGGGCAGAAGTGCCTCCATTGCGCCGCCACCAAGACCCCACAATGGCGGGCGGGACCCATGGGCCCGAAGACGCTATGCAACGCCTGCGGCGTGAGGTACAAGTCTGGGAAGCTCGCGCCGGAGTACCGGCCGGTGGCGAGCCCCACTTTCCTACCGTCGCAGCATTCTAATTCCCACCGGAAGGTTTTGGAGCTGCGCCAGCGGAAGGGGTTGACGGCCGCCAGTCTCTCGCCGGAATTCTGACGGCAGGATTTAAGTGGGCGAGGTGTAACCGAGAATGTTTCTTCTGAATCCGCGGTTTTCTGCTCTCACACATCCGTGTATGGCTCCGTCAACGTCCACACCGGCGAGGATCGACGACCTTCCTTCCGTCTCCTCCTCCCCTTCCCCCACGCCCACGGGCCCTCGCCATTACTATCCAATATGGAGATAGTTGACGTGCACAGTTGTACAACACAAAGCGAGAGAGTTGCCGTCTCTAGGTGGATACGAGACCAATATACCCGTCGATCTTCTACATAAACTAATTCGAGCAGTCGCATCTAGTTAATGGGCATTTAATACTCGATTCAAAGCTCTGTTATTGGATATTATAATGAATTAGATAATTATAAATAAGGGGAAAAAATAAAGGTCGCTTCTGTAACTCTATCCACGACGACTTCCCTGTTCATCCACTGACAAAGCAAAAAGCCTTCCTTTTATGAATTCATTGAAAACAACTGGACCGCTCTGCCAGGACAGTATCGTGCACTTCCCACTAGAATCATCTTTAGTACGCTGGAACAAGGATCGAGCCTTGATGTCCAATAATATTCAAATAATATATATATTATATTATTTTATTTTATTTTATTTTATTTTGGTTCAACCCCTCGAACACTTGGAACTTTGCAGAGCACCATCTAGGGACCGTATTTAGAAATAATCCCACTGGTCTAAAGGTCTATCAGAACTTAGCGCGGATGGAAACTGATGCTCTTACACGACGTGAAGGACGATCGATAACTCCGCAGCCTGGGTGGCAGCCATCCTCACAGCATACAATCACGTATCAGCCTTGGAGGAAATCCTTAAAAGGGTACAAAAAGTATAATGGTTTCAGTAAGAGTAACTGGCAAGGTCTGAAATAATGGAAGACATCCAGTGAATTATCCTGAAGACCGTTAAGATCACTGGTTCAGCAAGAAAATGCCGTTATCTAATCGAAGGAGATTGAAGTGCTCAGTCATCTGTCGGGCTCCAAATTCGAAGCTATCATCCTCTTCTTCGTCATCGCCTAGAGAGCGCGACTGCTTTTTCCGGATGCTTGCCACGTCCCAACTGCACTAATTACATGGCTCCATGGGCAGAGATGCTTTTTGGTCATTCATCTCTCTCTCTCTCTCTCTCTGCCCTTCCCTCCTAAATATGACTCTTTCTTCCTCTCTCATGTCGTATTAAGACTAAGTGACGTCAAAACCAGACATGCCCGGCTCTAATTCGCCGGATTAAAGACTTTTTTCTGGAGCTGACATGGAAGAGCTTGCGACAACGCGTCCTTCTCTGCGGAATGTCTCCGATGATAATAATTGTTGGATTGTTTTAGCTGTTCCAAACTGAGGAACGTTCCGATTCCGATGGGCGTAGTCCCTGAGAATCGAATCTCCGACAGTACGAGAATCACGCAACCCGTCCCCCCCATGGAGTCCAGTAGAGTTACCTGTACTCGTTTTTGACTAATCTTTGAATCCCGAGTGCTGGTATCCCATAAAAGACTAATTATAGAAGAGAATGCGCTTATACAGGAGACCAGAGTTGCGAAGGTGATCGGGTATCTGGTAGGAACCTAAGTTCCGTTGACCCTCCTCGTACCTCCCTTGGTCAAGAAGGGAGGTTATCTCCTTAGATATTCACGATTATCGTGATACTGGAAGAGATATAGTAGATTCCAAGAAGAAGAGGATAGGACAGTCGGTATCGGAGAGTGAAGGAAGGGATGGAAACGTAGTGGAAATAAAATAATGATAGCACAGTAACTCAACAGTAACCCGCCGACGACTCGTGACGACACTTACTACTCCTCGCTCGAGGGACATTTCCGGGTGAGGGGAAAGACAACGAAGAACCATGATAACTCGCGGAACTCCCTGATTCAACAAGACTTGTTAATACCGACGAGGAAGAGGATGAGACAGAGACTATAGGACGAGAAGAGAGCGAGGGAGCGAGAGAGAGAGAGAGGGAGAGAGATAGAGACAGGCCACTGACAATCTCCCGTGAAGCACTCAGCGGCTTCCGACTCCAGATAGTTGACCTCCCCTGTTGCCTCCTTCCCGTTCTCTTGTTATTAGAAGCGATGATATGAAACGGTTACCCACGCTCCGTCGTAACGTGTCCCACGTTCCCCGGAGCAAACGCCTGAGTTGCAGGAGGTGGAACGATTCGTTCATTACGTGGTTTTGACCGTTTCTTCCGTGGCACGTGGAGGACATCCAAGGGTCTACCAGTATCCTTCTGTTGAGCATATTCGATGAGAGATCCAGCACGGCCAGGATGTCGCCAGACCTTAGGTCAGAAGAGATACCACCGAGAAACTGGTTCACCCAAAGCTGTAGCACTCGAAGCAGAGAAAGTGGGATGACAGACGCCGGCATATTCGTTTCTGGCAATTGGAAAAGAAATGGAGGATTTCTCCGGAGAGTTTGTTGTCGCTGAGATCTAGATATGTTGAGGTGTTCCATCCCGTGGAAAGCAGATCCCAAGTGGAGCCTCTCATGAGAGATTTTTATGCAGAACATCAATACCCAGTACATTGATGATTATGATTCTTACGAGCTCCGGACGGATCCCTCCGACGAACTCGTTGCTGCTCAGCGTTAGGGGCCGGACCCTCTGCAGCTCGGAGATTTCGACTACATGGGTCCCCCAATCCTGCTCATTCCTGGCAAGTAATAGTTTAGCCTACATCAGACTTACTCAGAAGCTCACTCTTATGCTCAAGAAAAATGGACACGGGTTTTGGATCTGGCACAACTCTTATGCTCCTTGAATATGGAAGACTGCGAAAGACGGAAACTGAAGAAATCAGAGCTTCGTCCATATACTCCCCCTCCAGCTGCTGACGTTTCCAGCCGCAAAGGCTGTTGTTGGTGCAGCTGCTTCTCCAGTCAAACAGGGCCTTCTTCCAAACCAACCTGAAATAGAAGGAACAACTGAGCCGCCTTAGCATTGAACTGTGTTGCCCTACCACTACCGGCCGCCAACCGGTCAGGTCATATCACTGTTGTTGTCTTCACCAAGGTGAGGAAATGGAGAGATGTAGAGTGGTAAAGTGGTAATTCAGACTGGTACAGGTTATATAGTTCGAAGTTGTTGGTTTTTAAAACTCAAAACTCAAGTGGAAACTAGTGTGCACCTTTACGACAGAAAATTGCTTTTAATATTATCTTATACATGACATTTCTTGATAGAATAGGTTATATGAAAGTCAACTTTTGGGAAATGGTCAATGTACAGGATGTATAAATAACTCAGAATAATCATCAGATTTGGTATTATAGCAAACCAGCGGGCAATAAAGACCGGTTTCTGCAACCCGGAGTACTTTCTAATATTACGCAGAATGTGACTATTCTTAATGCACTACTTCACATGAAAACCAACTATCTAGAGTTTTCAAGTGGAAGATATAAGTAATGCAAGTGCAATTCGACAGAGACCGTCGTTTCTGCTACCAGGTTAGAGTGATTACTCTCCGGCTCAAAACTAATTAGCAAAATGAAAACCATACTGATTTTTGAATAATCGATTTAACGTTATTATTAGTTACCAATTTTATCTTCTCCTAGTATTAGCCACTCCTCTTTATATGCCTCCCTCTCCTTGAAATTCGCGTTGCATCTCATATTTGCGATGTTGGATGTTGCATCCCATGCCAAGTGTAGATTCCGCTGAAGGAAGGTTGGGCTATACATTGAGGAAAGGAGTCTTAGATGGAGAAGTGCCGGTTTGAGGAGGAAAACTTGATTCCGCCTGTAACGTACCTCCCGGCCTCCGTGAGAAGATGGATCCCTTTGCAGATCTGAGTGCATTGGGGGAGGAGGGGTAGTATGTAACCCGTGCGCGCTGGCTGAGGTAAGCCAGCCATGGGAGCTTGGACGAATTTAATTCCCAATGGGTGCGAAGTATCCCCAGATTTCAGAGAGCTCCATTGGTTGCTCCCGGGTTTCCCCCCCGTTTCACACGGGTTTGAGATTATTAGGAAGATCTTTTCATATCTTCAATGCTGTCTCCCTCAAGGAGGTTCTTTCAATGGCGTAGGATGAGAAAATAACGACAGAAAGGAAAAGCAAAGCGGTTAACGACTGTAGAAAGGGTTCTTATCGTAGCAGAGAATGTTACACTGCATGCTCCGTAAGATATTTGTCAAGCCTGACAAAATACCGAGTTCAGCATCCAAAGACTGAACTTTACACCATGCGAGATGCTCTCTTTGTGTCTAAACAATGGGAATTGATGAAGTGTGGTGCCCTCAGCACACTTCATGATGTTATCCCAGATAACTTAGCTCAACCGACACATGAATGTGTCGTTTTCCTCATTTCATAGAAATGCCCGGCAGCCGTTTCCCCTCGTCCTCAACGTGCGAGAAGAAATGCAGATGTGAGTAAATGGAAGCAGCAATGGAGTTTTTCTCAATGTTTCTTTCTGGGCAATGAGCTTTTCCTCAATCTAATAGTCGCGTGGTTCACGATACATGTTGCGGCCACAGGGGCCTTCCTGGAGGGGAAGGAAGGTCATCGTCCCCTTCATCTTTCACACTCCCGGGGAATAGCTCACGAGAAGGCTCATTACATTCATCAAAAGGCTACGCCCATAGGGTAGGCACGAGTTTGGATGGTCCCTTCTTTGTAGACTAGCTACACTCGGGCTTCCTCCTTTCTCCCCCTCCACACGGATGCCTCGCGTTACTGCTCTCCTCTTCGAGTCGTTCCCTCTCCCTCTCCGGGAAGTCGCAACCTTTGTTCCTGGCGCCGCAAAGTATCTACAATGGTATTACTTTTACCGGCCAAAAGAGTTCTTTCGCCTGATCTCATAAAAGAGCGGATGATATCCTGAGTTTGGAGATTGATGCCCATCTTATGTGCTCTTAGTCTAAATTTTGTCCGAGTCCGCACATCTCCCAGTGTCCATTGCCAACAGTCGCCGAAACTCTGTGTTCGCCACGCGCAAAGCTCGACAGCTGGATCGGTTAGTTATTAATAATGGAAGATGCGTGTCATGGATACGAAGAAGTAGCCTGGGGGCGAGATGTCGGCATGGTAGAAGTATACCAATTATTTACTACTTAGACATGATTACTGAATGGAGACGGGATAAAAGAATCGAGCCATCGAACTCGAGATCGATTGATCGTGAGTGCAGTAGACTCATATACCTTAAACTATAGAGAAACCCCATTCAATAAGAGAGTATACGGGCATATCTATCAGAAATATTGATTTCTCGACGGTCTGTAGAGAATTGGACTATCTAGAAGCTCGTTACAGCTATAGGATTTAACTTCTACATCCTACGTGGTATTTGATCGAAGCACCTGGCGCCTTTCTTCCCTGTTCATTCATACGCAAAGCTGGAGAACAAAGGACACCGTCGGCCGCTATCTCTCCGTGAAAGCTCACGAGCGGAGATCGAAACTGCGTGGGATCCTCATGACGTTTACAACCTTCAGATCCTCTCGAACGTCGTGGGTAATTCGCATAATGTTGCCGGGGATCTGACTGAATCCATGCACCGCTTCAGCGATCCTCCCAACTTCATCCCCCGCGGCAACGTCGTCAATTTGGACATTTAATGCCGGGGCGAAGCTCCCAAGCCACACAGAGATCTTTCCGTGCTGCTTGAAAAGTCTCTGACAGGAACAGCGGAAAGCCCCGGCCGATCCTTCTCGCCACCTTATCCCGCTTTTGTTATACGAGACTAGGTTCCTTCCCCTTGGAGCTACTCCAACACTTGGAACGGGCTGTGGCCCGCCGACGCCGTCTATAAATACGGAAGACAGCTCCCATCCCCCGCGCTTTTCAGCTAAGCAAACGAGGGAGGAAGAGATTCGATGGCTACTCAGGTCCCAGCGAACTCTCACCTGCCCCTCAAAAGAGGCAATGAAGACGAGAGCCTGCCTCCTCTCAAGGTAGAGGCTCGCTTCCATTTTTATCGTTACAGGTGTTTCTGTGTTGCATCCATTTTCCGCTGGTGCTCATACTCCTTCTCGCATTGTTTCCAGATTGATCGGTCACTAAGAAGAGTCGTCTCAGAAATCTCCCCGGAAACCGATGACATAATGGTGGAGATCGAAGAGGAGATGATCGAGTGCGAGTGCTGCGGAATGTCCGAAGAGTGCACCCCCAAGTACATCAGCCGTGTTAAGGCATTCTTCTGCGGGAAATGGGTCTGCGGCCTCTGCTCCGAGGCGGTGAAAGAGCAAGTAAGGAAGAACCCCGCGGCCTCTCTGCAGGAGGCGCTGGAGTCCCACATGGCTCTCTGCATGAAGTTCCACAGGACAATTAGAGCCAACCCCAAGCTCTCCTTTGCTAGTTCCATGAGGGACATCGCCAAGAGGAGCTCGCAGAGAAGGACGTCGAACAGCTTCTTTGGGGTAAAGATGGGAAGAATCGCAAGCTGCGGCGCTCGGTTTAATCTCGAGGTCGACAGTTCCCCGATTCAGTGAAACTTTCGCTTCCTGTTGGGGTGCGTATGAACTTCAGACTAAGGACTGTCATGTATGGAAATTTGTGGGCGATGTTAAGCAGTTCATGAACACGGCACTAAGTGCCCGATACTAAGTGAATCCTGCTGTGCGAGCGGGAATTATATAAAGATGAAGAATGTTGACCACGATGATTCGGTTGATTTTGCGTATTCATGCTTTTATTTCTTGAGTGTAAGAAGAACTCACTAAATGTACATAATCACTACATACGATTGATAATGAATGGACGAAAGGGGTACTTTCTTCTAGTAAAGCCAACGTAATTGTTTCTTGTGGTTATTTGGTCTTAACTCCTTTATATTGAACAAAATTATTTGTCAAAATCCTGTATTTTTTTTCCATTAAATTTTGTCCTAAAATTATCACTCTTTTTTCATAGTAACTTGACCTAATAAGCTTTATTTAACAGGTAACTCACTCCTAAAAGATTTGCAACAACCCCCTCACCGTTTCTCTCTCCCTCTTCTCTCTCTCTCGCGCTCTCCATTAACTCCGCAGTGTTAAAAGTTTGAGACATTGTTTCACAAAAAACGATATGCCGACAACCTCTCCATCAGTGCACTCAGCTTGCAGAGAGCTAAAACGAAATTAGCTTCTTCAATTAAATAGATAACTTATTTAAGGAACAAACGTCTAAGTCAACGGTCCAAAGAACTAATTCCCTGTCTCATATGATTCGTCAAAAACTAGCAAGAAATTCCCCGTCCAGTTTGTTGTGTAACTATCTGCGACTGCTCATTGCCTCCACTGAATCCTCCGCATATGCTATCTTACCCAGAATCGCAATCAACCAAATCATCCTGGCGCACTGCCAGAATCTCTCATACAAGGTAAGCTAAACTTTTAAAGTAATTATATTAAAATTCCTTATGAACAATTCGCAACACGATTTAAGATGGAACATCATCCACTATCAGATAAGACATCAGATAAATGTTATAAAAAAATTGACCAAGGGCTCAATGAACCCAAACCTCCTAGATCTGCCTAATCGAATTAGCCAAAAATATATTGAATGGATGCTGATTGCCTCATGAATTACTTCCCTGGAAGGATTTGAGCTTCCCACTGATCGGGTCGAGCCGCCCATGATATCTGCTCTGTTTCGGACCATTCCCGTTAGTTGCATGATAATCCCACAGTCCAGTTTTCAGAGGAAAGTGGCAGACAAGGAGACGCTGGGGGCAAAAGAATTGAGAATTCAAGAGCTCAGGTACTTTTCCCAGCCTTTTCCCCTTCTAGCTTCTCAGCCTTTATCAGAACAGACTGTTCCATGTCTTCTTGATATTGTCTCAATCTGAAACAGATAGTCGACGACGTTGCCATGAACACAGATCGGGGGAATATCTTCTACAAAAGGAAAAGGGGAAGAAAACTCAACCTGTCACAGAGGCTGGAATCTCCCACCGCCAGGATCTCCCGTGAGACAGAGACTATAGGACGAGAAGAGAGCGAGGGAGCGAGAGAGAGAGAGAGAGGGAGAGAGATAGAGACAGGCCACTGACAATCTCCCGTGAAGCACTCAGCGGCTTCCGACTCCAGATAGTTGACCTCCCCTGTTGCCTCCTTCCCGTTCTCTTGTTATTAGAAGCGATGATATGAAACGGTTACCCACGCTCCGTCGTAACGTGTCCCACGTTCCCCGGAGCAAACGCCTGAGTTGCAGGAGGTGGAACGATTCGTTCATTACGTGGTTTTGACCGTTTCTTCCGTGGCACGTGGAGGACATCCAAGGGTCTACCAGTATCCTTCTGTTGAGCATATTCGATGAGAGATCCAGCACGGCCAGGATGTCGCCAGACCTTAGGTCAGAAGAGATACCACCGAGAAACTGGTTCACCCAAAGCTGTAGCACTCGAAGCAGAGAAAGTGGGATGACAGACGCCGGCATATTCGTTTCTGGCAATTGGAAAAGAAATGGAGGATTTCTCCGGAGAGTTTGTTGTCGCTGAGATCTAGATATGTTGAGGTGTTCGATCCCGTGGAAAGCAGATCCCAAGTGGAGCCTCTCATGAGAGATTTTTATGCAGAACATCAATACCCAGTACATTGATGATTATGATTCTTACGAGCTCCGGACGGATCCCTCCGACGAACTCGTTGCTGCTCAGCGTTAGGGGCCGGACCCTCTGCAGCTCGGAGATTTCGACTACATGGGTCCCCCAATCCTGCTCATTCCTGGCAAGTAATAGTTTAGCCTACATCAGACTTACTCAGAAGCTCACTCTTATGCTCAAGAAAAATGGACACGGGTTTTGGATCTGGCACAACTCTTATGCTCCTTGAATATGGAAGACTGCGAAAGACGGAAACTGAAGAAATCAGAGCTTCGTCCATATACTCCCCCTCCAGCTGCTGACGTTTCCAGCCGCAAAGGCTGTTGTTGGTGCAGCTGCTTCTCCAGTCAAACAGGGCCTTCTTCCAAACCAACCTGAAATAGAAGGAACAACTGAGCCGCCTTAGCATTGAACTGTGTTGCCCTACCACTACCGGCCGCCAACCGGTCAGGTCATATCACTGTTGTTGTCTTCACCAAGGTGAGGAAATGGAGAGATGTAGAGTGGTAAAGTGGTAATTCAGACTGGTACAGGTTATATAGTTCGAAGTTGTTGGTTTTTAAAACTCAAAACTCAAGTGGAAACTAGTGTGCACCTTTACGACAGAAAATTGCTTTTAATATTATCTTATACATGACATTTCTTGATAGAATAGGTTATATGAAAGTCAACTTTTGGGAAATGGTCAATGTACAGGATGTATAAATAACTCAGAATAATCATCAGATTTGGTATTATAGCAAACCAGCGGGCAATAAAGACCGGTTTCTGCAACCCGGAGTACTTTCTAATATTACGCAGAATGTGACTATTCTTAATGCACTACTTCACATGAAAACCAACTATCTAGAGTTTTCAAGTGGAAGATATAAGTAATGCAAGTGCAATTCGACAGAGACCGTCGTTTCTGCTACCAGGTTAGAGTGATTACTCTCCGGCTCAAAACTAATTAGCAAAATGAAAACCATACTGATTTTTGAATAATCGATTTAACGTTATTATTAGTTACCAATTTTATCTTCTCCTAGTATTAGCCACTCCTCTTTATATGCCTCCCTCTCCTTGAAATTCGCGTTGCATCTCATATTTGCGATGTTGGATGTTGCATCCCATGCCAAGTGTAGATTCCGCTGAAGGAAGGTTGGGCTATACATTGAGGAAAGGAGTCTTAGATGGAGAAGTGCCGGTTTGAGGAGGAAAACTTGATTCCGCCTGTAACGTACCTCCCGGCCTCCGTGAGAAGATGGATCCCTTTGCAGATCTGAGTGCATTGGGGGAGGAGGGGTAGTATGTAACCCGTGCGCGCTGGCTGAGGTAAGCCAGCCATGGGAGCTTGGACGAATTTAATTCCCAATGGGTGCGAAGTATCCCCAGATTTCAGAGAGCTCCATTGGTTGCTCCCGGGTTTCCCCCCCGTTTCACACGGGTTTGAGATTATTAGGAAGATCTTTTCATATCTTCAATGCTGTCTCCCTCAAGGAGGTTCTTTCAATGGCGTAGGATGAGAAAATAACGACAGAAAGGAAAAGCAAAGCGGTTAACGACTGTAGAAAGGGTTCTTATCGTAGCAGAGAATGTTACACTGCATGCTCCGTAAGATATTTGTCAAGCCTGACAAAATACCGAGTTCAGCATCCAAAGACTGAACTTTACACCATGCGAGATGCTCTCTTTGTGTCTAAACAATGGGAATTGATGAAGTGTGGTGCCCTCAGCACACTTCATGATGTTATCCCAGATAACTTAGCTCAACCGACACATGAATGTGTCGTTTTCCTCATTTCATAGAAATGCCCGGCAGCCGTTTCCCCTCGTCCTCAACGTGCGAGAAGAAATGCAGATGTGAGTAAATGGAAGCAGCAATGGAGTTTTTCTCAATGTTTCTTTCTGGGCAATGAGCTTTTCCTCAATCTAATAGTCGCGTGGTTCACGATACATGTTGCGGCCACAGGGGCCTTCCTGGAGGGGAAGGAAGGTCATCGTCCCCTTCATCTTTCACACTCCCGGGGAATAGCTCACGAGAAGGCTCATTACATTCATCAAAAGGCTACGCCCATAGGGTAGGCACGAGTTTGGATGGTCCCTTCTTTGTAGACTAGCTACACTCGGGCTTCCTCCTTTCTCCCCCTCCACACGGATGCCTCGCGTTACTGCTCTCCTCTTCGAGTCGTTCCCTCTCCCTCTCCGGGAAGTCGCAACCTTTGTTCCTGGCGCCGCAAAGTATCTACAATGGTATTACTTTTACCGGCCAAAAGAGTTCTTTCGCCTGATCTCATAAAAGAGCGGATGATATCCTGAGTTTGGAGATTGATGCCCATCTTATGTGCTCTTAGTCTAAATTTTGTCCGAGTCCGCACATCTCCCAGTGTCCATTGCCAACAGTCGCCGAAACTCTGTGTTCGCCACGCGCAAAGCTCGACAGCTGGATCGGTTAGTTATTAATAATGGAAGATGCGTGTCATGGATACGAAGAAGTAGCCTGGGGGCGAGATGTCGGCATGGTAGAAGTATACCAATTATTTACTACTTAGACATGATTACTGAATGGAGACGGGATAAAAGAATCGAGCCATCGAACTCGAGATCGATTGATCGTGAGTGCAGTAGACTCATATACCTTAAACTATAGAGAAACCCCATTCAATAAGAGAGTATACGGGCATATCTATCAGAAATATTGATTTCTCGACGGTCTGTAGAGAATTGGACTATCTAGAAGCTCGTTACAGCTATAGGATTTAACTTCTACATCCTACGTGGTATTTGATCGAAGCACCTGGCGCCTTTCTTCCCTGTTCATTCATACGCAAAGCTGGAGAACAAAGGACACCGTCGGCCGCTATCTCTCCGTGAAAGCTCACGAGCGGAGATCGAAACTGCGTGGGATCCTCATGACGTTTACAACCTTCAGATCCTCTCGAACGTCGTGGGTAATTCGCATAATGTTGCCGGGGATCTGACTGAATCCATGCACCGCTTCAGCGATCCTCCCAACTTCATCCCCCGCGGCAACGTCGTCAATTTGGACATTTAATGCCGGGGCGAAGCTCCCAAGCCACACAGAGATCTTTCCGTGCTGCTTGAAAAGTCTCTGACAGGAACAGCGGAAAGCCCCGGCCGATCCTTCTCGCCACCTTATCCCGCTTTTGTTATACGAGACTAGGTTCCTTCCCCTTGGAGCTACTCCAACACTTGGAACGGGCTGTGGCCCGCCGACGCCGTCTATAAATACGGAAGACAGCTCCCATCCCCCGCGCTTTTCAGCTAAGCAAACGAGGGAGGAAGAGATTCGATGGCTACTCAGGTCCCAGCGAACTCTCACCTGCCCCTCAAAAGAGGCAATGAAGACGAGAGCCTGCCTCCTCTCAAGGTAGAGGCTCGCTTCCATTTTTATCGTTACAGGTGTTTCTGTGTTGCATCCATTTTCCGCTGGTGCTCATACTCCTTCTCGCATTGTTTCCAGATTGATCGGTCACTAAGAAGAGTCGTCTCAGAAATCTCCCCGGAAACCGATGACATAATGGTGGAGATCGAAGAGGAGATGATCGAGTGCGAGTGCTGCGGAATGTCCGAAGAGTGCACCCCCAAGTACATCAGCCGTGTTAAGGCATTCTTCTGCGGGAAATGGGTCTGCGGCCTCTGCTCCGAGGCGGTGAAAGAGCAAGTAAGGAAGAACCCCGCGGCCTCTCTGCAGGAGGCGCTGGAGTCCCACATGGCTCTCTGCATGAAGTTCCACAGGACAATTAGAGCCAACCCCAAGCTCTCCTTTGCTAGTTCCATGAGGGACATCGCCAAGAGGAGCTCGCAGAGAAGGACGTCGAACAGCTTCTTTGGGGTAAAGATGGGAAGAATCGCAAGCTGCGGCGCTCGGTTTAATCTCGAGGTCGACAGTTCCCCGATTCAGTGAAACTTTCGCTTCCTGTTGGGGTGCGTATGAACTTCAGACTAAGGACTGTCATGTATGGAAATTTGTGGGCGATGTTAAGCAGTTCATGAACACGGCACTAAGTGCCCGATACTAAGTGAATCCTGCTGTGCGAGCGGGAATTATATAAAGATGAAGAATGTTGACCACGATGATTCGGTTGATTTTGCGTATTCATGCTTTTATTTCTTGAGTGTAAGAAGAACTCACTAAATGTACATAATCACTACATACGATTGATAATGAATGGACGAAAGGGGTACTTTCTTCTAGTAAAGCCAACGTAATTGTTTCTTGTGGTTATTTGGTCTTAACTCCTTTATATTGAACAAAATTATTTGTCAAAATCCTGTATTTTTTTTCCATTAAATTTTGTCCTAAAATTATCACTCTTTTTTCATAGTAACTTGACCTAATAAGCTTTATTTAACAGGTAACTCACTCCTAAAAGATTTGCAACAACCCCCTCACCGTTTCTCTCTCCCTCTTCTCTCTCTCTCGCGCTCTCCATTAACTCCGCAGTGTTAAAAGTTTGAGACATTGTTTCACAAAAAACGATATGCCGACAACCTCTCCATCAGTGCACTCAGCTTGCAGAGAGCTAAAACGAAATTAGCTTCTTCAATTAAATAGATAACTTATTTAAGGAACAAACGTCTAAGTCAACGGTCCAAAGAACTAATTCCCTGTCTCATATGATTCGTCAAAAACTAGCAAGAAATTCCCCGTCCAGTTTGTTGTGTAACTATCTGCGACTGCTCATTGCCTCCACTGAATCCTCCGCATATGCTATCTTACCCAGAATCGCAATCAACCAAATCATCCTGGCGCACTGCCAGAATCTCTCATACAAGGTAAGCTAAACTTTTAAAGTAATTATATTAAAATTCCTTATGAACAATTCGCAACACGATTTAAGATGGAACATCATCCACTATCAGATAAGACATCAGATAAATGTTATAAAAAAATTGACCAAGGGCTCAATGAACCCAAACCTCCTAGATCTGCCTAATCGAATTAGCCAAAAATATATTGAATGGATGCTGATTGCCTCATGAATTACTTCCCTGGAAGGATTTGAGCTTCCCACTGATCGGGTCGAGCCGCCCATGATATCTGCTCTGTTTCGGACCATTCCCGTTAGTTGCATGATAATCCCACAGTCCAGTTTTCAGAGGAAAGTGGCAGACAAGGAGACGCTGGGGGCAAAAGAATTGAGAATTCAAGAGCTCAGGTACTTTTCCCAGCCTTTTCCCCTTCTAGCTTCTCAGCCTTTATCAGAACAGACTGTTCCATGTCTTCTTGATATTGTCTCAATCTGAAACAGATAGTCGACGACGTTGCCATGAACACAGATCGGGGGAATATCTTCTACAAAAGGAAAAGGGGAAGAAAACTCAACCTGTCACAGAGGCTGGAATCTCCCACCGCCAGGATCTCCCGTGAGACAGAGACTATAGGACGAGAAGAGAGCGAGGGAGCGAGAGAGAGAGAGAGAGGGAGAGAGATAGAGACAGGCCACTGACAATCTCCCGTGAAGCACTCAGCGGCTTCCGACTCCAGATAGTTGACCTCCCCTGTTGCCTCCTTCCCGTTCTCTTGTTATTAGAAGCGATGATATGAAACGGTTACCCACGCTCCGTCGTAACGTGTCCCACGTTCCCCGGAGCAAACGCCTGAGTTGCAGGAGGTGGAACGATTCGTTCATTACGTGGTTTTGACCGTTTCTTCCGTGGCACGTGGAGGACATCCAAGGGTCTACCAGTATCCTTCTGTTGAGCATATTCGATGAGAGATCCAGCACGGCCAGGATGTCGCCAGACCTTAGGTCAGAAGAGATACCACCGAGAAACTGGTTCACCCAAAGCTGTAGCACTCGAAGCAGAGAAAGTGGGATGACAGACGCCGGCATATTCGTTTCTGGCAATTGGAAAAGAAATGGAGGATTTCTCCGGAGAGTTTGTTGTCGCTGAGATCTAGATATGTTGAGGTGTTCGATCCCGTGGAAAGCAGATCCCAAGTGGAGCCTCTCATGAGAGATTTTTATGCAGAACATCAATACCCAGTACATTGATGATTATGATTCTTACGAGCTCCGGACGGATCCCTCCGACGAACTCGTTGCTGCTCAGCGTTAGGGGCCGGACCCTCTGCAGCTCGGAGATTTCGACTACATGGGTCCCCCAATCCTGCTCATTCCTGGCAAGTAATAGTTTAGCCTACATCAGACTTACTCAGAAGCTCACTCTTATGCTCAAGAAAAATGGACACGGGTTTTGGATCTGGCACAACTCTTATGCTCCTTGAATATGGAAGACTGCGAAAGACGGAAACTGAAGAAATCAGAGCTTCGTCCATATACTCCCCCTCCAGCTGCTGACGTTTCCAGCCGCAAAGGCTGTTGTTGGTGCAGCTGCTTCTCCAGTCAAACAGGGCCTTCTTCCAAACCAACCTGAAATAGAAGGAACAACTGAGCCGCCTTAGCATTGAACTGTGTTGCCCTACCACTACCGGCCGCCAACCGGTCAGGTCATATCACTGTTGTTGTCTTCACCAAGGTGAGGAAATGGAGAGATGTAGAGTGGTAAAGTGGTAATTCAGACTGGTACAGGTTATATAGTTCGAAGTTGTTGGTTTTTAAAACTCAAAACTCAAGTGGAAACTAGTGTGCACCTTTACGACAGAAAATTGCTTTTAATATTATCTTATACATGACATTTCTTGATAGAATAGGTTATATGAAAGTCAACTTTTGGGAAATGGTCAATGTACAGGATGTATAAATAACTCAGAATAATCATCAGATTTGGTATTATAGCAAACCAGCGGGCAATAAAGACCGGTTTCTGCAACCCGGAGTACTTTCTAATATTACGCAGAATGTGACTATTCTTAATGCACTACTTCACATGAAAACCAACTATCTAGAGTTTTCAAGTGGAAGATATAAGTAATGCAAGTGCAATTCGACAGAGACCGTCGTTTCTGCTACCAGGTTAGAGTGATTACTCTCCGGCTCAAAACTAATTAGCAAAATGAAAACCATACTGATTTTTGAATAATCGATTTAACGTTATTATTAGTTACCAATTTTATCTTCTCCTAGTATTAGCCACTCCTCTTTATATGCCTCCCTCTCCTTGAAATTCGCGTTGCATCTCATATTTGCGATGTTGGATGTTGCATCCCATGCCAAGTGTAGATTCCGCTGAAGGAAGGTTGGGCTATACATTGAGGAAAGGAGTCTTAGATGGAGAAGTGCCGGTTTGAGGAGGAAAACTTGATTCCGCCTGTAACGTACCTCCCGGCCTCCGTGAGAAGATGGATCCCTTTGCAGATCTGAGTGCATTGGGGGAGGAGGGGTAGTATGTAACCCGTGCGCGCTGGCTGAGGTAAGCCAGCCATGGGAGCTTGGACGAATTTAATTCCCAATGGGTGCGAAGTATCCCCAGATTTCAGAGAGCTCCATTGGTTGCTCCCGGGTTTCCCCCCCGTTTCACACGGGTTTGAGATTATTAGGAAGATCTTTTCATATCTTCAATGCTGTCTCCCTCAAGGAGGTTCTTTCAATGGCGTAGGATGAGAAAATAACGACAGAAAGGAAAAGCAAAGCGGTTAACGACTGTAGAAAGGGTTCTTATCGTAGCAGAGAATGTTACACTGCATGCTCCGTAAGATATTTGTCAAGCCTGACAAAATACCGAGTTCAGCATCCAAAGACTGAACTTTACACCATGCGAGATGCTCTCTTTGTGTCTAAACAATGGGAATTGATGAAGTGTGGTGCCCTCAGCACACTTCATGATGTTATCCCAGATAACTTAGCTCAACCGACACATGAATGTGTCGTTTTCCTCATTTCATAGAAATGCCCGGCAGCCGTTTCCCCTCGTCCTCAACGTGCGAGAAGAAATGCAGATGTGAGTAAATGGAAGCAGCAATGGAGTTTTTCTCAATGTTTCTTTCTGGGCAATGAGCTTTTCCTCAATCTAATAGTCGCGTGGTTCACGATACATGTTGCGGCCACAGGGGCCTTCCTGGAGGGGAAGGAAGGTCATCGTCCCCTTCATCTTTCACACTCCCGGGGAATAGCTCACGAGAAGGCTCATTACATTCATCAAAAGGCTACGCCCATAGGGTAGGCACGAGTTTGGATGGTCCCTTCTTTGTAGACTAGCTACACTCGGGCTTCCTCCTTTCTCCCCCTCCACACGGATGCCTCGCGTTACTGCTCTCCTCTTCGAGTCGTTCCCTCTCCCTCTCCGGGAAGTCGCAACCTTTGTTCCTGGCGCCGCAAAGTATCTACAATGGTATTACTTTTACCGGCCAAAAGAGTTCTTTCGCCTGATCTCATAAAAGAGCGGATGATATCCTGAGTTTGGAGATTGATGCCCATCTTATGTGCTCTTAGTCTAAATTTTGTCCGAGTCCGCACATCTCCCAGTGTCCATTGCCAACAGTCGCCGAAACTCTGTGTTCGCCACGCGCAAAGCTCGACAGCTGGATCGGTTAGTTATTAATAATGGAAGATGCGTGTCATGGATACGAAGAAGTAGCCTGGGGGCGAGATGTCGGCATGGTAGAAGTATACCAATTATTTACTACTTAGACATGATTACTGAATGGAGACGGGATAAAAGAATCGAGCCATCGAACTCGAGATCGATTGATCGTGAGTGCAGTAGACTCATATACCTTAAACTATAGAGAAACCCCATTCAATAAGAGAGTATACGGGCATATCTATCAGAAATATTGATTTCTCGACGGTCTGTAGAGAATTGGACTATCTAGAAGCTCGTTACAGCTATATGATTTAACTTCTACATCCTACGTGGTATTTGATCGAAGCACCTGGCGCCTTTCTTCCCTGTTCATTCATACGCAAAGCTGGAGAACAAAGGACACCGTCGGGCGCTCTCTCTCCGTGAAAGCTCACGAGCGGAGATCGAAACTGCGTGGGATCCTCATGACGTTTACAACCTTCGGATCCTCTCGAACGTCGTGGGTAATTCGCATAATGTTGCCGGGGATCTGACTGAATCCATGCACCGCTTCAGCGATCCTCCCAACTTCATCCCCCGCGGCAACGTCGTCAATTTGGACATTTAATGCCGGGGCGAAGCTCCCAAGCCACACATAGATCTTTCCGTGCTGCTTGAAAAGTCTCTGACAGGAACAGCGGAAAGCCCCGGCCGATCCTTCTCGCCACCTTATCCCGCTTTTGTTATACGAGACTAGGTTCCTTCCCCTTGGAGCTACTCCAACACTTGGAACGGGCTGTGGCCCGCCGACGCCGTCTATAAATACGGAAGACAGCTCCCATCCCCCGCGCTTTTCAGCTAAAGCAAACGAGGGAGGAAGAGATTCGATGGCTACTCAGGTCCCAGCGAACTCTCACCTGCCCCTCAAAAGAGGCAATGAAGACGAGAGCCTGCCTCCTCCCAAGGTAGAGGCTCGCTTCCATTTTTATCGTTACAGGTGTTTCTGTGTTGCATCCATTTTCCGGCTGGTGCCCCATTTTTATCGTTACAGGTGTTTCTGTGTTGCATCCATTTTCCGCTGGTGCTCATACTCCTCGCATTGTTTCCAGATTGATCGGTCACTAAGAAGAGTCGTCTCAGAAATCTCCCCGGAAACCGATGACATAATGGTGGAGATCGAAGAGGAGATGATCGAGTGCGAGTGCTGCGGAATGTCCGAAGAGTGCACCCCCAAGTACATCAGCCGTGTTAAGGCATTCTTCTGCGGGAAATGGGTCTGCGGCCTCTGCTCCGAGGCGGTGAAAGAGCAAGTAAGGAAGAACCCCGCGGCCTCTCTGCAGGAGGCGCTGGAGTCCCACATGGCTCTCTGCATGAAGTTCCACAGGACAATCAGAGCCAACCCCAAGCTCTCCTTTGCTAGTTCCATGAGGGACATCGCCAAGAGGAGCTCGCAGAGAAGGACGTCGAACAGCTTCTTTGGGGTAAAGATGGGAAGAATCGCAAGCTGCGGTGCTCGGTTTAATCTCGAGGTCGACAGTTCCCCGATTCAGTGAAACTTTCGCTTCCTGTTGGGGTGCGTATGAACTTCAGACTAAGGACTGTCATGTATGGAAATTTGTGGGCGATGTTAAGCAGTTCATGAACACGGCACTAAGTGCCCGATACTAAGTGAATCCTGCTGTGCGAGCGGGAATTATATAAAGATGAAGAATGTTGACCACGATGATTCGGTTGATTTTGCTTATTCATGCTTTTATTTCTTGAGTGTACGAAGAACTCACTAAATGTACATAATCACTACATACGATTGATAATGAATGGACGAAAGGGGTACTTTCTGCTAGTAAAGCCAACGTAATTGTTTCTTGTGGTTATTTGGTCTTAACTCCTTTATATTGAACAAAATTATTTGTCAGAATCCTGTATTTTTTTTCCATTAAACTTTTAGTCCTAAAATTATCACTCTTTTTTCATAGTAACTTGACCTAATAAGCTTTATTTAACAGGTAACTCACTCCTAAAAGATTTGCAACAACCCCCTCACCGTTTCTCTCTCCCTCTTCTCTCTCTCTCGCTCTCCATTAACTCCGCAGTGTTAAAAGTTTGAGACATTGTTTCACAAAAAACGATATGCCGACAACCTCTCCATCAGTGCACTCAGCTTGCAGAGAGCTAAAACGAAATTAGCTTCTTCAATTAAATAGATAACTTTTTAAGGAACAAACGTCTAAGTCAACGGTCCAAAGAACTAATTCCCTGTCTCATATGATTCGTCAAAAACTAGCAAGAAATTCCCCGTCCAGTTTGTTGTGTAACTATCTGCAACTGCTCATTGCCTCCACTGAATCCTCCGCATATGCTATCTTACCCAGAATCGCAATCAACCAAATCATCCTGGCGCACTGCCAGAATCTCTCATACAAGGTAAGCTAAACTTTTAAAGTAATTATATTAAAATTTCTTAAGAACAATTCGCAACACGATTTAAGATGGAACATCATCCACTATCAGATAAGACATCAGATAAATGTTATAAAAAAATTGACCAAGGGCTCAATGAACCCAAACCTCCTAGATCTGCCTAATCGAATTAGCCAAAAATATACTGAATGGATGCTGATTGCCTCATGAATTACTTCCCTGGAAGGATTTGAGCTTCCCACCGATCGGGTCGAGCCGCCCATGATATCTGCTCTGTTTTGGACCATTCCCATTAGTTGCATGATAATCCCACAGTCCAGTTTTCAGAGGAAAGTGGCAGACAAGGAGACGCTGGGGGGAAAAGAATTGAGAATTCAAGAGCTCAGGTACTTTTCCCAGCCTTCCCCTTCTAGCTTCTCAGCCTTTATCAGAACAGACTGTTCCATGTCTTCTTGATATTGGCTCAATCTGAAACAGATAGTCGAGGACGTTGCCATAAACACAGATGGGGGGAATATCTTCTATAAAAGGAAAAGGGGAAGAAAACTCAACCTGTCACAGAGGCTGGAATCTCCCACCGCCAGGATCTTTATGGCCAACAAAGCTGCATTGTATGCGTTTCCTATTGCAACAGTCGCAACTGGGACACCTTTGGGCATCTGTGGAGTCTCAACAAGGTTAGGAAGTTTGGGCTTCGGGTTTGTACATTCAGAAATAAGATTACAAAATTGAAGATATCCCAGGAAAGACATTGAGCATAATAAGCCCAGATGGGAATTTTTCTGGTTGAATTTCTCTATCCAGAAACTATTGCACTAGAAATATAAAATGGTCTACCGGATAAAATTTCAAGCATTCCATCTAGACAAAGTCAAAGATCTCAGATACAGGGCAAGGCTTCACAAGTCAGCCCCCATATCTCGGCATCCGGGCCAATTCCACCTAGGCATTCTTAAACTTTATATAGCAAAAACTATACGAAAATATGGAGTTCTAATTTGAATGATGCATAAATGTGATACAAGTACCGAGTTTCACAACAGACCTGAACAATTGAAAGGAGGGAATCAACTCCATTCATTGCAGCCGTTTTCACAGGAACTCCAATAACTGGTAATGTGGTTAGCGAAGCAACCATACCTAAAAAATAAATAAAATTGTCACTAATTTGGCACAAAAAATGGCGAAGGAGAAGCTGAAATCTGAATCCTTGAGGGATCTAAATAACCAGGTAAATGTGCTGCTCCGCCAGCACCAGCGATGATTGCATGAATTCCTCTATTCTTTGCGGATAAAGCATACGAATACATTCTTTCAGGTGTCCGGTGTGCTGAAACAATTGTTATCTGAAAAAAGGTGACGAAAAATGAATTGACACCTGAAGTAAAAGTTAAATGGCCCTGGGATCCAAAAATATTAGATCCAAAAGGGCTAACCTCAAATGGAACATCAAATGTCTTCAAAACTTCTGCAGCATCCTTCATTATGGGAAGATCAGAATCAGATCCCATTATAATTGCAACACGAGGGTTCCTTGCATCTACCAATAAGATGATAATACGTTACTACAGATGAACCTACAGCAGCCAATAAGGCATTAGAAATGGCAAAAGCTAGAGAAGGGAAACCTGCAACATGATCCCCCAGATTTTCATTGTTCAACATTGAGTTCAAGTGTGACTTCACTGTCCTCGTTGAAGGACCTACAATTGTGATATGGCCCATCTTCCGCTGTTTCCGCATATCTACAGGGTCGAGACAAACAATACTAATAGGTAAGAGTGTCAATAAACTTCCACCACGAAATAGAATCATGGCAATATTCGCGAAGTTCCCACCTGGCTTATCATACCAATGAACGGATGCTCCAGGAATGATTAAAGCCCTTGCCATCAGCTGATGTGCCAAAAGGAAACCTGCTTCTCCCTAAATTAATATTATTCACATTCGAAATCAACTTAAGCGACGTAGGCAGACATCTTTGGGATTGATGAAAAAAGGAGAAAGTCTGGTGCTAGACAATGCCCATTTTCTATATAGTTCACGTAAAAGAGGTTTCATGAGCAAGGAGGCTTGGAGGAAGATTACTTCTTAACCATTATGCTTTAATCTGTTATTCTGTGATTGGATAACTTCAACATACGATCTCCTTGCCAGCAAAGTTCTAGGTAGAGAACCTAAGAATTGGACGTCTTTTAAGCAACAGAAATTGAAAGGGTCTCACTATCTGTGGAGAACCCACTACAACGACCAAGACATGAACATACCACATGTGAGTGAGCAGCAATCTCATCTATGACATCAATTTGAAAGCAAGTAGCACATGTTTCATTCAAGAAGCCTCCTAGTTCAAGATCCTCACACCCACGGTTCAAAGCTGAGGAACAAGTCATGGTTGGACACAAAACTGGAAACACAAAAGTGCTTATGAATCCAAATTCACGATCTAATAGCTCAAATGGTTTATCTTGCATACCATAAAAAATGAACAGGAATCTATAAATCTGCAACCAGTCATTAGAAATCAACCGCTTCAAAAATGTTTCAAAAGTCACCTCATCTTCACCCAGTATGTTATACATTATTGCTGCTGGAACTTTCATGGAGGGATCACCAAGTGGAAGACCAATAACAGCCCGCAAGTGCTGCTCATACTGCGAGGTATAGCATGATTCAATTGTGTGGTGACCACTATTATGAGGTCTAGGTGCTACTTCATTCAGCAGAACCTACAAGAAAATATGAGAATTTACCATATGTCAGCATCCATCAAACTAAAGAAGCATCTCAAGATCAACATATCATGAAGATGTAAAATATACCTGTCCGTCATTTGTTAAAAACAACTCAACAGCAAAAACTCCAGCCCCTTCTAGTGAACTGACAGCCTTTTCAGCAACGTCACAAGATCGCTTTCTTATTACGTGAGGTACATCAGCAGGTGCTTCCACAATGTGGCAAATGTTATCCCTGACAATACCACAAGCATCTATGAGGATTCTAGGATATCCTGACTGAACACAAGTTACCAAAGGAGAGTTGACGAAACTCCCATAAAAGGTACAGTAAAAAAATGGGAGCAAACAAAATTACGACTGCAGCATCTTACTTATGTACAGTCTCGACCACAGAATAGCACAAAATTGTACCATCTCTTCCTCTTCCAACAATAACAGACAACTCCTAGAGAAAACAACAAAGCATAAGACAAGATTTTCAGAACAAAGACATGTCTGAGTCAGAAACATGGCACAAATAAATTATAAAATCTAAAAAGTAAGCTTGTGGGATTGAAGCTATGGTGACATTCTCGAAAAATATCTCAAAACCAAGGCACAAGCGAAAGTTAATAACAAATAAAAGGATGTGTGAACATTACACATTGATTGGTACAAAAGAATAGGAAAAATAAAAATTCCATGCATAAATGTATCACTTTACTTCATGAACAATGCTTATCCAAAAACAATATGTTTCAAACCAAAATTCACCCACTTCCCAGCATGGCAACAATATCGAATCAAAATCATCACTGAATGATGATTAATCTATCGGATTTGATCTCAATGTGAGCACATATATATGAGCTGTATATTATGAGGCTATAATTAAGGTAATCCATACTAAAGTGATTTATTAAAGATTAATAAGGAATTATCACATCTCACGTAAGTATTGGGTTAAATATGCATAGCGACTGGGTCATTTTTCAATTTTATGAAGGGTAAAATTGGAAAAAGACATCAAGAGGTGGTTACTGTTCACTTATAAAAGAGTCATTCTTGAAGTATCCCATCACTTTAGGAGAAAAGGCCATCCGGTTCGGATGACTCTAGTGTGCTGATCTAAAAGGCCACAACCTCAGGTTTGGATCGAAATGGACTCAGTTATTATGTTCGCTCTAATTTTCGTTATCATTCTCTTGGACTTAACACTAGTTCATTCTTTTAATTCTCCATCATAATCAGGCCTGCTAGTTTAAACAAAGCGCCCAAATTTCAAGCAACTTGAATGGAGGTATCTATGCCATAAAATGTACAAATCAATGTAAAGAGAGGATGTATAAATATAAGTTATCAAAAATCACAGAAAAAGGAAATATACGAATAGCAGTTATTAAAAAAAAGAGAGGAATCAACCTTCACAAATGGTGTCCATTTTTCAACATATAAACCTCGATCATATCCTCCCAATGCTGCAGAGGAAGCAAAGTTAGAAGTTAGGCTTCGTTTATATTTTCTATGATCAAAGAGGGTTGCACAAATAATCACCAAATTCATTACTTAACAAGAAATTAGGATCCGTTTTAGTATCCTCCTAAAGAATGTGAGGAAAAGTGTGGTACAAAAGAAAATGTTCACTTAACACAATGAGCCAAAACTCGCCATCCCATAACCAATTTTCAAAGATAATAACATAATGGAGGATACTAAACATCTTGCCGACATGCAATGAGCGAATGTGAAAACATCTTGCGGTAGAGTCCAAGATCATGCACCTGAAACAGCAGAAGAAATTTCCTCTTTGTTGTAGGCAACAGCATTCCCACGGCCGTCATAAGCTAGTCGCCTGCTTTTGATCATTAAAGGGTAGCCAAACAGTTTACCAGTTTGTTCTGCCTCCTCCTGGTCATTTATCTACCACGAAATATTTTGAAAGGAAGGTAAGACACATTGAACACAGTAATTGAACGCGTCCAGATTAAGAAATAGCTGTGACACCTGCATAAAGTCCGTAACTGGAATTCCATGTTGAGAAAAATGAACCTTTTGTAGGTACTTATCCTGCAAAGAGAAATAAAATGACATAGAAATAAACGATGATGAATTTTAACTCTGAAGCTCGTTGAGACAATGCTTAGAACTGATTTATTAATTTACAATGGGTAGCGGATATCTGCATATTAAAAAATGTATACTTACCTGGATCATTCGTATTGTAGAAGCTTTCGGTTGACAATCTATTCCTTGCTGCTCGAGCTTCTCTAACGTAATAGCATCAACGTGTTCGATTTCAACAGTCACCACTCCACACCTATCTATCAAAGAGAAACTCCAACCACAGTACAAACTCGTTGAGAAGGAAGAAGAAAGAAATACGAAAGTCAATCCACCTTTTCGCAAACTCCCGAACAGTATCGCCATCATCGAAGCTCCCGACAACATGGTGGAAGGCAAGGGCACTCGCAGGGCAGTTCTCGAGAGGATCCAACGTCATTATTTTGATCGCCATTTTAGAAGCTGCTTGACAGAGCATACGTCCCAACTGTCCTCCTCCCAACACGCCCACGATGGTTTCAGAGATACCATGGACTGGTATCTCGTCCTTTCTACAAGAAAGAAACAATGAAAAAACGTCGGATTAATCCACTAAACATGACTATGTTCCTCATCCTGCAGTTCTCCCAATGTATGGGACAAGGTAAGTATTTCCCACAAGACTTCGAAAAATTCGCTTTGTCCAATATTTACGCACTATCAGAAACCTTAAACGTAGTGAGCGGCAAATGTTTGTTGAAATGCGCGAGCTTAGAGTCCAGAAAGAAAGCAAACTACTAAATACCCGTCCGGAGAACCGCCTCCATCTCGGAGCTCCGATCGAATGGGAGAGGAACGCGCTGTCATCCTTTTCTTCAGTAGGAGAGGGATTGCGATGTCCTTGCTGGGAATGAACAAAGAATAAGACCGGGAGGCGGGAACCACTCTGGAACAGACGCCGCCGGTCGGCGAGAGGCTGCGGTCGTCGGTTCGGAGCGAGCAACCGAGGGCACCACCCGCTGTGCAGCAGCGCAGCAGCATCGTTCGCCCCCTATCGCCTACCCTCTCGGCCACTCCAGTCCTCCCCGCCCCAACTCGCGAACGCTACTTCCAGGCCCCTGCAGAAGAACACCAGCGATGGCGGCTCACTCGACCCTCGTGGGCCCCACTAAATGTGAGCTCCAATTTCCATAACGCCATCCGTTTCAAGATTACATCTCCGCCGTCCGATTGCTGTTGGTAGGATCCATTCAACGGGTGTCCATCGAACCCCTGGTACGTGTGATAGGCCTGTGTGAAGGATTATCTGTGTTTTTCTAATAAAAGGATTTCGGCCCAAAAAAATTGAGTGAGGTCTCACCAAAATTTAGAAAATTATATAATATTTGATCACCTATCTGCCCCTCCCCCCTTTGAAGGATTATTTGTATTTTTCTAATAAAAGGATTTCGGCCCAAAATTGAGGAGGCCTCCCTCGGAAGATTGAGTGGGGTCTACTAGCCCAGATTTAGAATATTATGTAATCTTCAGCTATCTAGGCCCTCGCTTATAATCACATATTTATTTATTTATTAAAAAATAAGAAGATGCAAGATCATTCTTACCAGTATTTAGTCTTGAGATCCATAGCGTATAATATTTATTTATTAGTTTATTTTATCCGAACTTGGGTCATTTTAAAATACACGATCGTTGTGCAATTGCACCACCTATAGCCACCTGTTGACTTTCTATAAGCGCTCATAGAAAGACTCGCCCTTGGGGCGACATGTGGCACTGTGGTTCGCAGCGCATAATATTTATTTTAATTATCCAAAGTTAGTAAATATTAAGAATATTATTTTATATCTCGAGACTCTCCTGCAGAATGGGTCGTCGGCGAAGCATTTGCAAATGATTGTGAAACCTTATAAACTTGAGACAACACTAGATTTTGTACATGTTCCGGCGAGATATCAGCGCGACCTGACCCACTCACAGTGATGCAGTTATTTATCTACTCAGGACGACGGGGGCGGATGCCTAAGAACCCTAAAAAACCCGGAGGGAAGAGAAAAGGAGACCCAGGGATCCGCTAAAAACCGGGGAAAGATAGGGAGAGAGAGGCGTCATGGCCTCGTAGGGGGGAGGGAGAGCCGCGTTCTACCCTACAAAAACCCAAGGGATCGCGGGGAAGTAGTGCGTAGAGGGTTGTGGCAGAAAAACGCCGCCACCGGCGCCTCAACGGATGGTGGCGCCGCCGTTCTTCGCCTTGGCTATGGCGGGGAAGCAGCTGGAACTGCGGGTCATCCTGGGGTGGGCCTTGTCCCTGGGGCTGGTGGATTTGGACCTGCTGTTGGACCTCTTCAGCATCTCCCTCATCGCCTCCGCCTGGTACAGCACCGGATAAGTCCTGCCGAAACTGTTGAACCTGGCGCACACGCTCATGTGGGTGCCCACGGCCTCCTCCCTCCCCACACCCTTCTTCTCCACCTCCTCCTTCACCGCCTCCGAGCACAGCCCGCATACCCACCTCCCGCAGAACCTGTCGCGCACCCGGCGGATGTATTGAGGCGTGCACTCCTCCGACATGCCGCAGCACTCGCACTTGGCCTCCACCACCTCGGCGACGGCATCGTCGATCGTCACCTTGCTGAGGTCGAACGACCGGTCGGAGGCCACCCTGTGCAGGCCCTCCGTGGAGAGCCTTGGGGGCTTGTGGATGGTGTACGACCCCACGAGCGTCTCTCCGGGGGGCGCCATGCTGAGCAGAAGAGAGACTGAAACGGGATAGCTTTAGGGTAGAAGGAGAGCTTGGAACAGTTTCTGCCGACTGCGCCGGATAGAATCATCGTCCCGCATCCCACCATATTTATAGAATTGAGCAGCCTTGGAACTACGCATCTGGACCGCATACCCCTTAAAATCATCAAAAGCCTACGAGAAGCCACATGAAAACACTAGAGTTTCCGTGAAGATAGTAAGGAAAGTTCGTCCGCCATTAATGGCGACCCAGCAGGATCCTGAACCTTTTCCAGGATTCATCTTGACCACAGGCAACCGTCTTCGTCCTCCACAACCCAACCAAACTAGTGGCGTGGGGACATGCATGCACACTGGATTGCACTGAAACTGCTTATATCCACGAGATCCGATTTTGTGGACCACACGCATCCGTTGGTCTTCATGTGACGGTCGATGTGACTGCCTGAGGCCCTAAGTAAGCTACGTCGTGCAGCATCATTCTTACTCGATCGAGCTCGCCCATCGTGAGGTGAGGATAAGAGTGCGAGGTAGTTGAGATGGATAAGTACTGTCAGGAGATTTTTTGGGGGTTCTTAATTTTCACCTCCCAGAAAACTCTTAAATTACTGATTCGTTATAGTAGTTTTTGATATCTCGTGAAAGTCTCATTCATCATCACTCACTCAAGTTTGAAGAGAACCCATCTCCTCCGCCTCTCCCAGCATCCCCTAATTCGTCCCGAATAGCCTCTATATCTCACTCAAGCGAGGTTCTTCGTCATATTCATTAGTCATATAAGTCACATTGCATTCGGGGAACGTCAAGGGCTTATCAACAAAAAAAACTAGTTGGTTTCAAGTGGTGTAAAATATTGAAAAACACATGATTTAATGATAATTCGTGAAGTAGTCGGGGAAGAAAAGTTGAAAATTCCTTTTGACTTAGTTAAAAGTCAAAGATGTGCTGGTTACCACAAGTCTTTTGGGTTTTAATGGTTCTTGTTGGGCTTTCCCGAGCTGCCTTCTTCCTGATCGGGACAGAGCAACATAAGTCTGGTGATGCCGTCGAATCAATATAAACTACTGCGCCATGAACGATGGCGTATGCTGTTGATTACACGAACAGAGTTTTAAAACTATTAACAAGAAGATCAATTTCATTGAGATTATAACCTTGCTCGCGTTCAGTTTTATTCTGTGGTAGTCCGATTTCCATGATCCATATGATGGGCAAACGACTGCACGAATCTGATTTTTAGTTTTAAATGGCGATAGGAACAGTTCACGTGAGGGACGATTCCGGCCGGTTGTGAGGACTCATGCGGCTGCGGCTGATCAGACGCCAACGTCCTATGCATGGCAAATCTGGGGGAACTGTGACACGTCTCTTCTCCAACCATGAGATGATGGGTCGAAAGGAACTCGAGTCACGGGCAGCTTGATCAGTGAGAGGGAGGCAGAGACGATACTAACTAAATATCCATGACGGAAGTTGAAGAAACAAAGAGAGATGGTGAGGGACAAGATAGAAATGTGTGTGTGTGTGTGTGTGTGTGTCTGAGAGAGAGAGAGAGAGAGAAGGAGGTTTACACAACTTTGACTGTCAAGAAGCTGAGATGACGGAAAGATGTAGAGGGACATGCGAGGGAGTGCACACCAGAGTCAGATGAATGGATAGGGACCCCAGGGGTAGGGGGAGACAAGAGCCACAGCAGGAACGGAGGGAGGACGCGGGAGAGGGAGAGAGAGAGAGAGAGAGAGAGTTTACATTACTTTGACGGTCAAGAAGCTGAGACAACAGAAAGATGTGGAGGGATGTGCGAGACACAAGCAGACTCAGACGGGTGGATAGGGATGCCTGGGGTGGGGGAAGAGCCACGGAAGGAACGGAGGGAGGGAAGACGAGAGAGAGAGAGAGAGAGCCAACTTTGACACTAAAAACTTAGGAGAACAAAAAACTATCGAAGACATGAGAGGGAATGCCCACACACAGTCATATAGAGAAGTAGGTAAATAGAAAGAAAGATAGACGAAGGGTGGAAGGGAGGGAGAGAGAGAGAGAGAGAGAGAGAGAGAGAGGGAGGGAGGGAGGGGGAGAGTGTAGAAATGTATATAAATAGAGTAGCACAGCGGAAGAGAAAACATAACAGAGTAAGAAGCGATAGGTCTAGAAGTATGAAGACGTCGATAAAGTGATGTTCACACACCAGATAGAGTGGTAAGAGGAGAGGGAACCAAAAATAATAAATTCTCACAAGAAACATAATGTTCTAGCTGGAGTGAGCATAGGAAGAAAGCAGTAGAAGGACATGAGCCACTAGCCAAGAAAGGAGATGTAAAAAATGGGATACATCAAGAAGGTGAATGAGGCCTCATTTTACAGAGGTTAGTCTCAATAGTCAGAAGACGAAGAAGTTCCTTAGATACAGAAAAGTAGGAGATTCTCTCCTTTAACCATAGACTGAAGAAGTTAACCCTACAAGTATCCACCTTTGGCTTGTTTAGAATGGACATCTTCAACCTGCTAGTAATACTTTGAGAAAAAATAATAAACTTAAGACAATGTCCAAACTTGATTTGTGTGAGAGACTTTGTCATCATGCCTACATGATTATATTGAGTGCTGATTTTCTTGATAGAAATATCCCCATTAGAAAATTTATCACACACAAAGTAATATCTCACATCAATGTACTTTGTCTTTTCATAGAACATATGATATTTTCTGAGAAACTTTATGTTCTGACCATCACAAAAGAAGTTGAAAGTTTAATTTTGTGTGCTTAACTCAATGAAGAAACCCATCAACCAAATGTCATGTTTAATTGGCTCTGTAATGGCCATATATTTGGCACGTATCAAAGAGAGTCATAGTGAGCTGTAATGTGTCCTTACATAACATGACACAACCGCCAATGGTGGAGCAACCTTCTTTGCTCTAGATCACCAGCAAAATAAGAGTCAACATATCTAATGACTTCATCGTTGATTCTCCCAAAATGCAGGCAAACACATGTTCCACAAATATGTATGAAGATCTATTGGATTGCCTTCTAATGTCCTTTTCCAAGGTTTTTCATATAGCGGTTCACCACACCAACTACATATGAAAGATCAACATGTGTGTAGATCATAGCATACATTTATGAACCAAAAAGCAGCAGAATATGATACTATATCAAGATGTAGTACTTGCTCCCTGATCTCTATGGTTTTCTATGCTAAGAATTTTACTTGCTACATCAAGATCTTTCATTGTAAACTCTTTGTTGAGTTGATATTTGATCTCCTAAATCTTTATTACATCTTTTGCTACTAACAAAATGCCATCAGTTGAAGTATTCACAATTGTCATATTATCTCTAGTTGAAATACAAAATGATAAATAAGATAGTCGAATCTCTTATACCACTGACGAGGGGACTACTTTAACCCATAGAGTGACCTCTTGAGCTGAAAAACAAGATCTTTCTTTGAATCAACATAGCCTTATGGCTGCCCAATATAGTTCTCCTCCTCAAGTTCTCCATGAAAGAAAGAAGTCTTCATGTCTAGTTGTTGAAGCTCATTGTCATGTATGACAACTAAGTCAAGAATAGCCATGATAGAACTATGCTTGGCAGTAGGAGAAAACATGTATGTATAATCCACTCCAGAGATTTGACTTCATGTATGTCATCCTTGCACTTGAATACCTACTTGCAATGAATATATAGTTCTTCTTGAGTGACTCCATCTCCTCATTCATAGCTGCAATCCACTTGGCTGAATTAGAGTTGATTATCTTTGAATAGTAAGCTAGTTCTTTAAAGTTGGAAACATCTTCAGCCATAGTTACTATAATAGCAACTAAGTTAGTATCTACATATTGAAGTGGTGGACAAGTTTTCTATATGTCTATCCTTGGCAATCAAATAGAAAGAAATTATGTTGACTAAACATTTTCATCAGGCTTCGATGAAGATAAGTTTTTTGAATTTGGTCATAGCTCTACCTCAATACTTGATTTTTTTTATTTTTGCTAACTGGTAAGATCTTCTTAGCTTGTAGAAGGACCCACTACATGGTAAATTTATTAACGACAACATCTCTAATATAATGTTCTTGTGCTTAGGACATCACAACTTATAACCTTTGACATTGAGTTTAAAGTCAAGAAAAACATACTGGAGCAATCTAGGCTCTAGCTTGTCATTGTTGATGTGAGCATAACCATGACAATCAAAAACGTTTGACGTCAAAAATTCATAGAAGATCCAAACCATACCTCATACAAGGTATTTTTTCTCAATAGCAACTGAATGAAACCGTTGACAATGTAACACACTAACATAGTAACCTCAGCCTAAACTACTTATGTGAGACACATTGGAAGCCATGCAATGTACCTTCTCTACCAAAGTTTATGCACTCTATAATGTCATTTTTCTACATTGTGTGATGAACAGTCAAATGTCATTGAATTCCTTGAAACTTATAGATGACATTATAGTTATTTGAGCAGAATTCTAGGCTATTATCTATCTTCAAATATTTTACCAATTTCCATGTCTGCTTCTCCACCTTGATGTTTCACTGCTTGAAGTAATGGAAAGTTTCATATTTGTGATTCAAGAAGTAAACTTATACTTTCTTTCAGAAATCGTCAATAAGGGTCAACATTTATTGGTGTCCACCAAGAGAAGGGACATTAGATGGCCACCAAAGGTTTGAATGGACGAAGTCAATGGTCCTCTTCCTGCTGTTGATGCCTCTTGCAAAGTTGACCGTGTTCACAGAAGTCGAGCTTTGTGGTACATTACCTGCACAGCAAGTCTTGTCAACTTAGCTCAATAATACCATGCTTGCTATGTGGCCAAGTTGTAGGTGCCATAACTAAATGATTTTTTGGGTTGACAGTGATGATCAAGCCACAACAGTAACACCGGTGGCTATGCTGCCATCTAGAATTACATACTTTTGATGACCCTTCATGACGACAAAAGCACATTTGCTAATCTTCAATACTCCACCTTCACTAGTGTACATGTAGTCCGTCAAATCAAGAGTATTGAGTGATATGAGGTTTTGTTTGATGCCCATAGCATGCCTCATATTGTCAAAAGTCCAAACAATGTCATTAAACATCTGCATATTCATGGTGACAATGGCAATGGTCTTGCAAGGAGCATTGTTTCTCACAAAGACAACGCTAAGAGGAGACGAGGGTGTAGAACGATAAATTGTCATGATTTGGGCATATGTGGATTGTGCACATCGGATCAAGAATCTGCTCTTCAAATGATTTTGAACCATCGTCAGAGATTGTCAATAACTCACTACTATTGTGAGCATGTACAACGTTGGCTTCAGCTATGTGCGCTAATGAATTTCCTTGATCATTGCTCAATGTCTCTTGTTCTTGTTCTATAATTTATAGCACTAATACTTGATATGACATTTTTTCTGAAAAAAAATATAAATATTATCATGATTCTTGGACTTCAATCTCTGTCTAGAGCCATTGTGAACCTTCTTTACAATATCTCAGCCTCGAGCAACAACTCCCTTGGGTGACGATGTGGAGGGAGTAGCAATAGTTTGGTTCATTCTATCTTTTAGAGAAGAGAGCCTTATAAACTGCTTGAAGACAGAGTGAGTCACGACTGTGGAAAATGATATTGCAAGAAGTCATGTAAGAAGGCGGGAGAGTGTTAGGCTCCTACCAAATATCTGAAATTCTCAGAGGAAAAGTTCCACCAGACGACCTCTTCAGCCACGTTCCCACACCGCCCATGCGCCACAACTAGATCATGTGGACTAACCGCTCACCACAAATAATGGTCGGAGTTCTACTGAGTATTTATTTGCTACAATAGAAGAGAGAAGGGGGCATGGAGGGAGTTGAGATCACCCAAAGAGTCTTGCAAGCTTTCTTTCATTTTCCACCAGCGTTTGTCTAGTGTCTTCACTTCATTCTCAATCCTACCTCGTGTCTTGAGTTTGTAGTCTAGCTCTCTCTCTCTCACTCACTCACACACACACACACACACACTGACCCACTATTCAGGTCTTATCATCTACTTCCATACCTTCTGAGCCGTTGGTTTCTCCCTCTCTTTAGAGGACTATAGGAGAGTAATCGATGTCATCGAGTACTGTAGCTCTTGGAGAGAATATTATTTTACCTTGAGCCACTATTTTAGCGTCATATCTCTGTTTTGCTATCTCTTATTGTTAACTCACCTCTTTCCTGTGTACCTATTCCAGCATTCTTTCCATTATAGTCCATCTCCACCCCGTGTTATCCACTTATCCCTCTCATATCTCCCTCCTCATTATCATCCCTATCTAAAATTATTCGCTGGTATAGAGGGGTAATAACAAAGAGACATCAAGAGAATTGAGGTCAAATCCTCATATGAATACTTGAGATCCAAGGACTCAAGATCTAAAACAATCTCTTTGAAGATCATCACATGATCCTCTAGCGTCGCGCCTTCAGCCATATGAAAGCCAAATAATCTTTGCTTCATGAGTAATTTGCTAGTACATGTCTTTTCCATGCATATATCTTCCAACTTAACCCATAAGGCAATGGCAGATGCCTCCTTATGTGCATCCTGCAAAATCTAGTTCGACAAAGGGAGGTAGATATGCGAGGGAGCCTTTTGATTCTGTCGTAGCCTCTCATCCTCGGTCCAAGACGTAGTCATCTTGTCAAAGCCCAACATGACATCATCGAGATCCGACTAAACCAAAACGTCTCTCATCCTGACTGGCATCGAAGAAAATCTGGTGTTACAATCCAAGAGCGGAAGAGAGATTTAGCAAGCCTGAGACTCGAGACCTGGAAAAGCTAGAAACTAATCTAAAAGCAATTTTTAAAGAAAAATAGTGTATGGCCCACCTCTAACCCTCAAAGGAGACCTTCCAGAGTCTCGTGTTAAGGTGGCGAATGGTTGGGGTTCGTGAAGCTGTGGTCTTCTACATCTCTATCAGCTCATTAAGAAAGGAATGAAACGCCCCCTATTCTTTAAAGTCTCCGGTGTCAACGTTGCCCAAATTATGCGAGCGAAGACTCTCTAACTCGTATAAACCAAAATTATTGTCTAAGCCTGGCGATTAAAGTTGTTTTAATTCACTCTACTTGTTGGGTTCAATCGAGATGAACACGAGAGATCGGCAGTAGGTTTTCTCCTCTTTTCCTTCTCCTTGACTCCTGCACTCTGCGTTATATATGCACTTCTCCAGATTAGATTCTAATTGAATATCTTCCTTCCGTTTGCATGGCCTTGGTAGGGGCATCTATGTGTTTACAGAAGAAACCACGGATGGATTACACCTTTCTTATCGCAAATTGGATGATTTAAACGTACTGTAATATTTTAACTCTTATGGCATGCATGGGTCAAGGCTTGACGAGTCAGACCATGTAACTCGAAACTTATTAATGTTAAATATGGTTGACCGATCTCTATGCTCTCACTGCATCCTTTAATATTATCCATGTGATGTTGTTCTTGAGAATATCCCAAAAGGTCATATTTTTAGAAATTATGGGTTCAAAAGATGTGGAATTTGATTAACCACATTCAAACCCATCATAGGCTCACGTCAAGGCTTGATGAGTTGCCTGCCCCGCAAGCTTCCATCGGTTATCCTCTTTAAGTTATATTAATTGGTCGCCTGAATTTAGGGGAGTAGGACAGCTACCAGTGACAATCCCCCCGGGAACGCTTATGACCATATGATGCCATAATCGGTGTTGATGGTCTAAGGCTATATGCGCTGTCCACGTCAACTTGCACAAGGCCTGGATTCGGCCTTGGGTGGGTTAGAGAAAAGTTCAAAAAGCACGCCTGGGAGTAGGCCAAAGAGGCATCGTGTGAACCTCTCAATGAGAGAGAGAGAGAGAGAGAGAGAGAAGAGGTTTGCCGCTGCATGGTTGATCACAAGATAGTTGTGGCTAGAGAAATTGTCTTTAATGACCTTTACGGATACCTGGTCAACTTAGATAGAGATCAAGGTGGGCTGGGTCCATCTCTTGTCTCTAATGTTGATTTAATAAGCTATAGTTTAATAAGTCGGATCGAACCAAGCCAACACCTTCAAGTTCATCCAACTTGCTGGAATTAGGTATCATGGAGAACACTATTCATAAATAATGGAAATATGATCGACCATTTATATGACACAAAAAAGAAGTCAACCACAATTTGGTTCATTTTATCACGTTAATCATGTGAACCTGGTCACTTGTGGTCATGTCGGCAAGACAGAGACATGGTCTTTCCCTCGTTAAACCCAGTCTAAAACCCATTTTTGGAAGTATCATATTGGCCTGTGTCAGGTGGAACTTCAGGGAGTTTAAACTGTATTATTCTGCAATATTCCTTAATACCAAGGCAGGAGCTTCCACGATCGATATCTGCTCAATGGACCCTAGAAATTGAGAACACGTTACGTGTGCTGTTCCCCAAGAACAATACAATAGAGACGGGGTAAACGGGACTCAGAAGAGTGGGGGACCAAGATAACGATGACGGAGAAGCGTTGACCAGTCAAATTCGACGAGTTAGGCCTCTTCCTGTACGACAATAAACACGGACCGAGAAGGACGATCCAGGAGCTCCGCACACCGAACCTGAGAGAGTCGGGTCGGAGAGCCCACTAACGGCTCATGCGGCCCCATTGACCGCGTGTGGCGGGGGGGCGACCGGAAGCTTCGCCGAGTTCGAGCCATGTCGCGGAATCGGAGTCGACCCTGCCGATCCGGATCGGGGTGCTCTTCGCAGTCTAGCCGGAACAGCTTCGGCATCGGTAAGGCGGTGAATTTGACCGTGGACTTTGACCGGCTGGCTACTATGGTCTACGTTCAACATTTACCCCCCCTCGGGGAGACTTTGAGAGAGAGAGGAGAGAGAGAGAGAGTGCGATTTTTTCCAAGGGTTGGCAACAGGTTCATGACATTTATACCAACGGTTGGGCGAATCTGGACCGCCCATTTACATGCACGGAGGGTGATAGGGCTACGCCACGTGAGCGGAGTGGGCAGTTGGTATATTTTTCTGACACGTGGACGATAGCGACGGGCTGAAATGGAATATATCTTGGTCTTTTCCGATCGACTTAACAAGGCAGGAAATTTCGAGTGGGGGGAAGCGGTCGCGTTTTCCATTTTTTAATTGCCACAAAGTCGCTTGAAATTCTCGGGCTGACGACGGTTGGGAACCAATTCCCACCTTCCTTCTGCCGCCCGCCTTCCCTCCGTCGCCGGCGAGAGAACTGCGGCGAAGGGGGGCCGGAGAAGAAAGGGGAGAGGTTGCCGGGGGCGACGTAGGAGGAGATGGTGGCTCGGGGCGTCATCACGGTGCCGGCAGCGGGGGAAATGATGACCTCCGGTGCCAGCGGCCGCATCATCCCGGTCTGTAGGGATGTTGGCCGTTCGGTGCTCTCACGACAGTTCCTCCTGCGCGTTTATCTCTTCCTCCACTCCTTGTTCCTGTGGTTCCTTCTTCTACGTCAGCTCACGCACAGGCCGATCTCCGCGAAAGTCTCCGTCTCGTCCCCTGCTTCGTCCCCCAGGAGGCGAGGGGGGTTTAGGAAGGGAAGGAGAGATGAGGAGGAGGACACCGTGAGGAGGAGAGCCTTGGCGGAGGGCCTATCGATGGTGCATCCGTCGGATGGCGTGATCAGTTCTTGCGTGTGGGAGACGTCGGTGCATGTCGGGCCGAGTAAGAGCACCCTCTTCTGCCGATCCTGGCGCCCGGCAGTTGGAGACATGAAGTGAGGACATGATTTTCATTTTCGCTTCTCCATCATGCTGTGATTCGTCTTTATTCCGTAAAATATGTTAGGGGGCATAATTCCTTCCCCTGTATTCCCGATTATTTTGGTAATTCCATCTGTGATCTACCTCAAAGTTTCAGTTTTAAGTTTTTCTTCCCACTTTACCTTTAAATCCGCTGTAATGCGCATATTCGCCCTTCGGTTGCAGATGAGTTATTTTTGCGGAATAAACCAGGATGAATATTGATTTGGCCATCCAGTCTGCAGATAATTTCATAATGAAAATAATCCCGGAAAGCAGACTTTTTTAATGTTCCGTATGCTTTCGTAGGTGTTTGCATTAAAAAATAGTTTCACAGAGAGAAGAGGTTTATGAAATGAGGCCCAAAGCTGCCGCAAGTGCGCATGTCTTTTCTTGTCACATGTTTCATTGAGGTTTCCTCATTTTTATCTCAATAATTGTCCCACATAGTTATTTCAGTCTCTACACGTTGATAATTTCCTTTATGGCTCATGGATGTTGCTGAACCAATTTGATTCCTAAGGCTTTAAAAGAGTGTATGCTGATGCTGATATCTAAATAAGATTATTCCGTATATTATGTGTTTCGTCTATAGGCTTCCCCATGTTCATTGTTAGATTTTCTGTCGAATTCTGGGCTTCATGTTGAACCTTGTTAAAAACCACGTTGCTAATGTAAAATATGCCTTACTGTCTCCCACTCTGATCTGGACAGAGTTGTGGATGGAACATTCGGCGTGTAGCTCTATAAAACTGTTAGAAATTGTTAACATAATATTTCGTCACATTCTGGAATGAAACTCATGTTGTCAAGGTTTTAATTGATATTAGTTTTTTGTTATCATTATAAAATTTTAATAATATGGTTCCTTTTCCTTTGCAGGGGCATTATGATCATTATTCATGGGCTAAATGAGCACAGGTAAATTTACGGATATAAGTTAGCATGGCAATGGGTTTTTCAAATCCGAATAAGAATAGTTGTTCATATGCTTTTTGTGCATAAGAATGATTCTTACTGTTTTCATTGCCTGTCTCAGTGGAAGATACGCTCCGTTTGCAATGCAGCTGACTGCGCAAAGCTTTGGGGTTTATGCAATGGACTGGATTGGTATGCATTCTTTCTATTATATTTTTATTTTCTTGTTTCCCAAACAAGTCTCCCGCCAGTACTTGCACTTCCTTCTTCAAGGACTTTCTGCCTACATCGACCTTTGACAGGTCACGGCGGAAGTGATGGACTTCATGGATACGTACCTTCCCTTGATCATGTTGTTGCCGACACTGTAAGTTCTTCTGGAAATAGTTTTTAGCTATTTGACTGTATAATCTCTACCATATTAATCTGCCACACCTTGTATAATTTCTTATCTTCGATAAACAAGATAACCCATCTATTCTTAACCCACAAGTAATACAACGGGAAGTATTTAGATAAGATCTGGTTTACGCGTCCTTACATTTTTGTTGTTTTCGTCTCTGACCAGGGATCATTCTTGGAGAAGATCAAATTAGAAAATCCGGGCATACCATGCTTCCTTTATGGCCACTCCACTGGGGGAGCCGTCGTTTTGAAGGTAACCTTCTATTTACGGATCATCTTCTGTCACCTTGTCTTTCTTTCCCCTTACGTCATTTTATATTGTAATTGCAGGCCTCTTCACACCCACATATTGAGAGCATGCTGGAAGGAATTATTCTCACAGCTCCTGCGCTACGTGTGAAGCCGGCTCATCCAATAGTTGCGGTAATTTATTTTCAATCTTTCATTGTTTATTGCATGAAATCAGAGGACTTGTTGCGCTAGTGATACCTGCCCACTTTATTAAACCTAGATTCCCGCCTGGCAACGTAAGCAGCTGATTCATTTTTACAGCTTAGACCGCATCTATATAAGTATTAGAGAGTTGCAACCCCACGAGGATACTGATTAGAAAATTCTTGTCCCTAATTAATGAACGGCGTTCCTCGGATTGAAGTCCTGCTCCCACTTGCATGTAGCCTCATTAAAGGTTTTTACTCTTGTCAAAATTGCATTTTTTTCATTCAACTTCATCGAGCTATTTCCATTCCTCTTAGATTAGAACTCAGTTTCCTTGACTCTGAGTTCGATAATCTGGCCACTGGACTCTGCCTCTATTTCATAAGACCCCTGCAGACCTAGAAAGACCAGGATTTGTGAGAAAAAAAATATAAATATCATGTTTAATTATATATAATGCCTTATTCTCTACCGAAATTAATCTAAATCCTGAGCACGAAACAAGAATAACTGCGGTTTTCCCCGCAACTCCGTCTGGATTCTGCAGTTGTGTGCTCAAATTCACGGTCTCAAATGGCATCCATGCAGGTCATTGCTCCGGTTCTCTCTGTTTTTCTTCCCAAGTTCCAGTTCAAGGGGGCCAACAAGAAGGGAATCCCGGTCTCCCGGGACCCCGCTGCCATGCTCGCAAAGTACTCCGACCCCCTCGTCTACACTGGCCCATTAAGGGTCCGCACAGGATACGAGATCCTCCGCATCTCCACCCACTTGATGCAGAACCTGAAATCGGTCACCATCCCCTTTCTTGTTCTCCACGGCACCGCCGACGGTGTGACAGACCCGCTGGCCTCGCAGGACCTGTACAGCGAGGCAGCCTCAGAGCACAAGCACATCCGTCTCTACGAGGGTTTTCTCCATGACCTGCTCTTCGAGCCCGAGCGAGATATGGTCGGCGCCGATATCATTCAATGGATGGACCAGATGCTGCAGCGGAGGATGGCCGAGGAGTGAGGTCCGCCGGGCTGATCACATTGATGCCCTTTGTTATTCACATAGCTTGTAAGCGATTCCAGATGAAAGTTCTCTGGAAATTTCGTATGATGTACAGGGTCTCCACCTATCTTGGATTTCATATTTGATTTATTGAAAACAACGGTTGATACAGCTCGAGTTTGTTACCTCCGAGACTGGTGGAGACTGGTCCTGCTTGCTTCTTCTACTAATCGCTGGCGGCGTTCGCTTCGGCAAGAATGGCCGGGTGCCCCTCTTCGGTCGTACTCAAATTGACCATGGGTCAATGAAGCTTTCCCTTTCCTCGTTCTCTCTCTAGGGCATTTTCTTCTTCATGGGTCGCTCCGCTCCAAAGTGGAGAGGGAGGGGAGTTGCGGGCAGCGCAATGAAGAGTGGTGGCAGACGAGGGGGATCGATGATGGCGCAAGTAAATGGCGCCGGTGCCGCTCAGGGAGTGGCCGGGCCCGCCCGGCGGCCTCACCTGTGCTCTTTCTAGCGGCGGCGCTGCTGCGTGAAGCTAAAACCCTTCCTTTATCTCGCTCGTGTTTCTTGTGGGTCGGAGGCTCTAACCTTGAGATCCACAAGAAACAGGAGCGAGATAAAGGAAGGGCGGCGGCTGCGGCCGCCGCTACGTCGCCGGACTCACCTGAGCGGGGGATGGTCGGAACCAATTTATGGAGGCTGGCTTTCCCTGCAAAAAGCTGGCACGCGGCCGGGAACAGCTTTGCGCTTCGTGCCTTTTAAAGAAACTTTTGAGTAAAGGAGTTGAGAGAAGGGAAAGGGAAAACATTTATACCTCGCCGTGTTCGAGGTTTAGACAGGTGTCGTCCTTACCAACCCTGACACGAACCTATCTCTCTCTCTCTCTCTCTCTCTCTCTCTCTCTCGCTCGCTCGCTCGCTCTCTAACAATGGAGGATCCCATAACACAAGTGCTAATTCCACTCGTCTGATAAAGGATGAAGCCGTCACTTTCATTCCATGGGAGAGCCCTCAGCTTTTCCTTCTGATTAGCGCGTGGAGTCGTCTCATCAGTTCGACTCTCTCAAGAAAGCCGTGGGATGTTGCTCCTCAGTAAGAGCCAAGGGCACCTGAAGTAGTGGAACCCAGAAGCCACGGATTCCGGCTCCTGCGTCTGATGCCACTGATGGTGAAGAAGATTGGCCACTGATTAGCTCCGGCTCTCAATTAACTTATGCAAAACCCTGGCTCATTTATATTGGAGAACGACCATTAAAGAGGGGTCGCTCTCTGATTTACGTCCTCCCCCCCCCCCCCAGAGTCACCCTACGGCCTCTCTCCATTTTTGCGGCGTTTTTACGCAGAGGCTTGTCCGTCTTTAATTGTAGAAGAGGAGAAACAGACGTCGCCGCGTCGGTTGAAGTCTCTGTGAAGGAGATTGTGGAGGTGGGCTGTTCACCAGCTGCTGGGAGTTAGACGATCGTGTTCATCTATCTAATCTAGGAGAGAGCGGGCCGAGCGGTGAGTCTGCGGATTCCCCGCCAACAGCGTATTGCTGACTGTCTGAGACGGACATGTAACGCCTCAGGTCCCAGCATTAATGTGGGGCCTGCGCTGCACCCATCTCCCAGCCACACGGCGGCGTAGTAGGTGCTCCCATTCACTGTTCCCCCCTCTTTCCACCACAGGGCCATTCGTCTCTCTCTCTCATTCTGACCGAAGTTGCAACCACTATCGACGACCTGGCCAAGCTGAAAAGGCCGTAAGGGATGAGGTCTCCTGCCGTCCCAAAGGGGTTACGAGTGCATGGAATGATAGCCGGACTCCACCATTCAAGTGGACGTGGTCGAGGGGACCCGCGAATGATCACTAAAGATCACGTTTGAGGGTCTTCATTTGACCTGTAATCTACCCATATCCAAAGAGTGGCGAGCGTACCTCCTAATTTAATCTGTTACCGTGGATCTCTCTCTCTCTCTCTCTTGCTCGGATATTCTAATTCCCTACTTACCATGGATTTCTTTCTCCCTCCCCTCTTCTCTCTCGTATTCTGCAAAATTTTATGATGGAAAGGCAACCCTTTCCGTCATTTCCTCCGAGTTCCTCGCACCGTTAAATACCCCTCCTCTCACCCCTATTTCTTGCATCTAAACGCGCCTCCACAAGGAAGCCCCTCTCTCTCGGAATCAAACTCCCTCTCTTCCCCCTCCGACAACAAGCAGTCTCCAGAGAACACCACCCACGGGACAAAACCACAGACATGGAGGCCGCCGCCCCCGGCATAGCCAAGCGACTCTGGCACATCGTCCGCATCGTCTGCTGCATGCTCCGCAAGGGGTTCACCAAGAGGAAGCTCATGCTGGAGCTCCAACTCCTCCTCAAGCGCGGCAAGGTCGCCGGGAAGGCCATCGGCGGCCTCATCTACCATTACAGCCGCGACCCCCTCCGCCACCATTACAGCGGCGGCAGCATCAGCTACTACGCCGCCTTCTCCTGCCGTTCCATGGAACCCAACTCGTCCTACTTCACCCCCCACGAGGTGGAATTCAGCTGCAGCAACACCCCCTCCTACCCATTCCTCAGCAAGCGGAAGCGCAGCCACCGTTACAGCAACGGCCACGACTACGACATCGCTACCATCAGGAAGGCCATGGAGATCGTCAGCTCCCAAGCTCCGGAGTCCCCTGACGTGGCCAACCCATCCCCAGCGCCATTCTGGAGCCTCTGGAAGAGCCCGACGGTGACTCGGCAGCTGAGGATCACGGACTCTCCCTTCCCCGTGGAGGAGACCGGAGACGCGGACAGCCACGTCGACAGGGAGGCAGAGGATTTCATCCGACGCTTCTACGAGCAGCTGAGGACACAGCCTGTGACGCCTATTCTCCAGTCTCGTTATCGTAGCCAGGCTGGCTGAGGCCTCCCACATGCGGCGGCGGGTATAACATGTCGGGGAGGCTTTAAATGCGCAAGAAAATAAATAAATACGACAGTGAGATGGCGGTCAGTGTAAAGGGATTAGGCTCGCCCATAGACGCTCCGGTAGCTCTGATTGTGCTTGTAACAAGAAGGTTTTATACAACAGCAACTGTTTGTGAGTTGTCGAGCTCTTTCTTCGTCTTCCTCTTAGACAAGATCACTGTAGAGAGAGAGAGAGAGATAACAATCCTCTGATTAATTTTTTTGGGTATTCGGAACTTCCAAATATCATCAGGCTGAGCCCAGGGTTTCTAGTGGTGAGGTGGCGGCGGAACCGCACACCGTTTCCTGGTTTCTTTCTTCGTCGCTCCCTCATCTGCTGCTGCTGCTGTTTATTCTCTCTCTCTCTCTCTCATGGACGGATTCAGCTCAGTCTCTCATCAGCTCCGGGGCCTCTATCGTCTGGCTCGTCCATCGGGTCGCCGTGCTTCGCTTGCCGGGGTCGAGATTCATATCAGAAGAACCAGGGGGATCTACGTTCCTCGAGAGGCCGCGGCCTCGTCTCCACGAACTTCCGAGCCTTAACTAAACCTTCGCCATACCACTAGGAGGAAAGATCCTCGGATTAGAGGAGATAACTAACTACACAGAGCAGGAACGCGGGGGCCGCGGGATTCTCCCCAGAGAAGACACGGAGGCGCAGAAAGTCGGGCCCCTTTTCGCGTAATGAACTGCCTTCTTCGTCTCTCCGCTGGCGATGGGGCCTGGACAGAAGGCGCTCCGGCGCCGGGAACCCGAGCCGTGCATGGCGCACTCGTACGTACGCTTCTTTACGGAAGCGCCACTAACATTATGAACGTCGGAATCAAAGCTCAAACCATGATTCGTATCTCTTTCTCTCTAGATCTCAGGCCGTCCCTTCTCTCCCCTCGTCCACCGGAAAGGGGTTATGCGGCTATCATCGCCACGTGAAAAGGATTCAGTGGGGGAGAGCAGCAGGAGGGAGAGCGACAGTAACAAAGGGGTAGACGGGTAGTTGGGAGGGGGCCTACGGTGGCCCTCTCTGCCTTCTCCCCCTCGTCCGCCATTACCGACCTTCGGGAGCGAAGTAAGTAAAATCGGCCTCCCCCCTCGCCCGCATGCAGCCTTGCAGAAGCTTGCAGTTAGCTTTATTTCCATCTGCATGATGAGAGAGAGAGATGACGACGGGCCAATTAAGACTCTTTTTCGATCGTGAGTCTCCGGATCGTTGACCCGTCGATCCCGTCGGCCGATTCCAATGGCGTATGGAGCGGGGAGGTGGAGCTATCCCGGGGGGGGGGGCGGACTCCACTCGCCGCGAATGATTGGAGGCGGCGCGACTAGGTAGCGACATAACTAGCATGCCTGCTAGAGAGGTCACCGTGACAAGTCAAAGCCGTTAACGCTCCACATGCAGCAAGAACTTGGCCATCAAGGAGATCAAGGAGTCCAAGAAATAGACCTGGTCTTCATCTCAGCAACCCTAGCCAAGGGCTGACGGAGCCCTCTCTAGCCAAGGACAGCGGCCTGGGAAGAGAGAGAGCGAGAGAGAGAGAGAGAGGGCACTACAAAAAAAAAACCTAGAGTGGCTTTTCTAAATAGAGTAAGAAGAGAAAGAGACCAAGAAGCAACAAGTACTTGGGCATGGACTTTGTAAACCTCATCTCAGTGGGCATATTTCTATGCGGGTCTTACAAAAACGAAACATTCAACCAACGGTGAACCTTATCCGAGGGTCGATCATCATCCACTCTAATTATAAAACTCTGAGCAATTAGAAACACTCTCAGAAATTACAAAAAAACATACGTAATTCATCTCGCGTTACAAATAAGATGGACCACACATTTTTTTGAATCAGAGTTGGGAGCGGTTGCAGAAATCCGTAAAGAATCGATATATATATATAGCTTTGCTAAGAGGATAACATTTACACGAGGACTATAAAAGGAAAAGAAAATTCAGAGGGAGGAACCTGTCTGTGACTTCGGGGCTGGCTCCGGACGGCAAGCATCTCCGGGTAAGCTGGAATTGTTAAGCTCCATAGAATTCTAAACCACCCGCTTGCTCCTGAAGAACACAGCACGAGACGGAGGTGATCTAGGTTGATGCAAATGAACCCTGTGAGCTTTATAGTAACATATAATACCTGAAGGCGGTGCAGCAGGTACATGAGAAAGAGATGGACAAAGACCTGCACGGACAGCTTGACTTCAGATGTTGACTCACCCAATTTAGGAAATAAGAGTGGCGCTGGGTGAAACCGGCACTCACCAGATAAAGGAGCAGGAGGACTCGTGCTACTGGATACCGCCAGAGGAATCGGGTGGCCCTGACTGCTCCTGAATCTAATAGTTTGGCCGCTCGCTGAAGCTGCAGGAGATCGCTGATGGTGACGATTCAGCGAGCAAAGGAGCATGGAGTAAGAAGATTCAAGTAAGTTTACCTGCATGCTTGCCCCAGCCATGTGCCGGTGATGCAATGGTAAAGGACTGAAAGGAGGATGCAAGAGCAAGCAATCAGGCTTCCCTCGTAGGAGATTAATGAATTTATGAAATAATTGTAGATGATGGGGGAATGGAAATGCTTCGAATAGATGGTTGATTAGCATACTCGAGTGACTTTAAATCAGTATCGTCTTCCCAGGATGGCAATGGACGACGAGCAACTCGACTTCTTTCTGCTTCAATCTGTAGATAAACACACTGGCTGATAGACAGCCCAGAAAGAGTTGATGATTTTAAGGGGGGAAGATTTACCCACCTGCACTTCACGGAGGCGACTTGCCTCTTTCTCCAACTGGTATTGAGCTGCAGCTTTTTCACTAGCCATCGCTTCAAGCTGAGTTTGCTTTTGGTACTAGAAAGCAATGCATCATCATACATGGTGAGTTGAGCATGATAGCATCCACCATTAAATGGACAAGAAAGTACGCATTGCACGGCATACCAACAGATCAGTCAATTCACGGTATCGTTTCTCGAGTTCCATGTGTTCCTGTAAAACATGTGCAAATGATCATCACGTGGGGGAAAAGTCTACATTGTTTGGTGTAAACAGAAATCAAGAACTTCAGGCATGTTACTGGGAGGCATGATCAATAATGGGGTTGTTATATCGAAGTCTGGTGTGAATCCAGAAACATGTGATGCGAATGGAAACCGGTAACTAACGCTCATAGTTTCATAAAATCTCAGCAAAGGAGGCCACTAGCAGACATTTTTTCCATAGCGCGTTTCTTACAGAAAATAGCAAAACATAAGCACTTTTTGTTTGAAAGGAATTCATGAATTAATGGGATAATGTTTCAACATAATCCAGCCAAAAATATTATTGTAACTAAGTAAAATCACATCAGTTAAGTGTCAGTACCAGCATATTATACTACAGAGAGTAAATGTAAGTGAAGTACCTAGGTGGTTCCCTGACATTTTTAATGATGTATAGAAACAATAGGTGGTCTCATATATATATAATTGTACTTGGTATCTTAACTAGCCGGGCACTATATATCTCAGCACATGAAGAATTTGGCTCGGGCCCCAGAACATCCGAGATTCCTTCAGAGAAGAAGTCTTGAATCTGTGTTCTCAGTAAAACCACCACCAGACACTGCGAAGACCAAGGAAAGGGATGAGAGTGCATCTCACTCGGGGAGATTCAACTCATTGAAGGTCTGCCAGTGCAAGATGTCAAATAGGAGAGAGAGAGTTAGAGAGTTAGAGAGTTAGAGAGTTAGAGAGTTAGAGAGAGAGAGAGGAGGGGGGGCGGGGTGGGGGGTCTCTTGCAGCCATTGTAAACAATAAGACAAACCATAAATGACATCGTCGTCTGAATATAGTTTCAGCATTGGCAATCAGACTGTCACTTCAACGAGAGATCCAGTATTAAATAGTTTAACTACCTACATTGCATAGTAATTTCATACCATGTAAACATTAAACTTGGTATCGGCATGATAGTAAATCGTACCTTCGCGGGAAGGAGCATTTTTATTATTACAAGCGGCTGACGGAGCTACTTATATCTATAAAGATTAAAGAAAATAAATGACTTACAAAAATTTCCGATTTTTCTTTATTGTTCATCTATGCACTGTTCCCAGTTTGCAAAAAACCATAATACCCAGTCATCAGATGAGCCCTCAAAAGAAGAAAACAACAAGTGGCAGCTTCATATTAGTGCCTGAATCATTGACAAACTTATAACCTATTAAGTTTACTACCTTCAGGATATATTTCGAAAGGGAGCACAAAAATTTAAAGATTTATGTATGAAACTCTCATCAGTTTCTTCCACTTAGAAAAAAAATAACCGATTGGATGGGACCTCAACGAATTTTTCAAAAATATAGAACAGCTTCATTGCTACTTATAATGTCAAAATTCTTATAAATTTAAAAGTGCCGACAAATAGCACTACGGAGATAAGGTTCTATACGACATTACTGGTAAAAAGTTAAAAGAAGATAGCATCCCAAAGAACTCACATGGCGTGAATAATGTTCTGCATCCCTTCTCATGCCAGCCATCTCCACTCTCATCTTTTGCATCTCAGCCTGCGAGGTATAGATATTGCTATCACAGCGACTAAAAAAAACTGAAAATTAGGATGCGACTTGGATCTTTGTAGACCCCAACTTTTCTAATTAAGCTATTAAAAAAAATACAAGATTGGTCGTATCAGCTAACTTGTTTCCCGGAGAGAAAATAAAATCCCATTGAAATTTGAAAAGAGGGATCATTCAGAAATTGACCTAGCTCACCTAGATTTGCTGATTGCAGGTACCGTGATATTTTAAAATAGCGGTTAATCTGCAATCTTCTCATAAAATATATTCATAATGCAATTTCCCACGTATCCTGTACATTTTCCAAATCATTTAATGGGCTGATCTGATCAGATTAGCATAAGGATTAGATCTTTGGATAAGAGATCTAGTCCTACGTCCACTAAACTTCAGATTTGCGACCTTGACTACATATGACGAAAAACAAGTGTGGGATATCATGAACTGAGTTTCTCTGCCTGAAAATTTCTTAAAACAAAGAAAAGTTTGATGCTGATTGAAAATTATTGATATGATCTCCTAATAACGGAGAAGTGCAAAACTAAAAACATAAATTCACGTCGATTTTGGAGTTTTTAAAGCAAGAAATATTTACATCTAGAGAGGAAAGCTTGCTCTCTGCATCTCGTTGACCTTGGCGTGCACGTTCTACTTCTTCTTGCCATGCCTGTGCCTGTGCTTTCACAGAAACGCATACTTGATTCGATTACATCGAACATGAAAGTGAATGATAACAAAGACAAATGACTTTTAGTTTTTCAACTGTACATCTATATTGATGTATTGGTTCTTACATCATAGTTATCAAAAACTTAAATTGCAGGCACCAAAAAGATGTTCAAGTCGGCAACTGAATATTTTTCATGCACTGGGTTCAATGGCGTCAACTCTGAATTCCATCCATACCAGCAATAGAAAACCAGACTATGCGTAGAAGGCAGATAACCAGTCAGACAGGAAACAGTTTCTTGGGATAGGCCTTTTGAAAGGATACGTTTTATTTGAATTCACAGACAACCCACATCAAAGGTAAGATTTGATATTAGTGCTGTTGTAAAGATTAATAGTTGCACTACAACACATTTCTCATTGGTGACGAATCTCTCCATAATGATTCGAATAAGAGTCTCGATCATGAGAATATAATCAAGTTCTTTGGATGAAATTTCCATTTCTGGATGAGCATTTCCAAGTCAATGCAAAAGTCCATGCGAACCTGTGAAAGCTGGTATGAACACGTCGCAAGTAATGACAGAGCATTGACTGACAAATGGTGCGGTTGATAAAGGAGAATTAGAGAGTAAACGAAAGACACAAGGTGTAAACATGACAAAGGAAAAAACTATTAATAAATAAAAACTGTAGGTTTCATTACCTGGAGAATCTGATTTGCTTCTTCAGAAGACTTCTTCTGACCACGCCGCACTCGAGCCTCCATGTCCTGAAGCTCTTGATTTAATGATCCACATTCCACCTAAAATGACAAATGGATGGTCACTGAAACCTCAACTAGCCCATTTCAAAAGTCCTACTTCAACAAATGAAGGAAAAGGGGGAAGTCAATTTAACCTCAAGCAAAGCAACTTTGTGCTCCAAATCCATTGCCCTTGATATGCTATCATCTGCAGATCTCTGAACATGCATTAATCAGTAAATAAAAACGAACGACGTATAAAAATAATCCGAATTAACCTATCACAACACAATAGAAAGTGCAAGCCATTCCTGTAATCCCACACCTCTGGTTAAGACAATAAAACCTAGTCTAGAAGTCAACTCCAACCGAAACAGACATCCCAACAAAGGCTAACCTTTCCAGTGAAGCGTAAGTAAACTAATGACAGACAATAAAGCTACCTCTGTCATTCACTACTCATATTATATCAAAGTTCTCACAGAAAAAATAAGGTTTAATCAGTAAATTCAAATACATTATTTTTCATGGACCTTCAAAACGAGTGCTTAGTCTGCAATGTTCTGACCTCATGGATGCATATTTTATTATTTCGTAGTTTTTCTTTAACTCAAACAGTTTGGTTATAAATCTCCTGCTTCATTTTACTCATGCTCGAAAAAGTTTTGTGAGACCAAAGGAGTATCTACCGTAAAACAGTTTCTTCAGCATCAAATAATTCAGTCAACACTAGTGATAGACATAATATAGAAGCCTTGCTCAATTATTGTCATCCGATCCGAGAGTACAATTTTTTCAAAGTTTTACATCAACGTTTCCTACTTTCCTTTATAAATTTCAGTTTTGTTCACTCAGACCATTGCAGTATTGAACACAAAGTAATGTCATCGTTCCACAAGGGAACAAAGCTTCTATCTTCTTATTTTTCTTTTTCCAACCATTATTTGATAAACCAAACCTCATTAGTCAACCCTTCACCAGTTTTATCTATTAAATTGGAAATGCAAAAATGATTATTTCTGTCATACAGATGATATTCAAGATAATGAGCACAAATGGTCATAAGTTTATACATAAGCAGTCGCTTACCATTTCCATTGAACAGATTGTTTACGTATTGAACAATTAATTTTCACTGAAACTTCGCGTTGGTGTATTCATGGCGAGGTGAAAGGGAAGGCCGTATTCACTGTATTTAGGAACTTATTGAAAGCAACGTCATAAAACAAGGTATTCTTGCCAAAGGAATATATCTAATGTTACAAGATATTAAAGACGGGGGAACTCAGGTCACACAACAAATTTAGCGTCTATTTCTTTTGTTTTGAAGTTAAAACTTGCTATCTGGCTGATAGTTGCCAGACAGAATCCGTACATTAAAGTTGTGGCTTCCATTTATGAGAAATCGTTCCTAGACAATGGGATCTTTCAAGGGCACCTCTGATGTTCAAGAATTGCTAGAGATTAGACAGGACCTTATTGAGGAAACATTGACACTAAACAGAGAGGCTGGGAAAACAGTGTCAATTCAGTGCTTCATTGATCAATTAACTCCATACTAACAGGATAAAGTCAGGGACGATAATCAGTATGTGTTATCTATTTTTTTTTCAATAATTCAAGTATCAAAGAAATGTCTACTTGGAAGTGTTGTGGTATGGTAGGGCAGAATGCTTGCTGTACAAAGTAGAATGTTCGTCCATTCATATATGAATCAAGCAGCATGGAGGTCGAAAAACAGTGAAATCCATTCATATAAGAATAATAATAGCCAACAGACGTTCGTCCCGTGCAGTTTAGATATTTTTCATGCTATTGATCAGATCGGTGTACCTGCATTCTTGCGAGAGCATTTGATGCCTCCACAGCTCGGTGTTCCAGTTCTACTTCTCTTTCTACTGCTGCCTTTGAATGCAAACGAGAATCAGCAAAAGAAAAGAAAAGAAAAGACGAAATATCCTGACAGATGTGTTCTTTACCATCTTGGTGGCATTATGTGCAATACGCTCTTCTTCTGCTCTACGCTCAGCGACAGCAAGCTCCTCACGTAGAGCCTAGTGAATGAGATAGCACAGGCTCAACGTAAGTAAATACGAGCCAATGGCTTGCCAAAAAAGAGATCAGCTCTAACTAATACACCATAAAAGAGAGGGGATAAAAAAGAGGTCCTGAACTACCTGTATCATCCTTGTCTCAGTTAGTTCACGGCCTCTCATGACAGCATCCATATTAGCCTGGTCAAAATGGTACATTTTTGCCATTGAGATGTATCCACTCAATATTTTTACATAAAAAAGAAGCCAATAGAAGAGAATGGCATTGGTCCGCAAGGAAAAAGATGCCTTCCATCTTCACCAATAACAACCAATTGAGACAACTAACATACAATAGCAAAAAAACAGAACCAGTCCCAACGGGAAAAACTGTCTACCGTATGATTGGTAACCAAATTTGGCAGGCATAAAGGAAACATTTCAAATGGCAAGGGTAATATAAAACGTCCAGAGTTCAATCATGAAATCATGCAATCCACAGTTCAATCAGAAAAAGATAAAGGCACCCTCTAAAAATATTTCTCTCAATACACTATCATTAGTTTTATTCCAGTAAAACCGTCTAGAAGGGGTTGACATATCAAATAAACAAATGTCTCTATTGAGAGAAGGGATCCTCCAGCGGAGCTTTATTTTCATAGATAATAAGCATCATGACTTTGTGTTTTATGGGAAAAGATGAGAACGATGACTAAAGAAAGGGCACCTGTAAGGACGCAAGTTTTGCTTCAGCTGCAGAGGCTTGCTTCCTCAGAGCATCCATTGAACCAGCGAGTGTCTCAATTTCAGCATTTTTGGCAGCCAATGCATCACCCATGCTTGATTCGATTTTATTCGCTTCAATCCGGGATAAGGATAGATCTTTCTGTAGCTGCTTTATGGAGGCTTCATATGAATTACTGCGTTCTCTCTGATAGAGCAACATGTCACAAATAACACAATTATTCTTACTGTTAGTGCTTCTAGACGCATTTAGATCAGGGTATGCTTAAAAGCACGCCCATAACGTCGGCATAACATGAAAATTCACCTCTTTAACAAGTAGTTCTTCTAACTGTGCATTCTCAGACCTGTATTCCTGAAGACGAGATGATAGCCCAGCACAAACCTGAAGACTAGCAATTAGACATCAAACTGAAAAGACAGATCTTGTTCCCAACCAATAAATGAAAAATAAATGGGAAAAACTATTACTGATTTGTCAAAACAATGGATTGATATCCAGGAGACTAGAAGAGTAAGAATCCAGAATAGTACAAGCTTTTATTAAGATGTCTAAATGTGATGTAATCTACATAATATCCAGTACTCATTTGAATTGAAATCGTTCACCGACACACTCATCTGACTCAACTCTGTAATATATCTTAACTTGTTGACTAATAGTTCTGACTTGGGAACCACTTGCACACGTTCAAAGGAAATTAATGAATCATAGGCAAAAGTTGAGTATTGAAAGAACAGTAAAGAAAATCAATTAGTTACAATAACAACAAACCAACCTTAAGGTTTCTATTTACACCTCAAAGACACATAAGAAGAAGAATCATGGAACTGAACCACAAGAGGTTGATTATTACCCTCACTAGTAAGATATATATACATAAATATTTTGATACAGTACCCCTCAAAACATGTTGGTCATAAGCGAACAGTCTAGAAGCTTCTATAGTGAACATTAGGGAAGGAGTGGGCTAAGCGATATAAATACCCCTTCCCTGTGAATAAGAGAGGGTATCATGGTAGAAGGACACGAGAGGAAGGGAGAGTGGGGAATTCTCTCGAACTAATTCCCGTCTGTTTATCGTTTTCTCTGTTTTCTTTGAATACTTTGTTCGTTTTGCCTTCTTTGTCCAAGAGTAGAGAAGGGGATCATATCATATTTCCAAATGAAACAGAAGAAAAAACTGACTTCCCAGATCCCTAGAAAAATGTATGCGAATTAAGTGGGAACATACCTATAATGTGTTCCTATCTGTGATGATTTGAGATCCATTTAGATGCAAATAGCAAAATATTGAGCTCATTCACAACAGAAACCCAAGAAGAAGAAGAAGACACGAAAAAAAATGCAATGACTTAAAAATGTGAGTAGTTTCCTGTAATGATACCTGTATTTTAATGTAGTTCATTTTTTCTGCTTAGATGGAGTTAACTTCACTCCCATTCCCATTTTCTTATGTGAAAACAATGTTCTATATTGTTTTATATTTTCAGCCAACGAACTTCAGTAATCAACACATATCACATTAAGGATTGGATAAGTTTTCATTTGGGTGAATACTCTAAATTTGCCCGCCTTTATACTAAGGTTGCAATAGGTAGATGAGCATGTGGATCAGGACATTGTGTACGTTGGTCAGTCTCTGATATCATCCACCTTATTTGCCTTAAAAGAAGGAGAAACACCAATCCTTGACGGATAAAAAAACATTGGACCAAGTGCAGCCCATAGCCAATATTTAGTATGAGGACATTATGTAAATATATATTCTACATTTTTAAGCAATAATAAAAAAATGATAAAAAATACTGGATAAAATTCTGCGTTATTTAGAGAGTATGCAAAGAAGGATAAAAGCTTTAGTTTTGTCCAAACAGGTTAATTAAAGAATGCCATCTAGCCTCGACTTTTCTTAAGGATAAAAGACAGGTCACAAGATGCTGATGATCATGTTTCCTTTTACATATACGGAAGATGGACTCCACTCAAGAAGCTATTTGTTCTGTGACTAGTGATGCTAAAAACTGAGGCGATGTGAAATGTTTTTTGTTCGACAAATGGCAACCACACTATTTGTGAACTCTTCCATGCATTGTCCAGAAAAATAAATATGAGAACTTAAATAGTAAAAGACGATTTTCATGTACCCCTTCGACGAACGAACGTGAAATATTGACCCTAATCGTGAAAAGTTGTAAAGAAGGAAAACGGAAAACCAGACATTCGAGATTAAGATTAGCAAAACATAATGGAACTCACCCTTGCCAATCTGGCCTCTTTTGATGGACCTATAGAGATTGCACTCTTTAGCAGACCCTGTGCCTGACAACAAACAAATCCCAGTCACTACTATAATTTATAAACGCCCCCTACTCTAGACTCAAAAGGGGTGCGGGTGCAAGATAATATAAACCTCATCGAGCTGATCAAGCAATTTCTCTGATAAACTGTCACGTTTGTCATCATGAAGCTTCTTCACGGTTGAGGAAGCCTCTGGCATTAGGGCACCATCGTTATCCTTCTCACTGCTGATGTTTTCTCCTTCCACCCTTTCCAAATCTAAGTTATCTTGACCATTCTTTGAGGAGATATTATCATTAACTACCTTGTCCTTTTGGGCAGCATAATCATCCTTGGGATCAAGGCCATCAGCAGATGGTGTGGATATTTCTGGTATCTTTCTGGGACTCTCGGTAGTGGCATCTATCTTGTCAACTGAAGTGGTAACTTCAGCATCATTATCAGAAACTGGAATTCCACTCACATCATCAGTGATCTCTATTGAGCCAGCATATGGTGTCTCTGTGCTTGTTTCTGCAGCAGCATTTCCGTTAGTGATCCCCAAATTTTCAGATGGAGTCACTGCCGACGCTTCACTGGAGAGTACTGATAATGTGCTGCTCAACTCTCCTTCACTGCCACTAGGTCTCTGAGGTTCATTATTAGAACGTCCCAATTGATTCTGCATAATAGGAGATATATGCAAATTCTTTCAATGAGTATGAATTATGCATGAAAGTAGAAACATAGTTTTTTTTTCCTCCAGAAGACGGACAACGTGCTTAAAATCAAAGTTACCTTCTCGTTTTGTTTTTTCTTCCTGGGTTGAATTTCTTGTCCACTGGATGATGCTATAATTGGAAAGACACAAAGAGAAAGTCAGAGATGAGCTACAAAGCCTATAGGAGCAAAGTTCACAAAAGGGTACGAGGATACCAGACAAAAAGAGAAAATTTGCCAATTATTTCGAGACATCATATCAATAGCAACGTTATGAAGGGAAAACAAAATATAAAGTACCTGATGTCTGGGATTGCTCGTCTGCCAATTCGCTAACAACGAGCTTTGCTCTACGGTCAACAACTTCAAACAGATCTAATTCACAGATCAAAAAAATTTAAGTTTCAAATATTATAATCTCACCAGAATACGCAGTAATAGGGAGAAGACTCCAAATGATCTTAGTGCAACGGCTCGATTATTGAAGCACATAGATAGTTGAACATCATCAATAAACAAAAGAAAAAAAGATGATCTAGACTAACATATGACAGAATTGTTTTCTATTAATTTCGTGATATCATCTTCCTTCCACAGTTGAAACCCTCCATCTAGCTCGCCTCCTCCATTTACAAAAAAATAGATTTCTCAGTTGACATTCAGTCATAAGGAAGGTGCAGCTGGCACGTATGGTAATTCAGCATGAATGTGTGCATAAATCGTCAGCTTCCGTAGCGCCATGCGGGCGCCGTGAACGATCTTTCTTATTGGATTAAGATCTCTTTAGGCGCTATAAATGAAAAGATAACCACTGACAAACTGAAAGTGGCCAATTTCCGACAGGTGAAACCTATTCATCTTCGTTTGCCGTCGACTTACAAGTAAAATGGTTATCCAAACGAACTTCTTCGTCGGCTTCGCTTTATGTCACATTACAATTCTTCGCAATCAAGTTTCTCCAGGAATCTTACAACAGACCGCACTATCGGAGTCCAAGACGAACGCATCACGCGAAAACACCCTCGATTCGATGTACAGAGAATTGTCGGATGAAAAACTGAGATCCGCGTACCTTCCGCGGCCTTGAGCCATGAGGCCATCGGGGACTGGGATTTCCCTCGGGAGACCGAAGAACTCGAAGGCTTCCCCCTCGTGCCTCCTCGCGAGATCTAGCAGCGGGAAGAGTGATGCATTGCGACGACAGCGACCCGGATCCGGAGTGTTCGGACAAATGACGAGGAAGTTGGGGGGGAGGAGTATTCGCTGCGTGAAAAAATTGGGGGATTCTGCAAATATATACCCTTCAGATCGACAACCGCGAGAAAATCCCTACAAGAATTCGCCCGCGTTGCCGCGGTCTTCTCTAGTCCATTCTAGCGATGCCACGTCACCATACAACCAAACTCTTGGTCAACGTTCACAGGGAATACATATAAATGCTCCATACACATTTTTAGACGACAAAATTATGTCGCACGTGCCACCAACGGGAATAGTTGCTTGCCTTGAATAGGGCTCGAGGCGGGAAGGCGTCTGGTCTTCTTCTCGCAGGCCGAGGGAGTTGGATCTCGGAGGGGATGGAGACCTTGCAGGGCTCGCCGCCATGGAGATGGTTACCGGTGCCGGCAGGATCTGGCGCCTTCGTGGACGAAGACGGAAGCGGAGGTGGACTCGATCGGGAATCCTATCGTCTTCATCTGCTGCCCTCGAGTGAGAGCCGATCGTTGTCGGAGCGAGCTCGTTTTGCTCTTCATCTCCCACCATTGGTCCAAGGACAAGGCGAAGATCAAGCGAAGGTCCGTCCGGTCGTTCCACCGCACCATCTGCCGTCGCAATGCTCTCATCTTCGAGTTTCGTCTCCGTAGGTACTCTGATTCTTCGATTCCTGATTCGTTCTCCCTTCATCTTTTCTTTTCCTGCTGCTGTTTCCCTCCGTGGCATCCACGATTTCCTGCTTGCTTGAAGATTATAGGAAGCAGCCGATTAGAGCTTCGGTAGAGCAGGTCCTCCAAAATCTGTCCGTCGTTTCCACGACTTTCTAAGCTCCGATTAGGGCTCTGCTGTTTCTCCAAACCACATCGATTCTACTCCCTATAGACCGTTTAGATCGTTTCAAGTTCATGGAAACTTAGGAAGTGATGACTCTGGCTAACAATCTAGCAGACGAGAATCAAACACTGATGAGATTACGGTACTCTCCTGACGTATGATATCGTCCAACGATTCAGATGACTACGTAACCGAGGCTGACAATGTCCAGAGGTTGCCACCAGGATATCAATCATCGCCTCTGAATCAAAAGCTTTTAGCCGGATTTGTTCCGATTTATTTTTCATGTTCATCGCAGCAGAGTTGAGATCGATCAACTCCATCGCATGCTGGAACCATACGCATGTAAAAGGGCAGTAAAGGTCATTTACGCTGAGATATACGCTCTTACTTCCATTATAAGAATGACAGCTGCTAACTTCGGCAGTTTTTTACACGCAGACGCTGAAGCGCCAGTCTGGCATGAATACAGACCACTAGCGGATATTTACATTTTCGCCGGACAAGGAAGATGATAGAAGAACAGGGAGGCCGGTGACAAAACTTGTGAGAAGCTCCAATGCCCATGGAGGGCTCTCGCCGTCCATAGTTACCTGTTCTGGAAGTTCAGCGTCCTGATGCAGAGAGCATACATGAAGGCGAAGAAGACAGCGAAGCCCACCAGCACACCAGCCACCACCCCAAGGAAATCGTAGTCGAATCCAAAGTAATCTTTGATGTAGGTCTTAATCGCCACCGGGCTCCCACCAGGAACACTAATCAGGTCGTCCATGTCCCCATACTGTGAGGTAATTAGCCCGTAGACAGTCCACGCCACCGGGCAAATCCAGTAGTACCAGACCCACCATTTGGGTATTCTCTGCAGCGCCATCGTCAGAAGGTGTCAGTGCTTGAGAACTATGCCTCTGAAGGAACGGAATGGAGATCATGGAGGGGGTGGGGGTGGTACTCACAGGTCTCGGGATGAAGAAGCCGGAGAAGAGGTTGAACAGCGAGTAGAAGGTCGCAGCCAGGATGGCGGCCACTTGGTGGTTTGGAGAGATCGACACTGTCATCATTCCATAGTAGGTGAAGTACAGGAAGGAGAAGAAGTTCACGAAGAAGAACCAGAGGAACTTCTGGGCTGTCCACTTGAAGCTCAGCATGGCGTAGACGATGAGGGTGTAGTAGGTCGTCTGTATGAACACGTATGGGATTTCCATGACCACCTGCAATCAGAGGAAACACATTTTTATCAGCATTTCATTAATCCATAGGATGTTGCCGTTCGAATCATGCAATTATTTTTTTTCCAGGGCAAACTTGGCATATCCAACATATATTGTCATGTTGCTGAAAGCGTTGACTTCTCTACCTGAGCAATAGCATAGGGTAAAGCGGAGTACATCCCAGCAGCCCTCTCTCTGTAGAACACAGTCCTCTCGATGGCCACGATTGGCTGCACTGTGGAGCAGTTGTTGATACCCACAAACAGCACTGCAGCATACATGGCTCCGATGATTGTAAGCAGATCAGTCGAATTGTTCCTGCATGATCGCATGGAATAGTGAGCATTTGAAGCATGAGCATTTGATGACTAAAGAGCTGTAGAACTTTGGCATATGAAGAATCACCTCTTCTGGCCAATCTTCCAAAAGATGGTGCCAAGCATGAGAGCACAAGCAAACGTGAAGAAGAATCTGACAAGGTTGTAGTCTGGGCTCCTCCAGTAAGTCCACCACTGCTTCCAGAGGCACGACTTAAATTGCTGAAAGGTGGGCTGGGAGTACTGAGTTGGGAACCAGAGGTCGTTTGAACCAGGGGGTGGCGTACTCAGCTCCTTGACCAGTGTTTTGTTCCACCTGGTGGTAGAAAACAATCCAGAGGATGGAACCATTTAGGAAAGTATACCAAAAACCCGGCATAAAAAGGAGTCAAGATAACTGATGCCATGATCATTAGTATGACTATTTCTTATGACCACATAAGAGAAGACTCCTCCTAAGTGGAAGCAATGCTCCTTTTACTTACTGATATAGAGCTGATGTCCTGTAGTATTCAGCAAAATCCATTCCCAGCCGTACTTCAGCTGATATTGAGCTTGCCTCCAGCATCCAAGTAGCAGGATTGTACTTCTCTTGGATTTTTGCGACACCAGGAATCGCCTGAAAGTATTTAGTCAATATTAGTTTCCAGATATATGGTTTTAGGCGCTGATGCTAGCAAAGAGTAAGCCCAAAATGCTACAGCATACCTCAAAATATTCAATAATCTTGTTCGAGTGCTGGCCTAGAGGTCCAGAGTATATCACTTGCCCTCCTCTTTTCATCAATAGTAGCTGTTAACAAAATTTTCATGAGAACTTATTAGAAGAAGAGCAAGAAATATCATAGGGAGAACTCGGCTTGTATTCCTGGATTTGTCGCTATTGACTCCCTCAAGGTAATTGAGTGAGGAGGAAGTTCTCACCTCATCGAAGGCTTCAAAGATATCAATGCTGGGTTGATGAATTGTACAGACGACTGTTCTTCCGGTGTCAACTGTGTTCCTTACTGTCCTCATGACAATGGCTGCGGCTCTCGCATCAAGTCCAGATGTCGGTTCATCCATAAAGATGATTGAGGGATTTGCAACCAGCTCCACCGCAATTGTCAACCTCTTCCTTTGCTCTGTTGACAAACCTGTGATTCCTGGAAGACCCACTATAGCATCCCTGAGATTCTCGAGCTCTACGAGCTCCATCACTTCGTCTACGAAAAGCTGAAAAGAATGAAAGAGAAAAGAGTTAGCTCCTGATCTCATGAACTATCATATGATTATAGACACTGGAGCTTGAGTATTATAATTCGTGTGATTTCTGCAACCAACGTGTTCAATCATCAACATACACTCTGTGTCTGTGATCAGAGTAGGCATTGCATATTGTTGATGTATCATTAGCCTTCTCAGTACATTGGGTTTTATTCAGCATTTCCAAGCAATCTAATCAAACTGTTAATTTTCCTAGCTTTATGACTTTGTAAAATTATGCTATTCATAGGAGTAGCTTCTATTTTTGTCATGATCTTATTACTGCATGGTTTTAATGTGAAACAGTATCAAACGATGGAGAAGACTTACCAGCTTATCTTCTTTACTGACTTCCTTGGGGAGCCGAAGGAAGGCAGAGTAGATCAAGGACTCCCTCACTGTGACCTGGGGAGAATGGATATCGGTTTGCTCACAGTAACCAGAAATCCTCGCGAAGGTCGCCTGGACCTTGTGGTAACCGGATATCTTTATGTCTCCCTCGACGTAGCCCCCTGTCTTCCTCCCTGCCAGAACATCCATGAGGGTCGTCTTCCCGGCTCCACTCACCCCCATGAGTGCGGTCAGCACGCCTGGGCGGAAAGCGCCGGTGACCCCCCTCAGCAGTTGGAGTCTGTCTTCGGTCACCCCTTGATCCTTCATTTCCTGTCAATGAAACCAGTCTTGACGATTAGTAACTGACCATGGTCCCTGATCTCTTCCCCTAGACGATGAGCATTGCTGCAAATCACTTACCGGAGGCATGTCGACGTAGTAGTTCACTTCGTCGAAGGACATGGCCAGAGGAGTGAAGGGCAAGACCATTCCTCTCTTGGGACCTGCACCATTCACCTGAGCCCCATCTGGGCCGGTGGCTCGGCTGCTCATGCGCCTGATCATCATTTCCCCTGAAATGACCCATCCATGATTAGAGAGCCCAGTAGAAAACGGTGACGATTGAATCATTCGAGGATGTCTGTGGGGAGGCTTACTGTTCTTTCCGTCAGTAGAGATTGACCTGCGCACGTTGTCTTTCCTGGAACCTGTCATCCTCAGCCTTGGCTCTTCCTTGGTCTCCTCTTGATGGGCTTCCATTTCTCCGATTGTTTCCCCGGATATGATAGCTTGCGGCTTTCCCAGCGCTGTTCATGGAAAGACGTTTAGTTCTCTGCCCTCATGTGAGGTGGAGGTGGAGGTGGGAAGGGTTCGGAGCGTCACTCACGGCTGAGATACTTGAGCGACAGGGTGAAGAGCACGTTGAAGACGATGGTGAAGCCCACCATCGCTACCACCCCGATCCAATACCAATAGTTCTTGGCGAATACGTCGAAGTTGTCGAGCACAGCCAGCCCCAGTGGCCTGTTGCCTTCCGTCTGCAAATCACACAACGGTTGAGAGAGACTAGATGACAGAGAAAGAGCGAGAGAGACAGAGGGCGGGGGGGGGGAGGTACCAGTCTGTTCATCCAGCGAGGGGCGAGCATTTCGTTTACGGCAATGGCATTGAAGGCATAGGTAAGGGGGGAAAGCCAGTAACCCCAAATCCACCAGCTCGGAATCAACTCTGCCCATAGGAGGAAAAATTTAGACGAAAATGAGAGAGACGGAGAGAGAGAAATGAGGGACGGATGAGATGAATGGTGTCGTAGAGATCATACCTCTTCGCAGGATGAAGCCACCGAGAATAAACACAATGAGGAGAATGAGAGCACCGCCGGTGTTGGCGACCATATCAGAGCGGCACACACCGGCAACGAACCGGAAGAGGCCCGCCGCCATTTGCTGGATCAGAAAGATGAGGAGCAGCTGCTTGAAGAACCTGCTGGCATCGGGGGCGAAGCCGATGGTGTAGTAGGTAATGACGACCCAGACGATTGACTCGAGGATGGAGATGGGGATGCGGAGGAGGAAGTTGGGGAGGGTGAAGGTCCAGGCGGGGTAGAACAGCAGATCCCTGTGCTTGTACAGCACCGGCAGCCTCTGCAAGGTGATCGACATCTCCGCGAATCCGTTGAACATGTTATTCACCATGCAGAACAGCAGCGCTCCTATGAAGAAGGCGCCGTCTCTCTGATCCCGCGTGTGCATCCGCGTCCTCAGGAAAACCGTCGACGCGATCACCGCCACTATGACGATCTGGATTCGCGCACAGTTCTCTCGTCAGTCCAACAATTGTCCGGCGAACCAGCAGGTGGGGGCAGCGACAGATGAGCTGGGATATCCCTCACCTGAACGGTCTTGAAGATGTAGACGAAGGAATTCCTCTTGAGGAGGAGCCACTCCTTGCCGAAGGAGGTCCTGAGGAGCTCCCAGTTGGGGACGGAGTACTTGGTGAACACCAGCGCCGCCCGGTGGCTCCGGCTCTTGTCGTATGGCATCGAGAGCTCATTCTCCAGTCGCAGCCCGACGTGGAAGCGTTTGAACCTCGCGGCGAACTCGCTGACGGACACATAGCGGTAAGGTTTCCGCTTGTCCGCCCAGTACTGCTCCTGATCCTTCTTCGACGTCACCTGAAACCCCAAGCCATTCGACATTAACACCTCGCAAACCAGGTGCGGAAACCTTCTCCGAGCTTCTGGAGCTCCGATCGGCGGCCCCTACCTCCTGGAGGAAGTCGGCGGTTCCCTTGCGCTCGGGGCAGACGAAGCCGCAGCTCTCGAAGAACTCCACCACGAACTCGCGGGGCCCCTGGTACACGATCCGCCCCTCCGAGATGAGCAGGATGTCGTCGAAGAGATTGAACGTCTCCGGCGCCGGCTGCAGCAGGGACATGAGAATGGTGGCCTCCCCCAGGTGGACGATCTGTTGCAGGCACTTCACGATCTGGAACGTGGTCGAGCTGTCCAGCCCCGTCGATATCTCGTCCATGAACAGAGTCCTGCACGGGCCCACTATCATCTCTCCTGCACCCACCCAGCCCATCAAAAATCGGCCCGTCAGCATTCAGGCCCATTAAGCCCACCAAAAAGTGAAACCCTGGGAAGGGGGCGTGGGGGCCCACAGACCTGTGGTGACTCGCTTCTTCTGGCCGCCCGATATTCCTCTCTGCATCGCATCTCCCACTATCGTGTCCCGGCAGATGTCCAGCCCCAGAATCTGTCCACACGTTTTTCTGACGTCAGCAAATCCCTCCCTTAATAGCGATCTTAATCGTGATCAAGATCGCGATTTTTTTATTAATCCGAGTTGGTGACTCGGTCTGTAAGCGTACCCGGAGAGTGTAATCCGTCTGAAGACTGCTCTCGACTCCTTCCATAGCGGTCGCCTGAGAGAGTTTCTCAGATCATCAGAGAGAGATAGAGAGAGAGAGAGAGAGAGAGAGAGAGAGAGAGAGTTACAGAGAGAGAGGGATCGGGGTTTACCTTCATGAAGAGGTCGACCTCGGCCTCGGGGAAGATGCCGGCGTCCTTCTCTCTCCTCGCCAGCTCGCTCAGAAGCTCTGCATCGGTTTGGGAAAGGGTTCTCGGATTACACCATTGACGGTGCCAGGTAGGATCATCTGAGCTGAGCTGGCAGGAGGGAGGAGGGAGAAATACCGTATCTGGACCCGACCCCTTGACACCTGGCGGAGAAATCAAGCGTCTCCTTGACGGTCATCTCTCCGACGTGGACGTCGTTCTGGCTGATGTAGGCGGCCGTCTTCTGCGGGACGAACTCGCTGAGCTTGTGCCCGTTGTAGGTCACCTCCCCCGTCACCTGTGGAACGGGAACTCGGTCATAACTCGGCGGGAGTTCCTTCAGTCAACGGGGAAGGTGGGAAGGAATCGGCGTTTTGAGTCAACTCACATTGAGACTCGGGTCCAGCCGCCCCGCTAGGGCCAGGAGGAGCGTCGTCTTCCCGGAAGAAGGGGGACCCAACAGCAGCGTCATCCTGCAGAAAGAAAGTATAAATAAAGATTCGATCGTTTTAGAAGATAACGATTTGGGCGATCAGGGAAGAGGGGGAACCCGACCCGGCCCCAGTTGGCAAACTCGGTGCGTCGTCTCCTTACCTGGAAGGCTTTATGATGCCGGAAGCGTCGCGGAGGATGGTGAGTTTCGTCGTCTTGGAGAGTTTGATGCCCACAAGACCCAGCGCTGATTCGGCCAGGTTTCGCGCCGAGTTGACCAGAGACGGCAGCGCCCTGGTGCCGATCTGGCAGTCCGCCTCCACGGTCAGGTTCTGGTATCTCACCTCCACCGTCGGAAGGGTAATCCCCACCCTGAATCGGAAGAAGGGGGTCAATCATCACCGCTAGGCATCACTAGAAGCATCTGATTGTAACGTGGGAGTAGGCAAACTCGGTCGTCTCGTCCTTTTGGACCGGGTCAAAAGCCGCGTTGGGGGTCATTGACTTGAGATGGAGCCATTCTCTCGTCGTGATCTATTCTTAGAACTGCCCAAGCCTCTAAAGGCCAGAAATTGTAAGAAAATTCACCAGCCCCGCAGCTTGTTGGGAAAGAGGTTTTTTGGGAACTCAACAACCGGGAGAAACGTTCTCCGGACGTCTACGTCTGATGGGCTCCGGATGGGAATGAGGATAGAACATGGTTTTCGGAGGCCCTCGAGGATGAGAACATCCCAAGAACATCGACATGTAATGAAATCGAAAGAGATTAATGGACGGAGACTCACTTGTCGATCCGATTCCGGAGCTTCCGCAGGAAGCGCTCGTTGTCCTCCTCGGCGACCCGGAAGACGCGCTCGATGAATTCCTGGCGCTCGTTGACTCCGAGCTTGCGGACGTCCACCTCCTTGTGGAGAAAGCGTGCCCCGGCCTGCTGCTGCTCCTCGCTGCCCTCGGCGAGGGTCTTGAAGATGCTCGTCCGCAGCCTATCGTAGGTGGGGAGCTTCTCCAGAGCGGCCCACCGCAGGGCCTCCTCGTCGTCGTCGACTCTCCGGCTCCTGTAAGACCTTGAGCCCGATCGGACGAACACGTCCTCCATGCCCCAGTTGCTCTTGCTCATGTTCCGACTGATGCTCCGGCTGAGATTCCGGCTAGCCCGACGGCCGGAATCCCACACTCTCTCCATGCTCTCCATCCGCGCGGAGGAACCAGAACCAGAGAGAGGAAGAAACCCTCCACGCCCTTGCCCTCCCCTTCCTTCCTCCGGCGCTTTCTCTCTCTACACGGCGAGGTATTGGCGATGGGGGAGAGCCTTTTCGGATTTGGGCCTTCTGCGGAGCTCGGAGTATATAAGGCGCAGCCGGAAGGGGGTGGGGTATTGCTCGCTGTCAACCCGTTAAGAAATGGCGAACTCGCGTTTGAAAGCTTCTTCATTTTCGCCCATGCCCGGCAGGTTTGACCAGCTACGGCGCGGTTGGTGAGGGAAGGTGGGGACGCACCAACGGGCATGACTCGGGGTCGAGATCGCGATCGTGAACAGGGATGATGAACCCTACCTAGCTCAACGCCTCCCGATAACCGATCCAAAGGCCGTAAAATAATTCTGGGGCCTCTTCGATGAAAACGACAAGTGGTTGGGATAGAGACCCAGAATTATATCGTTTTTAAATAAACGGAAACACTCAGGGCCAGCATTAGTGGGTCCCATCATGACTCATCAGAACCAAACTCTCGAGTCTACCAAGCCATCACCCCGACCTTCTCGTTATCCCTCGTTGACAGTGATTGACTCTCTCCCTCCCTCTCTCTCTCCCTCTCTCCTCTCTCTCTCTCCTCTCTCTCTCTCTCTCTCCTCTCTCTCTCTCTCTCTCCTCTCTCTCTCTCTCTCTCTCTCTTTCCTCTATGTATAGTCTAGCATCACACACGTCATCCTTTAGTACGAATCCTGGACAAGCTTCTTTCGATATACTAAGAAGAAGATAACTCTCGTTATATAAGAGAGTTATATTTCATTTTTAATACACGTAGCAATACTAACCGGTAAAATCATTAATTACCCATCTTTTTTTGACTGATTTGTCTAGCGATCGATGTTCCAAATTAATATTTTTTATATCGTAGGGCATTTTCTAAACAAATATATTCATTATAAATTACCCTGCATCATTTTCATCCATTAAATCCCTAAAAAACCAGGTAGCAAATTAAAAAAATTCGCCAAACCCGTCATTGTTCCCAGAAAAAATATTTATCCTGTAATTTAAGCTGATGAAATCTAATTTTTCTTCAGAAAGCTACAGAAAATTCCCTCCGGGGGGGGGATTGGGTAAGAGAAGGAAGATCCTTGCTATCCTGTGGAACCGCGCGCACGCGATTGACGCCGTCAATCGGCTCCGAGAAAATCTCCATCTGGTCGTCGGTGGGTGGCTGCGGCGGCGGCGGCGGCGGCTCGTGGGTCCGGAAATGGGTAGGTGTGCCTTCAAATCTTCTTCGTCGGAAAATCGGAGCACGTTTTCTTATAGTTACTCAGCGGGGCACCTTCGGTCAAACCTCGCACTCCTTGTTAAGACGGTCATCTCTTCTGGGCCCACTGCACCTCCCACCTGCTACGGCCACCCTACCGACAACAACGTTGGCAGCCCCGCTTGTAGGTGCCATTGAAATATCTATAAAGTTCGATGGAACACCGTGATATTATTTACTTTAATTTCATTTTTTCAACTGGATAATGAATATTACCTTGGCTTCTTCTCCCTATACGATATAATTCAGGTTAATTTTAGTTTAATGACTCCTGACTTTGATGGCTAGCATTTCAATCCTTATATGCTTCAAGTGGATCGAGAGAGAGAGAGAGAGGCTGCCGGTGGTACCTGGCTTTTGGACGTGTTAGGCGTATTTTAAAAAAAATATTATGTGAATTATTGATTAAAAATAAATAATCGATATTTTTTCTAAGAACTAATGACTAGATGCGGCTCACCTTGAAAGAAAACAAACGGTGTGCTTGTATGATAGCGTCCGAGTCACGTGGACATCGGAATCTCGGACAGAAAGATAATGTGGTGGAAAACTCTTCCCTGGCTCTCCGTTGATGTGCATTATATCTTATGACAACTTTTGCCATGATTAAGCTGCAGCATATGGTTCAGATTTTATGACATTTGACGAAAACGACAAAGTTTGGCCATGCATCGTTTACCGTTCCGTAAACGGCATGAGCTCGGTCTTCCAGCCGTAAGTTTTTTTTTTCAAGAATTATTAACGTGACATTATTTCTCCCGAATTTGGTAATTAGAATACCATCTATCAATTTAGAAAATAGGGTTGACCTAAGGAAGAGGCGGCGATACTCTTCCTTCTTGAAGTCGCTTACTTTGTACATGATCACTCCACTTTCGTGGTCATCTCTTCAGTCAATGACATTTGTCATAAACCTAATAGCTCGTTACATGGGGTGTCTACGAGTCTCCTTTTTTCTACAATTACCCATCGAAATCGTCCGAAAGCAGAAATTCGACCGATTTGGAACTTATTTCTCTTCGAATTGAGTGTGGTCTATAAACTTTGTACGGATCTGTTGAGCATTGAGGAAGAGACTCCAACCCGTTGACTCTCCGCCGACTTCCATGCGTAGCGTAGCCATGCCTACGAGGACTCCCGTCGTCCGATTATCCACTGGTTTCCCTTTCTCGGCGGGCCGTCCTTCCCCTTGCAAGGAGGGGGAAGCCAAGAAGGCCTTACCTGGTCGCCGCCGTCCTTCCCAAGGGAGACAGCAAGTCAAACTCAGCAGCTGGGAGGAAGCCTCCCCAGATTCCCCACGCAACCGCTGACCAGCCCCCTCCCGCGGCTTCCCAATGGTTTGGAAACGCCGCCGACGAGGCACGTGGGAATTCTAGAAGCGCCAGCAAGGCGGTGGGTGGTTGACCCAGTCAGCGTTCACGTTGATGAAGGGAGGGGGGGGCTTGCTTGTTCTTCCTCGTTGGAGTCAGAAGAGGGAGAACTGGGCTTGACCGAGGTCAAAGTGCCCCATGCTCTCCCGTCCTGTCGATGCGCGAGGACGGCGCCTTGAAAAGTGGCATATTTGCATGCTTAGAGGTCTTTGGTCTCCGTTGACCTGTTTGACTTTATCGCCACGAGACCAACGAGAAAACAGGTTTTGGTCTTGTGAGCGAAGCATGCTCCTCGAGAATTTTATTCACGAGTGGAAGTCCACATCATCAGACCAATGTGTTCAAACGTTTACTCTAGAAGGTCTTCCAATGTGTCGCCGACTTCCACCTTCGCAAGAGGAAATGCGCCACGGGGTATTGTGCATGCCCATACATATTCCAACAGTTTTGCTTTGCCGGCGGGCATCAAATTCAGCGATCAATTGGGACCTTCGGTCGCAATAAAGTAGGGCGTAAATATACTTTTAAAAAGTATTTGCATGTATCACTAAATAAACTGAATGGGGGGACGGCTCACGCATATCTCTCTCTCTATCTCGCTATCTCACTCTCTCTCTTGCTGGCTCATTCTACCATATTCGTGATATCTGACCAAAATTCCACCTTCCTCTTGTCGACCAGACCGTGGCCTTTGACGGGTCTCAGGACAGCCGGTGCGGAGCAGACTCGGGCGAAGGACACGCGGAAGATTAGGTTGGGGACCGAGTCCTGCAATCAGAGAGGAATCGACGTGTACCCATTTCGAAGGGTGCCCGAGCAGCCGCCGGCTAAAAAATCCGTCGGTTAAATCGTCAACGGCTCTTCTGAGCTTACGTCATCGGTGTCCTACGTCTCGGCTCCACCCCACAGCCACATCAAATGTTGAAAAAGACGAAACGGAGAAGACCCTTCAGAGAGGAAAAGCGACATCACCCAATGATCTTCGAGGAATTGTGACGGTCATTGGGTGATTTGACTCGCTGGACCTTCCGGGTTCACGAGGTGTGTAAGCCCCTAGCCGAACACATGAGATAGGCAATGGCCTGAGCTGGGTCGCATCTTCTGCGAGTTCCGGGCTCAGTGCTGGTCTCGTTAAATTGGGAGACCTCTGAGAAAGACGGGCCGAACATTTTCAATCTGGGCGCCGCGTCAGTCTGCTATCTTAACCTTGATATAGTGTCGCAGCAATTTTCGTCTATTTTTCGTACACCTATTGAGAGAAACACTTGGTCGTTTTTTCGTTCTTCAGATCATTTCACAAGACTTCTTGATCAGGTTCGAGCTTCCTTTTGAGGAAAGTACTTACGTTATTTTGGAGCGGCTCTTCTCAGAGAGACTCTCATTTTTACAGATACATCAGAGCAATTTGAGGTTTGGCCTTCTCTCTCTTGCTGAAATCTGAGTGAACCTCATTTTCCTGATATCAAACAACAATTTGAGTTATGACTTCTTGATCTCCAATTATTTTGATCAATTTATTGATATTAAAATATTTTACCAATATATTTAAGATATGGTTCATAAAGTTCATTCAAAAAAATTATTTTTGGCGCTTCTCCAATTGTTATCTAGGGGAAAATTGATTTCACCTCCAAAACCCAAGAAAGGTTTTACGTTCCTTAATGGGAAAGACATGATGCTAAAATCATTATATGGATAGTTAGTTACCAAAGTTGATCAATAGATTATTGTCCACCTCCAACCCCTTAAAATTGCTAAAGAAAGGTTTGACTACATAAAGCAAATTTATAACCAATAAAAGATCAGCTAGAGGGTTTCATTTGAATCATGAGATTGGTGATTTTTCTAGGGAAATTTTATCAATTCATAATTACTATTTAAGCCTTACAGAACTTTAGACAAAAAAAATTTGTCAATCTAAGATTACTATTCAGGATTTAGGAGTCTTTAGACAAAATCTACATATTTGGCTTATACCACTTTTCATGATGCTTCTTTGCCTTTGGTAAATTAAGTTCATGAAGATAGTCAAAGGAGACAACTTTTAATGTGGTTGTGAAGAGAATATGAACCTATTTATTCCACACTTCTAAATAAAAAAATAAAATGATTATTCCTCTAGCTTTGGATAATGATATATTACATAAGATAATAGTGTATAACACAAGTTACCCTAGAGTAAGAAAATGTTTATGTATAACTCACGCACAATGCTATGGTTGTAAGGAGTTTTTTTTTTGCATATACACTTACTACAATAAGAATTTTTTGGATATTACAAGGATTCTAGTCATGGGGATTCAGAATGTTGATGTCATCTTCAACATTAAAGTGATAAAGCTTATCACGTCACTAAAATTTATTCAACAGCAATGGCCACCTCTTCTAGTACAATTGTTTCTTCATTTGCATCAACCTCTCTTACCCTAGAGATGGTTCAATAAGTAGTCTATTTTTTTTATTTCCATTGGCTTACAAGTAGAACAAAGTTCACATCCTCAAAACTATGTGATTTTTTTCTTCACCAACCAAACTAGTATTAAAATATATAACAAAAATTGAAATTTCATACCATAAATAGAAAAAAATCCTCTCAATATTTTAACTGTCAATACTACACATTCAATACTTTTGCATGATGTAGTTTTCATTTCTTTTCATATATTAATCTTCTTTTTATGAACCAATGGATAATTATTGCTTTAGTTTCCCACTTGGGCTACATTATTATAAAATGAAGGTGATTACAAAGAGACCAAAATGTGAGTGATTATTCCCTTTTCACTTATTAAAAATTCATGAAAATAAAATCCATGGGTTTCATTTCATAATTTCTCTTCAAATATATTACGTCATTTATGGCTTAAACATTTGAGACATCCCTTTGGTAAGAGATTATTATTTATGTCGACTTCTAGTTTGTTTCCAAATCTTTGTTCATTTTAGTTTCAATACTTCTCTTGAGTGCTATTGTTGCAAGATGCCCAAAAATAGAATAACTCATTTTCCAATGCATGAGAGCCTGTCCGTCCTATGATTTTAATTTAAATTATTCCAATCTATGAAGCATTGTTCTTAACACTTCATATGTTTTTTTCTATTTTTGGATCAATTCGTTTTAAATTTCTGTTTAATATCTCATCTATCCAACTGGAATATCAATCTCCATATTTTGTTGCCTATATTTTCCATGACGATCATCCACATTTTGTGCATAGTCAACTCTTGACCCAATTTACTTATTGCATTTTTTTTATCTCCTCCCAGTCAAAGAATAATTATTGTACAATGGTCCGTGTATCAATCAACTGATCACTTCAATTAATGTTTTTATTGAAATGTAGTTTATCTTTTAACACCATATTCTTCCTACCATTTCATCTCATGTCCATTTCACATTGTTTTAAAACTTGCACAAACACATGAATTGATCTCCTATCCGACCTAAGCAAGCATCATATTCGCCTTTGAAAAATTCGAATGCCACATAGAACATTTAGAGAGTTTCATCCTCCTTATCATTATTCTTTTTCCTTATGAATTTAAAATTTTAATATTTAATTTTTTTTACTCATTTATTGTCTTTTTCCTATTCCTATCTAATAAACACACGTTGTGAAGTAAAATTTTAAAGCATAAGTCACGATGAGAGAACTACATCCTTTCAATCTAGTCACGAAAATAAAACTATTCCCCTCTCTCCTTAGGTCCATTATATTTGGTATAAAAGGATATTTGCTATCTAGCTCTAATTTAGTGGATCATTGTACATATATAATGAGTTCATGGTAGTGGATACTTTACTAATATATATATATATATATATATATATATATATATATATATTATTAGTTTAAATGTGGGAATTAATATTTCACTTATTTATGTGAATTAAATCATACTTATCAAGCTTGATTCTTATATCATTTAATATTTTCAAATGACTCTTGACATTTTTTTTTATATGAAAGATCTTAGACTTCTCACCTACCTCTTGGGTCTTGAGATTCATATAGAAAATGAAAGTTTGCAAATCAACATACATTTACTAGAGATCTAATCACAAGAATAATTTATGCATAACTAATGCAATTGTTACCCCTTTACAAATCGCAAGTGTAAAAAGAAATGATATAAATATCTTGAATGACTCATCACACTATTCTTACCTAGTATGCCCTTATTTACTTTACTATTACTTGGTGGGACATCCTGCATGCCACTTACATATTGAGTCAATTTATAAAATTTTTCATTTTCAATTATTAGTGTTGATATCATCATACACCATCGATTTTGTACAGGTGGTCAGACCTTATCCTTTCGATCATTTATGATTTGCATATCATTGGATGTTGAAAATACTAGTGCAATTGAAATTGTAGCCAACCCTATCTTCCTTATTTGTATAAAACACAGAACGTGACTATCATTCAATCTACGGGGAACATGAGAATCACATCAGCACTCTTCGTCACATACCTTCAATTCTAAAAATTTCTGATGTTTTCACAAAAGCCTTTACACACGGTTGGGATAAATCCTTCACACACAGATTGATGTTGATGAATCTGACACCAATTTGGAAGTTGGTTTTAGATTTTCAGGCTTGCAAAAAGAATAGGCTGAATATTTTCAGTGAAGGTACTATGGCCATGAGGGTAAATTTTTAAGATGTAACGTAATAAGACTTTCTGTAGTTTGAAGATTCAGCAACTCTCTTATTGCATTTAAAGTATAGATTTTCAAATGAAAGCAATGAATCTATTATACCTTTATTGAATGTATAGATAAAGAGGGAAAAAGGCGGAGAGAGAGAGAGAGATGGTTATGAAAAAAAAAACAGATTAGCAGGTTTTAATTTGGTATTGGAATAGGTCTCTATATGAAGTTCTGACATAACATTAAAACAATTGATTGGGAAAACGTGTACCATAGCTTAGTTTCAAATAATTCATCAAAAAAAAAATAATGAGCTACTAATAGGATTGGAACAATTTGAAATTTATTATGTTTTCTAATAGTTGTATTGTTTTGTTTTAACTCTTCTCAAATTACTTAAATTTTTTATCAGTCCTCTTTCTTACTTGGTTACTTGGGCTGGAACAAATCGAATACTAAGTATGCAGTCTCTTCATTTTTGTTGTTGTTGAGATAACTAAATTAATTATGATTTAAGTCGGTTAATATTTAATCTAATTAAATAAAGGCCAACTTACCCTCATGTGGAAATTTGTCTTCATCCGATAGTTATCTTTACATTTACCCCCCCAAGCCCATATATCTTATCCCTTCCCCTCATCTCTCTCTCTCTCTCTCTCTCTCTCTCTCTCTCTCTCTCTCTCTCTCTTTCTCACGGTGTATATTCTATAAATATTCTTCCTAGTTAACATAAAGTAAATAACTAAATCCAAGTGAAAAAGAAAGGGAATTACGTACATTTCATTCTGGGGGATAAAACCAAAGAACATTGAAGCTTATAACATAATCCGAGAGAAGGAATCAAACATTTTAATAAATACCCACCGAGCGTTATCATCGTCAGACTGTCCAATGTCGACAACTTTATTGGTCAAGCTTTGAATTCAGACAGGAGTTAGATGGAAGTCCACGAACAGAAAAGAAAGAGAGAGTCTAATCAGCTGATCCAAGCACTACCCAAGAGGTAGCTCTTTATATCTCTACTTTCCTGCTCTAGGTTGAAGAAAGCCGGCTCCACTTACGGAAAGACTTCCTCCCCATCCGTCGATTGTCATCATCTGAACATACATCCCCCCCCCTCCCCGCCAGTCTCCTTTCTGGTCGTCCCCTGGTTTGGGGGTCTGTCAGTTTCATGAGTGGTCTTCTGATGGCATTTTTCTCTGAACCTGTTTTTCCGCTGGGCAGTTGCTCTATCTCTTCAGTCTTCTCGTGAGAGAAGCCGCTTCGAGGAAATGCTAAGCACGGGGAGGACTGTTCCAGTTGCGAGGCAAGAGCCGCTCCCGCGAATGTACACTAGAGCATTGATAGATTCTAGGATGTACGTATCGTTCCTCTTTTCTGACTGGCACATCAATCTTTTCATACCCAGCAACAATGATCTAGTTTTCTTCAGGATTAGGATTTCGCGTGAGGATCACAAGAGCTTCTAAGCCAGGTTTAGATTCAGATGCTATAACCCGTTTTGAATTCTAATCGTTGTTAAAGCTGGAGACCCTACAGTCATACCTGAATATCCTTTTCGGTTAGAATGGGATGCTCAGGTAAGGTGCTCAAATCACGTGGTGGTCAATAATGGAGACGAAAATTTTGACATCAAATATCGCCACACATAGGAGCCCATTAGCTACAACATTTCTTTAATCGTTCCACCACGAGTGATCCTCACCACAATCATTTCCTTTTGCTTATTTCTTCCTTATTCTGATAGATCACCGACCTAAACTATGCATGACTCCTGGAGGTCACAATTTCAAAAGGGATGGTGTCCTTAGCTGTCCAGAAAATATTACAACCTCGTGTAGCTGACGTTTAGTACCTTTCATAAGCAACGAAAATGCATCCCACGGGCAGGGAGGAAGGCTTTAATAGCTGAGAGTCACAACGTTTAGGTAAGGACGGTATTCATAGACCTTAAGGTCATACTTGTATGGATAAAGTACGTTAAAGCGAAGAATGGGTAATAAGTAGATAGAACCGTAAGCCATCTGGTTTCAAACGCGATGGTCAGTCGCTGACCGGGCAGAAGCCAATTGAAGAAACCCAGTTGAAAGCATCATGCGCATCCATAAATGCTGAAGTGTTGAGAATTAGTTGTTCCATCGATGAACTATTAAACATTTTAATCCGTGGCTAGTGCTCTTCACTAAAAGCTGTCTTGGGTCAACAAAAAAGAAATGACGGTTGAAGACCACGTGAAAAAGGGGGATGCACCGTTCATGATTGCTTTTTTTTCATGCTCCTTACACACTTGTGGACATGCAATATTCTATGGGAAATGTTAGGCGCCCATGACCATTTCATTGTCTATATATATTCGATCGCCTTCTCAATTCTCACATCCCATCTATGTTTGGGAATTTGGAGATATGGGTTCCCCGGAGAAGGCCAGAGGGAAGAGGGGCACTGCAGAAATATCTTTAAGCGCGTTGTTTAGGTTCGCCGACAGGGTAGATTTTTCGCTGATGCTATTAGGCACCCTGGGAGCCATTGGAGATGGCTGTTCGACCAATTGTCTCCTTCTCTTTGCTAGCAGTGTAATGGATAGTTTAGGGTTTGGCGAGGCCCAAGGAAACCAGAACAATTTTATGCATGAAGTTGATAAGGTGAGGAGAACTAAGAGTCTTACTGTTGTTGTAGACTAAGATTTCCTGACGAGACCAAAGTTCTGTTCGTTTCTGTCTGTCCCAAGACCTCACCTGTTAATTTGTTTCTCTTCTGCCTTCCGTCCTATGCAGTACTGCCTTTATTTCCTGTATCTCGCATTGATCATCCTGGTGGTAGCCTTTATGGGTATGTTTTGGCGCTTCTCTCTCTCTCTCTCTCTCTCTTCTCTCTCTCTCCCTCGCTCTATATATCCATCTATCAATTTCTATCTCTATCTTTAAAATCTCTTTATCTCTTTGTTATCTACATCTAATTTCCAAACGCCTCTAGCCTTCGTTTATACATTAAGTCAGGGAGGAATTTATTTGTGTAGAAGGCTATTGCTGGTGTAGAACAAGCGAAAGGCAGGTGTTGCGTCTACGATACAAATATGTGCAAGCAGTTCTCCGACAAGAAGTTGGGTTCCTCGAGGCTCAGGAGGCGGCTACTTCAGAGATTGTCAACAGCATATCACAGGACACCACTCTCATACAGGAAGTCCTTGGTGAAAAGGTACCGCTGTTCTCTCCCCTAAGAATTGAAGGCTCACCTTATTTGAGAAGGAAATCTGAATCAGTTTTTATGAATAAATTTATTCAAAAAAACAGTTTTGCGTTATACCAGGTTAGTTAACTAAGCCTTGTAGATGGCATTAAAGTCGTCCTTTGTTACTTCTCCTTGACCTCCTTTGAAGAGTCTTCTCCGAGAACATCACTCCTCTACGCCTTCAGGTACCCGTATTCGTTATGCACTGCTCGGTGTTCTTCTCGGGATTAGTCTTCTCCGCATACTTCTCGTGGAGGCTCTGTGTGGTGGCCTCCCCCCTCGTTCTCCTGCTGATCATCCCGGGGCTCCTCTACGGCAAGTATCTGGTCCACCTTTCCCGCAAGTCTCACGGAGAGAACTCCAAGGCGAACGCCATCGTGGAGCAGGCTGTGAGCTCCATCAAGACCATCTACTCCTTCACTGCTGAGGAGAGGATCGTGGGGAGATACGCCGGCATTCTGGATAGAACGGTGAAGCTGGGACTCAAGGAAGGTATTGCAAAGGGCCTTGCCGTCGGTAGCACGCGGCTCTCCTTCGCCATATGGGCCTTCCTGGCTTGGTATGGGAGTATGCTCGTTGTTAGCCATGGAGAGCGCGGTGGAAGGATATACGCTGCAGGGCTCTCCTTCGTGCAAGGTGGACTGTATGTGATTCGCCCCTTCCCACTCCGTTCTCGTCTTTTCATTGACCCCGCCGACTATCCATATTCTTGCCGTACATTTGTGTTCCATGCATTCAGACCTCTCAAAACATGATTACGTGCTTATAATCACATAAGACCTAAAGTTAGGCAAAGAGGGACAGTATTATAATGCTGATTTCTGTCGCCGATTGTGTATAATAAGAGTATTAAAATACAAACTTTCTCACTAAGTCATACAATTTCTGTGTTCGATTTGTTAGCTGAATGATCCTAAAAAGGTAATTAGTAAATTATCACTTTTTATTTAAGGAAAATTTGGACTTCAGAGCACATAATTTCCCAGTTTGGTCTCTAAATCATTGTATGTTTACTAGCATTATAAAAGGATTATGATGTATGTAGTCTCATACACATGAGAAATGAATGCCTATATATAACGCTAAATAGGTTGCTCATTGAAAATTTAGTCACGTCGCCGACATATTCTGAAACTTTTATTGTAGTGAATGTTCAGAGTTGACTTTTCAATTAACTTCTTCAGATCACTGGGCTTGGCGATTCCCGAGCTGAAGCACTTCGCAGATGCTTCAGTCGCCGCATCTCGGATTCTCGAACGAATCCATCGAGTCCCGAGGATTGACGCTGAAGAGGGAACCGGTCTTCAGCCGGAGGCGATCAGTGGGGAGATCGAATTCGAGCGCGTACAGTTTGCTTATCCTGCTAGGCCAGATTCCGTCGTACTCAATGACTTCAGCCTCAAAGTCCCCGCGGGGAAGACGGTAGCTCTTGTGGGAAGCAGCGGCAGCGGGAAGTCCACAGTGGTGGCTCTGCTGCAGCGGTTCTACGACGTTAGCAGGGGTGCGGTGAAGATCGACGGCGTTGACTTGAGAGAGCTGCGGCTGAAATGGATAAGGACGAAGATGGGCCTCGTGAGTCAAGATCACGCTCTGTTTGCGACGTCGATAAGAGAAAACATTCTCTTGGGGAAGCCGAACGCCACCATGGATGAGATCACAGCTGCGGCCATGGCTGCCAACGCCCATAGCTTCATAAGCCAGCTCCCGCGGGGTTATGAAACCAAGGTGATTCCTTGAATTCCAATCAGATTTTTGTTATTGAAGGCTAAGCAGCTCTTCATTTATGCAGAACCCAACGTTCAAAAAGACTCTAATTTTCAGTATGCTGTCAAAAGCATTAAGAATTTACTTTGCCAGTTCTAGAGGACGAGATTTTGCGCGTTCAAAACTCCTGCTCATCTCCCTTTCGCAGGTCGGAGACAGAGGAGCGCTTTTGTCCACCGGTCAGAAGCAAAGGATAGCCATCGCCAGGGCAATCATTAGGAACCCGGTGATCCTCCTCCTCGACGAGGCGACGAGTGCTTTGGATTCTGTGTCGGAGAAGCTCGTGCAGAATGCCCTTGAACAAGCGTCCATGGGGAGGACGACACTGGTATGATCATCTATAGCCTTTATTGCTAAGTTATGCGTCTTGGTCCTCTTTTTGTAACCTTCTTACTTGTGAAATCGTAAGATTACGTACTTATAAATTTCATGCGACCATAGATTGCGACGAATCTTTGTGCATGATCATCACGATTTCAAGTATATTACACCAACTGAGACTTATGCATAAGCATATGTATGATTTCAATTATGTTATATCAACAGAGATAAGGACATATCAACATTGAAGAAGAATCTAAGTTGCTCCTAATGCCGTTTGCTTAATACTGTTTTTAGGTGGTTGCCCATAAGCTCTCCACCGTGAGAAACGCAGACCTGATAGCCGTCGTTGATGGGGGCAAGATCGTCGAGATGGGTTCCCACGAGAACCTTCTCTCCATGAAGAGCGGTCTCTACAATCGCTTAGTAAAGATTCAGGGGGAGTGTAGATCCGATGATCAAGAATCAGGATACGAGTCGGATTTTCCCTCTTCAACCACGAGAAGCAGTGGGGGCCGGCACAGTCCACCCAAATCAAACCTCGCCTCCCTCGATTCTGGGATATCCGATGAGATCATTTCCACAGGTTCTCTTCCTCCTCCATCCTTCTCCAGGCTTCTCGCCATGAACGCGCCCGAGTGGAAACATGGCCTCGTGGGAAGCCTCTCTGCGGTTGTCTTTGGCGCCGTCCATCCCATATATGCCTTCTCCATTGGCGGCATGATCGCGGCCTTCTACCTCCACGACACGAGGGAGATGCATGCAGTAATCGGACGCTACTCTCTGATGTTCGCCGCACTCTCGGCGGTTTCCACCGTAGTTACCCTGGCCCAACATTACAGTTTTGCTTACATGGGAGAGAATCTGACAAGGAGAATCAGAATCAAGATGCTGGAAAATATCCTCTCCTTTGAAGCTGCGTGGTTTGACGAAGATCAGAACTCCAGCGGCGCCCTGTGCGGCCGTCTGAGCAACGAAGCGGCCATGGTCAAACCCCTGGTCGCAGAGAGGATCTCCCTTCTGTTGCAGACGGCGTCCGGAGTGGCCATCGCCATGACGATGGGTCTTCTCGTAGCATGGAAGCTGGCCATCGTCATGATCGCCGTGCAGCCGATGATGATTCTCTGCCATTACGCAAAAGTTGTGGTGCTGACCAAGGCATCGCTTGACTTCATCAAGGAGCAGAACCGCAGCACCCAGATTGCTAACGAGGCTGTGCATAACCACAGGATCATCACCTCTTTCGGGTGCTCGAGTAGGGTCCTCCAGCTCTTCGAAGAGTCGCAGGAGGAGCTGAGAAAGGCATCTTGGAGGAAATCCCTGGTGGCGGGAATAACCATGGGGCTATCTCCGTTTCTAGCTTTTACGTCATGGGCTCTCGATTTCTGGTACGGCGGTAAGCTGGTCCAGGCCGGGGAGATGTCCGCGGGGGACGTATTTAAGACCTTCTTCATCATGGTCAGCACGGGAAAGGCCATCGCTGAAGCCGGGAGCATGACCTCCGACTTAGCCAAGGGTGCAACTGCGGTCGCCTCCGTGTTTCGGGTGCTCGACAGGCAAACCCTAAGTCCTTCTTCGGGCGATGTAAGTTATAATCTTCAAATTATGTGGGACAAATTCTTGCTTATCATTTGACTTGATAGCATCTGACCGTGCAGAAGGATGGCCAAGGTGGAGGACGAAGGTTGGAAAGAATACAAGGGAAGATAGAGATGAACAAGGTCGACTTCGCTTACCCGACCAGACCTCAGTGCCCCGTGTTGCGAGACTTCTCCTTGCAGGTGAACACGGGGACGAGCATGGGCCTCGTCGGAAGCAGTGGATGTGGGAAGTCAACGGTTATCGGCTTGATCCAGCGGTTTTACGACGTCGGCCGAGGAGTGGTGAAGATAGACGGTGTAGATATACGACAACTCGACCTCCGATGGCTCAGAGGTTCCATGGCCCTCGTCGGCCAAGAACCCGCGATCTTCTCGGGCACCATTCGCGATAACATCATATTCGGGAAGCCCGGGGCCGGCGAGGATGAGATCGTGAACGCCGCCAGGTCGGCCAATGCCCATGAGTTCATATCGTAAGTCTCAGCCAGTACATAATCGGATGGAATGATCCTCGATTTTCTCCCCGTTCTCATTTTTTTGTTTCTGCAGATCTCTCGAGCGTGGATACGATACAAACTGTGGGGAACGTGGAGTGCAGCTATCAGGGGGGCAGAAGCAGAGGATAGCCATAGCCAGAGCCGTATTAAGAGACCCAACGATATTGCTGCTGGATGAGGCCACGAGCGCGCTGGACTTGCAGTCGGAGCAAGCGGTGCAGGAAGCCCTAGACAGGGTGATGGTGGGGAGAACGACTGTTGTCGTGGCCCATCGCCTTAACACTGTTCACAAGCTCGACGCTATTGCCCTCCTCGTCGACGGGAGGGTGGCGGAGCAGGGCACCTACTCACACCTCATGAAAAAGAGGGGAGCTTTCTTCGACCTCGCCGCCCTTCAGAGCTAACGCCGTCATCTATATGTAGTAAAGCTCCTATAAGCTTTACAAGCTCATCGCCTATTTTGTAGACTAAGATCGTCGACAGGCAATTCTCATGATCTAAAATGAACAATTAGTGAATATGTTTCGCAAGCAATATGTAACAGATAAACAGATGAAGACCCTGTCATGTTTGTTGACAAGCAGACGAAATCTTAGTCCATCTCTCTCTCTCTCTCTCTCTCTCTCTCTCTCTCTCTCTCTCTCTCTCTCTCTCTCTCTCTCTCTCTCTCTCTCTCTCTCTCTCTCTCTATCGCTATCTATCTATCCATCTATATATATATACATATATCTATATATATATATATATATATATTTCTCTCACTACCCCCCTTCCTTGTCGCTTTCAAATAATCAATCAGAAGTCAATAATGTAAGCGAGAGAGGAGATGCCAAACATTTAAAAAACACTGTAAGCTTTAATAAGCTTTCTGGGGACGAAACACTGGAAAAGCCAGTCGACGCACTCTAACACTGTAAATTCGGTCAAAAGGCTGAACGTCCCTCGACAAACTTACCTGTTTTGGTTGTAGTTTCCTACTCAGAACCTAATGTTTCATGGCTAGCAAATGACACCATGCTGTATATAGCATAGGATGCGTACGATAGTGCGCCGTCTACATATAAAAATAACAGCAAACGTTATCCCGTCAAAAAAAAAAACCTCCACTGGCTAGCACTAGCACCGGAAGTGATCACTTTGAAGCACACTGAAGGCACCAAAGAATTGAAAAACTTCGCCTTCACCAAGCGTCCAGTCGCCTTGAATCACGGGGTTCCGTGTGCGTCAACGCATCGGAGGCAGCCCCTCCTTTGTCTATGATCCAATCAATTCCGGAATGACTTCTACTGCTCGTGGAATAATCCTGCGGAAACAAGAGAAAACGGGCCTACAGAATAAAGGCGAGACGACTCTCCACGGACGAGAATGAGGTGAAGTCGACATCACCCAAAAGCGTGAGAAGACATGAAAGATTCCTGTAGATAGGAAATGGTTCATGGCATCGCCCGAAAGAAGCTGGATTATGAACAGCAGATAGAATTTGGGTCACCTCTGCCGTAAACTTTAGAAGATCTACGTAAGATCGTCTACTGTGTTGAAGATATTGTCCATGTTTCATCAGAGAATCATCCGCGGAATATAAGCTTCGTGTCACTTCATTTTACTGCCTGTTTGAGGCGTTTCTGAGCCATTCTGTCAGAAAAATAAGACCGTTTCAGGAGATCACATCTCGAGGCAAAGCCAAAGAATTAAAAATATATATTCCTATGATAGGGACAATGAAGGGTCTTTTATTCGATAGAGAAAAGGAACCTCCGTTCATACTCGAAAGAAGATACTAACTGTGACATGATCAACTGGCTTTCTTACAACAATAACTGTACACACATATTGGGATGAGCGACGAGTCACCTTCTCACACTAGACGTTACAGAGCATGCACCACGTTGTCATTGTTTTGACTCAGCGCAGGTGCTTTCACAGCGGCATTCACATGGAAAGCTGATTGCCTTGGCGAGGATCCAAGCAGCTCGAGAGAGAGCGCAGATGGTTCAGTGCGGCCTGCAGAAGCATCTCCGAGGCTCAAGTCGGACATTCTTACGAGCTGATCAACATTGGCTGGATCTTTAGGCAGAAAAGGGGTAGGCTTCAGAATTTCATGTGCTTCCCACATCACTTGTTCCTTCTCAGCAGCAACAGCACTTGAAGGCCAGAGGGAGAGAGGGATCGGTACATAAGCAGGGAAGAATCCTGGAATCATCGGTGGAAGATTACTGCGCTGGACATCCCCTCGCACTTCCTCCGGAGGGTTGCATGAAGCAAGCTCTGGTTGCGCAGTGTCCTGTTCCGGAGATAAATGTTGCATTGGCGCTGCGTTTGGGTTCTCAGGCTTGCCAGTCGTGAAGCACTGGGCATGCTCTTCAGGGAGAGGAGCCTGATCTATGTGCTGGAACAAAAAAAAAATGTTAATTCAGAGAAGGACACAGATCATTAGACAAAAATGCAAATTATTTTTTCTCAAAACTTGTGGAGTGAATATATAAATATTATATCAGACTGTGAAGTGAATATAGCTGAGATAAATCTTCAAGAGACATCGCCATCTGCAACTTTTAAATTATCATTGTTTGTTCCCCAGAGTATCCATCAAAGGAAACATTGAGATGCCAGAAAAAAAATCGATAGATTGAATGAAAAAGCTCGAATCTTTAAAAAAGTACTAATAGATTGGGTACCCAATCTTGCATCACCACCTAGATCTGAACATAAAACAGCATAATGATCGTCTGAAAAAGTGGAAAACATTTCCAAACCTAGTCCGACAGTGCAAGGGTGAGGGTCTTGGGCCCTCTATGCTCCCTGCAGTATTCATGGACAGAAAAAACCACCACGCTACAGCACGGCATTAGTTTCATTTCTGTATTTGAAACATACTTTCTGTACAGAAAGTCTGATCAGTATTATGAGTTGCGATACCTCTATATCCTGAATCATCATTGGCAAGCATGATTATACGACTTCAAGCTACTTAGAAATAGTGAAATCGAGCGTAGACGCTGCATGTCCCCATCCATATTCTTTCTATGGAAAATAGAATCAGGCTGTTTACGTTTAGGATGGATGGAAGACGAACCAGGTCAGGAACCATGTCAAACAAGCTAGAGCGTCTTTTTCTTCTCGTCGAATTTGACTGTCTGATAAAATATTTTTGGGCATGGCTGGCAACCTGGGTTGGTGTTCTTGACACAACGAAGTTACGGGCTATGCCACGCCAATCACCTTTTCCTAGTCTCCGCAGACCCATCAGGAACATTCTGTGCTCCTCTTCAGTCCAGGGGACGCCTGAAATTAAGCATTCTTAATTTGTCAATGTGAACAGATTATATATCAACGGGAATGAAAAGAAATCAGTGCCCGAAATTTTCCTTTCCCCTGCACGACTAAAATCCGTCCAAGGCATTTGCTTTGAGAATAAATCCAGCATTTAGAAAAGAAAATTAGAAACCACCCTTTCATCAATTATGGAGAATGGATATAATAGCAACAGGCACGAAAGAGCCACCCAAAGTTGAAGAAAATATTTCATCAGTTGCTATCGAAGAAACTGAGGGTGTTTTGCTCTCTAGGATCCGTTAGTTTATGTTGGGGACTGACAGTGAGTAGAGACTAGAAAGCTTCTAAATCGTCTTGGTTCTGAAAAATTACATCACGAGATGAAGCCAAACCAGATTGACGAGATAAGTCGTCCCATATTACGTGAACGTTAGTGCATCAATTAATACACCCCTGTTTGTTCTTCTGCCGGCCCAAGTCATCCGCATAAAACGCATTAATCTGGGCATTCGAAATGACAATGAGCTCACAACCTGCAGATTTTAATCACACTGACGGTAGGGTTTCACAGGACGAGACAGAAAAACAACCATCTCTAGGTATGCGGCCTATTTCGCACTGGCATGTGGAATGATACCATTAAACAGAGGAAAAATGGAGGATGAACAGATTGATATCAAACATTCATAAGAGTTCTTCAAACTAACTGACGAATCATCACTAACAAGAAGATAATCTACCAGAGAAAGAATTCCGAACAGAAGGCAGCCATCAGAATCAAACATAATATGCAAATATCTATAATAATATCCATTGCTCAATAATAAGCTAATTTCATTTTATAATAGGGACTGCATAGGATATTCACATTTAGAACAATTCAGTATTATCGTACGGAGAGAAATGAACAGCGTCATTAGAAATCAAGCAAAACTCATCACCCTCTTATTCTGCAGTTTGGAGGAATAATTGCATGGGATACATGGCCAAATATATGGGTGCTGATCTCTGACCCTTGATCATAGGCAAGAAACCCTCATAAAAAAAAGATTCTTGAGTAGGCGTGAAATTCGTTACCAAGGAAAAAAACGAAAATAAGATGAATTTCAAAACGTAATCGATCAAAGAGGTAGACGCATCAGAAGGGCAAGATGGAAAAAGGAATAAAAGAAAAGGAAAAATAAAGGAAAAGAAAAGCCTAGAAAGCCCATTAAAGGTTAGGTGACTCAAGCAAAATAAACTGAGGGGAGCTTTACAGGACTATAGACACCACAGTCTACTGTTTAAAGCATTAAAAGGCGATTTCAATAGAAACAGGGATCGGGGAATTGAGAGGTGCGGCCCATCACCTCGTATGCTGCCCACCTTATTGGATGGTTCACAGCTTGATGCAGCAAAGAGTTAGCATCCCACGCATTATAAATTGCCATGTGGATATATATTATAGATCGAAGTATGAGCATTTCGACGGGATCTTATAAGAAGAGATCTCTTCTTCTTAACATCGAAAAAGAACTTCAAATAATTTTCAGCCAGAACAAGATAAATATTTAGAAGAAAATCATGACTTGCATAGTAATCTTCGTGGTTACAAGAAAGCGAATGAAGAAAATAACAGGAACTGCGGGCGAAATCAAACAAGGAAAATTCCCAACGAAGTTCAATTAAAAAATTCTCATTATTAAATTACGGGTGAGGTGAAATAAGAGAAACAGAAGAAAGAAACCCACCCTTGGGATGTAAGCTGGTACACAGCTTACAAAGGGTAATTAGCACAAGAATGAACAATTCCTCGCAAGAATTCGTAGGTAGAAAGATAACCATGAGGCAGGCCAAAAAAATGTCCAACCTTTCTTGCGCTCACTACGGCTGGACGAGCAAGAAGCCTGGTTGGGATCGTCAGACGCGTAACCAGACGAACCCGGGCCGCTGTCCCGAAGCGGATCATTGGTCGGGGACCCTGGGTTGGTGAAAGCCTGCGGTGAGGCAGAGGAAGAGGAGCAGTGCGAAATGTTCCCCATGCTGGCGCTCTTCTTCATGAACCCACCTTCGCTGATCCTGACCCCGAACAGCATAACCCCGCCGCCTCCCACACTCCCCCCGCTCACCCCCGCGCGAGCGGGGCATGTTCTCGAGTTGTGCCCGTTGTTGCTGCAGTGCGAGCACCGCCTCGCCATGGCCAGCGCCGCCGCCGCCGACGACAACGAAGCCTCCTCCGCCACTCCCTTGCGGGCACAGAAAAACTACGGCGCTCACGCCTCCGTAGCACTCGACCCACGACGAGCACAATCCTTCAGACCCCCAAGTTACATTTCAGCGAGAGATTTTTCAGGAAACCAAAAAGACACCAAAATTATATGTAATTACAATGTTACCCCTCTAGCCGTGACTGACCCCTGACCCAAGTTGTGGAACAGAACGCCCCGGAATAAAAAGGATAACCCGACCGACGTAACCGCCGTGTTGGCTTCTGTCGGACGGCTGCGGAGCAATTGATCTTCTCGGTGGCCCGCGGTTCCTCCCTACCCCACCTCCCCCTCTTTTTCCTCGTAACTCCATAAAAAACCATTTATTAAAACGTAAAAGCATTTATTATTAAATTAATTATCACCACCATGCTTCGACAAATGAGGAGCCGTATTCTGGTGGAGTCCCCCGGACTGATTCGTGGCCTGGCACGGGGTTGACCACCCAGTCCCCGAGGCTTACTGAACCTTGACCTTGAAAGTCAAACTCCAGACCGAGGACGAAGGGAGAGGGAGCAGCGTAACGAAACGGTGGGTCAACAACTTGGACTGTAGTTGTGGCGAAGACAAGTCAACAGGGCACGCGATTTCATGTTGACTGGTCTACGGGCTTGCCGACCAACGCGGATCAATTGCCGTGAGGTTTCCCCAGTTTGCGAAGAGCAAGAGAGCGTCCTCGGGGACAGCGGTCAACGCCTCCTCCGCCAGTTGGCCGATCTTCCACAGACTCAAGCTCAGACGTTGACTCCAGCAGTCCCGCCCGCCGGAGCAGCGTGATTTGCGGCGGTGCGTGGCGGCGTAGGGCTGTCTCTCCTCATCCTTCTATCGTTTTCACCGCCGCCCCTTTTATTTCCCTCCGCCCGCCGTGCCGATCTGGCTGCGGCGGCGGTGGCGGCGGAGTTTTCGGGGTCGCCTATCTTTCCTGTGTTTAATTTAATAAATATTACAAAAACTCACCAATTTCATCGTTGTCGGAAGCGGGTTTTTTCCCGTTGACCATTATGGGCCTATATGGGCTTCATGTGGGACATTTCCAAGGCCCAGTGGGACATCAAATTGGGCCTGGGCTTGTGGTTACAATCCCTCGTGTTTTTGTAACTATTTATTCAGCTGGTGTATATCTGTAAACGAATGAACTACCATATCACGGACTGGTTTGGGGGAACTTCGTTGTCAATACGAATATATAGTTTTAAAAGGTATAATAAAAAAATAATAGTTATTTAAGGAATACAAGTTTAATCACGTAGATGTTTCTTTTTTTAGATACTGAATCAGCAAAACCTAGGGTGATTTATCTGCGACCGATGATATTTTTCTCTCCTTTGGGCACGAATCATCTGTTGTGACGCTGTAACGAGGAAATTTCATCGAGGAACAGGACGATGCGGAGGAGAGGAGAGTGATTTTGGCGCGAATCGCCTCCCCACTGCTCATTGGCACGTTCTGGGGTCTCCCTCTCGTCTGCGAGAGTCGTTTGCCGGAGTGTAGAACGATGGACGAGGAGAGGTTGCTGGAGAACGAGAGGCTTCAGATCCAACTAATAAGAGAGCTCGACATGGAGGAGCTCGAGGTGGAAGAAGTCGACGGGCATCATGACCTGTCGTCAGACGATGAGAGCGACAGTCCAGGTGCACCATTGCTCCTACTTTCTTCCATCTCAATATGTCCTTCTCTGATGCCTTTTTCGAACTACTGGCGTCTAGGGTTTCACCGGGTTGGACGACTTCAAAAATGTTTATCGAATTTCACGATTCCTCTTTCCTCCATATCGAGGACATGCATCGACTTCTCTTGTTCCTTGCTCGCCGATGCGTACGTATAGCCTTGAACGGGTCACAACGTCGCTTTAATCCACGCAACTTTAGCTCGGTAACTTGAATACGTGGCGCTGATGCTGCATGCAGAAGTGTGCTATCTTGCTTGCCACTGGTCTGATAAGGCCTTAGCTGGATAAATACGAGATGTCTCATTAAGTTTCTTATTTCTGGAGAGAAGAATTTTCACGTTCTTAACCTCATAACTTTCTGTTTTCAATGGAAATGCCCTCCCTTAGTTCAACGCGGCAATTACTTGAGTGTTGGAATGGACCGGAATCACCGCAGTTGGATCCATATAAACTATCTAGGGCTTTCTTTTGTGTATATAGGAACTCTTTTGTAATTAAACTTGTCGAACTCTTTCTTGCAGAATTGGAACCCAGTGGACCATAATCCCTTCACTCCTTTAACCCAATGAAGTGGAAGTGTAGGGAATACAATGTTCATGGTAAACATGAAGCAGGAAAAAATTCGAAAACTTATTTTTGCCCATAGGACAAGATTATGTCTCTAGTTTCCAATGCTTCGGCGCAAAACCCAGAAAATTATTATTGCTATGAAGTATCTTTGATTTTTTTACTTCAAGCTGATTGTTAATATGATGTTTCCTCTCTTACACGCATAACAATCTACTACCTGTCAAAATCTCAGTTCAGTTGCTTGCTTCAGTCCCAATTTTTACATGTCGAAATATTTTTTTCTTTACAATCTTTACAATCTATTTTTTTTTTCTTTCACCTCAATCTCATTAGATCTGATTTAACTGATTCTCTTTCCCGAAAGGGGAAATGTAGATGCAGCGTCTGGCTCATATGTTGCCTTCAACACATCTCTTGCTTCTCTGCATACATATTTGGGTGGTAGGTTTATTCTCTCGTTCTTATTCCTCTTTCAGTGTGGTCTGTTTTCGTTAGCTCAGTAGCTATATGCTCTCATATTGTGTCAGAGGTCGACGATACTTATGGTAGGATGACATCCTTGGATGGTGGTGAGATATTAACCTTGCCGATGTTTGATCTTGAAGGTAAGTTTTTTAGTATTTTTACTATCAAATGGTTCATTATGATATGTATCGTTTAATATATTCATGTTCTATTGTCTCAATGAACTTGATTATGATATACCATCCCAAAATGCTTCTTGTGAAGCAACATGTGCTATCTATTTAAAGGTTTTGCAATAATTGTTTTGGTTGTAGTTAGATCTTTGTCATGTGAAGTAGGCAGTGAGCATACTTTAAACCGTTTGCATGGTCATTGAAAATCGAATGTGAGAGAGCACGACTTTAGGTTTCAATGATCTTGCTTTTGTGGGAAAAAGGCAAAAATTGGATTCTTGTGCTTTTGCCTCTGAAATTTCGATATCTGATTGGCTTTGTTCTCAAAGTGCGGTATTTGTAGGCCCGTTCAGGACTTCCTTTTTAGGGGTTATTTCTCGTAATTTCTTGAGATATAACTGGCCCTTAGTGGACTTTAAAGAGTTTATAAATGGAAATATAAATTTCAGATGTTTAGTTAATTTTAAATTTGTGAATAGAATGCATCCTCAGAAAAGGATTAGCCTTGTTTTCTCTATTTCCTTTTTATGGAAAATAATCACCATGAAATTTGTAAACGGATTTCACTTTTAATCTCCCAGATCTTGTCAGAATTCTTAGGGAGCGACCCTAAGTGTTTCCCCAGTCCTTTGGAGGCCAGTCTTTTTATGCTTGTCAAACTGATTCACCCATTTACAGTCTAGTATTCTCCCAAGAAAAACTAACTTCTTGAAAACATATTACATAATTTGTTAAGTTCATCTGTTTTCCCCTTTGCTGAATAAAAAAATTGACCATTTCTTGCCCAGGTCCTTCCCGCCTCCCCGAGATAACTCTTTATTATTTACTTGTGGATAAAAAAATTCAAAACATTAACGAATGCTTAAACAACTTGATCAGTTAAATGAGTATAGATTAGTATTGTGGCACAGGCATCAAAATCAAATCTTTTTCGTATCCAGAAATAATACTAATTTAAATACTACAGCATCATCGGGTACATGATCATATACTTGTGTCGCCTAACATCATTATTGATATCTCTTACTTCATTATGTAACATTAACATCATTCGTGGAGTTTGTATTTTATATTCTGTATGTACACAATTTCTCTCATATGACGAAAATATAATTGACTCGCCATGAAAGTATGTATTTTTCATGTTGAACTTTCGCTGCCTTTTTCTTTTCACAAGATCTGTGTTCAGTAAGTGTGCTACATCATCTGAGGAATGCCTCAGCTTGAAGTTAGTGAGAAAGGTATATTATGAGCTGCATGAATACAATATGGGCAAAACATTTTGTTCCCGGATGCCCTTCCTGATGAGAAACCTCTTTATTAATTCTTAGAACTAGTAGTATGAATGATGATCTATGTTACTACTGTTTAAACCTATGTTTATATTTCTTTGCTATTATTATTCACTATCTGTATTGACAGTTAAAATTATCAAAACTAAAATTTATAGTTTTCAGTCTTTTTTTTGGTTTGTTTTCTTTGAATGTGGTGGTGTTGCTGAAAGAACCTTCGATTCATTTTCAGTTAGATTGCCATGCATGTTTTCACTAAATTTAATCATTGTTTTCACCCATGATTTTCGATATCAGGGGTTGTTCTGTTCCCAGATGCTACACTTCCACTGAGAGTTATTCAACCTAGACTGATATCTGCTGTGGAAAGGGCAATGACCCAGACTGACTCTTGCTATACGATTGCTGTGGTATTCCATGTTCTTCCTTAATTCTCTATAATAGTTTCTCCATTTTCTTTCCCTCTATCTTCTGTCAGACTCAATTTGACAAATATATAAATTTTATGAGAAAACGACAAGTGCAGGTTCGTATTGTGCGGCAATCAGTGAGTGAAAGGTTTCATTTTGGAAGGCCTAATTTTGCAAGGATCGGGACAACTGCTGAGGTTTGTGTGTTAGCTATCCCATGCTCTTTGTAGAGAGAAAATAAAAACGCATTACAAGCAAAAGAAAGAATGGAGGATACTGTTATAATATTTTATTTTATGTCCAATTCCCTCCTTGTCAGAGCCGCTAAAGTCTAAATTCTTGGTGAACTTGGTGGAGTTTTCTTCCTTTTTCAATGCCCCCAGAGATGCATTACCAGGTGCTTGTTAATAAAAGGAACATGTGCGACTAGTTTGCACGGCTTCTTGTTTTCATGGTGCAAGGAGCTTAGTAGATACTTGTTAACGAACGGAGCGTGAGTAGCTGCTCTATATGGCATCTTGTTTTTAGATTTACCAGTCCTTATTTGTGTTTTTATCAGAAAAGAATCAGAAGAATGCAATTAAGGCAGTCCTGTTCCACATGTGGACGACATTGATGAGATGCGATACCAAGGCAGTTTTTCCAACTGGATGATTGCGAAAATTGTTTGGGCTTAAGTTTCTCAATGGCGAGGACTGGGTACAGAATTTAGCAGTGTTCCTGATGGCTGACTACTGTCATTGGTTCATCTTTTCATCAGATGTTGTACTCAATTGAAATAGTTATCGGTGGTACTACCACACTCTGGGCTTTTTTAGGTATTCCATCAAATTGGGTAAAATATTGCCTTCACGGGCAAAACTTGCATTTGTCAAGCAATATCGGAAAGGGTACATCAGAATCCAGATTTAATGTTGGAATGATGTCCCCACTTCTAATTGCATTCTCACGGACTTCACTCACATATGGCAGAACCAGTGAAGAGCAGATTGTGGAGGTAGGGGGTTCATTTCGGTAATAAATTATGGGTACAGATCAGGATTTATGGTTTCTAACTAAGCCCTTGTTTAGTAGATATGAGAAAAATGAAATGGGAAAACATAGTTGTTGTCAGAGGTTATGAAGGAAACATAAAAGTAGGCACTATGAAATGTTGTCTCTAATCTTGAGCTTGGGGATGGAAGATCTGTTCTTTTAGGTAGTGTTGGGAAATACCATAATTAATGAAGCCTCTGTAAAAGCAAGCCTTTTCTCAATTAGTGCTGAGAATTTTGTAAACCAGTGAATTGCCACATGATTGAGGGAATGTCTCTTCAAGAAGGTTCCGATTGACTGAAAGTGTGTAGGTTGACTCACCTGACCCCGCTAGTTCCTTCAGCTGACGAGGTGATTCTCCATGAATTGATTGATGGATGTTGTATCTTTGACAAGGGCTAGGTAGACGAGTATGTTGCTGTGGTTCGCTGTCACATTATCCCACTAATTTATCATGGGCATTTGGGAGATGCCTGCCTGTTGCCACAAACAGTAGAGTTACTACTTCGCCGAATATTAGTTTTCACGGGGAATCTAGGTAGTTCTGTGATTAGAGACGGTTTACAAGTCTCTCCTTTTATTGTAGGTAGATCAATATGATTTGGGTAGATGTGTGTTTCTTGGTTTTCATTATTTTCTCTCACATGGTTCAATAGAGGAGCCGTATGGGGAAAGGAGATGATGTCCAAAAGATGCACATGATCCAGAGAAGATAAAATAGCTTCTGTAGGAGCTGCATTTTTTAAAAAAGTGTTTGATTAGTATTTTTATCATTTTATATTTTGATGGTCTTCCCAATTTCCCTAATTTTCCCCTTTTTATAATTTTAGTTTTGATCCAGTTTACCGTATATCTTCAGTAGTAAATAGCCTGGCTAATCTGGAGCTAGGTCGGCTTTGTTGACTCTAGTATCCAAACCAATTCGATAACTCTTTTGTCACCCACAATTTGCTTGCTCTTCAAGTTACAAGTTTCTCAAGTACCAGAAGCATATGCGAGTGTCTGAAGTAGTCCTCCAAGCAGCCATTTACGATTACCTGGGAAACCAGTGTTTTTGCTCTACATCATTGGACTATTCTCGTTTCTTGGTTGCAACCGTCAAGACTTGCTATGAGTTTTTTTATCTGGCTGTTAATATTCTTCTGCTACCGTCTTATGCAAAATTTTGTACTTGACTTAATCCTATTAAGGATCTGAACTTTTCTATTCATTGCTCATACTTATGGTGTCATTTCGGTTCATATCTTCATTGCTAGAATAAATAAACACAATTATTATCTGCAATCAATTGTCCATTCGAAAACATAGGTGCTGGATTGAATCATCCTCTATCCCCTAGCTGAGGAAAACTGGACTTATTGACTGCTCTTAAAATTCTTTTGTCATTTTCTGCAAACTTGTCTTCTAATCCTTTCTTAGTTCTGCGTTTCTGCGATTTCAGTGCAATGTCTCTTGTACCTCCTATGATCTTAGAAACACTTGATATTTTCAATATGCCTCTTAGATTCGTCAATTTAAACGTTTGGAAGATGGTTCGTTAAACGTGGTTGCTCGCGGTCAGCAACGATTTCATTTACGGCGCTGTTGGATCGATGCTGACTTGGTGGTATGAAAAGTTCATTGCTCCAATTGAACAGGGGAGGATAGCCACCCTTCCTATTGTTTTTCTATGACGAACTAGTGATATACTAGTCTTACTATCTTGCAGCCGTGTGCTGAGCTCCAAATTATTAACGAAGATGAACCTCTACGAACTCCTAGGGATGCTTTTGCACAATTGGCTTCTGTCGCCAATCCTTCACATGGCCATAGAATATCACATGCATTGCCATCAGAAGCCTCACCAGGCAAATGTCAAGATGACGATGAAGAAAATGATTGGGAGCGTACGTATGATATGAGCCCTTTATGTGATCATTCAGCCAGAGATATGAGGACTCGTCTGTCATTAATTGATTCTCCAAGTGAATATGGAGTCTCTGAATATTGTACAAGTAGTGATGATGATTTTGAGCAAGAAAGGAAGCAGAGGTTGAAAAGCTGTCAGCGTGATAGTCCTGACGAATTATATCAGCAGCAGAAGCATGGAAGAATGTGTGATTCTGGCGGCACTATCCCTCTTGTCAGAAAAGAATCTCTTCCTTGTAAAATATCTACCATGCGTGAAGGGCAAGAAAGATGTTGGGCTATCAACGGGACAAAACGTTCATATCAGGCCCCATTGTCTTTCTGGTCCCACTGGGTCTACCGAATGTACGATTCATTTGCTCTTGCTCGGAGAGCTGCAGGTAATACTGGCATTTCTTTTTGAATTCCTTTACCTCATCCCTCCCATACAGTTAATTTGGAGTGTTCCCGAATGACTTAGCGAATTACACACTAACCTGAATGTTTGCTCTCTAGGCAACAGGGTCTCAAATGTTGTGTTTTTTCTTGTACTTAGTTGTTGTTTCTGGTCATACAGCCTTGCACCTTCATATCATACTCAGTTCATGGAAAATAGGAAACGATTGTATGATGGCTGATAATTTCATTGGCCTTCAAGAAAGGACAATTTCCATGAAGCTCGAGGATAAGCAAACATCCTCTCACTGTTAATGATTGATTAGTGGGTTAATGAACTTCTCAAATGTTTTTTAAAACACAAGATCATGTCTAATCTGTGGACTGATGGAATCATATCAAAGTCCCAAATAGCTCCATGGTCATTACTTGTCTACAATTAATTTTGAATTCAAATCCTTGTCAGATATGCCCTGGGCGGATCAGACATTTAATGTTGTAGGTCTTGTATTCTAGGTTAACCTACGTCTTGTACCTTACTGTTGTGAAATTATTGATGATAGGCAAAGTGGTACCTCTGATATCTGATGTAGTAAAAAATGATTCTGATGCAAACACGTAAGCTATTCTTCTATCTAGTGAAAGTTTTAATTAGGATATAATTAATGATTTTTAATGGCGAAACCACTGTCCGTTCAGGTATTTTCACTGTTCGTCCTTTTTTTTACAGCATGATTTTTGCATTGTATGCGTTGCTAGGATTTTTTTTTTTTCTTTGAAAAGACTGATACAAGGATCAGACGTCAACTGCTTAAATCAGGCATGCTCCAGACCTGTTATGCCAGCATGCTGGCGGTGTGATACCCAGCAGACGCATGCTGCTCCAGCTACACATTGCCTTCGTACATATTGATTTCCTGTCTGTAATGGGTGCCTATTTCATATTTGTGGAGATTCTCAGGATTCATTAATATAGAAGATATTAATTAATAATAAAGATTTATAAGAAATAAAAGAAACTCTACTACGAGAAGCTTCCAATAAAACCTGTCTGCATTCGAATCGGTTCCGGATTCGAAGAAACTAAGCTAGCAGTTAGTATGCTCTTCATGTTCGGCAGCTCTGTTCTCCTAGTGATCCTGTTCCTTTGGAAATCACTGGCTTGCAGATATGTGGAAGCAGATAATCGGAGCTCCTAGCATGGATAGTCTTGTTAAAAAGCCAGGTCTTCTGTCGTTTCATATTGCTAGCAGGCTTCCTCTCTCGGAGTCCACAAGACAGGAACTTCTGGAGATGCATGGAATCTCATACAGATTGCAGAAGGAGATTCAGCTGCTTGAGCGCTTTGATCGTGTTCGCTGTAAAAGTTGCCTGGTAATCTCTCTCTACTGTTCAAATATTCCATTAAAACCTTTCTGTCTACTATGAAGATTTTCTAATGAAACCAATTATCTCCCTCCCCACCTTCCCCTTCTTCTCAGACATTGATAGGAAAGCGACGTGATATGGTGGTAATGTCCGCCGATGGGCCTCTCAACGCATACGCAAACCCAGGTGGCTACGTGCATGAGATCATGACTCTGACCCGAGCAAGTGGGCTGGCGCTTGAAGGCTCTCCTGTGAAAGAACACAGCTGGTTTCCCGGGTATGCAATATGGTCTTATGCATTGCCTTCACCACGGACACACAGCCACCGCCTCTGCCACTTGTAGTTTGGTTGGTGGGATGCCCTTAGATTTGATGCATTTGTTTATGACTCCTAAGATCATTCATTCCGGCCAAGTCTGCAGATTGGGACGACCACCGACCGCCTCTTTTAATCCTTTTTCTGCGGGATCCCCCCGCCCTTGCCCTTGCAGGTACGCTTGGACCATCGCCAAATGTGCGGCATGCGAATCTTACATGGGGTGGCTTTTCACGGCGGCCAGGCCGAGGCTGCGACCCAAGTCCTTCTGGGGCATCCGCAGCTCCCAAGTTCTGGACGACACGGCCGATCCACGCCACGATTAACACAACAGCGGCAGCCGCTTTAGGGTTGGAAAGAGAAAGAAGTCTGCGGTTTCCTTTGTGGATAGGTCCTTGTCAAGTGTTCATGAGGAAATAAAGTATGTGGTTTCTGCCAGCTCCGTCGTGCCGCTGCCACGCGGCGAGAGATAGCTTATGCACGTGGCAAGCAATTTGAATCCCTGCACTTGGAATTTCCCGCATAGGACACGTGTCTTGGTGTAGACTCTGCAACCGGGTCAAAACCCGACCTACCCGGCGAGACGGCCTCGTCAAAAAAGGAGCCTCTTTTTTCTTCCCCCGTATACCGCTTTGCGTAGTCCTGTAGAACAGGTCTTCCCGGCGGCAGAGGAGGTCAGGGTCGGCTCGTTCAGCCGCGTCGCACATAAAACGACGGTCGATTTGGCGCTCCTCGTTGTACAGATAGAAAGATGGTAGAGAGAGAGAGAGAGAAAAGGGGAGAAGAAGAGAGGAGGGGAGCCATGGCCTGCGCAACCGATGGGCCGCTGCCGCTGGACTTCTTCTTCGACCTCGATCTCGCTCTGGCGCCGTCCACAAGCAACGCTGCCATCCTGCGGTCGCCGGGGCGGGTGGTCGCGGGCATGCCCACCGCCTCCTCCTCCAGCAGCGGCGCCCCCGTGTGCGCCATCTGCATGGAGGGGTTCGAGGACGGGAGGGAGACTCCCTGCGGGCACGTCTTCCACGACGAGTGCATCTCCTCCTGGCTCGGCCTCCAAAATTCCTGCCCTCTCTGCCGCAACCGTCTCCACTCCGAGGATAGAGGAGAGGGGGCTCCAGGTCAGGCGTCGATGCCCGTGTGTGCTGTTCCTCCGAGTTGAGTGCCAGAGGAGCAGATGCGAGTTTTCAGCTCTTGCTCTTGCATCATGGCTGGAGGAGATTAGTTGGAATTTGCTTTTAATTCATTGTCTTCGGGCCTCTTATTGCCGATCGATTTTGGGTTCTTTTCGCTCTTATCCTGAGAGGCTAATCTGGATTTAACTCCCGGTCTGAAGCAAACTCAAATATTTTGGCGCTGACCCAAACACCCCTCAATGAGCCTAACCCTAAAATCGCCGTGAGGCTCTCTTCAAGCTAATCAGATCGACCCGTATCGTCAACGATGTTGCTTCGTCATTACGGCACAGGCCCTATCTGTGCTCTGGCGGTTCGAGCTGAACGAACTCATCGGCCTTTCCTTTTTTATCTGCGCTGACCCAGCTGGGCTACTAGCTGTAGGAGGAAAATCTCTTTTGCTTAGATCCGGGATTGAGGGGGGGACCACAACAAGAATGTTCTATTTTATGACGAGATTAAATAGGATCTGAACGATCAGAGGTGTTTATCCCGTGTTCTCAACGGGCGCACAAAAATGTATGTAAAATATGTGAGCAATATTGATACCATCGGTCGATTAAATTCGCGTCCAGCACCGATGGTATCAATATTGCTCACATATTTTACTTACATTTTGAAACCGTTTGATATATACATCAAATTTATGTGTCTATATCCACGCCTTTTCCATTTGATATAAATGTGTATATATATATATATATTTACAAGATATTGAAAGTCTCCAACGGAAAAGACTGATTAGCCCCTAAGAAATATATAAATATAAATATTTTTTATATAAAATCTATTTAATATAATTTTTATTTTATATGTAATAATAATTATTATAAAAATAAAATATGAAAAAGAACAGTATTTTATTTATTATAGGATTATTTATAATCTAAATAATATAAATCAGAATTTTAATATTAAATTAAATACCCAGGCTTTGGAGATATGTGCCTTAAAACTCCCAAAGTTGGACTGGTCAAGTCGACTTTTCTTTGTGACTTTGCTGTCAATCGCACGGAAATCGCCAACCGGATCGATGTCCGTCTATATTCTTGCCTCTGTGGTATATACTCTGCTTACCTAAAATGAGACCGACAACTCACGCGATAGAGACTTCACGCCAATCCCCCACCGGCAGTGAATAGTTGACCCTCGTTCGATGTCGAAAGAGTGCTCCCAGCAACGCCGTCCTGTCGTCTCTCGACAACGTGACGAACGCATCAGCGGGCCATGGAACTCGCAATCAAAAATGCGGTAGGAAATCTTGGGAAGAAACGGCGGCCATGGAAAAAAACCCATCACCATCAGTATAATTTGATACTTTGGAACTAAAAATGTCAACGCTTGAGCGATATCTGTGCAAAATGAATGAGAGGGGGTGGGGGGGGGAGGAAGTTCTGAGAGCAAGAAATAAACCCGATATTATTCTGGACTAAAAAAATAAAAGAATCGGAGCTCTCGATGGTCAGCGGTAGCTGCGGTAATTGGGGCTGTACATGCAGCTCTCGGCATACTTCACCAGATTGGCAGGTCGAGGGAGACGAGTCGCCAGCCCTGCAGAAGGTGGAGGAGGCTGGGTCAGTTCTAACGGCGTAATCATGGTGGCGGCCATAGTTTAGGGTTGTAAACTCTCAGGGAAGAGGAACCCACCAAGCTCGTACGCCTTGGCGGCCACCTCGGCGGCGATGTGAGCTGATATCTTCCTGATGTTCGAGAACGGGGGGTAGATCAGTCCCTTGTCGAAGTTCTCCTGCGTCACCTGTCTGGCCAACGCCTCGGCTGTTCCACCATGGAAACAAAGATCCACAAGAAGGTTAGGGTTGACCCACAGACTCTGCGAGATGGCTGATACCGTGAAATACTAGAAGATCGGCCTAAAAGATCAGAGGAAGATGACCCTCTACAGGGGTCAGCCAAGACCAAACGTGGGGATGTGATGCGATCCTCTCCCACTGGTGCGGTTCAGGCATCTTAGTCTACTTACAGGCTGCGAGAAGCATGTCGTCGTGCACCCGTATGGCTCCCGAGATGACCAAGCCGAGCCCAAATCCCGGGAAAATGTAAGCATTATTGGCCTGGATCAGACAGCAAGGAGAAGAAAATGGGTGGGTCTCACTTTGCTTTTCCGAGAAAGAGGCGGCAAGGTGGGTTCCAAACCTGTCCGGGAACAAAAGTCTGGCCATGGCATTCAACCGGATCAAACGGGCTCCCACTGGCGAAAATTGCTCGGGCCTGGAAGTTGACCAACAAATGTCAACGGAGACCGAGTCCTAGTAGGTGGGCTCTTCAAAGAAAGAGCTGATGATACGTTCTACACGAACCTTACTCCATTGGTATGCCTCCTCGGCAGTACACTCCGACTGAGACGTTGGGTTCGAGAGCGCGAAGATGACGGGCTTCTGTGATTCGTTCTCATGGCGACGACGGGGAGTTAGTTTCCATAAATCTGAGGGCAAAGAGCAGAAGGAGAACCAGCGGAGAAAAGTAGGAGCACGAGCTAACCTCGTTGAAGGAGGTCATGGCCTCTATCACCTCCTTTGTGAAGGTCTTTCCCGCCCCGGACGACCCAATCAACACCGTTGGCTTGATTGCCTAAAGAGACGACGAACGTAAGAATCCCCTCCACGAAGAGAACCACAGAAGATGCACGAACGGGAGATAAAGCTCTGTGATCGAGTGCGAGAAAAAATATCTCAGAGACAGAGGAGATATAAACCACGCACCTTCACAGCATCTAGGAGCCCCTTAAGATGCTCATGTTCATGAGCCCAAGGCTTCTTGAAATGCTGGAGAGATTCTTTCCGGGAGTCAACGATCAATCCCTACGTAAGAAAGGCCGTATATGAGCCAAACCTGTATAACACAAGAAAGAGAGAGAGAGAGAGAGAGAGAGAGAGAGAATGATGAATGCTACAATTGACCTTGGAATCCACCAGCCAAATTTTCTTGCGAGTTTCTTCCAAGGGAGCCTTTGTCTGCATAAAATTAATGCATTGATTCTTCATCTCTAGCACAGTTAAGCTTGAGGCAGCAGGGACTGATTGGACGAATAATTTCAGAGTTTCGGGGAAAATTAAATCCTCAATACCTGCCGCGACATCTCAAGGGCTATGAGCTCTGCTATCCCTGTACCTGCCTGAATATAATATGTAAGTAGATGAAATCAGCCTACTGACTACAAGGTTTGAATACATGATATTGGTTAAAGTACAGCATGAGCTCCTACTGCACCATCTTGGGCGGACAAGCTCAGGCGGAAAATGTAAAATAAAGTAGAAGAGATCTTGGGCAGAACAAAGGTAAAATCATTGAGAAGGGACAGATATAGACCTCACCGGCACCAAGGAACAGGAAAGTATGTTCGGCCAAGGTTCCTCCAACCAGCTTCAATGCTGCAACTAGACCTGCGAGGACAACAGATGCTGTTCCCTGCGACAATGGAGAGATGTTTTACATGGCTAGAAGCTGCGTATTGAATCATTTCCGGGGAATCAAAAATTTACTGTGCTAAATTATTGAAACCCAAAGTTTACCTGAATATCATCATTGAAAACAAGATGAGTCCTACGGTATTTCGCAAGAAGTTCAAACGCATTATGATTGGCAAAGTCTTCAAACTGAGATGACACTCATTCAAGTAAATATCTAAACAAGTATAGAGCGAAAAAAATAAAACCTAGTGGTCAATAGGCGAAGTACCAACCTGGATGAGAACTTTCTCTCCGTAATTCTGTTTAACAGCGGTCATGAATTCATCCATAAGCTCAGCATACTCCTATATTCGATACACCAGCCACAATCTTGATTAATTTAAGCATAAGATACTAGTAAGAAATGCTTGCAGAAATTTGACATCAGGAGGGAGGTGCAAACCTGCCCATTAGCACGCTTCTGCCTGAGCCCAATATAGAACTCATCGTTCAGCAACTTCTCATTGTTTGTTCCAACATCAATCATCACAGGCAAGCACTGACAGAGGACGACGAAGTTCTCAGATGATAATTATTTTCGTATTACTTCAAAACAGAAATAATTGATGCTTGAAGGGCTATCAGTGCAAAGAAGTAAGTCTTCCACTAAAGGAGATACTTACTGCAGAAGGACGAACTCCTCCGAGAGCTGTATATAGAGCAAGTTTCCCCACGGGAATTCCCATCCCCTGGAAAATGTTCAGCAAGCTCTCGTGAGCAAGGAAAATGAAGGATACAAATATGGAAAAAAAACTGTGATTGCCCACCTGGCATCCGAGATCTCCAAGTCCCAAGATACGTTCACCGTCTGTGACAACAATAACCTGAATGTTTCTTTCGGGCCAGTTCTTCAAAACATCAAGAATCCTTCCTCTGGAAAGCCAAAAATTATTTACACACCATGAACATTAATGGCAGAAGAATTATTATCATAAAATTTTTCTATGTTCATGTAGCTCCCCATTTCTCTCCCTCACCTCTCCTCCCTAAGGCCACAGGAAGGTTAGAAAGGCATACTTTTCTCTCAAACTGATGTAGAGTCCCTGTGGGCGCCTGTAAATGGAACCCCACTTCTGGCAGGCCTCGCCGACTGTGGGCGTGTAAACAATGGGTAGGAGTTCTTCGACATTATCCATAAGAAGCTTATAGAAAAGCCTCTCGTTTCTCTCCTGAGAACAGGTTCAGACAAGAGAGATCGTCGGTTAGATTGCACACAATTACCTAAACTAAAGCCACCGTATCAGAAAACGTCGTAAAAGGGAATAAGACTAGTATGTAGGTGCCTGGAGGTCCATCAGTGCCATGTAACGCTGAAGAGGAACTTGATACTGGCGAAGCATGTGCATGACCTTCTTCTCCTGCAGGATTGTGAATTCGATAAATAAACGGGAGATCAATATACGACAATCAAAGAGGAAGACACCATCCACAAGTTATCGAGCAGAGGCATGGCAGTTAAGAGACCTGAAGTTCCTGGGTGACGCATGCCGGGGGCAGGAGACCTTGCAGATAGTAGGCATCTCTCTCTTTCTGGGTGAAAGCAAGCCCTTTGTTGTGGTGTGGATCTCTCAGAAGGGAGTAACCACTGCGCGGCAGAACAAAGAACTTCAGCCGACCTGTAGGTCATGAAGAGGTCCCCATTTTTTGCGTTCAGAGAGATAAAGCTTCCCCTCGACGCGACGCGGGGGAGTCTGGTTGGAGAGAGAGAGAGAGATGGAGATGACTCAAAACTAAGAACGAGAGGGTTTTAGGACACAAAAAGACGGTATAAAATTATAAACTTTTTTCCATTTACGGCAAATAACTGAGAGTTTAAGAGCAAAAGGAAGTTCTGTGTCGAAGAATCTAAGAGCGCCTCGTGAGACGAAACGGATGGAGGGGGGGTCTCACACGTGTAACGATGCACACGCGCGGGCGATAGAAACAAGCTTTACCTGGCGACGGAGACCGCCCAAGGGGTGATGAGCTGATCCTCAGTGGCAAGATCCTCACCGTAGACGTCCTCGACCACCCCTCCGGCAGTGGATCTGCTGTCCACCTCTGGCCCCGACGGCCCTTTCCTGGTCTCCTTGACGGTGACCTCGACGGCGGCGGGCCTCCCGTTGGTGATCGTCTTCTCCCCGACGCCCGTTCTACCGGCGCTACCGGCGCTGCAGACCACCACCGCCGCGGAGGCCGCCTTCCTCTGCGAAGGACACAAAGTAGAGGTACCACCGGCGCGGGAAACGGCGAATAGGGATCTGTTCTCTTCGCAGCAGGAATAGCAAGAGGAGCTCTTCTCGTATGAACGAATCCAGAACATACAAGAAACACAAGGCCACCAAAACAAATAAATGACACTCTTCTCCGTAATCTGTCAGTGGAGATCTCTACGCATTTCGAGCTTCAATAGGAGGGGAGAGGAGGAGAGGAATCTCTCGATTTCCTCTCCTACATGACGCTGAAAGATCCGCGTCTTCCTTCCCAATCCGGGAGGTGGCCGCGAGACCTTCGCAGGAACGAGATCCCTCTGAACACAATCGAAGAGGTATGCAATGCTCCTACAGTCTCCTTCCCGGGTATCAAAACGAGGGGCGAGGGAGGGAGGGGAGCGAGTTACCAGCAGGCTGCTTCGGTTGAATGCGTTGAACGAAATCATCGTGAGACGACAGAGAGTGCCTGCCAGTCCCGCTCCTCCTCCCTTCCCACTCCCTCGCGACCTCCAAGGAAACCTGGAGAAGAGGGATGAGAAGAAAGCGGAGCGCTTGTGTGTGTGTGAGAGAGAAAGAGAGATAGAGAAGGGAGGACATTTCATAGTTGACGCGCGGCGGCACCTTGTTGCGTTCACCCGCGGGTTGCTGCAAGCCGCTCAACTCTCTCAGACACGGAATGACCGGTCCACGGCCAGAATTCGGGTTGGTGGGGCGGTCTTAAGGCTCCGGCAGGCGATCAATAAATTCATGCCCGCGCCTCCGCGAGCCAGCGCACCGCCGAAGGTTAGACGGCGGCGAACACGCATCGAAGTAGAGGGGCCAGGTAGGTGACGGCCGTGCACTCCCACGCGTCTGACGCACTGATAGAGAGAGAGAGAGAGCTGCAGACGAGCGTCAGAAGAGGAGGATTTGATTTCTCTCTCCACGGGGTGGCGAGTTGAAGGGAAGAGAGAGATTTGTAGGCCGTCGGACACACCAAAGCGGTCACCGGGGGCGGGAGAGCGCCGCCTCGAGCAGATTCCGACGCAAGGTCAACGTCAAAGACGACGGTGAAGGAACGTGCAGCCCGTCGTTTTCAAAAAGTTGACCGCCGATCGATGCTGACCGGGCAAGATGAATCGATTCCGTTTCACTCCCGACCTATACGTGTCCGAAATCCCCCGATTCGCCCGACGTGGATATATGCGCGGAGCTGACGAGGCCGTGAGCCAGCAGGCTGTCGGCGGCGCACGGAGTTTGAAAAACGGTGACAACTTTCACCGATCTGAAGGATGCCCATAGAAACCGGCGCCATCCCGAAGGCAGACGGCAAGTTCGCGGCGGCCGGCACGATACCTTCCGTACATCGAGCTGCTACCCACAGTGGTGCCGCCGTAAGAGGGAAAAGGTTTCAGCTTCCCGTTCGTTCGTTCGTTTGTATCCTCTTTTCCGATCCCCTGTCAGCTCGCCGAGCACAGGTGGCGGCAGGGCCGCCGGAAGCCAACACGTGCTCCGGCAGCGCGGCAGCGCGGCAGCGCGGCAGCAGCGGCGTTCTATATGATGCCGGTAGTGGCGGTGATCGTCGCTATCCAACCTTCCTTCCTCCCCACCTCCTCTTCTCCGGCGAGGCCGCCGCCATGGAGGAGCTCCCGCAGTCGGAGACAGGGCTCAGCGCGGCGGCGCTGGACAGGATCAGCCTCTCGCTGTCGGAAGCAGAGCTCGACGAGATAGCATTCGACGGCGAGGCGGCGGAGCGTGTGCCCGCCTTCTACTTCCAAAATCTCTGGACGGTGACCGGCGGTGAGCCGCCGGATCCATCGGAGCAGGGGATCTCGCCGGAGGTCTTGCCGGAGCTCCTGCCGCGGGAGCTCTTCCCCTTTCATCGCCCTCCGGTGAGAGACGGCGGCGTGGAACCGGAGTTGCAGGCGGCGTTGGAAAGCTTGGAGAAAGTGGTGGTGGCGGCGGATTCCACGGACGGCGGCGGCGACAGATGCTGTCCTATATGTTTGGATGAGCTCGAGGTTGGGGGCGAAGCCAGGATGATGGGCTGCTCCCACAGGTACCATGAGAACTGCATCTTCGAGTGGCTCAAGCGGAAGAGCTCCTGCCCCCTCTGCCGACATCGCCCCCCGCCGGCTAGACTCACATGAACGTGGGGACTAACTCATGGGCACGACGCTGTCTGATGCCTGCTCGATCGACATTTCAATTGGAAGAGGAGAAACTTTCATGTTTCTGTCTGTATTTGTAGATAGATGTATAAAGGGAATATGAAAAGACTAAAAACTTGGGCTCTGCCCAGCTAGATGGCTTCGGGGTGAACGCCCTCCATAGATTCTCTCCCTCTCCCGAGGAACCCAAAAACCTGCTTCAGATTTCCTCGGCTCGGCCGCGCCGCCGTCGCGAACTTGCAGATGAACACTAGCCTCTTTCTGAGCTCCCATTTGGTGATGCAAGAAGCCGAGAACGATTTCCCGCCGTCGAAAGATCCTGAGGAGGATTAGAAGCTCATCGAATCAGCATCCAGCATCCACCAATTCTGAATGCTCACTATATCACCGGCACGCTGACTTTGCTAAATATGCAGAAAATACACAAGTAGATGGAAAATGAATCTCACAAGGGACAGAAAACCATACCCCATTCGTCAAACAGACATGTGAATACAGCAAGGCATACGCAGATGCTTATGTCTTCTCCTGCAACATTTATAGAAAGAATCGACAAATCTGAGTGATTAGTTCGGCTAATTGCAGAACGCGTGCGAACCAGATTAGTGCGATTGTTGGGCTCACCGTTATGACAAGAAATTAGCAATTTCCTCCCTCTACTTAGGTTTGATTCGGCGAATTTCAGCGCAGAGGGAAGATTCTTGAGCAAGGAAAACCGGTCAACCTTTGAAGTCTGTCAGAAATTGGAGAAAGTCAGATGCCCGGTCAGGTAGTGAGGTTGATGACTTTTAAGAAGAAGCGAATCATGACACTCACCTTAATAGGCAGGTGCAGATAAGCAGTGGCATCTGAGGATTCCGAGCTACGGGGAGATCGTGATCCAATGTCACAGTCCAGAACACAGTCAACGCTATTGGATACGTAGTCAACTGCTCGATGAATAGGAAACAGATTAGAAATTAAGAAACTGAGACAAGGGTAATATCAGTAGCAGTCGAGTGGATGATATCGTTCTGATAGCCATTCTAATACCAAAGAAAGGAGAAGCCTTTCGACGATGAACAAAGAAAGGAATGAAGGGTTGACGTACCATCTGCCGTTGCTCCAACAGCAAGATTAGTCGAGCCCACCCAGGAAACCGAGCATTGATAGTGATCCGTGGATGTTAAGCTAGGCGGACCTGATCTGACTCCAGAATCCGACAACTGGAAGTCAACGATAGGTTCTCCACTGGGCAGACCATCGTCTGCTACTCTCTTGTGAAACTTGATCGGTAACTGGGGCGCATCAAATCCCCTTCGGGCACGATAAACTCTGTCCTTCTCTACGAGCTCAGAAACTTTCTGGTTACACGAATCGGGCCCTGATTGGATGAGCTCAAGTGCGTGCTTCCAGAACAAGCCTGGAGACAGGCCCCTTGCCCAGCTCTCCTCGTCATCTCCCGCTCCAGGTATGTAATGCCAGCTGAACTCACAGGTTGAACGATGCGGGGCGATCCCATTGGAGGAAGACGCAGAAACCAGGATTATCGGGGTAAAAGCCCAGGAATCGCTGTCGGGAACTTCGTTCAACCAGACGACGGTCGTCTGAGAAACCCAAAGGGGCCGGAGAGGCTTTCGAAGGGATAACACCAATGAATCAATGTCGGCACCGCAATCTTCGAGCTGCCGTGTCCATTCCTCGAGACGATCCTCTATCGCTGCTCTTTCAGCGTTGGAGACCCAGAGAGGGAGATGCAGAGAAGTGTCCCAATCCTCCCAGCCCTGACGGCCGTTACTGCTTGCAGTCTTATCAGGCGCACAGCATTCCTCCTGCGTCAACACCGACCAGATCTTTGAATGGAAGCACGTGGGATGAGGGGAGGAGGAAGAACATCAGATCTCAGGGTGTTTGGCCTCACCATTCCACCATCTTTCTGGCCGCACCCAGAGTTTCTCACACGCAATCGGTTCGCGATAGCACGATTTAGAATACAGGCCCATATGGGTATCGTCTTCGACATGCTGTCGGGGAAGCGCTTCCCCTTCCTCGTGGAATCCACGATCAGGCAACCACCTTTCTGCCCTACCAGTGAAATCGACAGAAAACATACATCCGAAATCAAATAATTGACGAGAAACGCATCAAATTGGGCAACCAGAGGTTACGATCCAGGTCGCTGTAGCCAGAGATGAGTGTCTCTCGTTAATTACCGGCGAGGGTGGCAACGTGGAGATTGAGCCGCGACGTGCTGAAGGACCAGTTGTTATTGTGGCCGTCCGTTGACTTGAAGTAGCAGGTGCCTTGGACGCGAGAGGAGTACCAGAGCCCGCATCGGAGATTGGCGAGGAGCGGCAGCTCCGGCCACAACTGGGCGATCTCCGCCACGAAAACGGCGTCCTCGTAGACGGAGCGGAGGGCGTTGTAAAGGAGGCAGTTTTCCCTCCGCTTGATGTTTCTCGACGCCTTGTAGATACTCAGCGGCCCCAGCCCCTCCCCAAAACCCTCCGCCGCCGCCATGGCGCCCCCCCTCAACCCAGCCCTCTCAGCTCCCCTCCCCATGAGGCATTTTACAGGAGGTACCAGTGGAATGCCCTGGTCTGGCTTCAGACAAGGGCCCAGGCCTGGAATTATTATTTTACAATCTTCATGTTAATTCCATATATATCGTGTCTGATTCCGACGAACAACAAGTATGAGATGGATTTTAATAGTATTTTTTTTCCCTTTCGAGGTAAGTTCCTGTGATTACCACAAAAGTAAATATTTAATTAAAAAAAATCCACGTGACTGATTCTATATTTTCGGTGATCGAGCGGCATTAGCAACTCCTAGCAGGTATTTAAATCAGTTCTCTGCGTACAGATTGGATGTGTAGGTCTCGTTCGAATCTCGATCTCGTCTTCTTGGATGTGGATCCATCGGGCGAGAAGAGGAGGCGCTGCAGGAGATGGCCGCCGGCGAGGTCTGACGACACAAATCTGCTGAGCTCGGACTGGGCAGTCTCTCATCGTGAGCTCCGTTTCCTCCTCACCGCGCTCTTCAGTATGGACGAGGAGGTGGAGGAAGACGGGCCGATGGCCTGGCGGATCTTGAAGATATTCCATGCCGTCCCAACGGCGTGCCCGACAGTGGCGAAGACGTCCTCCGTCGCTTCTCCGGCGTTCTCACCGAACCTGCCCAAGAATTCGAGATCCCCTAAGAACAAGATTTTGACGAAGATGACTGCTTTAGAGAATCCTTCCTCTTCCTCACCTCTGTGAAACCACCCCCGCGACGGTCCTTCCAGTTGCAGCGATGGTCTTCCGTTCTGCTGCTTCCACTGCGTCCAGGACCTTGTCTGCAGAAGTCTAAACCAGATTAGCGTTCGGGTAGATCTTCACGTCTCCATCGTGTTGCACGCTACTTACTGACTGCGTCAAGAGTAGCCAGGAGAGCTTCCCCAGGAACGGTCGCGAGGGCCGACTTCCCGGCTCTTGATCTAAACACAGGCGTAGCCAGAGATCCGGTGACAGAGAGGACGCCGTCGAGCAGAGACCGGCTCATCTTCTCCGTCATCTCCGACAGCCTCCGCACACTGAAGCCTCCGCATAGACGACGAAGGTAAGTAAGAGACGAACGAGAGCTTACCGCCGCCGGCCGCAGAGGCCCGACTAAACTAACCTTCGGATGCTCCTGTTGACGCTACTGTGCTTCCTGTCCGCTGTCGTCCTCGTTGTTCCGCCAGAAGTTACACCGCTTCGGCTCCTTGACTGAATCAGCTTTGCTCCTCTCTGGACCTGGCGGGGTTTTAATCATCGCTGATCATTGTTCACGAAGATACGACGATAATAATTCGAGGTGGGCATTGCCCCAATCTGTCTGACCTGGTTCGCGTAGACGTCGCTGCACTTGAAGATTCCTTTCACTATCTGGCCAGTGCCGGCGGCGATGGTCTTCGCCAGTAGCCCATTGTAGTCGTCGACCTTAAGGCTACTCCAGTAGTCCTCGCCGGGGGGAGAAGAAGGTCGGGGGGAGACCGAGAAGCAGGCGTTCTCCTCGAGGAAAGAGTCGAGGGGCTTCAACCGGTCGCCGGCGCCGGAGAAGGAGACCCCGTAGTTCAGGAAGCCGCCGCCCTTCTCCGGCAGGGAGAAGAGGTAGTGAAGCTCGTCGAGTTTAACGACGGGTTCGTCCCTGGTGAGGGGCCACTGGATGTCGGCGTTGATCCGCACGATAACGGCGAGGAGGACGGCGCCGTCGAAGACCCTGAGGACGATCAGGTCTCCCCGGGCGAGGTCGACGGCCCCATCCTCCTCCATGAGATGAACCGAAGCCCCTGTGACTCGAAGGATGACCTCCTCCCTGTGGCCAGCTCTCGGAGGAGAGCTTGTCTCCGGTCTGCAGCAACGCATGGCTCTCTCCTTCTCCCTTCTCCTCTCTTCCTCTGGTTATTATCATAGGCCGTCACCCGAGAGGAAGAAGGGAAGAAAAACCAGGAGATTAAAAAGGCAGCGCCTTTATGGGTTTCTAAGGGGCCGCTTTATTCCCTACCCACAGAAGAGAATAAGCTTCGGTGGGCAAAAGCAGAACGCAATCCCATTTCATTTACACAGACGAAAAATAAATAAAATTGGTACAATTGAGTTGAATCATACCTGTCCTTCTCCCACACAACAAAGAAATACTACGCCTCCGAAATATACATTCTCCACACACACAGCAAAAAAATAAAAATTAAATCTATAATGTTCGGGAAAGGGGGAGGAGGAGGAGGAATGACCGCGTGATGAGGCAGATGAAGCGGTTCATCATCTTCCTTGCACGAGGCCACTGAACACCTGGCTATTCCCTGCCAGGGTAGCTTCCCACTCTATGGAGGACAGCAGAATATGGGAGATGGAGATCACCACCTGCTTCATGTCGGGCCGGAGAATGGGATCTTCGTCCACGCACTGCTTCGCCAGGATAGCCATCTGGAAACACAAGGAAAACAACCAAACGGAAGCGTTCAGACAGATGCCTTGACTGGTGTTGAACCCAAGCTGTGGCTCCGCCAGATGGGCAAGTTTTCACCATGTGAATCATGTCAGCGCTGTAGAATGTATAAGGTTACAAAAGTTTCAATTTCATATCAGGTTGAACAAGCATCAGGAAGGTGATGGGAGAGAAGAAGAGAAAAGCAGGAGTTGGACTGTACAGGCTGCAAACACTACTCGAGAGAAGCGATGGAGATGTATGCTCTAGAGTGAATAGTAATCGAATCAATATTTATCAAAGGAAAATATAAAAAAGTACCCTTATTGACATTTAAATTTTTATGCGCAACTAGAAAAAATTCTCACCTTGAATACACAGTCGTGAGGGTAGAGTTCCATCAAATTGGGGTCAATCGACCCCCTAAAGCTAGACATGCTCATTGAATTTGGAGTGTTTCGAAGAGCTGCCAACATCTGTTGGACACAAATGTTGGAGAAACGTTGATATCCCATATGATAATATAAATAAAATAGAGAAATTCAGCATAAAGAAAGGGTTCTAAGAAATCATGTAAAAGCTAGACTCCTTATAAAGATTAAGAAAAAGATGAAGAAATGTTCCAAATAATGGAAACCTTGCAAACACTTGCTCTGAATGGGATTATTTTTTAGACTAAAAGAGTACAACACTTGAAGTTTTTCATCTACAGTTCACTCGATATAGCTGAAGTCTTTTCAAAGACAAGGTTACCCTCCCACATATTAATTGGCTTATCCTAACACCACGATCCTCAACTAATACATTACGTTAATTGCTCCAAAAAAAAAAGATTAAGCGTCCCTAATTATTCATCACTTGATATTGGATTCCGTTATTGAAGAAATTGTTCAAAAATCATGATAAGAGAAACCAAATAGCTCAACTATCCTCCATATCACATTTATTGCATTTGAATAAAGCTTATACATTTCAAATAATTGTCTACACTGAGGTAGTCAATGCCAAAAACTAGTTTAACCACCAAATCAAACGAATAATTATCGGATGTAATTGCAGCAATTTTCTGAGGACTAGGACTCACAACTGATGCCAAAGAACGCCTCTCAGCATTATTTAATATAACCCCTTCTGTTCGTATAATTGCTTCCTTTCCAGATATCAACTCAAAGAGGACAACACCGAATGCATAAACATCACTCTTTGTTGTAGCCCGGCCATCGCGCAAGTACCTGTAAAAGTAAATGAGTTCAGTTAATAAAAAGCAGTAAGTCGAACCAAGCTCAGGAAAGAGCAGCAGCAAACCTACTGCTCCCAATTTTCCTTACTCTGGAGCCAAATAGCCAAAGGTTCCTACAACTCTTGTCGCAGAAGCTTCCCCTTCACCAGCTTTTCCAATAAGTTTCGACAGCCCAAAGTCAGAAATCTGCATGAGAGATTAGTGTCATCAACATCAATTATGAAGGCCACAATCAAAACTAAGAAGTAGGACGTCTGAGAATGTGAAACCTTGGCCCTGAAAGAACCATCGAGCAGAATGTTGCTCGTCTTGATATCTCGGTGAACATAATGCATTTTCGTGTGCTCATGAATATATTCCAGACCTTTGGCAGTGTCAAGAGCAATCTGAACCCTAGCTATCCAAGAAAGTGATGTATGACCTGAGCATGAGAGGACAGAAGATTCTTCTGTAAGGAATGCAAAGAAAAAGATGGTACAATAAGAAGCCATGAAGGGGTTTATAACAAAAATGTTACCCTTGTTCTGAGGATCGTGCAAATGATTTCTTAGTGAGCCTTTCTGAGCGTATTCATAAATGAGGAAGAGTTCGTCGCTGCTTGCTGCATAGCCAATCAATTCTACCTTGATAAAAGTAAAGGGGAAGTATTTTGTTAAAACATGGAATATTAAAATATCAAGGCTCCGAAAATAAATCATTTGCATTTTGACGGGAGCTTTACCAGACTTGCATGATGAACTTTGCATAAAACCTTCATCTCTGCCATAAACTCCTTTGTTTTGGTAGCGGACATTCTTTTAATTGCTACCTCCTACAATGCCTTTGTCTCAATGCAAGAACAATAAACAAGAAAGTATAAAATACGAATTTAAGACGAAAAACACCCTGCAGACCTGTTCCCGAAGGACTCCATAATACACCGAGCCATATGTGCCATGACCAAGTAGATTTGTGTCACAGAAACCGTTTGTAGAAGAGAGAATCTCTTCGTAAGCAAAGACTACAGGTTTCTCCATTTCAAATGCATCGCCTGTCATACCTAAGAAACCGTCAAAAAATTTCAGGCAGGGAGCACAAATTTACCGTCCAAGCGTAATACTACTAAAGGTTCACAAAACACGTCAGGGGATCCAATAAAAAATCAAAGGAAACAATATCCCTCTGTATTAGGATTCTTCTCTGGAATCTAGGAACATTTTCGAGGATCCCCCCATGGGTGTATATAAACACCTCCCGTCAATATTTGTCTTGAACTCGCTGGCCTTTCTGATAACTTCGCCATATCATTACTATCTTTACAGAATTTAAATAGAAAATTCTGTCCATCTTTGGCTGGATGATGCTTGTGATAATGATGAGGCAAATTTAAGTAGAAAAATTACAGAATTTGATTCGTGTCAAGTGTAAATATCTTTACCATCTTTAGGGCCATCAACTTGGTCGCTGCGAACATCTCCAGAATTTGACTTCCACCTCCCGGTCTTAAAGCAGAGGCACATTTGCCAGGAACAAAGAGAACTTGGCCTTCCTAGACTGAGTGATTTATTAGGTAGCTGCTCATCAGAGTCTTTTTTATGGCGTCCAGAGATCCAGGAACTGAAGGCTGATGATCTCGACGAAATAAATACAACTATAATCAGGACAATCAGGAAAAGAGCAGCACCCAAGCTCCCTATTATCCATCCAAATGGAAATTTGGAAGAATGATGTTCTGGATTCACTGCAGGCATATGAAATCAGCATAAATAATCGTTCAACTAAATAAAGATGAAGCAATGCGCTAGAAGTATTGAAGCTCTAACGAAAGTTGCAGTAGACTATTATAACTGGGATCTAGCAGCATCATGAACACTTGTAGCAATCCGCATAAAAATCTGAATAGCCATCAGATGAAGAATAATGGATTACATGCCAATCCCTGGCTAAAGATAAAACATTTTGCATCTCTGGATCAAAGCATAAGCTCTTTTGCAGTTTTAGCATGCCACTGTCTCAAATAGAACAACTCTGTTTTGGGACAGAACTAAGAAAGACGTGCACCCACTCAAAAGATATGACCTTTCCTGGCTTTGACTTGGATAGTACTTCCAATTCCAACACAATGTACCACAGCAAAGTGCAATGAGTCAACAATATCGTTCATGTAGCCACACATTATGTGAGAACATTTCATATCAATGAGCATAGACAAGAGAATAGTCGGTCAATTAATCAATTCAAATGGATATAGTGGTCTGGCTGCATATAATTTTTGTCTCCCAAAGAAGGCTAATTTTCCTCCACGATTCCGTATTTTTGGGCCATGCCATTAGGAAGGAATCAAACAATTTCTTCTCCCCATTTGATAACGTTACAGAGAACTTCCTCTGTTTCAAAGTCCACCAGTGCTGTCTTTTCATGTGGAGGGCAACAAATATTAAAGGTATCCGCTGGGGGTTTTAACAAGTTCAAGGTTTAACAGAACTCCGCTAAGATGACAAACAAAGTTAGGGTGGAGGTTGAACGCGTGCCTAATCTGAAAAAGAGGAGCTGCAGAATCCTGATCGACAGTGCATTCAAACTTCACGACTAGTGATCTGAGAAACCCACAGTAGGGATTCGTCAGTTAGTTCGGGTAGTACTCGAAAACACCTCATAGATTCCCTATTACCTGAGAAAGAGGAAATCGATGGAACCGGAGCAGAGGCAGGTGGAGCCACTTCTTCCACGGAATAAGGCACTCCAGGGACTGAAAGGAAACAAGTACTATAAGCGATGTTGCGGGAATAAAAACCTATTCGCGAGCGACCATTACATCACAGAAAAAATAGGGAGCAACCTTGTCGCATATGGTATGGAAATAGTGAAATCAGAGGAATGCAGCAAGATGAAAACAAACGTCACCTGAATTGAGCGGAATGTAGTAGACCTCTCCGACTACTGCATCGTTCGGGTCGGCAATCCCATTCAAAGACTCTATGCTGCCCATGCTCACCCCGAACTGACTCGCAAGTGATCCGATCGTCTCCCCGCCTCCGAGAACATAGGTCATCAGGTAATTCCAAAGCCCGCTGGAACAGCCGCACAGTAGACGCAGAGAGACCACCGTCCCCGACTGTACCCAGTGGGATGAATTGGAGATCAACGCTAGCGGCCCGTAAGCACCAGTGACCATGTCGTACACCTGACCCTCTTCTCTCACGGTGAAGGTCGTGTTGGTAAGGTAATTCTTGCCGGGAGACAGGCACGAGCAGTTCTTCCTGATGAAGAAGTACTTGGTGGCGTTGGGGACGTCCACGGTTATGTCTCCGGGGAGCACGTCGAACATGCTCTGGATTAGGGAGAACGTCAAGTTAGGATTGGATTTCACGGCGAGGAACGACGTGCAAAGGCGAGTGGTGTCTGTGCAATTGAGTGGGGAGGAGAAGGCCCGGGAAGGGAGAGGGTTGCAGAGAAGCAGAAGGCCGACGAGCAGGCCGAGGTGCAGGGGCTCCATTCCAGTGTACGACGTCGGAGCAGAAGCATGGAGCCCGTCTTAAACCTGGAAGGAAAAATCCGACTCAGCGAAGAAATGAACACCCAGAGAGTCCACCCGAAGCAAGAAATCCAGGCTACAGCGCGGCCCTCACCTTAGGCAACGCCTTCCTTAGAGCATGGGTCTTTCCCAGAGAGAGTATCCCCGACGGATCGTGTCGCGAACATCAACCTGTAATGCGCGGCGACAGGAAGAAGATTCGTCCGAATAAAGTAAGCCGCTGTAGAGTGAGAGCTAAGAAAGCGAAAGACAAGAAAAAAACAGCAACAAAGAAGATCAGCGGAGGGATGGACTCCGCAGGGACTAACCAGGGACGGAAGGGCTTCCGCAAACAGAGCTTGACCGGCAGATGGAGTTGAAGAGTGTAGGGTTACTTCGGAGAGAGGGGAAACGAAACGGAACGGAGACACCTGGAAATCATTTAAGTCTGAGCTCAGTCGCCGCAGCACGCAGGAAGACGACGACGACGACGGCGGCGGCGGCGGCGGCGGCGGCACTGAGGATGACGAGTTAACTTCACATCTACTGCCGCCGCCGGCACGGGGGCCTCCGAGAACGGCTCCGCCGGCGAGATCCCCAAAACTCGAGAACGGAACGGCGACGGAGCCCCACCACCGGGAAGGTTCAGGAAGCCGCCAAGCGCGGGAATCATCAGGTCGGAGAAATCTCCACCGCAGATCGTCGACCCGACGGCTGAAACTAGTGGGCCTCAGCGAGGTGCGGCTCTAGCAGACGACAGTTGAGGGAATGTGGTAACGTGTCCGGCGGCGCGTTGCCGGAGCCCGAAGCAAGCCGACAGTTGTCAAACAGTGAACAATTTAGGCAGGTGGCACGACAGCTGGCAGAACTGCCATGTGGGGCCCAACGAAACGCTGGATCTCCTCCGTCGCTTAGCGGCATCCCAAAGGCAGATGCATTCCCCCAACCCAACTGGTGGCACGTGCGCGGCGGCCCGCCAGCGCCGGCGGCGCCACCAGGCTCGGCGGCGCCACCGGCGGCGGCGGGCCACGTAATCAATGCGGCGGGCCACGTAATCAATCGTCCAGTCTGGAACTCTGAATTCTAGCGCAGAGGGGATATTATAGTCTCACTGCTGGGCCGGCGGGGCCTCCTGCTTCGTAGTTATAACGTACAAAATACGCATATTTTCTCCTTGTCGCAGACGGACACGCGTATTTCTAAAAATTATGAGAATACCCAGTTCACAACGTACTTACTGGGCCGAACATCCATTCGGCCCAAGGACTGCGCTTTAAGACAACTTCCCCCCCGGTTTTCAGAAAAAGGGCTTGGGCTCAATCCCGGGCCCATTTTTACCCGGCGAATTACGTCCGTCCAACCGGCCTATCGTAATCGAAGGGACCCGATGGAGTCGCGGGCCCGTCCCGATTTCCGAGTCGGATAGCGCCGCCAATGGAGTACCTCTCGATCCGACACGTAATCCGTACCTTTCCCCGATTATAATAACACCTATCGACGAGCCTTTTCCCCACGCGGCAGTAGATTTGAGAGAGGGGCGCGGTCGGGCCCCGCGGCTCGATGATTCGCTCGATATGCCGGGTCGAACCGGGGGACCCAATGGACCGGCGGTTCGGCCCAAAGCGTACGGCGTACAGGTTTCCTACCTAGGATCCTGCCTGCATGCCTCCAAAAGGGATTAGCAGGGAATCCACCGGACCTTCTGGGGGATACGTGTCGATAATCTATGCGTTTACGTCGAACTGGATAAATTGTGACATTTTTAATTATTTAATTATACGGATTAGTGAAACGAAGGAATAATCCGAGCTGAAGCTAAACGGTATGCTGTCTAACGGGTTAAACGGATACACCCGTTAACCTGCCCTCAGCGGGCCTCGTGCCGCCTCCAGCACCACACGGTATCATTGTCATAATTGGACGTCTGGGTTAACGTGCTCCCCATCGTAGCACGCCTCCCCTTCGCAGGAGAGAGAAAGCCTGTCTCAGAGAGAGAGAGAGAGAGAGAGAGAGCTCTGTGTTGCTCTGCTTTCACCGGCCATCTTCACGCCGCGACTCAGTGCACTGTCACGTACTTTTGCGTGAGCAGAGTTCTAATACCGTTTATGGTCCCCTCCCAGGCTCTGGAATCCCTTGTGGCCGACCCATCGGTTTCCTCTTCCTCCCGCACTACCAGAACATCTCCCCGAGAAACCGCACAGAGGTGGTGAGAAGGGCAAGGGAAAGCGGCGAAGAACGAGTGCCTCTTTCCCCACCCTATCCCGCTGTTCGCCGGCGGTCTTTACCCGTCTGGGTAGAGAAGATTCTTCGCAGAGGAGTGGGCTCTGGCTCGGGTAGGACAGGCGGAAAGTTCTCGGTGTTTCGTTCCCATCATCGTCTCAATTCTCGTCGGTTTCCTGCTTTCCTCGGTGCGAGTAGCTCTCAGTCGGGTGGGTGGGTGCTTGGTTTTCGGACAAGGCGGTCGCGCTGTGTCTGGATAATTGCATTCCGGACGGCTGGCCCTAGCCATTTTTTTGGTCACGCCATTGATGTTCTCAGAATAGCACAAGTTTCCTGGTTACCGTAACGTGGGGGTTACAGTCTCAGAGATCTTGTTACAGTTTTCCGGGATTCATCGTGTTCTCGGTTCTTTATCAGGGAGGAGGCCGTCTACTTTCTGCCGGCGACGAGGTGGCGACTCTGCGAGGATGGAAGCTGTCTCTGGAGGTGGAGCGCGAGGCCGTGGATCCTGTCCGAAGCTCCTGGATTTGATCCCGAATGGGGGCGACTGGTCCGAAAGAGATGGAGGGCAGAGAGACTATGGAGTTGCAGAGGAACAGAAGCTAGAACTGAGGCTTGGTCTGCCCGGAGGAGAAGACTGGCGTGCGGTGAGGGAAGAGGAGGAACCCCCTTCGGTTCTCTCTCTAGGCTTTCTTCCCGTCAGGGCTTCCTCTAACCTTAGCTCCCATGATAGGTGAGTCCTACCTCCTACTTTATTCAAGCTTCTCTCAATTAAAGCTCCCCTCCTTCTCGGGCTCACGTCTCTGACCTGCTATCCTCCTCGTTCTCAGAGCTGCCCCCTCCTCTCCTGTCGTCGGCTGGCCGCCCATCCGCTCCTTCCGGAAGAACCTTGCGAGCAGCAGCTTTTCCAAGCCGTCGTACCCCTCGCAGAATGAAAACCCGGGGAAAACTGATACACAGGAGGGTTGCAGGAAGTCGCTCGTGAAAATCAACATGGATGGAATGCCCATCGGAAGAAAAATTGATCTAAAAGCTCACAGTAGTTACGACGAGCTCTCCTCGGCCGTAAACGAACTCTTCAGAGGGCTTATCGCAGGTGATCGATGAATCTGCCTCGTTTGAATTCTTACTCGATTTTACGAGATCTTCTGTGCGCGCTCTCTCCGTTCATGGTACGAATCCTTCCATTTACTTCCATGCTTAGCTCAAAGAAACGAGAATCCTGCTCTGAGGAATCAGAGCCATGGCGGTCGGCGGCAGGCAATTACGGGATTACTTGATGGAAGCGGTGAGCATACTTTAGTTTACGAAGACAACGAAGGAGACGTCCTGTTGGTCGGAGACGTGCCGTGGGAGTAAGCTTGCTCTCCATCTTCCTTCCTAAGCTCCTGAATTCTGATCCCTCCTTTCGATTCTTCATGCGACGTTCAACCTCCCATCTGACGCTCTCATCGTCCTGCCCCAGCATGTTCGTTGCAGCAGCGAAGAGGCTACGCATGTTGAAGAGCTCTGAGCTCTCCTCTTCTCTATCTGTAAGCTCCCCCATGCCCACCTTCAACTCTCCGCCTGATGATGACCCTCTAATTCTTCTCAAGTTGTAGCTGGCGGCAACCGGCAGGAAGTGAAGCGCGGCGGAGGCCGTGCGTTGAAAGATCGGCGAGGCTCGGTTTTTGCACTGGCACTCGTTTTCTCCTCCGCTCTCATCTTGGCTGCCGCGACCGTGGAAATGTAACCCGCCGCCGCCAGAAAAGGCGGGGCTCTTTTCCTTTCGGTTTGTTTCTCTTCTTCTTCTTCCTTCCCTCAGCGTGGAGGATTTTATCAATTAAACGAAGGCAGTAATACGTTTCTTTTCCGATCATCAGCTGCGAGTTGCAACAGCGGCAATCTATGAGGGTCAAACCTTCACTCAGGCGCTAGAGTTAGGCCTGTCGCCGACGATGACCACTCGGCGGCGCCCCTCGCCATGAGAGAGAGAGATAGTGAGATGGAGATAGAGGGAGAGGGAGAGGGAGAGGGAGAGGAAGAGAGAAGGCTAGTGGGAGAGCGGCACGGCCCTGACCAGAATTCGGCCGACTCTTCGATTCCTTTGGATCCCACATCCGCACGTGATACTCGTTTGTCGGCGCCCGGCCATCAACGTGGGCCCCATGACAGGCTCGGCAGGCCGAGTTCTCTATTTGGGGCCCGCATAGCCCAATAGAGAGGCCCACTAGAATGACCCATTAAGCCCATTCTACATCAAGAAAAAATCGATCTGAAAATTAAATAAATGGTCGAGAATTAGTCCACAGTGGGAGCTCCTTGTACGCATCACCCGTACATGCGGCAGGTCCGACTCTGACCGCTGATACTCCCAGATTTATCAACTATTTTATGCGAAAATAACTATGGATACTACGACCAATGGGGTAACTCGCGTGCCTGCGCCGTGCAGGAGGCTTCGGACCGGTGGACTTCGTATCCCCCAAGTATATTCGAACCGGTAAGAGCTCCATGTCCGCATCGCCCGTAAAAGCGGTAGGTCCGACTCCGACCACTGATACTCCCAGATTTATCGATCATTTTATGAGAAATAAGTAACTATTGATATTACGACCAATGGGGTAACTCGCGTGCCTGCAACGTGCGAGAGGCTTCGGACCCGTGGACTTCGTGGACCCCAAGTTTCTTAGCACAAGCGGACGGTCGAGATCGAGCATCAGAAGATGGAAGCCCGCGTAGAATAGGTTCTCGAGTTAAGGTGAATCGCGGGTGCTGTGAGCGCGTGGAACGCTGCACCGGTAGTAAAGAGCGATAAGCACAGAGTCAAGGAGGTTGCCAATTAAGTATGTAGTTCCTGAGAGACATCTGACATGGATTGCGCTGGTATATCTACTCGCAACTTCGTCTGCGGAGGCTGCGCGTTGCTGCTTCTTGAGCCGCCGTTTCCTGCGAGGTGAGAACCCTAAACCTCGGCGTTTCCTTTTCTTAAACTCTCCTGGTTGATCCTTTTCGTGGTTTCATCGTTTGATTCACTCAGGTTTTGGATGCCACATCCTTTTGCGGAAGAATGCTTGATAGTGTTTTTAGTTGTCTCGGGCAGTTTCGATCTCTTCGTGTAATTATTCCATGGAGTTGGACAGTATCAGTCCCATAAGAAATATGTCGGTTTCATCGTATTCTGTAGATCTTTGTTCAGGAACATCGATATTTAGGTCAAAAACTGTATTACTCAGATCCGCTATTTGGGTTCGATGTGTGGTATATACCAATTCATTAGATTGGATAATTTTGTATCTGGTTTTTTAATTCCAATTTATTTCCCGTAACGAACAAGCTTTCGCTTCGATTTTTCCTGGTACTTGCGCGCCTGATTTTAACGTTGGGGATCATATTTAAGTTTAAACAGAGTGTACGATATCTGACATAATCACTAGTAACATCTCGTGTTATTTATCACGATATCTGCTCGCCGATTCGAGAATGATTTCTGTACGCTGCGCATATGCGCCGAATGGATGAGATATAATATTAGATGCCTTCAAACTAAATCGATATCTTATGCTGTAAATTTTAATCATCGAGCGTGTTTTTTATGGTTATAAAAACTGCTCATTTTATGTTTTTTCGATCGTGACGAAAACTGTCGAATTCTGGGACGTGCTACTGCCGGTTTGATCGGGCTTATGCTTATTGGTTGAAATTAGGTTTTCCGTTTGCGAGCTGTTGCGATCAATTCGATCAAATTATAGTTCATTATGTTTTTTAGACATAAACGTATAACACATCATTATATCAATATTCATGTAATTTCCTTTGGGTTTTTGTGTCAATCATGGACACTATGAATGCACTCTCAGATAGATAATCACGAGGGACTGGGATTCTCTGCTTCTTCAGCCTACTATTTTTGCGCCATACAGAAGACTCAGGAATTATTGACGATTTTTTGTCTCATGCGAGTGAAATGCTTCGCCAGATTACTTGTTGATTTCGTCTATAAAAAAAATAGCTTGTTTACCGGTTAACGTCGAATTCAATAATTTCTGTTTGAATTTTTTATTTGACACATTTCTCGAGCAGTGTAATGTCAACAATTCTTATACAAAATATTCACATTTTTCGAGCAGTGTCAGTATTGTAGGACTTAACGATAAGTGTCACGTTTTGTGTTGTGATCATTCTGTGATGTCAGTATTGTAGAAATGCTAATTCATTTACCTGGTGATTTGACCCAACTGCAACCCAACACAAATAAATAAGTTGGAGTGCGTGATGGTTTTTACACGTCTTCTGGACAAATTTTAATTCACTACTGATTAATTAATCACGTTTTATTTGTTGTCTAGCGTGACAGCTTCAATAACCTATACTTCATGTGCATTCATCTTAATAGGCGGTCATATACAGGACTGATTGTCGCGCTAGTTGTTTGGACTATTCCATCGATTGCGATATTTAGTATTTATGTTAATGTTTCAGTTTGCTTTTAAGTGGCCATCATAATTCTTATGCCCTCATTGGCTCCTCGTTGCTAATTGAGTTTTTTTGGCCTTTATCATATAGTTCCAATAAGTTGGATATTAATATCTTGTTCTTTCAGGAGGCAGGAGCAGCTCTGCATTAATCGCTGGTTGTTTGTGATCACTTAACGTAGCCAAGATGGTAACTTGATTCTTAAAATGTTATTCGTTTCACATGAATTTCGCATTCACGTTGTATATTATTTTTTTATTCATACTCCTCTCTGTAATCCACGTGTTCAGGTGAAGTTTACAGCAGAAGAGCTTCGCAGGATCATGGACATGAAACATAATATCAGAAATATGTCTGTGATTGCTCATGTCGACCATGGTATTGACCTCTTTAACTTTTAAGTGGTCATAAACCTATTTGTGTATTTTCAGCAGCTCCGTTTTCATTTTTATATCATGTGCCTGTGGACACACCAAATAGGCTTGCCGTTTCTCTTTTATGGATTAGGGATCTTGATTTTCAGTGTTGGCATTTGGTTAGAAGGCAAATGGATGAAGGGAGATTGATTATTAGACCGTTCTTGAGGAACCAAAACACAATGAGGGATGACTCCGTCTTTTTTTCCATTGTTACAGGCAAGTCTACTCTCACTGATTCTCTTGTGGCGGCTGCTGGGATTATTGCTCAAGAAGTTGCTGGAGATGTGCGAATGACTGATACTCGCCAGGACGAGGCGGAACGTGGTATCACCATTAAGTCCACTGGCATATCTTTGTATTACGAGATGTCCGATGCATCTTTGAAGAGCTTCACGGGTGAAAGAGCAGGGAATGAGTATCTCATCAATCTTATTGATTCCCCTGGGCACGTCGATTTTTCTTCTGAGGTCACAGCTGCTCTTCGGATCACTGATGGTGCTCTTGTTGTGGTTGACTGCATCGAGGGAGTGTGTGTCCAGACTGAGACAGTTCTTCGACAGGCACTTGGAGAAAGGATTAGGCCTGTGTTGACTGTCAACAAAATGGATCGATGCTTCCTTGAGCTTCAGGTTGAAGGTGAAGAGGCCTATCAAACTTTCCAGCGTGTCATTGAGAATGCTAATGTTATTATGGCTACCTACGAGGATCCCCTTCTTGGGGATGTGCAAGTTTACCCAGAGAAGGGAACCGTTGCCTTTTCTGCTGGTTTGCACGGGTGGGCCTTCACACTGACAAACTTCGCAAAGATGTATGCCTCGAAATTTGGTGTTGATGAGCATAAGATGATGGAGAGGCTTTGGGGAGAAAACTACTTCGATCCGGCCACCAAAAAGTGGACCTCCAAGAACACAGGTTCTCCAACTTGCAAGAGGGGATTTGTTCAGTTCTGTTATGAACCCATTAAGCAGATTATCAACATTTGCATGACTGATCAGAAGGATAAGTTGTGGCCTATGCTTCAGAAGCTCAGAGTGACCATGAAATCTGATGAGAAGGATCTGGCAGGCAAGGCATTGATGAAGCGTGTCATGCAGACCTGGCTACCTGCCAGTGACGCCTTGCTTGAGATGATGATCTTCCATCTTCCTTCTCCTGCAAAGGCTCAGAGGTACCGTGTGGAGAACCTGTATGAGGGTCCGCTGGATGATATCTATGCAAATGCTATCAGGAACTGCGATCCGGAGGGGCCTTTAATGCTTTATGTGTCAAAAATGATTCCTGCTTCTGACAAAGGTAGATTCTTCGCCTTTGGTAGAGTTTTCTCCGGGAAGGTTGCGACTGGCATGAAGGTCAGAATCATGGGCCCGAACTACGTTCCTGGCCAGAAGAAAGATCTGTACGTGAAGAGTGTGCAGAGAACGGTCATCTGGATGGGCAAGAGGCAAGAATCAGTCGAGGACGTGCCTTGTGGAAACACTGTTGCGATGGTTGGCCTGGATCAATTCATCACCAAAAACGCTACCTTGACCAACGAGAAGGAAGTCGACGCCCACCCCATCAGAGCAATGAAATTTTCTGTTTCTCCAGTCGTCCGTGTTGCAGTGCAGTGCAAGGTTGCCTCCGACCTCCCCAAACTTGTGGAGGGTTTGAAGCGTCTGGCCAAGTCAGATCCTATGGTCGTGTGCACGATTGAGGAATCCGGGGAGCACATTGTTGCGGGAGCCGGAGAGCTCCACCTTGAGATCTGCTTGAAGGACTTGCAGGAGGACTTCATGGGCGGTGCTGAGATCACCGTCTCCGACCCAGTCGTGTCCTTCCGCGAGACGGTGCTGGAGAAATCTTGCAGGACCGTCATGAGCAAGTCCCCCAACAAGCACAACCGTCTCTACATGGAAGCCCGCCCAATGGAGGACGGTCTTGCCGAGGCCATCGACGACGGCCGCATAGGCCCGAGGGACGACCCCAAGGTTCGCTCCAAGATCCTGTCCGAGGAGTTTGGATGGGACAAGGACCTCGCCAAGAAGATCTGGTGCTTCGGCCCCGAGACCACCGGCCCCAACATGGTGGTGGACATGTGCAAGGGAGTGCAGTACCTCAACGAAATCAAGGACTCCGTGGTCGCCGGCTTCCAGTGGGCCTCAAAGGAGGGCGCACTGGCCGAGGAGAACATGCGGGGGATCTGCTTCGAGGTCTGCGACGTGGTCCTCCACGCCGACGCCATCCACAGAGGCGGCGGGCAGGTCATCCCCACCGCCCGAAGGGTCATCTACGCCTCTCAGCTGACGGCCAAGCCCAGGCTGCTGGAGCCCGTCTACCTGGTGGAGATCCAGGCGCCAGAGCAGGCCCTGGGGGGCATCTACGGCGTGCTGAATCAGAAGAGAGGCCACGTCTTTGAGGAGATGCAGAGGCCGGGTACTCCCCTTTACAACATCAAGGCCTACCTCCCCGTCATCGAGTCCTTCGGGTTCTCCAGCACTCTACGGGCGGCCACATCCGGGCAGGCGTTCCCCCAGTGCGTGTTCGACCACTGGGACATGATGTCCTCCGACCCCATGGACAGCGGCACCCAAGCTGCCACTCTCGTGGCCGACATAAGGAAGAGGAAGGGCCTCAAGGAGGCGATCACCCCGCTCTCAGAGTTCGAGGACAAGCTGTGAGGCGTCGTCGAGCTCTGCTCTCCATCTCCATCCTTTTTGGGGTCCCTCAGAGGCGAGAAGAACATTTTGCTTTTCTGCATCGCATCATCGTCTTTTTCGTCGATATTTATCATGATTTCACTCCGTAGCATTTGACGTTGTGGCTTCGCGCCGTTTAGTTGTTCCGTGGTTGTTCCCGTGTTTTCGTTTTCGAGTTCTCCAAACTAGAAGACTACTGTTCGTGTTAAATGTGGACTCTTGATTTCTTGCTACTTGTATTAGACTGTTGAGTATCATCTGTTCTCGTCGGCCTTCGCCGTCCGCGTTGACGAATCAAAGCAGACGCACTAATTGTAGCAAAACCGCCTCCTTTTGAAGACGGCCAGGTGGATCTCATGATCGATGTTGTAGTCAACCTAGTTTGAATCGCTCTCACCGCCCCATAACAACAACTGCAACAACGCTAACAACAGGCTTTTCTTTCACCCACTGGGTCAAATGTTTTCTGCCCGCGAAAAGTCGGCGCGAGTTGGAACCACGGGCACGATGAAATTCCCGAAGGGAGATGCAAAGGACTTGATGCTGCCAAGCCAGTGATCCCGCTTGGCCTCTGCAACCGCGAGCCTCATGGCTTGTAGATGAACTCCATGGTCCTTGTCGGCGACCGCCTACACCAAGACGATTCTTGCCCTGAGAAAAAAACCCGCATCGCAGGGGAGCAAAAGAAACAGGATGGAGAAAACACGAGGATGAAGGAGTACTGCTGGTAGAGACGACAAGGAAGCAGCAGATTTATCTTCTCTTGCAGAAGCAGAAGACGAGGCCCTGGATCAAAGGATAGAGGAATGGCTTTAAATGGCCTGATAAAATGGTAGAAGCAGCACCAGATATTCACACGATGCCGAAGGAATGAAAATCGAATGAATGCTTGTGCAAGGGGAGGGAGAGGGAGTCTCTCTTGCTTTGAATGGGAGTTGACCCGGCCTGGAGATCTCCATTTTTCATGTGCAACGGAATCGATCGGTCTTGGAAACTTTACCGGGCCGACCAGTGATCCAGGGTCGTCGTCCTCCGATAGGCCGAATGATCCCCCCCGCATGGAATGGAGCGTCAGACGATCGTAAACTCTGGGGCCACTTGGGCATGACGATGCCGTCAAGCCGATATCCTAGAGCATTCGTCGGTATTCTATAAGTCCTTGAACCTGAATCCTAGCCGAGAACTAGAGGAAACCGTCGAGAAGGAAGGCGACCGAACCATTTTCACCATTTTTATGGCTCGAGCTGGCGCAAGGACTCCCCTCCCCTCCCCCAAATTTCAGTTCTTGAGGTGGTCGCCGGTGGCGGCGACGACCCCTTTGAGGAAGATACGAGTAGGTCAGAACCAGAAAGACGATTTCCACGTCTCCCCATCACCAAGAACATTTCAAGAAGGCGATCCGGCAGTGACTAGTACTCTCTACAATGACGATGATGATGGTAAGATATTTAGGGAACATACGCTTGAAGAACGAGGGTTTACAGGCCGCAGAAGGTAGGAAGGAAGATCGGATAGGGGTCGACGAACCAGAGGAAAGAGGGTCACCTTCCGACGGGCTCGATCTTCCTCTTCTTTGGCTCGGACGCCATCTTCAAGTGCTGTCCGCCCTGTAATCGGTCGCCGGTGCTCGCCCAACCTTCTGACAGTCGCAAACGAAGATTTTCCCCCATCCGAGTAAGTATTCACAATATATGGAGATAAACTTGCTCGTATACTTCGATATATGGCAAAGAATCAGTCAATTACACCAAGATTTTGCAGACGCTGCTTGGGTTCCTTCCCATCGGGGGAGAAGCCGCCTGGAACTAGGGCGACCCGAAGTGGCCCAAGCCAGTGGTTGACTCCGGACTGCGATTACGTCAACCGCCCAGGTCTGACGAGAGAGGCCTGGGCTGGGCCGAATTGCTGAGACTCTGTTTGCCCCGTCAACAAGGCCCATAAGGCAGCCTGGTGATCTGGATCCTAACCTTTACACTACCATTCATGCAGGATTAGCATGAAAGATTCACTCTCTCATATGGGCTTTTGATGATATCGAATGCCGAGAATAATTACTTATCGATTACCACGAGGGTAAAATTTTGATTATAAACTCGAGTTCATCTCTCACTCATGGTTAGTTGATTTTGAGTGAGATAGCCGTCTAACTTCAACATGAGAGGGCATGCTGGGAATCCACTGAAATCAATTATTTACTGTAAGTAGTCGCATGGGCTGAGAATTTCACTAGTGAAAGGCTTAGATTCGACCGTCCCTTGGCATAGGGGCGATGACCATCGCGTATATTATGAGGACTGCCGTGTACAGTAGAAGCATATGAGGGGATTCGAAGGTAAATTCACGAGAAAGTATGAAACGGAGGAACTCCGCGCATGGAGCTGGGACTGAGATCTCCTTGTCAAACTATGAGATGAAACGGGCGGGGACTGGATGATCTCCTCGTTTAGCTCTCATTCTCTTTCATCAACAGCGTAGCATATCTTGATATGGGAGGACGGGGGACTCCGCCGAAGCGAAGAGACCCTCTCTGAAACCGAGAACAACGACGACTGCTGAGAGCTCTTCTTCCGTCGCTACCTAGCCGGTAGGGTCTTTTGGTCGCCATGCAGAGAAGGTGGGAGAGAGAGATAGTCAGCAACAATGGTGGAAAACGAAGCGGGATGAATCCACAGCCCAGAAGAAGACGCAGCAAGTTGGGGAGGACTGCAGTCCGACTTTTGGAAACGTCAGCTGAATGAATGGTCAGGCTAATCGCCGCCGGCGGGGACCCCTCCGCCAGCAACACAGGAATGCACCAGGAGGCATGGTGGCGCTGCAGTCTCAAGTAAGCTACCTTTGGGTTGAACTTTTGGAACCAGCATGCCGTTTCGTTTGCTTTCTTTGTCAGCCGCAGACAATTATCACCTGCTGCCCCGGGTTTGTCGTGTCGCCCTCACGGGGCTCCCATGATCACAGTATACTTGCTCTTGACTGGAAACCACATGGCCTGCCGGCGGGCGTAGCGAGGAAAATCCACGAGCCCTAGGAGCCTTAGGAAGGATAGGATGGCGATGCTTGTCTGCCCTGATAGTGTTCCCTCGGCGGACATGGTCTGCATCCCAAACCTAGGATTAGCCGAGGATCAACTTGGACGGATACCATTAATGAAGAGGCTGATTCTTCAAGCTTAGAGGTGGAGAGAGTACCAGCAACGGAGGACCCAAGACCAAATGAGATTTGAGGGGGGTCCATATTATCTGATGGAATATGGAAAATAAGAAGAGGGAGGGGGGAGAGAGAGAGAAGCCATGTGGGGAGCACGATGGGCAGGTAACCTATGAGAATCTAATTGGGTGCGTGAAAATGATCACAGATTTTGCAAAGATCTATCGACAGAAGAACTGAAATGACTTTAGATCTGAGCATCCATACTGAAGAAAAAACAATTAACGCGGAAGTATCGGTTACAGGGACAAAATCCGAACCGGAAAAACTCATCCATGGCTCTTAATTATCCAGCAAAACAGACTCTAGAAGATGAGCTTGCGGGGATGAACGCGAGGCCATTTACTCAACATGCCAGATGTTTGTCTTCGTTGACTATATCACTAGCAAAGCGCGTTCTCGGGAGTAGGTCCTGTTCCATGATGTTCCCTTAGAAGGCTATCAAGAAAGAGACGCTACAAGATCTCCACTGACCAATTAGCGGGCATCCTCGCGGCAGATTCTTCCGCGGGATTGAGAAAGGCGGCATTATAGTCCTGAGCCGTCTGAGAAATTTAAATGAGGAAACACATTCAAAACCACTGTCCCAACCGAGGACTAGCATATTCGAGAACAGCGAGGAAAGAGAGGGAAGATAAAATCAATGGAGACGATGAGGGAAAGGGAGTAGAGGGATGGGATTAATGCCGTCACCGCCTGTTCATAGGTTGAGGAAGAATAAAGTTTGATCCTATTGTTAGCGGGAAGCTCAACGGTATAGCTATTCGTCCTCTAGATGAGATCGAGGGACTACAAAAGCCTGTGCTTTGGTATTAAACGGCCGACCAATAAATTAAAACACAAGAAGCCCTCTTAGTATCAGTCAGGAAAGTTCCTTTATAATACAGTGATCCTCGCGTTGACAGTTCTGTTCGGAGACAGTGTTTCACTGATGTCACACCTATCATTCAGCGACGTCTTTGAAAGAGGAGATCAGAGAAAAGCTCGAATTGGATGAATTCGTTCGCAGTTTCGTTAGTTATCTCTGCGTAAATTATCAATTAATTAGAAAATTAGCACGTGATGATGTTAGTAAAATATTATTTTTAGTCACCATCGTCCGTAGACTTGCATACCGAAGATTGGTCGCCTAATGGTTGTCCTCACATCAATGAATCGCTCCCTGATCTTACCATACGGAGGATTTCATTAGTTGCTCCACTGGAGAGGGGGAGGTGGATTAGCGGTTGGTGGGTGTGGACTTCGGGATCCTCCTTCTCAGACCATGGGCTTGATCGAGTGGACTTACCCACCATTGACGGGGCCCTTGAGAGATCCCTGGCGCCTTTGGGAACAGAGAGAGAGAAAGAGAGAGAGAGAGAGACGTAGGGATAGGCTGGAAGCTCGAGTCAATCAGTGCTGGGGAATTGCGTAGATGGCGAAGGCCCTACGTCGCCACTGCGTCGTAAATCTCTCCGTCGCCAATCCTGATCTGGTGTCCTGGACGACACACTCGTACCATTCAGTACCTTTCGTTGACACTGTCGATAATGCCGCGACCAGTCGGCAGGTGGGGCGAGAACAGTGCCGCTGACAATGCGGCCTTAAAGTAACGCCATAAGAAAGAGTCGTTGAATTTTAAAGAGAATCCTTAGCTCACTGTTGGCGCATAGGAACAGAGGAAATATCCCCATCAACACCGCAGCGATCGATGTAGATCTGTCCTTCCCGTCGCAGAGGGCGACGGGCATGTGAGCCGTCGCCTTCGGAACTCGCTATCCGCTGCGCGGGACGTCTTACCACCCGCTCACATGAGCAGCTGCCGGCAGAGGCCATGCTGCCCATGTTGCTCGCATCCCACTACGATCACCGCAACGATGAGTGGACAGCTCGGAGGAGCCCTGGGGATGAGGGCAGCGGTGTTTGTCTGACAAAGGAAGGGTTTGAGCCGCCGTCGTCCCGGTCCTCTTGGATGGGTTTACCTAACCAAGATCCCTCCCCAGCAATCCATTCTTCCGTTGTCCATAATCCGCTTCAAGATGTTGGGAAGTGGAGCTCTTCAATGAGTCTCTGTGAGAAGTTTGATCGATTGCCGGCGTTCCATCCCGATGGTTGTTCTAGGAGTTGTGCCGGGTGGGGTCAAACCGATTTCAGAGAAAGAGAGAATGCTTCGCAATAACTTAATGCGATGGCACGCTTCGGTGCAAGACCCAAATCGACGTATAAACCATCTTATGTCGCATCAGTTGAGACTATCGTTTTCTGATCTAATTATGGCTCTCCTAGATGCACAGGAATCCGCAGTCAGTGTGGGTCACTGTGTAGAAAAGAGTGCGCAGACTGAGTAGGCAGCGTCAACGTAAAAGCAAATAGTCGACGTCAATCGAGAATGAGGGCGATGCGGTTTTCCAACTAATTCAACTTATGAAAAACCGTTTCTTGACTTAGGGTCTCGATCAATGGAGGATCCACATCTTCTGGGAACTGTCTGCTTTCCACGCTGTTTTTACTTTGCTCGAAACGTCTGTTCTTGTCTGCCGCAAAATAACGCCACTCGTTATAGATAGAGCAGTAGTTAGCGTTGACCTAAACTCATGAGGGCGCAGGACTTCTCACCCTAACACAAAAGAGCGCGATTTTTGCAAGTCCGAAAACCGCTAGTAGACTATTCATTGGAAAAGCATTTCTGAGACATTTCTGCGTTTAAAGCATGGACTTACATAGACAATCGGGCAAACATTCATCACCAAACTTATCTGAATGACAGAGGAGATTTAAACAAATGGTACAGGCGTACGATCGGATCTAGGCCCTTGCGTGACATGCCATGGTATTGAGTAGGGGGATTTCAATGCGCCAGTAGATTATTCATGAACAACTGGAGTATGAAGCACTTCCTCGGGTCCATGTTCAAGAGTCTTCAATTCCCACCTCTTTGTATGATGGTTCGACCTTCTTCGCGTCACAGAAATCCATTGGACAGACTGGGATGGGTTCGTATTTTCTTGGGCACATCGTACATTATCTTTGGAGTTTTCGACTGGAATGCTCATACTTTGCGCACATTTCCTCCCTTTTCGGGAAGTCTGTCGATCGGATGAGAAGCTCTGGAAATTTCGGTTCAGGGACGGAGGTACTACGCGGCCTGGGTTTCCTGGTTCCTTTGGTGAAGCTGCGACGGAGCCGGGGTGTCGGATAAGCAGTTGAATGGAAGAGGGGAGACGATCTCCCGGGGTGAAGGGAATCAGGTTCTTACTACTCTCAAGAGCGATAATCGCGCATTACATGAGGAGGCCAAGTTCCAACGAGGGAGAGAGCGTCGTTCGTCATAACTCGGGCCGAGAGAACCGAAAAAGACCAGGGAATGACGTCCTACTCGACTCTCCAAGAATGGGGTGGGTGACGAGGAATGGAATGGACGCCTTGGAAGCCGAGCAACTGGAGGGGACGATGACCCATCTGGGAAAAGAGACGAAGCAAGCTCGTGGTTTAATGGGCCCCGTCGAATTTTCTTTTTGCGGGCCTCGCCTTGTTTTCTGTTGTTTGACGAGTTATCCGGCTACCCACTTCGGAAGGTGGAGCCACCGCTCCGACGAGTCCTCCGGTGACTAGTGGTCGTCGCAGACGGTGTTCCCTCCCTGCTCCGCCGCCATCCTGATGCAGATGAAGGGTTCGCTGCAGAGCCGCTCCTCGGGGCTGGGTATCGGCTCCAGCTCGACCTTCCCCGCACCGGCGCAGGTCAGAGCCTGAGCCCGCCGAGCCTGGGCCTCCCAGTCGGTGGAACCCACAGCGTAGAGCATCAGCCCAGCGCAGCAGATCTGCGCCGCCAGCAAGCCAATCCAAAGCCCGCAGAAGCCTACGCCGAAGCCGAAACCGAGCGAGATGGCCACCGGCATCCCTACCAGGTAGAAGGCGCCCAGGTTGATGTTGGCCGCGTCGCTCGGACGAGCGCTGCCGCGGAGGACGCCGCAGCCCACCGTCTGCGGGCAGTTGCCCAGTTCGCATAGTCCCAAGATGGGCAGCGCCGCCGAGGTCAGCCGGAGTATCTCCGCGTCGTCGGTGAACATCTTCCCCCACACGTCCTTCACTCCCGCCGCAAAGCTCGTCGCCATGAATCCCATCGCCGCCGCTAGGAAGACGGCAACGGCGGCGGAGGTGCGCGCGCGGCCAGGACGGTTCGCTCCGAGCTCGTTGCCGACGCGAGTTGAGACGCCGAAGCCGAGCGACGAGGGGAAGACGTAGAAGAGTGCCGTGGTTTGAATGAGCAATCCCATGGAAGCCACGGTCGCCTTGGGGTCGGGGAGCAGGCCGCAGAGCAGGATCATGAGCTCGTACCACCACCACTCCAAGCAGACTGACACGCAGCTTGGCGTGGCAAGGCGAACCAGGGGGCTCCACCCGCCGAGGCACTTGCGTGTTGGGGCCTCCCATGTCGTCTCGTGAACTCCGGTGGCCCAGATGTAGGAGACCAGGAAGAGGAGCAGGGCGAAGTTGGCGGTGGCGGAGGCGGCAGCGACGCCGGAGACACCGAGGCGGAGGTGTTTCACGAAGAAGAGGCTGACGGGGACATGGACGGCGACGGCGAACAAGGCGGCGAGCGTCAACGGGCGGGTGAGGCCCTGGGAGCGGAGATAGATGCGGATGGGGTGGATAAAGGAGAAGGAAATGAGGTCCGGAAAGGAGAAGAGGAGGTAGGTTTGAGCCAGATAGGTGATGTCTGGGTCTTGTCGGAGGAAGAGCAGAATCTTCGACATGTTGAACCATAGAAAACCGATGGGAAGGGACGAGGAGAGGAGGAACAGAACAGCGCGGTGAAGAGTGACGGACAAAAGCTTGGGTTGGTTGGCCCCGAAAGCCTGGGAACAGAGGGGCTCCATGCCGAGGGAGAGGCCGGAGAGCACAGAGTAACCGGTGATGTTGGCGAATGCCACGGCGAGGGAGCCTGCGGCGAGCGACAAGTCGCCGAGGGACCCAAGAAAGAGCATGGAGATGACGGAGCGCGAGTAAAGCAGGAGGGCGGTGAGAGCAATGGGGAAGGACAGCGTGAAAAGGGATTTGGCCTCCGCAATGGTCTCGTCGGGCGCGGCTGCAAAGGGGAGCTGGTGTTGGGCCACCGGCTTCTCTGTTCCCCCCACGGGCACGAGCTTCAAGTAGATGTGCGCCGGCGCCTGCTGTTTTGCGGATGCGCCGCCGTTGCCGGCAGGGGCGGGGGAATCGGGACTGCACATAGTGTGCTGCTCTTCCGCTGCCTCCTCTCAGAAGAATTGGGCGGCGGCGGCCGACGCTTTCATGGAGAGAAAAAGGCCCAGAGACAGGGCGAGGAAGAACGGCCCTCGCAGCGCCCCTCTCCCTCTCTTCCTCGCCCCGTCTCTGTATGTCCGTCTGCGGCGTAGTGTATAGAAGACGGGGGAGAGAAGAAGGGTGAAGGGAGAGAGAGAGAAGGGCGGCCGATTTGGCAGCTCCTTTGCTGGCGTTGGAGACCGACGCGGGGTTATTAATACAGGCGAGGGGAAGAAGCCGACGAGTGTTGGGAGCTCTGCCCCCAGCGGGCTCCGTCCTCCATCTGGGCCCGGTGGGGGAGAAAGGCCCCGCCTTTGCCCGTTCAAGGTCGGAAATCAGAGCGAGGGGGCGGAGGATCCGCACGTGGATTAAGGGCGCCACAAATTCGTATTTATTTTTAAGCGAGAAACGGCGGTCAAAAGATCTCCCGCTGTCAGCCTTTACGGGCTCCGCACGGGAGTTATCGAGACTGGGGGGGGAAAGTTAAAGCGGAACAGTGCGAGGGAAGGGCTGTCCTCGCGTAGACACGTGGCATCCGCACGTGCGCTTACGCCCGTGCGCCCCGCTGGCATCGCTGGCAGGGGGGCTGACACCCCTGCGCGCTATTGGCCGAGCCCATCCCCCGCCAGATGGCGAGAAATAGTGAAACCTTCGTCGTACTTGCCCCATCTTTCCTCGTTAGCACGCATCGGCACGGTGGTATTCCCCTCCCAACTCATCTCCCTGCTTCTCTCTCTCTCCCTCCCTCTCTCTCTTTCTCTCTCTCTGGCTTCCGGGGCCTCGTCAAACGGGAGATCCCCTCACCTCCACAAGTTGGGATTTGTTTCGCTCTCGGAGATCATCGGTCACGGGGTTCCCACCCCCACGTGTTTGGGCGGCCTCCCCTCCTCGCAATCGGGAGGTTCCTGCTTCCACAAGTCCAGGGGGGGCGTTCCCTCCCTCAGGCAAGCACCGCTCTAGAGAGAGACACACACAGAGACGCAAGCACTGAGAGAGAAAGAGAGAGAGAGAGAGAAAGGGAAGCTCGAAGGAGATATCAGCTCGTGGTTTCGAAGGAAGAGGAAGGACGAAGGCTGTGGAGAAGGTGAGCGCCGGGGAGAAAATGGAAGAGAGAGGACGTGAAAGGGACGTCCGGAGTCGGACAGGCGAGATGGTCCCGTCCGGTGGGCGGCGGGTACGCTCACTGCGCCGCACCGGTGGCTGCGAAATCTCCCGACAGACTCGTGGGAAGAAACAGCCTCCTCAAACCCACCCGCCTCCACGCTATCCAGAGAGCTCCCCTGCTCTCTTCTCGCCCTATCCAAACCCAAACTCCTCGCAACGTAGGACCTCTGTCAGTGCCAGCATGCGTCCCGTTGACTCACCCAGGTCAATGCAACTAACGCAGAAGACTCAAACGATGCCGTTATTCGGACAATCTGGTAGTCCTGCATGTCCGTCTCATCGAATGAAGCGGCGAGAACTCATAGAAAAAGGTCGTCTGACATCTTGAGGACCTGCTGGAGATGTGGCATCACTAATCATATCATCACGATGGCCATCTCCCGCCGGGTGTAAGTGGATAAAGCCGTCCCAAGAAGCACGAGGTGGGCGTCTGCGTGGCCAGGACGACGGATCGACGAGATCAGATGGGAAAGAAAAAGGCGGTGGACTCTCACGGGCCATCAGCGCTACTCATGGTTACAGTACAGAGCGAGCCGCCGTCACGAGTCTCCGTCGCGGCGAACCGGCTGGCGTCAGAGGAGCAGTCGTTCGTGAGCAGCACCGCATCGCTGGGCCGATATGATGCGCACGGTGACGCCATCGACTGGGCGCGTCCGAGCGGCCCTCCAGTCAAATACGAGCCTCCCCCGCGCCGAAGGTCTCATCGGTGAATCCGTCCGGCCGTTCATACCCAATTAGAAAGGAACAAACAGAGCTTATCCACTTCGCCGGAGTCTGGTTGGTCGTCGGAGTTTGATCGGACTGTGCCCATACTGATTCCGGACCTACCGTGCGGTTGCGCACATGAAAGCGAGCGGATGAACAAAACGTGGCAGCCCGACTTCTGTGAGCGGCGTCGTCTCCCCAGTCAGATCAGCAGTATGACGAACGAAAAGAGATTGGAGCGAGCGAAAGGTGAAAGGGAGAGGAGGCGTCTGGGGGGCGTGGTCTGACGACCCAAGCGGACTCGCAGCTTCCTTTCTCGTCCCCTTTAGGCGACGAGCCGGCCTTCCCTTTCGGCAGGTGGAGCCACATCTAAGCACGCATCTCTGGTGATCGAGACCCTTTTGGTAACCTCGATCGCTGCTACGTTCATGGTTTGTGGTGGCACCCGAAAGAGACGATCGCCCGCTTCACTCGTCTCTGGAGCCTTAATTTAGCCGATTCTATGAGGACGTAACTCTCACAGTTCAATAAAAACATTCATCCATGTTTAACTGAATGTTGCAGGAATCATTTCGCATTGGGCTGAGAAAGACTGGTCGATTCTGTGGACATGACCGACTGCCCGGCGAAGTTTGTACAGTCTTCATCTCATGAAGTTACACGAGTTATCTGAGCCCATTGATAGATTACTATGGATCATGAAGATCACTTTGCACCCGGTGAGTGGATGGCCGGGTGCCCTTCACGACGATCTGGGAAACCTAATTTTATCCTCCTTTCTGAGACTGCCGCGCCGACGGTGGCGCTTCCACGGACCGCTTCTTCCATACACGTAACGATGAGCCACACAGGCATAGAAAAGGAGTGCAGATGGGTTTAGGCCGATGCTCCCATCAGTCTTCCGGTGGTCGGCAGGAAAGCGGCCCCGTCGCCGCAGACAGGTAGACAAAACACTCCAGCAAGCTTTTCTCAGTGAAAGGACTTTGACCTTGCTACCATACACCGAATTTGCGCCGCTACGCGGGGGAGAGACTCTGAATGCGGCACTCCTGACGCGAATCCGAGTACATTGCCCAGTTTCGTCGCTTTAAAAAGTACAAATTTCACAGCATCAGCGCACCGCTAGGATGCCGAGGAGCCCTCGTCACGCATCACTTTAGAGACGGGCACGATGAACCCGCCCGCGCCAACCCCCGCGTCACAGATTTGTTTATTTCTGCGCTTCGACTGAACCTCCCTCGCCCCAGACGAGGTTCCACAATCAGAAATAGTCCGATGACACCTACTCTCAGGTATCGTCGTGCCTTCTGTCGACCCCTTTGTCCTCCTGGACCCCGGTCCCCGGAATCGCTACGTGCCGTGCCGAGGTGCTGGGCGAACGTCCCCGAGGTGACACTATTCCAGCACCACCACAGAAAGCTCCGCCAACTTGAGTCAGGCGCATCGCCGCCCAAATCTTTTAAGGATCTAAGACCACTGTCCCATTCCTGCTCGCGCAACAGACGCCGAAGACGGAAGGAGAAGGGTCCCTGGACCGAAAATTGAAAGATAATGGGCGGGACGAAGACCCCGGAGGGCGGTAGAAGCTTGTGGTTTCCGGCGGCCCAGATAATTACGAGTTCCAGAATTTGAAGAAAGACAAATGTCCATGGAGGTCCAATGGGAACGAGTTCTTCAGTGGTTCGTCCTGTTCCTTCTTCGGCAATTAATTAAATAATTCTCTGGCCATATTTATATAAACTGACGATGAAAGTCGCCCCGGGAAATTAACGCAGGAATTCAGGACTAACAAGAGCTTGGATTCAGCGGGGGTACAGCTGCGTTCCAATGTCAGCGTATCTTCTCCAGAGTAAGTCCGAATCTGGCAGAAAAGAAGTTTCAAAATTATATTAGAACGAGGTAACTACCCATTCTATAAAACATTAGAGATCACTGGCCTTATTCATTGACTGAATCAGACCAGTCGAGTTTGGCTCGTACTGATCGTAATTCCGCGAGGACGATGGCCTCAAAGTCCACTACCAGCGATTAGCCCAATATAGTTAAATTCTCGAGCTGAGACTTCTCGATTAGTGTTTGCTGCAAGGAAGATGAGAGCAATCTGAGACGTTCTCACCTCGTGATCTATAAAATTAATAAAAAATGAACATCATTTAATGAACGATGATGTCGGTAGACTTAACACGCGATTGAAAATTTTCGAGATTGACCAAGGGGGGAGCTACCGACGCTCCCAATTTTAATAAAACCAGGGGGTTATATGTCACATTTTGGGGAATCAAGGCTGAAACGCCGAACTTACCAAATGCACGAAATTATCAAGTAAAAACAGGCGGCTTCTTCTTGACCCGTTGACTCTATGAACAAAGATGACAGCCCACGAACTCTTCTGTTGTTACAACGATGACACTGGATCCCAAGAAAGGGCTTACCAGTTGCACTCGGAGCCGGTCTCCCCCCAAACCCGGCTCTAACCTTCCAGCTATTCGACGCCGAGAGAGGGAGAGAGGGAGAGAGAGAGAGAATGGGGAGGGGGGGGGGTTGATCCGCGGCTAACGACACCAAGAGCTGCGAAGACCGTGGGCCGGGCCGAGAGAATCCAATCGTATTTTGGGCTGACTGTGGGCCGGCACAGGGTACGCATCGATCTCCGAGTCAAAATGAACCGGATCACGAAGCAGCGAAAGCATGACGCAAGAGACAGCAGGTTCCGACGCTTATCTAATCTGGCCTAAGGTCAAATCCGACCCCTAGGAAAGCAGGTAGGTCGGGCTCGACGAGGAGGAAACAAAAAAATCTACCCATCCCGCATGTTAGAGAGCTTGAAATTGAAAACTAACGTCGTGGCCACTCATTTATTCATTGTTTATGGAGAGGGAGGGCAGAGCAGCCGAATGCGACAGAGCATTTTTACTTATTTATTCGGTAGAACCCGGGGCGATGACGGTGCGCAGTGAGCGGCTGAACAGTCACCTAACAGAGATTCACGTGCGAAGCAAGGCGCCCGATTTAGATCCTGACCGGGTTCGATCTGCCGAAGGGCTTTTGCTCTGGGTTCGAGAATATTTGTGTGGTTATTATCTGGGGGTTTTTGTTCTTCCCTGATAATTAAACAAATATGTTTTCAAACTTGGGGAGCGCGGCTCGGAGTGTTACTGTTTCATTCGTACGAAGTTGGAATTTTCCCGTCTCATTTTGGGGAACCGAACAATTCAGCGGGGGCCCGTAAGCTAATAGCCTCGACTCCATGGGTGGCGTCATCGCGTGGCACATCTCATGCCCTCCTCCGGTCATGTGGGTTGTCGACACGTGGCGCCCCGCCCATCCGCCGCCGTAACGGGTCTGTCGAACCCCGGTTAAGCGCGGAGCTTTGATTTCCGATTGCGTCCGGTGAATCTGGGACGGGCGGCCTCGCCGGTAGCCCGTTAAATTTTTTGAAAGCGGGGATTATTTAGCCGGGTTTCCTCTTACGAGTCCAAGGGGAGGCGCCGCTCCGGAGACCCGCCGGAAGGAGGGGGGGTGGAAGATTCGGCGTCGAGCAGAGGGGCCGGCGAGGTATGGTTAACCGCCTGCTGTTTCTTTCCCAGTAGGTGAAAAGACGACTCTGCTGTACTCTCTTGTTTCTCCTGCACCACTTGCTCGGCCATTACAGCGGAGGGGGGGCAACCTCCGTGGCGGTTTCCTCTGCCGGCATCCCCACCTCGTAAAAGAGATGGGCAGGACGTTCGACGGTGAACTGCACCGCCGCACGCTGAGAAGAGGGATGGGCGGGGGGAGAGGGGGGTCGAAGTATTAAAAGTCGCTCCAGGCGGGATGGGAGCCCCGCGGCGGAGGAACCTGAAGTAGATAGATAAACAGATGGAGTATCTTTTTAAGGACACGTCGCTCCAGAAAAGAAAGACCGGAGCTTGAAGGGCGGTAGTGGGGTGTAGCCCATCTTCCGGCTTCGTACCTCGCAGTTTTCAAATTTCCGCTCCCGTTTCTGCTCGGAGTAAGATTTGAGTCTGGGTGGGTTTCCTCTAGTCCGCTTCCCCTGCTGCGTCATTAAGCAAATGCCGAGGGGCAAGAAGGGGAGATAGGCCGCCTCCCTGCTCTCGGCTCCACCCCCCGTCGTCTTCCTGTTATATCTCGTCTACTCTGCTCGCACATGGTGGATCGGATATTTGTGCATTGAGAGGAGCGCTCCTAGAGCCACATCGTCCCATGGCGAGGGCATGAGATGTCCAATCTTTCCTCGGATTTTAAGGCGGCCTGTTCCTCATCTTCCTCTTTTCTGCTGGAGTTGCAGAGAATATCTGGATAAATGAGCTAAGCTCCCCTCCGTGTCTTTCCCTGCCTCGCCCTCCTCTCTGTTCCCCGTCGCGTCTGCCCGCTCCGCCCCCCACCACAACTCTGAATCTTCTCATCATCTCCTGAGGTTCCATCGTTCCATCTTTTCTGCTTATTTTTTAAGATCCATTTGTTCCATGGACGCTTGTCCGGAGCGAAGGAAGATCCACACTTTGAATCCCATTAGTATGGTCGGCTTCGTATGACGCTCCTTTCTTTCCTGCACCTTTCTGGGCATCCTTTTGTCCCGTAATGGTGTTCATCACGAGGCCTTGACAGGTCTTTATTCCGAAACCCACACGTCTTTACGTAGTTTTCTTTTCTTTTATCATTTTTCACCGCATCATCAAACCCTACCCAGATGAAAGTGGAGCACTCGGCTTTAGATTTGTACATCTTCATCCCATTTTGATCCTTTCTTTCCACACCCTTCTTCCCTTCTCTTCCCAGGACTTGGCGGGGCGGCGCTCTTTTTTCTACCCTGCTGTCCCCAACTGCGGGACGTCTGCTGCCGGAGTATGGGCAGGGCGACCCGATGGCTGAGAAGCCTGTTAGGCGGGAAGAAGGACACCAATGAGTCCAAGCACAATTCGAACGCCGGTGCCGCCACCAGAGCTGGGGACAGAGTCAAAAAGCGGTGGAGCTTCGACAAGTCCGAGAGGGAACAAGGAGACGTCGCCCCGGTGGCGCAGGCGCCGAAAGAAGACTCTGCGTGGCTCCAGTCACTCTACTCGACGAACGAGAAGGAGCAGAGCAAGCACGCTATCGCCGTTGCCGCCGCGACAGCCGCAGCGGCAGACGCGGCGGTGGCTGCCGCTCAGGCGGCGGTGGCAGTGGTGAGGCTAACAAACCAAGGAAGGGGTTCCGTGTTCCTCGGCGGCCGGGAGCGATGGGCAGCCATGAAGATCCAGGCGCTCTTCAGAGGTTACCTGGTAGGCCCAGCTCACCCCTCTCTTCAAGAATTCCTTCATTCTTCTTCCCCGGAGCCTCATACTGTCCATGGATTCCACTGCTTCCGACAATTATCACTGCTCGCTTCAACTTTCGTAGTTCGACTTTCTTACTCGGAAATCTAATTGAGATACCCTTCCCGATTTTGAATTTTTCCTGCTTCTGCAAGAACTTTGAGAGCCCGTGGCATCTTCTTTATTTTGTTTCTGTGAGCCACTGTTTGAAATGAACGATTTCTGTCGTTTCCGTGAAGGCGAAGAAGGCTCTTCGGGCCCTCAAGGCTCTGGTGAAGTTACAGGCCCTCGTTCGGGGCTACCTCGTCCGCAAGCAAGCCGCCGCCACTCTCCATTGCATGCAAGCTCTCATTAGAGCCCAGTCCACCGTCCGGATGCAGAGGTCCCGCAACCTCCCCGTCCGCGACCCGTCGAGGTTGCAGGCGGAAGTCCGCCCGCGGAGATCCCTGGTAAGGAACCGGATGAGCTCCACCGGAACATTCAATGGCGGCCGCGTCTCCTGCGCTGACTCCTCCGCCGCCTTCCCCATCTGCAGGAGCGCTTTGACGAAACGAGGAGCGAGTGCGCCGTCCCCACGCTGCACAGCCGGCGCCTGTCGGCGTCTCTCGATCAGGCGATCAATGGCTTCGAGGGGAGCCCCAAGATCGTGGAGATCGACCCAGGGAGACCCAAGTCGAGGAACCGAAGGCCGAATACCCCCCTGCCCGACGCCGGCGACGACTTCCTCCCGCACACCCCCCCGCTTCCCTGTCAACTCTCCTCTCGAATCTCTTCCATCCCGGATTCGCGCAAGAACAACCCCTACGACTTCGACTGGTCCCTCACCGGAGACGAGTGCAGGTTTTCCACCGCCCAGAGCACCCCACGGTTCCTGAACTCCTGCGTGACGGCGACCGTGCCGATGCCCTTGACGCCCGCGAAGAGCGTTTGTGGGGGCGACGGCATCTTCCGAAGATACCAGAACCTGTCGACCTTCCCCAACTACATGGCCAAGACTCAATCATTCGAGGCGAAGGTAAGATCGCAGAGCGCCCCGAAGCAACGCCCTGAGCCCCCAGGCCCGAAGAGACTGCCCCTGAACGAGATGACGGAGCCGAGGGCCAGCCTGAGCAGCGTTCGGATTCACCGGTCATGCTCCCAGGTCCAGGAAGCTTTCAACTTCAAGAACGCCGTCGTCGGCAGGCTCGACCGATCCGCCGACCTCTGCAGGGAAATTGAGAGAGAGTACTATCTGCAGAGAAGGTGGTGATGAGACGTTTTAACCGCCTCCTCTTCCCTGTTCCTCGTCTCCCATTTACCGGAAGCTCGGCCGTCGATCTCGTCTGATTTGAAAATTAGAGCAATCTGTAGTTTTTTAGTCCTTACCGGCGCCGGGGAATAGAGAGAGGATGGGTGGCTGTCTGTAAACATAGCTTTCTTGCTTCATGTTTAAATGGAATGAATGTTTCACGCCTTCACTTCCCTCTCTCTATCTCTCCCTCTCTACGGTAGAATGGCCGTGGACATCAGTCTAGCTCCTTTCGCTGTCAGCCTCCTCCCCCCGCCGTCTGAACCCGCCCACGAGCTTCCCCTTTCTTCTTCCTGCTCCGCGCTTCACGTGAGGTTCGGAGATACCCCTCTGCATGTGCCTCCACCCCGCAGCTCTGTTGTTTTCTTCCCGTGCCCTCGTCAGTCACGGAGTCCCCCCGCCCCCGGCCTATTCTCTCGCAGCCTTTTCCGCTCCGCTCCACCCCACGTCGAACTTCGGTGGCGTCGTGTCACGATAATTTCCCCAGCGGGTTACACCCCCCCATCCCCCCCACCACCCCACCCCAACAGTCGCCATGTGAGGAAGCTTTCGAAATTTCCCGTCGGTAATGATTAGGGTTTGGCTCGTCGGAGGGGGTTGCATCACGCTTCCATCATCGCTCTGGTTCTCGACTCCGTTCGTTTGTCGAGTAATGCGGCATATTATATTCAGCGTCATCCGAGATGCCGGACGGGTCTCACACTCTGTTTTCAAATCCCTATCGCGGACGACCGGAGGGTCCCCGGCGGCGGGACGAAGACGAACGGACGGCTGGCATCGTAAGGTCTTCACCCCCCATTCAAATTCAAAAAGCACGACTTCCCCTGACTCTCCGCGTTCATACATACTACCGGCCTGCGACCTCGCTCCAGAGTTTTAGGAGGCGGAGGGATTCCAAAGGGCAGTATAGATTAGGCCCCATCCCCGGTGAACAGTGAGCGCTCTGCAGTGGATTCGCATGTCGGCCGACGGGATTAAGGGGGAAGGTGCCGCGCTGAGGCCTAGTCGGCGCGCTTTAATGGCCTCGAGCTGTTCGAATCCCATGCCTGCCTGCGTAGGTCGGGATGAAATACGTAGAGCTCGTCTTCTGGTCGCCAGTGATTCAGTGGGTGTGTAGATTTCTGCGGCGACCAGTCGCCGCCGCCGCCGCCTTAAAAAATGATGGTTTGCAGGGTCAGCATTCCGGCGGCGAAGGGCCCGAGCCATCCACCATGAACACCCTGAGCATGGAGATGAAGATGAACCCGAAACTTATGATTGAGCCCAGCTCCGGCGTTTTAAGAGAAATGTCGGCGAGAGAAGGAGAGGGAGAGTCGCTCTCTGGATGAGATCGAAGGGAGACGAGTGCGGCGGCAACAAGAAAAGCATGCGCGACGGAGATAGGCAGCGCCCTCGTCAGATCCACGTGGTCGCCTGGTTGGTCGCCGGCCGTGAATATTCCACCCGCGGGGGAGGGGGGATGCCCGCCGACGGAGGGATGAGCCTGACAAGTAGTTAATTGTATTTCGAAAAAGGGTCAGGCGGCGGTAATTGAGCTTAGTTTATAGCGGAGCCGGGGGGAATTATTTTAGCCGACCAAAGATTTGAATTTTTGAAAGCTGTGTAGTCAGCGTCCGCTTCCCTCCAGCCCCCCACCCCGCCGGAGACGGCGACACTTGGTCAACTTGACCCGGTGGGATCGCTGCCCCGTCTCGGAATGGGATCCCGGTTCCTGAGACTGTTCCCCTGGCACCGTGGGAGGCGGCAGAGAAGAAGAGGAGCTCCGCCGGCGCCGTGACCCGTATTTTTCAAACCGACGGTCCACGTTCACCCCGTCCGACGCCGCGCGATTGCCGTCGGCCGACAGAGCGGGCGGCCTCCTACGGCTGTCGATATCGACCTCAGAGCCGCATGTGGGTGGCCTCGTCGCCGCCGTGAGGGAAGGAGAGAGAGAGGCAGAGAGTGGCGACGACGGTGGCTCCACCGGTGGCCGTATCCACATCGGGTAACACCGCTGTTCTCCTCAATCGGGAGCTCGAGTATCACGCAGTCTATCCGCCGGTCCCATCACCCGCTGCGCTTTCGCTCGGCCCCGCTGACTGACAGCCCCTCACATCATCTGCTGGCAGGCGCGTTCCTCTCGCGGCCTCATTTGACGATGAAAATTATCTTATCCCTCCCGCGGGCGCGCGCCGGCCTCGACAGAGACGGCAGAGGGCGGGGAGAGGAGCCCCCCGCTGGCGGCAGTAATCAGAAAACTTCTCAACAGGTTGTCCCCTGACAACGCGCAGCAGCAGTGCATGCAAACTATGTCATTGGTCGGCCCCCTGCGAGCTCAAATCCGAAACATGGCTGCCGCCGCCGCGATCTCACCGCCGGGGGCCGCCGCGGTAGGGCCAACCGAGCCGGCCGGATGCGAGTCGCAGTAAATGATGGGAGGAGATTGCCAGAGAACGTTCGTCCCCTCCGAGCTTCCCTGCGAGGATCATGTGACGTCGCCCGAAGCAGGTGAGCAATTACGGCTCTCCGCACTGGCCAGCCGGCGCGCGGTCGACTGAGGGAGGGAGGGAGGGAGGGAGGGAGGGAGGAGGGAGGGAATCAGAGGGGACAGACCCTCCTCGGCGAGGCCGCCGTTGACAGTGACGTGGAGGAGGGAGATGCTGGACCACCTCTGCTGGCGTACACGAGCCAATGTAGGGGGAAAGGGTGGCGCAGCGCTGGCCCTCTGTACTGGATTCCTTGGGGGAGCCTTCCTTGGTCGTTTGCGGTAAATCGGAGCACTCCGAGGCATCGCCGGCCCACTCGTTGACATCGCCTGCGGCCGTGGCTGGCTGGGGCTAGGAGAACAGTGGGAATATGGGGGGCTCGCCGGACCACCGAGCTTCTCTTAAATGCCGCTGCCTCCCGGAGGAACTTTCAGTTCGATCCTCAGAGGCTCATTCAAACCCTCCCTTCCTTACCTCCCCTCCCTCCATCTGTTCAAGGACCCTGCAACTCTGACCCCCACCGCCCCCAGCGGATCTTCAAAGCTGGCAGCTTTCTCGCAGGTGCGTTCAATGCAGTGCCAGAGAACCCCTATTTCCCTAGGCCGGCCCAAAATGAATATTGGACCGGCGTTTCATGGTGGATCGAACTATAAAATGGGCCGTCGTATTGTAGTTGGCAATGGTGTGAGGACATATCGTTCTCGAATTTCCCGCGAAGAGCGGTCACAGTTTGATCCACTCGGAACCGTCGATGAAGCTGAGAGAGATGAAGGGCTTGGCCTCCTCGTCGGTGAGCTCCCTCGACCAGGCCACCCTCCCCGCGTAGCTCGCCCCCGGCCCCGTGCACTTGTACTGCCCATAGAACACCGTCCTGCCATGGCGTCCAAGCACCACCAAGGGAGGACCTTCTTCAGTAGAGAGAGAAAGGGAGAGAGAGAGAGAGAGGTGTGCTTACATTTCGCGGTTGGGGTCGCCCCAGTTGTGCCAGCCCTTGGGGACGATGATGTTGTCCATGTAGGTGAAGGCGAAGACGACCCGGGAGAAAGTGCCCCATGCACGGCCCAGGTAGAGCGCCCCCGAACCCGTCACCTTGCAATTCACGAACGAGAACCCCGTGTCCTCCAGCATGCTCATCCTGTCCTGCGCCGTCACGGCCCCGAAGTTCACCGCTATCGCGTGCACGTGGCAGCTCTGCCCATCCACCTCCTCCATCAATCAATCCGCGAAGAACACGAAGAACAAGAACAGGAACAAGAAGGAAAACATTTGGACTGCACTCCTGTTTCCTTCGGCTGGCCGCCAACGGCGAAAGGTTTCCTATGTGGCTAAATCCGGGCCGCGAATTCCCGTGTGGGCCTTTACAGAATCACTGTCACGGGGAGGCGTAAAAGGCAGAATCATGCGGAATTTTGTAGCTCCCCCCCCGTGACAACTGTCCTATCTCTTCACCATGTGGAGGCCAGCCCCCCCACCATACCTTGGCAGGGGGAAGACTGATGCCGCCCTTATGCTAGAATGCCCGATAGAATATGCCCCCCTGATCGTATTACCTGAGGAGGAGGGACGAGGGACGAGGTCTACCTCAAACAGGGAGAGACCGTTTCCGAAGATGAAGTCCACAGAGCCCTCGATGTAGCAATCCTTGTAGTAGTGCCTGCCCTGGTGATCGTAGAGCGTGTCCTGCGCGCCGATGAACTTACATCCCCAGAACGATGCGGTGTCGCCGGAAATCCGCAGGGCCACCGCCTGCTTCCCCAGCGCCCCCGGCGGCGGAACAGGGGTCGTGTTCTGCGCGACACCGAGAAAACCGTCCATGGCGAGTCAGAGCAATTCGCGCTCCTTCTATTCAGAGGAAGTCTTCTCCGGGTTTATGAAGAAGGCGCGGGGGACATACCTTGAAGGTGATGTTCTTCGCGATGAAGTAGGGGGAGTTGACTGCGAAGGTGGCGGAGTTGAAGGTTCCCATGGGCCGCCCATTGAAGCCCGGCGTCTGCGCCGTGTCGCCCCACTGGACGACGGTTTTATCCGCTCCTGCTCCCTCGACGGTTATGAACGCTCTGAACGGCGAAATGTTGACCTTCTCGCTGCAGAGAAGGGCTCTCGATTCACATTCTAGCAGGTGGAACTTGACGACCGAATGGACAAGATCGCGATGAGAGAGAGAGAGTGATTCCTCAAGAAACCTAACGGCGGGAAGGACTCACGTGTAGACGCCGGGATTGACCTTGATCACAACCCTCACGAGGTTGACGAATGGAATCGAATCGATGGCGGACTGTATCGTGGTGAAGTCGCCGGCGGAAGGGTTCTTGTCCACGGTGAGGGTGTACGAGGGGAAGAGCTTGTTCATCGCCGTCCCGAAGAGCGAGTGCCGGAGGCCGCCGACGTACCGCACCCAGCGCAAGAACTGCTGCTCGATCATCTGCGCGCGAGTCGCATTCCCCGGGAACCCGCTCCCCCTGCTCCTCCCCGGCCGGATTCCCTTGCTGTGGCAGAGGATCTCCCCGGCGGAGCTCAGCAGAACGAGCAACGCCACGCAGAGGACCCGCCGGAAAGCCGGCATCTTCGAATGCAGCGGATGAAGACGGCGAAGCGGGAAGGAGAAGGAGAGAGGGATGGCCCTCAGATGACTACGCCGACGCCGATGGGGAGCGCGGCAGCCGGTCTACTTCCGGCGCCGGGGGAGGCGCTTCGGGAATTTAAAGGAAGTTCACGGGTTTCGCTTCTGCCAATAAAGGGCGGAGCGAGGCAGCGTGGGTCGCTCACAGGTCTACAACGAGAGGCGAGGCGTCTACCCCCCCCACACCCCCCCGCGGCACACTCTCTCTCTGCGTTGTGGGTTCCTCTCCTCCTCCTGCTGTGCCCCATTCGTCTTCACCATCAACCTCTTCCCGCAAAATGCACACCCCTAATAATCCCGGCTTCCCCTCCTCTTCTGACTCGAAAAAGGCTCGAGTTTGTGACCTCAACGTGCTTTGTTCTGGCTTCTGTTCTCTTCTGCTCCCTCGTAGTCAGCCGCCCGTGAGCCGTCCCCACTCCTCTTCCACGTCAACTTTCCTCTCTGTTTGTCTGCGTCTGCGAGCTCTCCCACTTTCTTTCACCACACTATTATTATCGTCGTCGCGTTGACCTTCATGGACTCCCCTAGTGGGCCATGGGCCTCACCACGAAGCGGGTCTCGATTAGAATATTTATAAGATTTTTAATCGATGAGAATCTGGCCCGTCTCGACTTGGCCACCGACTCGGCCGGCCGCCTTCCTTTTCAGCGCAAAAGGCCCGCCCCACTGAGGAGCGACTCTGGGCTCCAGCTGGGCCGGCCAAATTATTTTGTTCGGATGTGGTCGGCCCGGCCTCATGATTGCCACGGAGGTGCCCGATACTTTTTCGTGATTCTTGTCTAAGTACCCCTACGCTATTATATCTATTGCAATTTCCCCTTTTTTTCTATTATTTTGTTGTTTTAGAACCTACGTGTATTTTTATTTTAAAAATATTTATAAGGTTTAGATCCCAGTAAATTTCAGAACTGAAAAGGACCAGCGCCCCCGTTGTCAAGCGAAAAAGGAAAATTCCTCTGAATATTCTACATATATATAACAAGGACGATAATGCGTGGAATAATCGTAAACAGATCTATAAGTTACCAATGATAACATTAAGATAAAAATGTATATTCGTCAATAAATACAATTCGTATGTACAAAAACTCCCACAAAAAATCCGTAAGTTGAAGAGGTGAATATATGAAAAATAAAATACACAGGATGAAGATATCATAATAAATATTTATTTTTTTGCACCGTTTAGATGCTTTCGTCCTAAATTGTTTACACGTCAAAATAGTGAAAAAAAACTTAAAAATTAGCCACAACGTGTATTTTTTCATATTTATCGTATTTTTATTATGCAGGCATTTAAGAAATTCTCTCGTTGACACTTCATCTTTGCATTTGTAAACATAAATAAAAAATAATACGAATATATACAAAATTACTGTCCGGCAAGACGAGCTAAATATGAAGGACTTTTCTCTAGATAAGTTAGTTTACGCCGACCTAAACCTGTTTAAACTCTACTTTTATTCAATGGCCGGGCGGTTAACTCCTACGTAAGCACGAGCCTTGTTCATAAAACTTAGCAAAATCGACTCAAGGTATATTTTGATTGCAATAATACCCTGCATAAATTCGTCGTTGATCGACTGTTTGATTGACTGGCGAGAGGTAGATGAGTACACGTGGTGCGCCTTGCTTGAGTTATGACGTGTCCTGACACGTTACGAGTCGGCCATTGGTCATACGGCGGGTCCCATCGCCTGCATATAAGTTTTCCACGTCGGCTGTGCTCAACGTTTAGTAGCACTAGCAGGGACTGAATAGTAAATTATCCACGAGGAGGACTAGGAATACGATGAATTCGCCGCGTAGAAACGAGGATAGATTATTTAATTGTCACGTCACATTTATCGCTTAAAAAATTTAATCCCTAAAATTATATCATATTAGACCTAGATTTCTATTGGTGAACACAGGGGTGGGTAGAATCTTAATTTTAATGTTCCGTCGGCGGTCGTATACTGGTTTCGAAGGGTGTAAAAAGAAAAAAAGAAAAAGAAAAACAGACTCTCCGGTCGTCTACTGGTCTCGCGGTATCCCCTTCCCCTCTTCCCAGTGCTCGTCGGCGGATCGCTCGCCGGCGCCTACTTCCCGAACTCCTACAGGTCCCAGAGAAGACCCGAGGGAGACCAAGGGAAGCCCGAGGATCATGAAGGGAAGGAGGCCGCTGAGTAAACTTCAGCTTGCTATACCCGAGCAAGAAACGCCCGTCACCAATTACTTGTAAGTGCCTTTGGCAAGCGGATCATGGGTTTCTCCGCGACTCTGCATCTCGGCCCAAACCGCGGCTGTATTCTCGCTCTGCTGTCTCGATCTCCTGTTCTCGCATCATCCAGTGGAAGCGTTTGTATTTACTGCCGTTTGCATAGGACGATCTTCGTGACTGGCCATTTTGACTCTTATCTTTGTTCACCCTTTTTTAATTAATTCTAAATGAGCAATCAGGGTGTGGCGTCTTTCAGGACGGCTAGCGGAACGTTCCAGGATGGTGATCTCCTATTGAATCAGAAAGGCTTGAGGTTGATTTCGGAAGCAGGTGGCACTCCGGTAAGTTTATTTTTTTTCCTACCGTTCTCTCACCACGCCGAGTGTTTAGTCTCTTGTTTGGAATATGCACTAGAAGGTGGCTAAAATGAAATTGAAATTGATATTAATTGCTTGAAATAGAGTGAGATTTGTGAATGTTTACTGGATATATCATATCTCATGCTACTTTTCCGGATTCAAGATATTTTCATCTACGGAGAGAGGAGATTCGGGCTGCGGACCAGTAATGACGCCCAGAGGCATCCCTCAAAGTTCTCCTAATGTTACATCAGTTTATAAAACAATAATGCCGTTGATACACCGGAGAATGCGACTAGATTTCTTTTTCCGATTCCTTTTTCAGTGTGAAGTTTCCCTCCAGTATTTTTTGCAACCCAAAATTGAAATGTCTTTGCGAAACACTGGAGGGATTCGTGCCGGCATTATTTTTTAAAACTTCAACAAGAGGGGGTTATGGTAAACTAAAAAAGCTAGGATTCAGGTGGTCGGATATAAGTATCAGTCTAACTGTTCGTACAATTTTCACTACCGTTATCAATCCAGAGTATGGAGTAAAATTTTGCTTAGATTTTTTTCTTTGAAATCATGGTACTATAAGTTCACATGCTTTATCTGCGTCCCCAGGGTACTTCTTTTGGTAGTTTACAACTCAGGTTGGCCTCTTCTCATTTTGAGATATGTATATAATTAAATGTACTCATCGTGTTATAATTATTGGATTATCTATGTAACGGACAAGCTTATTGTTCTTAATGGATTGCTCATGTTCCTCATCCAGTGGAGTTTTTAGTAGGATCTCTGTGTCCATATGTGTGTCTGTAAATTTGCATAGACATCAGTGCTTGTCCACTTGGATGTGAATTGATGTGTGCATGAATGTGTAGTTGCGCGTATATATAGTCTACATAATCCTTTTTGTATCCCTGTGAAACTCACTTGATCCTCATTTATTTGGAGATGACCGGCCATAATTTTTCATGATTAACATATGCTTTCTTATGATCTATTGCTTGGAACTAACTTTTAAAATGTTCTTATTTTAAAAAAAAATATTATATTTCGGATGTTATTTATTTTCATAATAGGCAACCCCAGACAGCTGGCATATTCGTTGTAGTTTATAATTAAGGGAGCTTTGACTTACAGTGCTGTGTTACCTTGTCAAAACCTCCTGTTGTGCACATCATATATCCGCTCTTTAATTGGGATGTCTCTTGTGTATCGTTCACATTTGACGAATTTTTTCTTATTGTTACTTTTCCAGCTGATCCATTCTTCTGAGACTTTAATGCGATGAATTTCGTAGCATTGAGTCAAATAAAATTTCCCCAATCAGCTTTTGGGAGGGTCGATCCATATGAGGTCATATTTTGTTAATGTTTCCAATTCAATGAATTTAATAAACTGTGGGTAAGTGAACCTTACAGAGACTCATTTTGAACTCGATTCCTTGAGAAACTGCTTTTGGAAATCGCTGGGTTCAATTATGTTGTTGAATGATTTGACCGTCTGTATTTGTTACTTGTTTTTCATTTGGACATCTTATTGATTACTTGCACAATGAGTTTGTCCGCATGTTTTCTGTAGTTTAGACCATCCTCTCTGTTTTCAATTTAGTTCTCCTGCCAGAAAATTTTAGTGTTTCCCTTTGATAATTGGAAGAAGTTTTTTTGAACTCATTTTAATGTTGTACTTTGAAGGACAAAGAGAAATAAAACATACTTTTATTGAGGATTACGACAGAATACTGATTACTAATATCATTCGTCATTTTCTTAGTGCTAGGATTTTGTTAGGCTCAATTTAATCATGTTTCATTTGGAATTTCCTGTTTTTCCGTTTGTGCTGACTATTGTCATCTATGTGATTTTGCAGTCTAATGAACCGCCTATTGACGCAAAAGATTTGGATTTCCACTTGGAGGATTTCGAGACAGTAAAAGTGATAGGGAAGGGAAGCGGCGGCATAGTTCAATTAGTTCGCCACAAATGGACGGGGAAGTTCTTTGCATTAAAGGTTATCATTTTAGGATTCTGATTTTTCATTATGTTCCTTCCTGCAAAAAATATAAGTTTAACGAAAATCTGTCTGGACATTGCACTTTTCAACGTTCCATTTTGACTTTTCGATGGTTAATTTCTTGTTTCATCTAGAAGGAGATAATGCTATTTTTTTTGCTTGATCCAATAACTCTTCGTTCATTGCCATTAATGCGATAACCTGACCATCTGCATTTTCATTTGGTTACCTGAGACGTGGTTGAAAATGGCCTGCTTTACCTGTTGGAGATACTGCAAAAACGGAAGCATTTCTTTCACTATAATTTGTATAAGGTTACATATTGTAAGACAGTAGATCAAGAGGTGTCCTATCTGAGGGCCAGTGAGGCCTTGGATCATTCAGTTTCACCAGCCAGGCCAAGAGAGACTTGTTGTTCGGGCTGAGCCCTTTCTAATTGAAAACAACTGTAGCAAAGGAATTTTTAGTTGGATCAGAATTCAATCTTTAGGGTTACAAACTGACGTACTGGCTCCCCCAGGGATTTTCTTGCACCCCTTTGTTGTGAAGTTTTCCATTAAGTTGAAGAATCTATCGGTAAAACTCTACATTTTGGTAGTTATTCGTCAAATTTTTAAGGTCATCGGTTAGATCTTTCACGTATCAATATTGCATGTTGATATTCGTGCCCTGTTATATTTCATTCCTATGTTAAGGCGACGTTGTAAAACAATTACTTTTCCTGTGTTGTATGTGCGAGAAAACGTTATGTTGTTATTGAGTGATTACATCAAGCTAGTAATCATGTTTGAAAAGTGTTTTTTTCTCCATTTGATTGACTTTCTATTGCTTCTGTTCATTGGCCACCACGACAGGTGGTGTTGGGGTTTGACCAACTTCCATGACCTGGGGGAAAGCTCATCCGGGTGGCCAGTCCTGATGTGTTATTCCCCTCCTTGAGGTCACAGAGCAGAACCCCTGGGGCCAGAAGTGGTTTTTCCCTCTGATACTAAATAAAAGGGATAGCGGTTTAGTTAATAGTCTTAGCCTGTGACATTTGCAGTCTCTGCCTTCCTGTTGTGTCAATAACTCTTGTTTGTGTGTTCAACCAACCACTATCGGCAGTAATTCTTGTTCTAGACATGGCTTATAATGGATGGAGTAGGAAAAAAAAGCTTAATAATCAGAATACCTTGTTAGCTGAGACTATTTGACTCTCTGCTAATAGTAGTGTACCTTTCTTTTTCAGGGTATCCAGATGAACGTTCAAGAGGAAATTCGTAAGCAAATTGTGCAAGAGCTTAAAATAAATCAGGCATCCCAATGCCCACATGTTGTGGTCTGCTACCACTCCTTCTACCACAATGGAATTATATCATTGGTTCTGGAATATATGGATCGTGGTTCTTTAGCTGATGTGTTGCGGCATGTTAAAATTATTCTGGAGCCATATCTTGCTGTTGTATGTAAGCAGGTAATTTTTATCTCAATTTTCACGTCAGCCTTTCTTGCAGTTACCCACCTCAGTGGGTAAACTTTATTTCTTTTAAACATATGATTCTCTTCTTCCACAGGTTTTGAAAGGTTTGGTTTATTTACATAACGAAAAGCATGTCATACATAGAGACATTAAACCTTCCAATTTGTTGGTGAATGAAAAAGGGGAAGTAAAAATTACAGACTTTGGAGTGAGTGCAGTCCTCGCCAGTTCCATGGCTCAGCGAGACACATTCGTTGGAACTTACAATTATATGTCGGTATGTTGGACAATGGTTGGCTATTTCCAGTCGAATGCTGGTCTCCTGAATATTTTATTCATCAAGAGTTTTGGTTCATTTTATTTTCACAGCCTGAGCGAATAAGCGGTAGCAGTTACGACTATAAGAGTGATATCTGGAGTTTTGGCTTGGTAATACTTGAATGTGCAATTGGTCGCTTCCCTTACGTACCGAGTGAGCAGGAAGGTTGGCTGAGCTTTTATGAGCTTCTGGAGGCTATAGTCGACCAACCACCCCCTGCTGCCCCTACAGACCAGTTCTCACCGGAGTTCTGTTCATTTATTTCAGCATGGTATGCCTACCTTTTCCGAGTTCAGCGATCCAAATGCATGCTTGTCTTTTCGTTTCTGCTTTCATATCAGAAATTTAGATTTAAGTACAGAGTCTAATGTCTTTCCTGAAGTACCTTTTTTGTCAAAGGGTTTTCTGTTATCTCAAAAGTCATATGTGGTACTTCCTTTTGGGTGTAATTTAATTTTTTTCTGGGGGCCTTGGTAGGTAGTCGTGGTTCTCCGCATCTTGGTCACCGCAATGTATTGTTTCAGATATGGGCCTATCGCTGTTCAGCTCTACTGGTTATTCTGCGTAAAACTCTTTCCAGCGTATCATTCCCCTACCTTGGCTTCACTATTCAGTCTTCTCTACTCGGTTCGTCGCCAATCGTTTCATTGGTGGCTACTTATCTCCATTGGAGAGACCAATTTGAAACATGATATAATGATTGAAAAACTGGTGACAGACATGCGAGCCTTCCATGTTCTTGAAAAGATGCATTCTGTCGTTTTAAAATCATGGATTCGAGTCATGGACATCTTTCTTAGGTATTGGGAATAACTGACTTTATTACTGGGTTAAGCACTGATATGAGAGGGGACCTGCAGCGCACCCCTCAACATTGACGTTAACACAAATCTCGCTTATCACGGCAGGTGAAGTCAAATTGGTGGATCAGTTTTCTTGTCGTCATACTTAGTATCGTCAGATACCCAAAGGAGACCTTTGCCGTAGACCTTTCCTCGGTGCTATTTGTAGCTATGGATGTCTGAAAGGCCGATGACTGACTGATTGACTGACTAACTGTTTCAAAGCTCCAGTAATTACTCAGATCTAAATCCGACAACAGCTGGACATTGTACCATGATCGACGAGTTATCTTCAGTATCGTGTCAAAATGATTTTATATTGGCCCCTTGGTCGTCGTAGCTTTTGTCCCACACAGCCTTAAGCCACCAAGCATATACAGTCAATTATTCTAATGAGAGTAAAACCATGTCTATTCAATAATTTACGCATTCTTTCTGGAATTGGCCGGTAAGTAACATTGGCATTAAACTCTTGGTTTCAGTGTGCAGAAAGAACCTCGATCAAGAATGTCTGCGCTGGAATTACTGGTTAGTATACCCATTCCCTTGTGGCGTTTCTTTTCTTTCCTGATCAAGATCATTTCCCAATCTATTTCTCCTGGGTCTAGGATCATCCGTTCATCAAGAAATTTGAGGATAAGGACATCGATCTCGGAATACTGGTGGGGAACCTGGAAGCTCCCGTCAATGTGTCTGTGTAACTTGTCAAGGTGGTGTTTCCCCTATTTCATCACATACAGACTGGCACTCTTGAGTGCGAACGCTTGTACCTGCACCAGCATGTACAAAGCAGCCTGTACCTGCACCAGCATGAAACTGCAGTATGTTCACCTCGTACCACCCTTTTTTCGTGTAGAATGTGGGATTATGTATTGAATCAACTCTGCATTATCTGGGAGCCAAGTGTAGCTTTTTGGGGGGCGTTTTGTCTTCCAATCAGAGCCTGTTTGCAGTATGAACGAGACCTAATAGATAATTTTTCAAAGCCTGTATTTTTCTCCTAGTTCATTCTGTGACCTAAAAGATGCAGAGTATGAAACTGCACCAGATCATGTACTAAATTCTGCGAAATATTGAAATTCCTGTTCGTGGATGAATAAGTGATGGAAGTAATTTTGAATATGGCGAGGAGAGATGGCAGCATGGTTCGAATGCTCACTAGAGATTAGGCTGATTATGAAATTTAGATAAAATTTAGATAAAATTTATGAACTGGGTTCTAGATGCTTTATCCGTCGCCGCCATTTAATTCTCTTCAGCCTCTTACGTGGGTTCAGTTTTTGATAGGGTTTTCTCTTTGCTTTAAAGAAGAATATATTAAGCCCATTTGGTGAAATATTTCTCTCCAGTGACGATGATAACAAGATTTGGGCGATTTATGCGGTTTTAGTACAATTAAAAATGCTGTTTCTTGGGAGGGTTGGAATATTCGGGGATAGGGGCAAAAAGGTAATTATCTAACCAGAGCCTTAGGGTTTCGCCATACGTTGCTGCACGAGGACTGTGCTTATATGCTGCCGTAACGCTTGGCCAAGAGTTTACCCTTTCTCCTCCTCCCCTCTGCTTGCCGTTTCTCTCCTCACGCGATCAATCTATCGGTCTCGAATGGGAAGCGCCTCTTTGTTCTTCGGTTTCTTCCTGTTAATTTCTATACACGTTTCTGAATGATACTCCTCTCAAACGGCGATGGTGTTCTGGGGACCCTGCAGGATTGTGTGTATCGGCGCTGTGCGACTGACTATGCACATCTAGCCGAAAGTGTTTCCTGCGACATGGACTTATCTTCCTGAAGAAAGGGGGAAGGTGGGCAGTTGGATTTCAAGATCCTATTGGAACTCCGACAATCATTTTCCCCACATCCGCTCCGCCCGGCCCCATCTCCCTCCTCGCCGTTTAGGGCTTCTCAGCCCGGCTCTAAATCTTTCGAAGGGCCATGATTTCTAATCACCTGTGATTTCTTGCCATCCGCAAGTGCGTCGAAGATTTGGGATGCTTGTGTTTCATAGATTCTTTCACCCACCACATCGTGTTTTTTTCTCTCTGGTCGTCATAGATTCTGTCTAGAGAGAGAGGAGAGAGAGAGATGATGGGTTCATCTGCGAAATGTGGTTTCGCTAGAAAGAACGAAGAAATATACAGATCCAGAGGCCCATCTGTTTTCCAAATGTGATTGTAATTATCTGCTCGTTTTCTAGTTTGCTTACCTTCCCAAGCTTTGATTATATTGAAATACACAGGACTGCGTTTTTGTAGAAATAAACTGAGATGGGACGTCTATCCACTGAGACGGGGGGGGGGGAGGGTTGAGGGTTCACTTCGAAAATGGAGAAGCAAAGACGACCTTGTTTCCAAATGTGGCACTAAATATCTGCTCGTTCTCTAGATCGTTGAGCTCCTCAAAAGCTCTGACTTTTTTGAAATGCTTCGAAATTGGTTCGTGTAGGAATAACCAATAATATTTTCCGACCAGATTCCGCTAATACAACCTTCGAATGCTTTATAGGTCAGTGTCTGGTTCAATTTATCAATTATTTTTTAATTTAAGTATTCATTATAGTATGAAAATCAGAACGAGCAAGTGATCCATCTTATTCCAGTCAATGCCTATCTCGTTCAATCGGAGGTATATTTTTTCACTGGATTTCTGTCATCTTCCAAATCTTTGATTTTCTTTACTTGCTAAACAGCGAAGACCGCAAAACTTGACCCATTTTTATTTTGGTTTTCGGGTTGGATGGATTAATATATTTAGTCAAGCTTTTTGCTACCCCGTCTACTGTGCATGCAGTTCCCGGGCGGCATGCTATCTGGAAGAAGTCAACGTACGGACGAATTCAATGGCTCCGTTGAAAAAGTTGAATGGGTCAAATGACGGCGTTATGGGACCGCAAATTGGAAACTAATGGCCTCTAGGATGTTCAGTACATTAGCTGAGGGTTTGATCCAAAAGTAGATGAAGATGAGGTATTCCGATTAGGTGAGGCGAGGGGGCTTCCTTGTTTGGACAACGCCTTGTCGGAACAGAGCCGGCGTCGTCCCGTGCTCCACGTGGGTCGCTCCAGCGGATAGGCGTGGCGCCGCCTACGTGGAGGGCGGATAAGAGTGCGGCTCCCTTTTGCGGTGGGAAGGGAGGCGCCTGACGCCGCCAGTTTAAAATCCCTTTAAGACACCCCGCGCCGAGTCGGTGGGTGTCGACGCCACTTCCGCATCCACGAACCTCGACGTTTCATCCGCCGTAGGGTCTGAGCAGCGCTTGGAAGAAGAATATAGGAGCTGACTAATCTGAGATAAGTCGGTCACGGCTGCACCGACTGTGACTTTTGGTCGGATTTTTCTAAGCTTTCGGCCGCTAAATTCAGCCGAAGATCAAATCGTGGCTCCCTCTTTGTATATATCTATCTACCAATCTATCTATGAAGACCGAGTCTTGGCCGCGATCCTGGCTCAGAAGCTCCGAGACCAACCAATTCCTCTTCTACGCCGGCCCCCGTGGGAGCCACAGCTACCCCAGTGAAAAAGGATTGACTTTTTAGAACTAAAATCTGGATTTTTATCTCGAATAGCCCCAACTCTTCTAACCCACCAACCCTCAACGTCCATCCTCTCCCCACCCTCCCTCAAATCGGGACCGTGGACGCCTGTCTTGGACTCTCTCTCGCGACTGCCGCGTGCCAGGAAGCCAGGGGTCTCCGGCGACCTTCCGACAAAGCTCGTGGGAAACGACGGTCGCCGCCGCGAGTCCCGCCGGTAATTTGCTCGATGCGGGCAACCTCGCCGGAGCCCACAGGATCCCTCGAGACCCGCCCCGGCCGGGTCAAATCCCTGCATCATGAATGGCCGTGCGGATGGATGAGCGAGCGGCTGAGTCGGATATGGATGACTCCTTCCCCCCAGCCAGGGCCTTATCCACCGTCTCCTGTTCGAGGGAGTACGGCGGTCGGGCCTATCCTTCGCCCCGTGCTCTAGAACATTAATTTTTTCCCACAAGCGGATGGCCCCCGTCCCCATCACCCGAATAAAGTATCCATAAAGCGTCCTTCTTCAAGTCGAGTTATCCTTATTTACGTGTGTATATATATATATGTGTATATCTGCCTATGCGTGCGCGATCGTTCAACCTCTGCGTCCCGTCTGTTCCGTCTGCCTTCTACCTTGTGCTCCGTTCCCGTTCTCCCATCTGCTCTGATTTGCCTGGCTGAAGAAACTCTGCTCTGCGCGACATGGGCGAAGGAAACAAGGATATGCCCCATGGCGTGGTGATAAACGGCGAGGAGGAGGACGAGGAGCTGTTCGGGCCGGTCTCGTCGTCCAGCGGTTCTGAGGACTCGCTCGGCTCCTCGACGTCGTCGGACCTCACCGACGACGCCTCCTCCTCGTCGCCATCGGGCTCTCCCCCGCCGCCGTCGTCGGACCAGCTCGGGCCACTCTTCGGGCTGTCCTCCCTCATGACCCATCTCCCCGCCAAGTGAGTATTCCCCTCCATATACCCATCTATCTCTGGCCATGACGTCCTTCCGCTTACAACGATTCCTCTGGCTGTCGCAGGCGAGGGCTCTCCAATTATTTCTCCGGCAAGTCCCAGTCCTTCACCTCCTTTTCGAGCGTGAGATGCGTGGAGGACCTCGCCAAGAAGGAGATTCCCTTCAGGAGGAAGATGAAGCCGTGCAAGAGCTACGGCGGCATAGCCGATTTGAGTAATAGATCGTCGCACTTCGCGCCAGGGCCTTGCAGCAAGGCCATATCGAAGAAGAACTCGAGGAGTTCTTGCGCTTCCCTGGCCACCAGGAGAATTAACAGCGGCTCCTTTTGTAGCCCCAAACCGCCGCTGATTCCTATACAGAAAAACATGTAATTAATCACCCAGCAAAATTCCGCAGAGAAATCTCATCCTACGGTGCTCTTCCTTGTGGCCTCCTCTTGTGCAGGCGCCCCTTTCGAGCATGATGTTCATCAAGTTCATAACAGAAGGCTCCTCCTCTTAGATTGAAAACAAGGAGAGGTCTGAGGTGGAATGAACGAAGATCGTCTCCAAAGTGTGCAGAATTTCTCATCACGAAAAGAAAATCTCTCCCTCGGGCATTAAAAAACAACGGCTCGGACAAATTCCGTGGTATACTCGCAGTCTGTGGACGATAACGTGGATAAATAATCTCTAAATCCTGGGTTTCGTCGCACGACGGGGGTGTCAACGGGCTCGATCCCTTTGAAGTCGGGGGCCAACTGTCCAATATTAGTCAAGCTGATTAAACATATTGACCCATTTTATTGTACGATCTACATCAGAGCTATTTTGCTCGTTACGTTTGGAAAAAAATAGGGCTAGAGCAACTTTCGGGCTAACTCCTGGCTCGTAAATGCCCCCCAATGAATAAATAGGAAATGGGTTTCATTTTGACAAGAAAAATAAAGCTCTGGGCAAGTTCACGAGCTAGTCCACTACCATACATCGGATACCCTCGCCTTCCTCGTAGTTGACTCGGCGTTGACTTAATTGTGGAGTTCTGGCCCAAGTTTTCAATGGGCTGACTTCGCCGGCCTAAAACAGAGGCCCAAGCTATCAGCGCAGGAGCTGAGCTGGGCTTCTCTGGCCCGGCGGTTCTGAGCTATGATGGCGACAAAGGAGAGACAAATCTCCTCATGGGCTGTAGGCCACGGCTGGCGTGGCTTCCTAATAGGCAGTCAACGTCACGATGAGCTGGAAGGCCTGGGGGTGAGGACAGTCCGGCTAGGCCCCGGCATAACATCCAGCGTCGCCGCCGCAGCCCCGCCGTGAAGTCGAACTGGCAACGGCGGCGGCTGCGGATCCACCCGCCTTCAAGGTCTCCCTCCGGCGGAGCATTGAATGGGAACGGCGAGGCTGGCGGTCCCCTTCCGCCCGACCTGGGCAGTGAATGAGGAACGGCTTTTACACGCCAGTCCCTGCATTTTGTTGGAGTAGGATGATCTACCCGACTTTCAACAGTGGGCACCCAAGGATCTTTCGGAAATACACTGTAGGTTCTACGGGTATCGCCAAAATAAGAAGATGCCGTCGATTACCTGTCATTACACCAAAAGCCGGAGGGGCCTTCTGTCATTCAAAATTGGCCGCCTCCCCCCCTTCCCCTTCCCCTTCAGGCGGCCCAAGAGCAGGTAGGGGAGGTTGGGGCCAAGATCGTCGACGGCACGGCGAGCCACGTGCCGGTGAGGCCCAGGGGGCCCCGGACGTAGCGTTGGGCATTTATGTGCCATCGGTCGGTGGTGCGAGCCCAGCCCCCCACCCATCTTGTTGCCGGGGGGGGGGGTCATTGGGGTATAATGTTGAACGGATGGCCACTTAATCGCTCCCGCGTGTGTTGCCGAGGGGAAGGAGTGAACTGTGCGCCGTCCAGGCTTTTCTCGGCCCCAGAGAAGAAGGATGTCAGAGACCTGCCTTGAGCTGCCGTAGCCCTAGGGACCGTTTATCCCGCCGCGCCGTGGACTGTATCTAGAGATCCTGTGGGAAGCCCCATCTCCTCCTCCGGGACCGGAATCTCCGGCAATGCCCACGGGTTGCTGCTTGCCTCTTCTCTTCTTCTTCCTCGTCTGCGGAGAGGCCTCTCCCCAGGCGTCGGCTTTCGTTGGGTTCGGCAATGGGGGCGGCCTCGGTGTCTGGGTGAACGGAGGGGTGGGTGTCTCCACCCAGAACCCGCCGCCGGGGGGCTCGTCGGAGCCTTCATCCAGCGGGGAGTACGCGGCGCTGCAGGCTTTCAAGTTCGCCATCACTGGGGACCCTTCGGGCGTCCTCGCCAACTGGGTCGGCCCCAATGTCTGCTCCTACAGGGGGGTTTTCTGCTCCACTCCGCCGGCGGACGACATGCCGTTCTCCCCCTCCTCGCCGGGGCGCGTCGTCTCAGCCATAGATCTGAACAAGGCCAACCTCCAGGGCACCCTGGTGAAGGAGCTCGCCCTTTTAACCCATCTCTCCATCCTTCACCTTAACAGCAACAGGTTCTCTGGGACGGTCCCTGACGCGTTCAGGGACCTCGAGTTCCTCACAGAGATCGATCTCAGCAACAATCACTTCTCGGGGCCTTTCCCCGAACCCATTCTGTACATGCCGAGCTTGGTCTACCTTGACCTCCGATTCAACAGTTTATCGGGGGGGGTTCCCGACGAGCTCTTCGCGATGGACCTCGATGCCATCTTCCTCAACAACAACCACTTCGAGGGGGAGATCCCCATGAGCCTCTGGAGCTCGTCGGCCTCCGTCATCAGCCTGGCCAACAACAGGCTCACGGGGTCCATCCCAGCTAGTTTCGGCTACACAGGGTCCGGTATAAGGGAGTTGCTCTTCCTCAACAACAAGCTCACCGGGTGCATCCCTGAGGGCGTCGGGCTCCTCTCAGACATCGAGGTCTTGGATCTCAGCTTCAACTCCCTCAAGGGCCACCTCCCCAGTTCGCTCTCGTGTCTTTCGAGCATCGAGGTCCTTAACATCGCCCACAACGAGCTCTCCGGCGTGCTTCCCGACGTCGTCTGCTCTATGAGGAGCCTCCTGAACCTCACCATCTCCTACAACTTCTTCTCCGGGTTCAGCCAGGACTGCGGGAAGACCTTCAGGAGCGCATGGTTCGACTTCTCTGGGAACTGCATCCCCGGCAGGGATTTGCAGAGGCCTCCGCCGGAGTGCATCGGGGTCTCCGGCGACGGTCTTAGCTGCCTTCGGGTCCCCCCCACGAGACCCGTGGCTTGCGGTCTCCCCCTGGGCACTGGTCTCGGGGTCGGAGTCGGGGTTTCCCTTGGCGATCGTGAAACCCCTCCGTCGCCCGCGAGCTCTCCTCCATGACCATCATCGGCGGCGCCACCGGGGTTGAGTATGGCCGGCAGGGGTGACGGATCATTTAATAAACAGCGTGTCCGAGCGTTAACTCGGAGTGGACCTGTAATGATCCGAATGCTCACGGGCACTGCAGTGCGTTTGTCATCTTCTCCACCGCGGCGAGTTTCAGCAGTGCGTCCGAACGTGGCGGCGTCACAGGCGCCGGGGAAGCAGCTGGCATATACACATCGGCGGCGGTCTTCCTTTCCTTCTTCCTTTAGGAAGAAGACGCATCTACATATCTAGTGAAACATCATTCCCGCATCAATTGCCCGACAAATCGAAGTCTTTTCTTCCCTCTGTTCAATCCGGGTTAGATCCATCTCGCGTTACAGCGAAGGGAAACGCGGAAATTTATTTCCTCTATAAATCCGAAATGTTTTATTCAGATTTAAAGGACCATGACTGCCAAGCGGGAGTCGAGACATCGTTCGACAAGTGGAGGAGAGCTCGCCGTCGGGTTTCGGTGGTTCTTCCTCATTGTCCAGCGGAGATCAACGGAGATGTGGAGCCACGTCTGATGAGCTCATCCGATCGTCATGCCACGTAGTACATGGGGTTCGGAAGCTTGAAGGAACGAGTGGCGAGCGGCGTGCAAGCCAAGTCGCTCCATTGATCGCCAGAATTGCCATGAATCTTGTATCCTGAGGATTCCAGCCAAGCCCTCCTCTCTGATTTGTAGAGCTCCGCGGTTTTGCCCTCATCATCAGATCCCCTGCTCCACATTACCAGGTTACAGAACATCCATCGTCCACAAACTACCGCACAAATAAATGAGAATAACCCACGGCTCCCCCATATCGAACTGTCCAGAAAACGTGGGAACCCGCCAGAATTAAGAACTATTGCCGGCGATTTTTCCCGGGCAGGGAGGATTTCCGGCGGATTAAGACTATCTCATGTTCTAGGTGCCGCAGAGGCTTCTCGCCAATCCTCATCGTCGTTCAGGGCTAGCAATATTTTTTCGATCCCTCTGTTTTTTCCCCAACCGAACTACGCAAATACCACGCAAATTCCACAGGGTAATGCGAAGATGAGGAAAACTTCACCTCAGAATGAGCATTTCCCAGAAGCCGAATCCGGCGGCCTTGAGATTCTTTTCGGTGGAGCTGCGCTGGTCCTCGCTCCGTCCCGTCATGAAGATCACCCTGAAACCAAGGGGCAGGAGCTGCCTATAGAATTTCAGGCTCGAAGGTATGGCTGGGGCTGCCGCCTTAGCCACCCATTCGTTGAATGATGTCTCGTTGAACACCTTCGACCTGCCCAAGCAAAGACGGAAAGGATGGGGTCATGGTTTCCGTATCAGTGAACGGGTCGCTCAGCAATTCTGGATTGGAGTTCCTGATACCCCCGCACCTCGCGCTGAATGAACGCAGAGCTTGCCGAATCCTGCAAGAGCTCATCCCTACGACTTATGTTCTTCGGATGGTTGGAACTAGGAAAGTATGAGTTACGCTGTTCGTTGTTACTTCAGATTATGCTCCTACTGAGATTGAGCACTACTACCCCAGTGCTTTCCTGCACCTGAGCTTCGGCCCGTGTTTGCAGAATATACGAGGGGGAGCTTCTCATCTTCTCTCTCAATCATATTCCTGACCTACAAGAATCAATCGACTGATTCCTCGAGCCTTATACATTTTTCTCTAAATAAAACAAACTTTAGGATATGACTTGTCAATATCTTCTTTAAAAGGCAACTCATGAAATTGTGAAGAACCAAAGTTCTGCATTGGCCCGTGGGAAGATCTCTGAACCGTGTTAGGCCGTGCTCAGGGTACTCCTTTCCCAGTTTCAATCTTCCGCAATGCTCATTATTTGATTATGAACATCGAACTAAGTGAATAGAGAGGTAGTTTATATTATTAGATTTATGACGAATATCTTGTTTAACAACGAAAACACCAAATGACGCATAAAAAATCAATTGATAAAAACATCCACAACAGATGACACGAGTTCTAGTCGATCTACAGAGAAAATGGTAACGTCGGGGGGTCTTCCACAATCATGAACTTCGCGCGAAGGATGACTCATTGAAACCATTTTTCCTATAATATTTGTTCTGAGGTTATATTATCTTTGACATCCAGAACTCATTCTAGTTCGGGTCGAAGAAAGAGGGACGATCATTTTCTTTTTTTGAAAAAAATTCTAAGAATATAAACGATGAACTTGGGTAACGTCGATCGGGGAAAAGGTAAACAGGAGGAGAGGGAATGGGCGCGTACCCGTATCCTCCAACAGTCTTGTAATAGGGGAGATTAGACAGTAGCGTCTCGTCCACGTCGAAGATCCAGGCGTCCTTGCCAGCCCTGGAGCCGTGCGAGATCGACACATTCTGCGCGTACTCGATGGCGTATCCTGCGACGGCATTGCAGTCCGCCGCGTACCTGGGTCCGTTCATGTAGTCCTGGACGTATTTCAAGCAGCTAGTGGGGATTGTCGTCCAGCTCCGGATGTTATTGGTCTCCACGGCGAACTTCCAGCTCTCGCAATTGACAGTGTCACCTTCTAGGATGTTCTTCGGGTAGGGAACCTTCGGTACTATCCCGCGCAAGCTCTGGGAATGCGCCGCCGCGGCGAGGACGGAGATGAGTGAGAGGGTGAAGAACATCGGAGAAGATGCGCCTCCCATCGTGTCGCAGCGCAAGAAGGATGCCCCCCCTATTCCCCTTCCTCCCAATACTAAATATCCTCTCGAGGATATGAAGGATAGCCTTTGGCCCTCAAAAGTATCCGAATCGCGCCGAGATTCGCTAATGGCCTAACAAATATCGTTTGGATGCCTTCCCCGTCGGTGAGTCTGACGGCCGTAGTATGCGGATATGGGTTGACCATGGCCAGTTTTATAACACAACACGGGGTAGTGTTCCTCTTGAACGCCTGATGGGACCGCGAGTGACACCCTTCCGCATGACTGTAATTCTTGAATGTAAGGATCAGTCAAAACCTAACTACTTTTGTTCCCTCATGTCGGCCTAGATTGTTGTCCAATCAATATTGAGCATCCTAATCACTCTATGGAAGCACAGAAAAACTTAAGGAAGACTTGTCATCTTCAATCTTCTAGGAATAAGCCTCCTTGAACTCAGATGAGTTTACCTCTCTTTATATGAAATTTCTCTTTCACAATTTGGGATGTCTACCTCACATAATTGTCCTCATCTATAACAAGAGGTCACACCTATGTCGGTGGCAGTCTACTATTTACCCACATAACACATTTTTTTCATGTGCTTTCTAGCCCCCATAAATTGTCCTCATCTGTGACAAGGGGTCATACCTATGTTGGCAACGGTTGTTGGCCACTGTATCCACATAATTGTCATCTTAATCACTATATGGAAGCACACAAAGACTTAAAGAAGACGTGTCATCTTCAATCCTCTACGAATAAACCTCCTTGAACTCAACTGCTTTACCTCTCTTTATATTAAATTATCCTTACACAATTTGGGATGTCTACCTCACATAATTGTCCTCACTTATAACAAGGGGTCACACCTATGTTGGTGGCAGTCTACTATTTACCCACAACACATTTTTTTCATGTGCCTACTAGCCTGCACAAAGAATCCTCATCTACGACAAGGGGTCATACCTACGTCCCCACCGATTGTTGCCTTTTGACCCAATCTATCTTTGCAAGCCCTATTACCTTGCTTGATGGTATGCTATGCCAAGACGTGCCAATCTTATTCCAATGCCAACACCATGCCACGATCATTTCGGTTAACCCCCTACACAATTGTCACAACGCTATGTCATATTGTTCTGCACCATATTACATTGTGACGGTTCACACCTCATAAATGTGCTCATGTTGGTGTTGTGATCTTTTAATAAAATAATATTTTGATGATGAAAAATACACATAAGAAAAATACAATGATTTAATTATGTTGTTAATTTGATTTATGTAATATAAAAAATATTTTAAAAACATAAGTACAAAGTTATGTACATATAAATTCATGAAAAAATAATATAATAATATTAAATATTCAAATGATAATTTAGAGAATATACTTGTGTCTCATTGTTTTTAATTCTGAAATTTGGATGATGTTATCACTCTAGATATTGCTTTGTTTATCACTATGAGAAATGCTAAGACTTACAAAAAATATTATGATGAAAAGTAATAATTACAGCATTAGAATTAATGAGAATGATTGAAATAACATATGGGTATTAAAGTTCTTTAAATATCCTAGATGCATATGATGCTCAGTCATTAATTAAAAATATTCTTAATGTGTAACTAATGATTTGAATCAGAACTATTGAAAAGGCTGCTTAGGATTTTTAGAATATTGATGAATAAAATTTTAAAAATAGTTTGAAATCATGTCCATCAAAGTAATAATGATTCATTTGAAATCATGATTCAAAATGATTATAATATATTCATGTTTGATTTGAGATAATTTAGATTAAATTCAAAGATAAAATTATTAGATTATTTTGATTTTTATTCTCAAATTTATTTTCATGATAAAACATTCCTATCATATTCATTTGACCTGATAAACTTTGATATATATATGTTACTGCTTGAAAATTATATATAAATATTGGTTTCTCTTAGAAGGGTTGAGAATCTCTAGAAATATTATTAAGGACCACTCACATGAGGGTAGAAAAATTTAACCTAAAGTATGACCGATGATAGATGCTTGAATTCTTGGATGGTAACTCATCAACATAATACGTGGACTAAAGACAACTCAAAAAACCACCTCTAAGTAAGCCATAGAAAGATAAAATATCTATTGATCAATTATGATCTCCAAATAAAATATCATTGACAATAAATTCAAGAGGAAAAGCTTGGTACTATAAAACATCTAAAGGTCACTGGTATGCTAGTAGAGCAATGGAAAAACTTTTAATCTCATATGACCATTTTCAAATACTAAAATGATAGAGTTATGTTTGAGTGTAAAGAAGATGAGCTAAAGACAAACCAAGGTTAATATTAGATAAAGATATTTCATCTACATTATTCACTCAAACTTGAGAAGAAGATCATATTCAATCTTTTATAATAAAGCAAAATAATTGTGCATCTCAAAGAGAGAATTGAAAGTATCATTGTACTTGTTCATCTATGGTGATTTACGAGTCAACCAACTGAGATGAAGGTTATCTCTCTTAATCATTTCTGAAGGAAATCTAGTGGTGAGTGGAGAAAGGGTTATGCTGAAGCAAGAGGTGTTGATGGTTAGAAATGACTTATAAAATGTGTTGTTCTTTTACGAGAATTGTGTATTGATTTAGACATGTGGTCTTAAGAATTAAGATCTACTTGTGATGGGTGTGAACTCTATAGAGATCAAACATAAGTATTTGGGCTGTTGATATTATGAAATCATATGTATTTCTAGAATAAAATGGTAAAATATGGTAGAGGGATCCTTGGGGACTAGATGTAACGTAATTTGTGTTCCTCATAGTCGCGAGTGAGAGAGATAGACTAGAGTGACCTTGTGACAATAATAATAATAATTTAAGTGAATCTACATATAATCTAAGAGATTATGTTAAAACATTTGTCAACACATATACATGTAGACAGAACAATATAATAGAAACTTAGGTCTCTCTTGGTATTTCACTTAGCCAGATTGAACCCAATAGTCTCCATTGCCTCCACAATCTTTGACATGGCCATTATCTTCCTTGTTGAGTTGACTTATTATTATCTAGACACTTAGATTTTTTATTTGGCTCAACTATAGAAATGACTTTATAGTGTACTAAGACATCAAGTTGTGGGGATGACCAACTACACATCTTCAACTATTTAGCAACACAACTTAGCTTGTATAAGTCTTAGAGATCAGAAAATTGAACAAATTGAACACCATAACATGTGCATAATGAATTGATTGAGTACCTCACATGTATTGACATATTATTTGCTAGGAGAAATTACTCTTTTAACTCTTTTAAGAGCATCTCCCATGTCTCATTGCCAGACTAATATAGTCTTAATCCACATGTCCATCACCATAATTTTGCGTTGCCAAAAAGTTACACTCACAAATATTAGCTTATTTAATTTTGTATTGTGCACCTCCCAAAAATACTGGATGACATTTCATTTAAAGTTATCTCTTAGGCATTATGCATGGAATATATGTCTCAAATTTAGGGATTTTTGCCCAAGTCATGTTGTATGCTGGTTATCTACCTGAAAATGAGTCTCTTAGCAGCATGATATATGTTGTTAGTACATCTAATGCTACTCATAGTTCTTAAACACTTGCTTCATCTACCCATCAACTATTAGTGCAAATGACTACTTCATTCACATAGGCAAAATTTAAATTACTCAACTATGGCTTGGAAATAGTTCTTGATAAGTTTTCATTATCATGAGTTAATGATTAATAAATAACATAGTTTTAGCTTTAACTCATGATAAATAAACTTATAATTATGTTAAAATGTGAAAAATAGTTTTCAATTGATTAATATGAATTTTGGCTAATTACGTGATTTTATACGAATTTATATGATTTTTATAATCCTATTTTTGAGATAAATGAAGAAAAATAAAATAAAATAAAAAGATAGAAAAAGAGAGGGACTTGTCAGCCAATTGGGCCCGCAAGTGAGTTGGAAGCACAGTCAGGATGAGCCACGAGCAAGGGCTCGAGCACCTATAGACCGAGGGGAACATGTGTGCCACTCCCCTTCCATGTCATCGGTGGCCAACTGACTGTGGGGCAAGGAGTGGTCATATATGCGTTTCCACATTCAACGTATAACTGATGTGGGACTAAACTAGTGGTCACATCTTCCTTGAAATGTTTCAAAGATTTTAATATAAAAAATACTCCTTATTTATAACCACAAGATATTATGGTGACGTCACTGTATAAAGGTATTCGAGAACTTATTCTCTCTCTCATGTAGGTAGAGGACTGGCTCGGGTTTGAATCCTACTAGAGCCAAAACTCGTATTGTTATCTAATTAAATCGTGACTTTTCTATAGATTACCGGTGAAGGATTAAGCTGCTAGAATCACTTGATCATCAATAAAAACCTTGTCAATGTGATTCACAGAGTATTATTACTAAAATTGTTAAATAATTCGCGATAAAAAGATCACAAATCTATCAAGTAAATCATCTTCGATTGATCGACGAACAAGCTGTTGTTGAGAAGAAGACGATTCATCAGGAGACGAGTCGCCACCTCTAGAGAGCATATCGGATGCGATGAAGAGCCTCTTCTTATTATGCAGACATAAAGATGAAACTCTATGACATGCGTCCCACCTCCATCCAGCTCCTCTCTATTGGGAGACAATCGCTAGAGAGCTACAAAGTCACTATTTTTTTACTTCGCCGAGTGACAACCATTTGAGATGATTTGACGACTCATTTCATTGATCTCTAGACTTCGCAAGAAGATCTAGAGTTTACTCATGTCATCCTTATTTAAGGAGAGTCTTTGAAGCTGTAGACACTATACAACAATTTTCTCGAATGCTCAAAATTTCAGTAAATTGTCAACGCATCGCCGTCGTGACGCTGAAACTTTGTATTTCTTACTTTCAACTTAATTTTCACTTTATTTAGTGATAATTTATGTGATTT